GCATCTCTTCTCGCCACTGCCGAGCAGGGTAACAAACTCGAAGGAAAGCTTGCCAAGGTCCATGGTGGATACCAGAAACGGGCCAAGACGCTCCGCGCCAAAATTCTCGAAGCCAGCACGGCTTTGCCCAAGGTCCAAGATGAATTGGACTCTTTCCGCACACTCCAGATCTCCGAAGAAGCAGCTATTGCTCGGCGCTTGGAGAAGCTACGAGAAGATGTGTCTTTTGTCATGCGTCGTGAGCGGGAGGCCCAGGAATTGTACAAGACACGGAAGGATGAGTTGGATGAATTGGTTGCTGGTACCGCCACTGTGAATGGGTGGCATTAAGATTATACCATACCAGGACCTTTGCTATATTTTTTTTCCTCTTGCAATCATGACCCATTGCAGGCTTCATTTGTGTATCATTAGGAAGGTCAATTTGCGAGGATCATGCAAATTCATTCGGAGCTTTACATATCCAGTCTCGCGCGCAACCAGTAAACACAGTTAGCAGGCTCCGATCAACTGACTAGATATCATTTCGAGCTAATACTTTAAAACATTTCAGTGCCGGTAAGGGTTTCAAGGTAAAAACTGTTCTTGGTGGGTTTAAAGTACATATAGGATATAGTAATCAAGCATAATAAGGCCATTATACTTGATTAAAAAGAAATATTGGAAGTTAGTAGAAACAGGTTTGATAATCATGAACTATTTATTGATGAGTCCCACAGTCTACTCGATGTAAAACAGCTTGAACTTGGATGAGCCTCCGGGAAGTCATCTCTGCGACAATAGCGTCCGATATAGAAGTATAATCATATTTTTGTTCATCATGTCGGAATTTTGGTTGCTTGTAATCTTGGACAATAGGCGTAAAGCCTTCAAGCATATCATCCATGTGGTGACACGCTACTAAGACAACGTTAGTAAGGAATCCTAGTAGTTTTGAAGACTTCGGAAGATCAGACTTATTGGCCTTTTGAAGGTTGATTACGAAGTAGTAGAAGGCTAGAAGATGCTACAGTAAAATGTCGAACTTATTCAAATATGTATATAGCACGCCAATGATATTCTATCGCAAAGCAGTGGCGGATGCCGCGAAGCCCAAACTTGGTCAAGTAAAGAACTTCGGGAAGCATCAACAAATGCATCTTAAACCTAATCCCAATGAAGCCGTCGAAAGTGTTCATCAAGGTTATCTTTTCGATTAAACAATTCTTTGCAGTCTTCAGCTGGACACTAGAAGAACCCGGAGAAATATGCTGCGTCTCAATGTGGCGCATGAGCACTGATTTGCGGGTAAATGGACCAAGATTCTTGCAGTTTTCCCACCTGCACTCGAAGATTCCTTGCTTAGCTCTAGAAAGCGTGTTAGACTTCAAGTGATACATAGAGAGGGTGGGCAAAATTGTACCTGCGCTTGCATTTGTGACAACAAGGGTGTTGTATCTCTTTTTGGACAATACATTTGTGGGCGCCCGGTTGCTCGCTGCTTGGCTCAGTGGCCGCAGAATGCATAAGTGGCATTCTATTAGAAGCGGTATTGACCCAGGAGCCGGTGACGGAAAGGTTATCCAGGTTCTCCGAATTCCCAGCACTACTGGTCATGCCCGGAAAACACCACGTTGAATCGTAGTTCGGGGGACTGATGTGGTTGAGATCAGCCAATGTCCTACCGTTCTCCATAGAGTTGGAGGGCCCGCGGTCTATGGCTGACAAATTTGGCCCAAACCATGAGAACTGGGAGATCGTAGACGGTGTGAAACTTGATGGCTTTCCATGGTCTCGATGTTCTCCATAGTTTCTAGGTATTTCAGAGGGGAAGAGGAAGCAAAAGGCCACTCCATGGTAGCCGAGTATAATAACAAGCAGATGATAAAAGAGAAGGGACTTGTTTAGAAATGGATACTCTGATGAGGAAGAAGACGAAAGAACAATCTAACGAGAGACACCTTATATAATTAATGAAGTCCCTAGCTAGCAATTCTTGAGTTCGTCACATTAATTATAGAAGCTGTCATCGGCCGCCGCTCTAGCTAGGTTCGTATGTACTCCTACAATAGGTCCGTGCTACATTACGTCCGTGCCTTTGCAGCCCCGGATGGTTGGTTGCATATCCTCGCGGTGGGTCTCAATTCCCAGGATCCAGGTATATATGCATTTCGCGGATGGAAAATTAATATTGCACACTCTGAGGTGCAGGGTTTCCGCCCCATTTGATAGATACCAAAGGCTCAAAAGTTTGCTGACATTTGGTTTTATTTTAACTAATACTACCACACAAAGAATGAGAAACCATTCGCCGCATAAGAGCGAGATTGAGTGTATCTATCTAAGAGTATAAGGCACGAGGTATATTGAATGAGATGAATTATAACAACTTTCACGGCGTTTATAGGACATTTGTATTTCTGGTCTACTGTGTGGCCACCTAAGCACTTCTGCTCAGTTCCAATGTGCTTCATATGTTTTTAAAACAGAATGAAAAGCAGTATCTTGGAAATCAGGCTCAAACTTTGCGGCTTCAAGAAGTACCGTGCAGGCCCTGAGAAGTAAGATCACATTCAACTCGCTCTTGTGGAAGTTCTCATTGCAGTCAGTGCTGATACAAGCAGTCCAGCAGGCACGTAACTTAGCTCATATGGCAAAACTCCCTTATAAGTAGCAGGAGACAAGATAACATTGAGCTCCTTGACTTCCCGCTCAAGCAAAGCATTGATTTACACCAGCAAAATAGAGGTACTTGGGTCACAGCATTACATAGTGCCTCAAAAAATAGGGTATACTGAGATCGCTGGCAGATTGTTTGACTCCGGCGCGGATACCATTGCGCCCAGGTCGAGTCTCTATGGACGAATTGCGTTGGAAGATCCCGCTGGGTTCGATCGATTGACACATAGCTCTTCTAAAGAAGGGCCATCTGTGCGGAAGACGCGTGAAGATGTGAATGAAGTGCAAAAAGAAAAGACTAAAAAAGTTATCCGGACACGCGGAATCGAACCGCGGACTTTCTGATAAACTATAAATCTATTACAGTCAGATGCGATAGCCAACTACACCATGTCCGGATTTCATGAAAAAGAAAAGGCTGTGAATACATTATGATAGGCTGTAAAAACGAATTCTCGAGCTTGCCCGGAATTTCATTCATCAACCGGATCTTGAACTCGAGTTATGCGCCAATACCCAATTTCATGCCTCAACAATAAGACACCCATAATCTAATGCATCTTCTATCTATTCTCTCGGATCTTCATATACCATATTTAATGTATTTTGATATACTAATATCAAGTAGCGCCACATTTAGGGGAAATCCAACTTTGAATCTTTGGCTCTTCCAATCTGATTCAGACACGCAAAGATTTCGAAGGCGAGCATCTATATGTCAACTAGACAAGTTCCATAAAGACCTCCATACATATGAATAATTTATTAGAGCTCTATCATGTCCATGTAATCTCGAACTATTCTGGATGGGCGACCCCTCTCACGCCATATTTCTTGCATGTCCATCTTGATATCCTTTTTCAAGGTGCACGTACGCACAAGAATAACGATGGACTGAATCGAGGTTAATGAGCACTATACTGCTTGGCATTGAAAGGCGTACGTATACCTCCGATTCTGAGCAACATCTACGGCTGTGTTGGTCGTCCTCCAACCCCTGACTTTCTTGAGTGTGGTCGGTATGGCTGTGGGTGCGATGGTGTATTAGGTGCTTTCTCTAGGGGAGATCTGGTGGTTGGATATGACGTGTGATAATCATTTTCACATCTGCTTCTAAGGTTCCAAACGTTTGTATTACCATAGCCTAATCGGACTCAATGTGCAAAATACCCGTCATCTTATGGATTAATTAGTTGATTAACGTTAACTTAGTCAACGTAACCAGCAAGCGAGCTGCGCAGCCAGAACACCATAGTAAAAGCGAAAAGATACAACCTGATACCTCGGCAACGCATATTTGTGAAAACGTTTCTTTGTGACTTCATGCTGATCATATGATATCAAGCTACTTGAGAGGATTTAGGAAGTTCTCATATCTTACCTAGTGGTTATTACTAGAGATGTATATATTTCGGGCTTTAATTAACGTGATATTCGAGATCGTGATGGATAGTTTATAGATTTTCTTGGGACTGATACGGAATGCTGAAGGGCTCTATGGGGAGCTACGTACAAGGAACCAAATGGATTGAGTTCGTGGTTGAAGAGATATGACTTTGTAATATATCGCTTTACTATGGTATTTCAGCTGCGCAGCTCGCTTACCGGTTCCGTTATGTAAGACTCACTAAATCGATCACTAAGCCAGAGGCCATGCTTGATCTACTTAACAAGTAAAAGCGGCAAGAGGGCGAGCCATAATCCGGAAAGGGAAGCTAAGAATCGTCAAAGGAAATCCGGTACATCGGTAAGAGAAGGTGCCGACTCAGTGTCACTCTCTAGTCACACTTACATCCCAGGGCAGCCTTATGTGAGTAAGTAGTTACCTGAGTCTGTACTCAATAGCGAAGCTGCTCTGAATTTTAATGTTTGACCAAGACTGCGGCGTGTTTCATTATCAATTGCCCAGAACCTGGCCAACACCTAGTATACGTTTCAGCGCATGAACTTATCGAATGGAATGGATTCACAATGACTTTTGGGCCAGAGACCCGCGAGACATGGCTAGAAAAGCTTTTCTGCTTTTGATGTTCCTTGGTCCCTGGTTTAAAGGATTGTTTTACTTTACTTGATACCTGCACTACTGATTCTTCCCGCACACGAGTATAACTACCCCATCAGTCTCTTTTCTCCTTTCTTGTCATAAGTCTCTTCTAACATGCCAAAGCATAAACTCATAGCTGGAAGCTGGCTGTATTAGGATCTCATTTCTACGAAGTCCCCAGTCAATCAAGTGGTTCTTTCACTTTTCTCCTGTGTACGTAGCAACACCCTGCTACGTGGAAACAGTCACCATCGAGCTCTCACTTTGCAGCCAACCTCAATCCAGCGATACTTTCCCGATGGCCCGCCACCGCTCCAAGACCGCCTCTGCCAAGGGTCTTCCCCCAAAGAAGACGAGTGTCAAGGCCCCTGCTTCTGTCAAGGATGACAAGTTGATTCTTCTTTGGATGTGCCTATCACACCATTCAGGTGAAGTGAGCCCCCCATGTTCCCAAATCCTTGCTCAATTCCATCAATGTCATTCAATCTCTGATGTCCAAGTTTTCAGATTGACTTTGACGCCGTTGGAGCCGCCTATGGCATATCCCGCAACTCAGCCCAGCAGCGCTTCTATCGGTTGCGTACGTACATGACAATGCAGGCACTCCCCGGTAAGACAGCACCCGTTCAGGCACCTACCACCGATGAGGAACCTCTCGAGGAGGACAACGAGGTCGAGGAGGACAGTGAAAAAGAGGATGGAGATGACTTCTAGAGGGGAGATGGTTTCTATCTACAGCAGAAGTTCCGAAGGATACCTCTGAAGGGAGTTGCGCTGAGTCAATCGCGTGGTTCTGAGTCGAATCAAAGAAGACCTTAAAGGCCCCAAAGAAACCACTGTTTCATTTGCATAGTAAGATGCACTGTGGTATAATGTATGAGACAATGTTGGAGTTGACATTGCAACCTAGGTTTTCCAAACTAGATTGCTTGGAACACGGTGCACCTGTGTAGAAAGGATATTATATTAACCTCGAAAAACGTGCAATCCTGATTTCCAGGGGCCTCTGCGTAAGTATTCTGATTCTGGTTCAGGCATCTTTCTAACCTCTGGCTGTTCCATAATTCCCCATGACCAGATGCGGCTCCCGCTTACTTAATCCCTATTATCGATCCGCCTTCCTCGCCACGACCTTCAACCTCAATCCATCGCGTATCGCATCAAATTCATCAAATCCATCATCTAGACTGAGCCCACATCGGCACACAGTTGACAAGATGGGCGTCCGGGACTCCCACGGTGAGGCGACGGGGACGCCCGACCCCGTCGAGAAGGGGTTCGCAACCCTTAACACTGTCAGGTAAGTCCTTTTCACCGCTAAAGAGAAGCATGAAATTGTTTTCCAGGCCGCGGTTTCAAGTTTTCCCGGTCGCATTTACTGATCAGTGGGACAGGATCGGTGTGAAGGCGATGGTGCAGAAGGTGAGTCGCGACAGCGCAGAATCTGGTGATCTGTCACGTGATATGGTTTTGACCGCGACTATAGGATGGTGAACTTCGGAAAGCGGAAATTCTGTCTATTAGGCAGCGCAAGGATGGCCCATCATTCTAGTATGTGAAACTATAAATATCTTTGAGTTGACAAAGCTGATCAGAATGACAGTGTGCATTATGTTGACTTCAACAAGCGTCTTGACGGTATGTCGATCCTAGAGCTCGGAACAAGTGCTCTCGGTTGTCAATCAGAATATGAAATGCTGATGCAATATGCAAAGAATGGATTCACGCTTCTCGCATTGATCTGTCCCAGGAGGTCGAGTGGCCCCAGCCAGAGAAATCGGATAAGAAAAAGACCGGCGCTGCAAACAAGGCGGCACCCAGCAAAAATGTCCAAAAGCGCCCTCGTGCTGATAGCCGTGAGGTCTCAGGGACGCCAGATGCATTAGGTGGCAAGAATGTAAACGTTGACAAAAGTCATCGGCCATCAAAGGCTGGTGGCAAAGAGAATATCGAGGTCCAGACACCTGGCGACGCATCCCTCTTCCCATCGGAAGCGGCTTCTGTCGCAGAGACACCTAAAGGTGACTCAGAAGACGTGGATATGACAGATGCCCAGGAGCTCAAGGAGGATGAGGTCAAGACAGCCTCTGGAGAGGTAATCTCTCGAGGAGAAGAAATCGAGCGACTCCGCACCAGCGGTAGTATGACACAGAACCCGACTGAGATTCATCGAGTGCGCAACCTGACCCGTCTCCAAATGGGCAAGTATGACATTGAGCCCTGGTACTTCTCGCCGTACCCAGACGCCTTTTCTGATGTAGACCTTGTCTACATTGATGAATTCTGTCTCAGCTACTTCGACAATCAACGTGCTTTCGAGCGCCATCGTGCCAAGTGTACCCTCGTCCACCCACCCGGTAACGAGATTTATCGCGACGACAACATCTCTTTCTTCGAGGTCGACGGTCGTCGTCAACGCACCTGGTGTCGCAACTTATGTCTTCTTAGCAAGCTTTTCCTCGATCACAAAACTCTTTACTACGATGTGGACCCCTTCATGTTCTACTGCATGTGCACTCGTGACGAAACAGGATGCCATCTCGTCGGCTACTTCTCCAAGGAAAAAGACTCTGCCGAAGGCTACAATTTGGCTTGTATCCTGACGCTCCCGCAGTATCAGCGTCGTGGTTTCGGTCGGCTGTTGATTTCCTTCAGCTACGAGCTTAGCAAGCGTGAAAACAAGCTCGGTTCTCCCGAAAAGCCACTCAGTGATTTGGGTCTTCTTGGTTATCGTCAATACTGGCGCGAGACTCTTGTTGAACTCCTGATAGAGCCAGGCCGCGAAGCTATGAGTGAGAATGAGCTTGCCGTTCTTACCGCTATGACTGAGAAGGATGTACACGAGACTTTGGTTGTTTTCAATATGCTTCGATATCATGTACGTTTATCACCGTCATTCCCTTCAATATTTCATCTCGACAATCTTGTTCGTTTTGTGTGCTAACGTCCGTCTAGAAAGGAAACTGGGTCATTGTTCTCACAGACTACGCCGTTAGTGAACACAACAAGCGCCTGGAAAAAGAAAAGGTCAAAGGCGCTCGGAGGATCGACCCTGCTCGCCTCCAGTGGAAGCCTCCGGTGTTCACTGCCTCCAGTCGGACCTGGAATTGGTAAGAAGTACAAACGTCAATTCGGCGTTTGCGTTGCTTCTGCCTTGATTTCGGGTATTGATTGCCTTGGGACCAGGTGGTAGTAATGGCTATGATGCATGACCAGGGGATGGTTTAATGGTGTTTTGGGCGATTTCAATGTGGTGTTTTGGCTGGGATTGTCTCTTTCCTATGACGAGCTGGACTTCTCTCGGGTCTGGCAAGTGTACCTTTAAATTTCAAAATACGTTACTATCTAATTTTCGTCAATTCACGGCGCGGCTGCAAAGCTGTATCCTATAATTGATGCTTTTCATGCGACATTCAATACGGATCACAAAGAACAAGGGCGTTGTGAATTACTTTCTTCATATTCGAGTCAAATTCATCAAATCTTTCATGCTCGTTCTTCTATAAAAGGAAATGGAAGTAAAAATTGACTTTAAGATAGTCCATTGCTATGGCTGCATGATACAGAACGTAACCCGGCCCATGGGTAATCCGGTAGAATGGGAAAACAAGTGCGTGGGTGACAGTCGACGTAACATGTTGGGAGACATTGGAGGCAGATAAAATACACGAGAGAAGTTCCACCATCAGCACCCCGAGTTGAAAGACATTCCTCTCAGCAACTATAATTGCTAAAAATCCAAGTCCCATAATGGGGTTTGCCTATGGAGATGGATACCTGTTTCCATCACCGAGAAAGGTAAAGAACACCGGCGCCCTCGGATCCTCGGTATCAATCACACTCCAGTTCACAGCCAGATTCCGAGGCATGCAAATAAAATTGGGAAACACAAAAGTACACACATGAAGAAAGCGGGATATTGTAGAAGGGGGGAGGTCGAAGTGGGTAGAATATGGAAGGGATGAGCTGTATTCCCACACTGTACTCGACATTTTCCATGGCAAACGAAAATATCAATCACATGGGGAATAACCACAAACCATGCTTGGTATGTGTAGTTGAAGCTATGGGAGAACGTTGAGAAGGACATTGAGTAGTGAAACCAGGCGTGATGCGCACAGTCATACAAGTCGAAATGGTGAGAAGCGCCTTCAACTCCTCTCCGCTGAATAAACCCCGAAAGACAATAAGAATGACATCTTACTAAGAGCCAATCTGATTTCGGGGCCCCCATGATGCGTTTCGCGATTGATGACGAGGGGAAGACGTTGGAGCATTGCTCTGCTGGGACGAAGAGGACTTCTTGTTCCAGGTAGATCCCCCGGATGCATCGCGCGGCTTGGGGCCCTTGCGAGCGTTTTTCGGATTAGACGAGTTGCGGTGACGGTTTTGACCAGGTTTTCTAGGCATGAGCACTGTCTGGCAGGTCTCTTGACCAGGGACTCGTACAGCCACACGAGTATTCCCGTGATTATCTCTTTCACCAGTTCCAAACCAGTAAGAATCAATGCTCTGCACCTGCATCGGCTTCAGCTGCTTAAAACGTGTTCGAGAGAGTGGAGGAGGGCCCGAGGCATGCCATGCGGCGGGCGGAGCCATGTTGGGGACTCGAACACCGGGCTGCGAGCCTGGCTCACGATCCTCAAAAATTGCTTCTGCCTCTGCCACCTGGCGCGCAGCAAGGTCTCCATCACCAGTCTGCACACTGACTTCAACCTCAACTTGGTTGGGGAAAGAAACAGACACTGCTGCGGCTGGCAGCTGAACATCAAGAGGCTCTTTCGTAGCAGAAGCGACAGCCAAGACGCTCTTCTTCTCCGGGGAAGTCTTCTTTCCAAATAGACCGTTGAACTTCTCTTGCCAGGAAATTGCAGCCGAACTAGGTACAGGAGTAGGGCTGGCCTGCGGGGGTGCCGCAGCCATAGAGGCAAACGTCCGTGGAGGTGCAGGCACAGCAACCACGGCCTTGGGTGGCAGCTTGACAACAGGCTTGGCAGGAGGGAAATGAACCAGTGGTCGGCCGGGTCCGTTAGAGTACACTGGATGAGAATATTCCTCTGGGGGGGGGAGGGGAGGGGCTTCGCTGCGCCTCAAGTTGCTCCACTGTTATACGCTTGGGCTGCTCGGACACATGAGGGAAGAATCTTGAGCTGCGGGCAGGCACATTTGTATGGGAACGCGCGTGGCTATCTGCGAACGAGAGGCCATCTGCAGGGGTCTCGAGGCTGTTCAAGGGATTCGAAGATGACGTAGCAGGCTTCAAAGTTTGGTTGTTATGTTGAACATCGACATTGCGCCTCACAGGCTCAATAACAGGTTCAAGAGCAGGCTCAATTGGGGGTTGAGTAGAAGCCTTAGGGTCATCCGTCGCAGGAGCTGCGGTCGTGCGTCTAACTCCATCATCACTAAGCACGACTTTCCTCCATAAATGGTTGATTGTCGAGGGTGGCTTAGCAGGCTGATCACGATTGGCATGCTGAATTTCCTGTCGCCTCTTTTGAGTCTCTTTGAATTGCTGGCGAAATTTGTCACCGGCTTCGCCCTCACGTTCCTTGGCAATGAGACCAAAGTTTTGCCAGGCGTTGACGCGGTCAGCCTGCCACTGAGGGGTTTGAGAGCTAGGTGGACCGATCGGACCAGGGCGGCCAATGGGACTCAGCGGGTCGTAAGAGACATGTCTAGTCTCAGGTGATGGCAAAGAAGGAATCGTGGCTGCTTCCTGAGGGGGGAAGGATGAAGCAGAAGGCATGGTGGGTTGATCGAGATTCAGCTGGCCGCGTAGGGGGAGTTCTCGGGAGGGGAAGCCACCAAGGCTTGGGTCAAAGATACCGTTTCCTAGGGTACGATCACTGCTCAAAGGCTTCCATAAGTTATTCACTGAGGGAGAGGTCGAAGGAAGGTTGGGGCCAGTCGACCAAGGAGCGTAGGAATTCGAAACGTTCAAATTTCCTCGCCGCTGGCCATCTTGGTCATCGACTTTGGGATCTTGAGGGCGAGGTTCAGTAGGTGGGTGATGGATGGAGGAAGGGGCAGTTGGGGGATGTGAAGAATCGTGGTGGGGGGAAACAGCACGACGCAAGTGAGGTGAAGTTTTGTCGGTTTGTTTTTCAGCAGCACGTTCCCTTTCATTAGCTGCGACAAGTTTCTTCACTGAATCCGGATGGTGAACTTTCATCATCCCATACTGCTTAGGTTCACCCGTAGGCTCCGGCACAGGGGGCTTGGGAGGTGAAGATACCACTGCAGCAGGAGATGTGTTTGACACCGGCGCCTGAGGCTTGCGACTCTCGATGCTATCCTTGCGTTTCTTATCTGGGGGAGGTCCCAATGCTGCAAGCTTCTGACGAATTCTTTCTTCTCTAGCTTGCTTTTCTTGCTCCTCCTGTTCTAGACGGCGCTGTCTAGCCTCCAATCGTTTTTCCTTCATAATGCGCTCTTGCAGAACAAGCGGGTCTTCCTGCGGCACTTCCGGTGCTACAATTGGAGCTGGCTGGTTCTCCACTGCCGAGGATTCACTAGCCATACTCAATGATGGTGGTGCAGGCAATCCTGCTCCAGCATGACGATTTGGTGAAGATTCACGGACTTGCCCCGGCTCACGACCCATTAGCGCTGGATCGGCCATACCATTTGCATGAGAGCCTCTCCGAGCATCATTGTATCGTGGGGGAGGCGCATCTCGGCTAAAGGACAAACGACGACCAAAGCTTCCACTTCCGCCACTCACATTCGACGAAGTGCGACGACGGTTCCAGCCCATACCATCCTGGTGACTTGATCGGTGTGTTTGGAATGCCGCTGACGGTTCCGCAGGTCCGGCGTGTTCGCCATGGCTAGGCCGCTGCAGCACAGCAGGAGGCCGAGGGCCCTGATCCTGCCGCCACGAAGGTTTTCTATTATCTGCCACAGGCTCGTAGCGACCAGATCGAGAGTTATAGAGCTCTCGAGGCGCCCCCGAAGTTGTCTCCCGCCAAGTGCGATTGAAATCATCGGCCGCAATCTCTTGGGGAGGAAATCCGCCATGATGACCATCTTCTCGGTGGGGGTAATTAGCGTGGCCGCCGCGGGGCTGCGATACTGGAGGCGGTTGCAAAGGCGGGTTCACTGGAGAAACCCTCTCCACAGGAGGCAGCGCTGCCCAGGGAGACTTAGCCGGCAGAGGTGCTGGACTCGTCGAGCCCGAAGGCATGCGGTCATTTGTTCCTCTAGATGAAATACTTGCGGCCTTGGCCTGCCGCTCAGCGCTAGCTCCAAGCCGGAGTACAGTTGGATTTGGTCCCACGGAGGTAGTTGGCTTCGGCGCAGCTATTCTAGGGGTCTCTTGCACCGCTATCTGCTCTGGAGGTGGCGCCTCCTTTGGCACTGGGACGCTTTCCTCTGGCGGCGGTGGATGGTCAGTATGAGTGAGTGTGACTTTGGTTCCATCCGTCCATTCAATTGTCTCGGGCGCCCAGTCATCTTCATCATCGTCGATATCCGCCCATTTCGATTCAGTCCCACCAGCATCCTCTTGGATTCTGGATGTCATGTGGATACCATATTGTTGTTTCAATTCTTCATCCGTCAAGTGCTTTTGTGGTGGCGGCTGAACAGCTATATTGACGATAGTCAGTATTTACGTGCTCATCTGTTCCGTCAATATGAACATACGTCGATTTTTGTTCCAGACTTGATTGGGGTCTGGGCCCGACCCGCCTGACTTCGCACCACCTGCACCGGTCTTGGAGGTGGAATCGCGCATTCCGCTGGTAGTCTTCGCAACCAAGCGCGGGCGTGAACTGGGTTGTGGTGTCCCAAGAGGAGTAGTAGAGGCAGAGGGAACTAAAACTCTTTGTTAATAACAGGCCATAGCAGAGAGCCATTATAAAAATACCTTTTTCAGGCGCTTTGGGAGGGGCAGGGACCCCCGGCGCTTTTGGCACAGTGAATTTCGTGAAAGACATTGGCTTGAATGTCGAAGGCTTCTTCACCGATCCTGTTTGCGTGTGATGTCTACCATCTGTCCGACTAGTATCCGACTCCGAACCACCTTGAGAAGCCGTATCGTCTCCGCCATCTGATGCCGAAGCTAGTCCATTCAGCTCGAGAGCTCTGGACGCAACTAGCCCAGCACCCTGCTTTGAAGCATCCTGCAACCAGTTCAGCTGATTATCCTCTTCTATTCCGTCAACGGTACCCACCATCGAAGAGCTCCCGGTATCCTTGTCACCTCCAGTCCGTTTGCCTTGAGATTCAGGCGTATCTCTCGTCACGTCGTTGGATTGTTGTTCAGATATTATTTGAGTTTCTGAAGTGGGTGCGATATTTTTGGTCTCCCCCGCGTCCTCTCCAGCAGAAGTCTTGTCGGTTGTGCTCGCAGGAACGTCGGAAGGCGAAGGCTCGCCGCCCGACAGGGTCTGATCTACCACATCGCGGCTGTTCTGCTCTGCCATAACAATGCTCGAGTCTGCGAAAGTTACAGAATGCAACATATGTCAGAGCTGGGTACTTTTAAACAAAGATTATAGTGGGATGGGATCATGCGACGCGAGAGGCAGCCGCGGATCAAGCTTGCATAGTAACGGGAAAGAGACAGGTCATACCTATTGTCAGGTTTCAAGAATCGCCACGGTTGAACTGCTCGCTTGGCTGGTTGCACCCTGGATGATCGGGGATTCCACAACCAGAAGAGGGAGTTGTGCGGGCCACCTCCCGGGGGTAGTTGGAGATTCGGTGACGGGGGTGGGTTGTGTTGCGTCGCTGATCGAGATGGCGCAAGTGGTAAAGGAGTCCACAACCCAGGAAGGTAATTTACCGAGGATAGGGAGGGAGGAAATCGAGGAGAGGGAGATGTGTCCAAGGGTGGATGATGAATACGAAGGTATTCAGGCTCGTTGAAGATGGGTCTCGGGTTTGAAGCTGAGAGTTGGCTGTTTTCGGTTAGCGCAGTCCCGGGACTGTTGTGAGAGGGCCTCAGTCATTTTCCAGCGCCCACCTTTTGATCATCAAACAGGTGAAAACAAGCTAAGAAAGAATACTTCTTTGAGAAGGCTTGGCTTGTTTAAATTCCTAAAGTTAAGAGTAGTATTCTGAGCGGTCGAGAGGGCGGCAGAGCAATTAGGAAATACGGAAGCATCGAGACATCCCGACAGGCCACAATCTACTTCGAATCATAGCAACCATACTCAGTGGGATGGGTTTTTTGATAGCTACGACAAAGCTATTCAATACGATCTGACAAATGATAATGAAACAAAATGAGATTCAATAGAGTCTCTAACTCCTACACACGTCCTTGCTCTGGGGGCTCAGAGGATGTATATACATCAATCCTCCTCCCATTTATTCAAAAGAAAACAAGTTTAGTGGGGGTGATTCTTGTGGTGGCCTGCGGAGGTAATCAGCACAACTGCAATTATCAAATGCGGTTCAGGTTAGGGCTTTCCAAGGTCACATACGGAGGTGGAAGTAGTACTCCATGCTGTAGCCCATAATCAGGATACCGGCAATGGCGTGAGCGAGGGCTATTCATGTCAGTAATCTTTGTTCTGACCATCACCATATTGCAAATACTTACGAGCACCAGAGTTCTTGTTGAAGAAACGAGCCTGGTAACGACCGAGGAGACCAGTGGCCTTGACCTGGGGAGCAGGACCACGGGGCAAACCGGCGTAGAAGTTCACCACGCGCTCCATGCGGGCGGCATCCTGAGCGGCACCGATAGCCTTGACAAATTTATTAGCGTTGATTCCGTATAGAAATGATGTTGTAATTTGTTGCTATTTCGCACGAGAAAAGCCTTCGGGAAGGGTCGGGGGCGGGAGGGGTGCCAGGTACGCTGGCTCTCAAGAACAGAAGAGTTCGGGTTACTCACGTTGGGGGAGGCGATCTATTAAAGTAGTTAGTATCATAAGGATAAATCTAGTGGCTATAAGCTATCAATTCAAGTGTGCATACCTTGGGAGGGATCAGGGTCGAAAGACCACGGCGGGCGATGTAGCTCATCTTGTCTGGACTGAATGTGGTCAGAGATTGGTCGCATTGAACAGTAATGGTGTCGGTGGGTTCGAAAAGGCCCAAAAAGGGGACTCACGGTAGTTCGCAGCGCAAGTGAACAAGGAACGACTGATGATGCAGGAGGAAGAGAACCTTTGGCCGGGAAGCGGGTGGTCGGATGAAGCCAAGCGCGCTAAACCATTTTGGGTGGCGCCGTGACCTGCACTCGGTCTGCGATTAACCTCACAATCGTTGTGTCGACTCTCTCTCCACTCCCCACTCTCCCACATTCACCATGTCGCTCTTCAGAATTGGAGGGGCTGCTGGCCTTCGAAGCACCCGTCTGCTTGTTCCTGCCAATGTCCGCTTCGCCTCCAATGTCGGCCAAGGAACTCCTGCCGTCAAGACCAATGCCTCAGAGGCTCCCACCACGACTCACAGCGGTAGCTCTTTGATCAACAAGGAGAACCCTTCCGAGGCTATGACTCGTCACCAGCCTGATTATGAGGCCACAATTGACCACGCAACCTCGTGCGCCATCCCTAGAATCGGTCTCTTTCGTGAATGCTCTCTCGCTAATCTTTTCTCCACAATATAGACTATTCTCCCCGGTTCCCAAGCGTGTCATGGATGGCAGTGAACCTGGTGACACTCTGCCCGCCGCTGTTCTCTCTGGCGCCCCGACCGATCTTCAGGCACGGACTGTCAGGTACTATGCCAACTCTTCAAAACCACAGTACCCGAACAACTCTGCTAACGCCATTCCTTCACAGAATCTTCCGCCCCGCAAAGCCGGCTACTCAATCCGGTGCCTGGCACTCACACCACTGGCGCATGGACTGGGACATCCTGCAGAAGGGTCACCGTTGGGAGAACCCTCTGATGGGATGGCAGTCATCTGCGGATAGCATGCAAGGAACCAACATCAAGTTCAAGTCGAAGGAGGATGCGATCGCCTTTGCCCAGAAGCAAGGCTACGAGTACTTCGTCCAGGAGCCCAATGAGCGCCGCGTCACTCCCAAGGCTTATGCGAACAACTTCGTTTTCGAGCCCAGGAAGCTCAAGCACATCAAGACCAAATGAGTGCTGTCTTTGGTATTATGTACATATAAATGCAGGTTTTCCTTTCAATCAATTTTTCATACCACGGAACTGTGTCTTCAAATTCTGCTAAGCGGCCCGCAATTGCTGCAACAGGACTGTTTTCCCCTGAATGTCGCAAGATTTTCTGGTGGCTATTTTGAGAGGCCCACGCCCTTGGGCAGCCTTCATGTCACACCTTTTTTCAAAATCTACATCAATTATTGACAACTGGATAATGGCCCGGCAGCCCTTTTTGTATTCATAGATATCTCATAAATGGAGACTAACGGGGAGGACAGCAATTGAGATTCCTTGTGCTCTGTTGGCCATTGAATATCCGACACAATCCGATGCGTCAATGAAACATTCTAAGTTCAATTCAGATTTCTTAGTATCTTCTATTCCTGTTAAATTCTTGGTTGATGGGAAAGTACAGTATTCAACCGCGAAATCTCAAACGGCCACATGGTTTTGATTTCCGAGTCTAGCAGGATCCTCCGCTCTATCCCACGTTTTTCTCACCCGAGGCGCTGGAATTCAGTCAATGATGCGCTCACTAATATTATGACCTATAATAAGAAAGTTGTCACGAAGAATAACCATTGTATGTGGGGATGTTTGGTCGATGACGGCATCGTTCCATTACTATCGTCCAACCTATATATTTAAGTTCGTCCCCACCTCTTCTCTTCGTCGATGGACAGCTGTATTCAAAAATAATTGATCAAATCAATGATTTAATTTTATCGAATTCATTGTGAACTTAACAGACATCATGGCTGACAGTGAGTACATGCAGACATTGCGCATATATGCCGTTAGACTGATAATCCACAGAGCAAACTGGCCCTATCCATGAACACGAGAGCTTCTTCGACAGGATCCTTCATCGCCACAAGAACGAGGACAAGCACGAACAAGAACATGAGCATGAAGCCAAGGATCCTTCTAATGGTCAAAAAGAGGGTGAAATGGACAAGATGAAGGACCGCATGAAGAAGGATAATGCCAAGTTCAAGGATTACATGCAGAAGGAAGGAGAGCTGGAAGCTCAGGGCGAAACATACGATCATCTGATGTAGATTATTTTAGGCCTCGGGATTTAAGGTGGAACGAATGCGTGGCGGGTTTGGACTGTTATTGTGACAGCCCTGGTTGCAGGACATATAATCTATTTAGGAAGGAAGCCCATGTTTCAAGCACAAGAAACGAGCCACTTTGACCTGTTCGATTGTTACACCAGGCGCAGCTTATATTGAAAATGCTCTACATGGGGAATTTCTTCACGTTTGACGTAGGGCATCATTAGCACTAGGGTCGCGTACCTATTTGTATACTGGGAGAAAAAGACAGGCTTATTGAGAACCTTGGGATAGGCCGATAAGAATCCATAGAAAGACATTCCTAATTTTGCAGCTCCCGAGTAAAAGCTTCCTCATTGGGATACTATTTGGCTGTTTTGCAGAGTACCTGACTAGCCATAATGAATGTTCACTCTAAACGTGAGGTTCCCCATGTTACCGGAGAAGATAGCCCTGGGATGTATATTCCCGGTCTTGGCAGTACAGACATGCGTTCGAAGACTAGCAGGCACGGGAACTCAGATTTTTCTTCATTGGATCGTACATATGGTGATGCCTACCAAAGTACCTAACAATTGATTCCAATGCCCCCTCACAAATACAAATTAACTACGCAGGGCCGACTTGAGTAGAATATGAAAAAGACATAGTAAGTAGAATTTGCGCGGATCAATCAGACCCGAATCGTCGCAGCCCCGCCACCCCACCCTAAAAATTAATCATGATAAGATCTCAAAGATTGTCCCTCCAACATTTTCACCCACAGATTTTTAAAATATCTATTGAAGCACCACCATTCACAATGGCACCTTCTGCAACGGACATCGAGAACATCGACGAGACTGTTTTAACCCTCCGCAAGGTCCTCGTCTCCGAATCCGAACCCCTCGCTCGGCGCTTCCGTGCGCTTTTCTCTCTTAAGCACCTGGCCTGCCTGCAGCCTGCTACCGAAAAGACCCTCCCCGCTATCCAAGCGATTGCCGCCGCTTTCGCGTCTCGCTCTGCCCTCCTTAAACACGAGCTTGCATACTGCTTGGGCCAAACTCAGAACCGCGACTCTGTCTCGTACCTGCAGCACGTTGTGAAGGATGTTGAGGAAGATGCGATGTGTCGCCACGAGGCCGCTGAGGCCCTTGGTGCCTTGGGATACCCCGAAAGCTTGGACCTTCTGAAGAAGCTGCGAGACGATGAGAATGAATTGGAAATCATCCGCGAGACCTGTGATATCGCAGTCGACCGCATTCTGTGGGAGAACTCCGAGGAGAAGAAGGCGGAGAAACTCAAGGCCAGGTATGATTGCCATGGCTCAGATTACGGTCTATTCGGGATAATCTTTCAAGGTTTGCTAATTTTGTCCATTTTGCAGTGACTTCACCTCTATCGACCCTGCTCCCCCCATGCCTCTGCAAACCAACGAGCCCTCGATCCCCGACTTGGAGAAGACATTGCTGGATACAAAGCTTCCTCTCTTCCAAAGATACCGGGCTATGTTTGGCCTTCGTGACCTTGCTTCTCCCCCAGATCTCCCTACAGCAGTCGGCGCCGTGAACGCGCTGGCCAAGGGTCTCAAGGACCCCTCTGCTCTTTTCCGCCATGAAGTCGCCTTCGTTTTCGGACAGCTCTGCCACCCCGCCTCCATTCCTTGCCTTACAGAATGTCTCGGCGACCTGCAAGAGGTTGGTATGGTACGACACGAGGCTGCCGAGGCGCTTGGAAGCCTTGGTGACGAGGAGGGTGTGGAGGACACCCTGAAGAAGTTCCTGAATGACCCCGAGCAAGTGGTGCGGGATAGTGTGATTGTGGCGCTTGACATGGCAGAATTTGAGAAGAGTGGCCAGGTTGAATATGCGCTGGTGCCCGATGGAAATGCCACTGCAGTTCCTGCGGCATGAGGGAACTTGGGAAGGATGGAATAAAAAAAAGTCGTCACGTCGTTATTTTGATACTCTTATCGCGCTCTGTTATACAGCCAAAACATAGACTCTTTTCACGTTTGTACAGCCTCTCTTGTCCTTGCTTAGTTGTTCTCGGTCTCCCTGCAAAGGGTTAGTACCTAGTAGTGATCTTGCGATGGAGATAGAGTTGACATACTTGTGACCACACACACACCGATAGAACACGGTACTTCCCTCATCAGCACTACGCAGTTGAACGGTGGTGAAGAACATCTCTTTCCTTCCACACTTCGCACATTGTTTTTCAACAATGGCCTCGGTCTTTCGATCATCAGCAGAAAGCTCTTGAACGGCAGAGCGCTTAGCTCTTAGGGCTGAGGGGAATGCCGAAGGTTTGGATTCCGAGACGATGGTTTGCGGGATTGTGTCTATGAGCAAATTAGAGATACGAGTTTAGAGCAAAACTGTTTTCCGGAGAGCCCAATCGAACCACTTACCGTTGTTCCGAGTTCCGCAGACAGTGCAGTGCAGAATCGCATTGGCATCGCCGGTAGACTCGCGCAGCAGATTGCCACAATCCGTGCAGAAAATCAAGGATCCAATGACAGACATAATGGATGATATAGCGAGATTGGCTCAAGGGGCAGCTGTGAAAACCTTTCAACTTCAGTTTTGCAGAGCCTAGGTCTGATCAAGATGCCGTGCGGTATGGACTTTTTTTTCTAAATGCACGGACCACCGCGATACCCGCGCAGGCGGTCGCGGAAGGCAGTACAAGATGCTGGATGAAATGATGAACGAATGCATGATCATCGGGAGCTTCTCTCCGTCCTTTCTGTGTCCGAACAACACCCTTGGAAGCCTGCAAAGCATGCTGTAGATGTGCTTTCCACCTGCCATGACTCTGCCCCGAGCAGGCCTTTCCTCCCGTGACTAGCGCCTTTCTTTTTCGGGTTTCCGATAATCGTCCATCATGGAACAGAATGGGCCCGCCGTGCAGGTCATCATTAACGGCCATCCTCAGTCGCAGCAGGCCCATACACCGAATATGTCACTGTCGAACCGATCCCGACCGCTCTCGGTGGATGAGGCGCTGCAGTACTCTTCTATGTCTAGCGCGCCTGTTTTTGGTATTGGTCTGTCAACCTTAGAGCCCAACCCCCAGAACAATTGGCCCAGAGATTCAAGATCTAATTAAGCAATGCGACTTTTAGATTGCATTGTACGTCCTGATGTTGGCCGACCATCAACCACTACCTCGATCAACCATGTCCTTCAAGCGGGCCGCAATACACTGAGTGAGCTGGATGCGGAGATTCAGTCCGGACAGGATGAGTCCAGTCGCCTGGAAACATCTCGTGAATACCTTCAGCAATTGCTAGATGGGGACCAACTGACTGAATTGTAAGAGTGACCCTTCACCTTTCGCTCACCTTTTCTTTGACTAAGGGAAACTATCCAGCAAATTCAAGGTCCCGTCTGCCCTCAGTCGCCGTCAACCCTCGCAATCGGCTACCCCCGATGACCCTCCCTTTGGTCGCAATCAACTTGGTTCCTTTGCCAAAATGATGCTCGACTCTACAGATATAGCCTTTCGATGTGAGAGAAAGCTCAGCACGGGGATACTTTCTGCACAGTTCGCTAATAAAATAGCAGACCCTGAAGTATCGTCTCCAACGACTGCCCCTACAATTACTCCCAAAGAGACGTCAAAGGTCAGACCAAAGGTCACAGAAAAAGTCAAGCCAGAGCAGAAGGAGGCCATGAAGAGCACCGCTGCCGCATGGAACCAGCAGGCATTCGTAGCGAACAAGTCAATTTCCACCTTAAACCAACTTACTCCACCTACACAACCTCCTCAACCGATTCAACGCTCATCCAGCCAATTGTCCGTGGTAATACCAGTCAAACCATCGCCTTCCAAATCCACATTTTCCAAGCAGGGTCAGGAAGTGAACCGGCCAAGGCCGCAGGTTGCTAGAGACCCTGAGGAATCAATGAGTGCGATTCGCCTCAGAGACCAAAAAGCGGAGGCCGATGATGCTCTGTTGAAGCTGCAGGATCTTCTCAATGAAACATTTGAAGCAGAAGACGAGATCGAACCTGAACAAGCAATCGTTCCATCTGCCGACAGACCCAATCCGATTTTCGTGAACGCAAGATCATTAGATGTACATGGTGCACTATTGTCCAATGACGCCCATAACCGCCTGCAAAAGGCCATCCGAAAAGTGGTTGGATTTGATCGATTGCAAGACATTCCATCGGATTACCTCACTCGGATACAAAAGCTTTGTGAAAAACCCATCATTGCTTCTCAAGCGCCAGACTTGAGACTCAACGACTCAACCAATGAAGCAGAGGTACATCAGTGGATGGCAAAGATTGAGGATATTCTAAATGCTTTGCTTGCGATTGGAACTCTCTTGCAGACAATGTCGGGGCGTCGGACGGAGCGGGATCTCTGCCCAGAAGATCTTATTGAGGCTATCCCGACTGTTCTGAACCAAGTCTTTGATCATTGCATTATTCCTGCTGTGGAGTCTCGCCCTGGCGGCAAAGACAGTGAATTGTTCTCAATTTTCTCGAGCCAGAAGCGTATCATTGCAAGCTTGATACACCAAGGCAAGAAGGCTCTGACTCTTTTCGCGGATTTCTTATCACGCATCGATGTCTCTGAAGGGACAATCACTGCGGCTGAGTTCTTTGCGACCAAGCTAATTTTTGTTGAGAATGCGCACAACGACAAGGACTCTGCGGTTGGGTTCCAAAAATACGAGCCAGCCAGACGTGCCGTAATGGACGTGCTTGCAAAAATCTTCTCCAAATACCCGGACCAGCGACCCTTCATTCTGGATGAAATATTGATCTCATTGGAGAAGCTTCCTTCCACACGTCAGAGTGCCAGACAATTCAAACTTGCAGACGGCAAGAATATCCAGCTTCTCACTGCACTGGTGCTCCAGCTCGTTCAGACAACTGCCCTAGAAACTCCTTCACGATCCAAAGCCAAACGTCGATTTCAAGGCGGCGACGATGATGAATTGATGGGTGATGGCGACGATATACAAAAACTGAAACATAACGACGATCAGGATGAGGACGAATTGGACGAATCTTTGGAACGTCTAGCGACCAAGGTCAACCGACTATATGACAATGCAGTGCGCAGTGCGCAGTACATTGTAAAGTTCATAGTCCAGCGAGCAATGACCTCCACCAAGAGCGGCGACCAGCCATTCCGAAACATTCTCGATTTGTTCACTGAAGACTTGATTAACGTCCTTGGATCTACCGATTGGCCCGCTGCTGAGCTGCTCCTTCGAATCATGGCATCGCACATGGTTGGTATTGCAGATCTTGACAAGAGTCCAGCAACAGCAAAGAGCATGGCCCTTGAGCTTCTGGGGTGGATGGGGTCCGCAATCTCCGATTTGATTGCCACTGCACAACACATGCTCCCTGCCTTGGAGGACTCTGAAGATAGCGATCTTACCGACTTCCTCAAGCAGCAATTCGAGGAGTCCTCTTCCCGAGCGTTGCATCCACAGGATTTAATCACATCTCGAGGCCCATACAGGATGGCCTTGGAATATCTGTCGCAAGACCGAAACTCCGACAATTGGCAATTGACCAGCGCACGAGGTTACTATCTTGCTCAATGGGCAAAGACAGTCTGCACACTCTATTATAACCCTGAAGACAAAGAGGAGTTGGCGCACGAAGACTTGACGGATGAACTAGTGATTCTTCTCTCAAGATCGTTCTCTGACCCACGGTGGCTGGAGACTCACAGGCAATTTGACACCATTTCCAATGCCCACGGGCGCTTCGCTTACATTCTAACCGTTCTAAACTCGAGTTTCGGCAAGGCTTTTGACACCATTCTCAAAGTTTTGTTGAACTCCATTGCTAGTGAGCAGGCCAAAGTCCGCAGTCGGAGTCTGAAGAGTGTCATCTACATGCTCGAGAAAGACCCCAACCTTCTCGACAGAGATGCTTCGGTTATGCGAGTGATTCTGCGTTGCACTACTGATGCTTCACCTATGGTTCGAGATTCTGCGTTATCTCTTATTGCCAAATGCATTGGGCTCAAATCAAAGCTCGAAGAAGAAGGCTGTCGCTGTATTCTTGCGTGCGCAACTGATCAGACAGCTGGTGTTCGTAAACGGTGCATTGGGCTGCTGAAAGAACTTTACCACAAAACCTCTCGACAGGATCTGAAATTAGCCATTCTTGATAGCTTTCTTCAACGTACTGGTGACTTGGAGGAAAGCGTGGCAACCTTAGCTCGGCAGACATTCGAGGAAATCTGGCTGGTTCCATTCCACGAGTTTATTAACTCGACATCTGATGCCCCGAAACTCAAGATGGCACTCGGAGAGCAAGTTGGGCTTGTTGTTAGTCTCGTCCAGCGTAGCGAGACTGCCCTTGATTCATTGAGCACTTGTCTCAAAGCCGTTCTTTCAGACAAATCCAAGTCGGCAGATATGAATTTCAAGGTGTGCAAAACCATGGTTTCCATCATGTTCCAACGCCTCGTTGAGGATGCAGATGCGCTTGGCAAAGACTCACAACAGGCGCTTTTGCAAACGATTACCGTGTTTGCCAAGTCTAACGCAAAGTTGTTCAGCTCAGATCAACTGGAAGCTTTGCACCCCTATATTGGCCACCTTGCAACCGCGGATGATCTTTTCATCTTCCGGTCAGTTGTGGTCATTTATCGCTGTGTCTTGCCTTACATGTCCACATCCCACAATACTCTCTTGAAAGAGGTGCAAAATGACCTCTTTAAGAGCGTGGCCAAGTTGGCTCGCTCAGAGCTAAACGAGGTCATGGCGTGTCTTTGGACTATCAATAGTGTTCTGCAGAACACTGACAGGCTCGTCAAGTTGACCGTGTCTGTGCTCAAGCCATTGCAGCAATACAAGAGCGTCGATGTGGGTTCGGCTGCCAATGCTGCTATCCTGGCTCGTGCGAAGAGCTATATTCGAATTGCTGGCTGCGTTGGACGCCATTGTGATTTAGAAAGATATGTCAATCATTTCAAGAACTCATTCCCTACGTGGAACGGTGGAGCCGTGGCTGGTTTGATGGTTGACTCTATTCTTCCCTTCACCTATCATAATCAACCCTTGGAGCTAAGAGTCATGGCTCTTGAGAGCCTTGGTTCCATTTGCCAATCTTGGCCAGCACAGTTCGGCCGTGAACCTACGCGCAAGACTTTTGCTCAGGTATTCAAGGAAGATAGCCCGAGCTTGCAGAATATTGTACTTCGGTCATTTGCAGACTTTTTCGCCATTCACGAAGGAAAGTCCGAAAAGTCGGTCATGCCGGCCTCAGATATTGGCTCTCAAGAGGACTCTACTCGACTTGGAGGATCGCTCAAGGCTAACGATAATGATGGTGCTGCTGCCCTGATCGCCCAGCATTTTCTCAAGAATATGCTGAAGATTGCACAGTCAAGACAGGACACTTATTCCCTCACTGCCATTGAACTCATTGCAAGCATCAACCGACAAGGCTTGGTACACCCTAAGGAATGCGCTGGTGTTCTTGTTTCTCTTGAGACGTCGACTATACCCACCATTGCTAAGATCGCATTCGACACCCACAAGATGCTCCATTCGCAGTATGAATCAATGTTCGAGCGAGAGTACATGCGCGCCGTGCAAGAGGCCTTTTACTACCAACGAGATGTTGTCGGTGATTCCACAGGTGCATATGCTCGGCCTTACGTCTCAAAGCTTGCTCCGCTTTTTGAAATCGTTAAGATCAGCAATAGCCGTTACCAGAAGAAGTTCCTCTCCAACCTTTGCGGCAAGGTCAACTTTGAATTAAAGAAACTGAACTCCAATGGAGATCCACCAGAACATCTCCTACTGACAAGATTCATCGCTCAAAATCTTGCTCACTTTGATTATGGCCAGTTAGCTGAACTGGTACCCACAATTCTGGTCCTAGAACGTATAGTCTCGTCGACCGGCACTGTTGTTGCCCATGCCATCGAAACAGACATTTTCCCCAGCCCTATTGGTCCTCCTATGATCGAGACGCCAGACGGCATGATGGGGATGGCCCCTCCCGTGTCAATGCTCTCCGCCATACCGCGGCCCGTCAATCCTTCTGCGTTGCGATCGCTTGCTACAGCTGCTGCGTCACTTTCCATGCTGTGGGAAGCACGGACTTTCTTACGCCGCCTCTATGGAGTTCATTCCCATGGTAAAGACGGAAAACCCGTGACCAAGGAGCTTAACAAGACCGCTTCAAAGGTGCACGGTGTGACTGGTGACAAGTTCTGGGAGGCCATTGCCAGAAACATGACCTCACTAGATAGCGAGGATGCCATGCTAAGAAAATGCCGAGAGTTCTCTACTTTACTCGCCATAGACGAGGAATTCAAGGTGGACCGAGATGATGACGCCGAAGGAGATCTCGATGCCATGGGGGAGTTTGACGACATGGACGGTGTCGCTTCTGGGCCTCGTCCTATGAAACGAAAAAGCTCTGTCTCAAGCACGAGCATCAGCAAGCGCCCAAAGAGCCGCATAGGCTCTGTTGGGAAGAAACGATCCAGTACTGATCCCGACGATTGGGACTAGTGGATCAACGAACAAAGAATCGGTACGAATCCCTCACTATTTAGACGACTATTTTTCATTTGCATATCAGGCGAGGGCGGCGTTGATTCTTAACTCGTGGCACCGTATGTTCACGGAGAACGGATGTTTTTTTTTTCTTTTCTTTTCATCCTTCGATCAAGACTAGGGAGGTTATGATACAGGCCATATTTCTGCATGCGAGCGCGGCGCTTACCTGGGGGCGGATGGTTTTCTCTTGACGCTTAGCTATTACCCCTGTTTCATGAGTAAATAATAGAAATCATATCTTACATATGTAGCCTTGACCATTTTCAGTCCTGTTTTGTGCCATAAATATACACCGAGTGAAGCCAATTTTGGTTGCGCGTGCCGAATGCCGGCTCCACGTGACCGTGGAATGACGTCGGAGCGCAAGCTAAACTGGGTAGCCGGATGACTTGTTACCAAACCTTTCTACTTCCATTAACTATCTTTGGGGGTTTTCTTTCGTTCTTGCATTTCTCAGTCTTTTTGCAGCTTAGTCTGTTTTGCCTGCTCCAGGAGCGGGCGATGAACAATTTGGCTTCTCTTGGCTACATTTGATCTGCACTGCTTGAGCTTTCCCCATCATGAGCGCGGCGTTGCTCCGGAGTCGTGCGGACGGTCCCGCGCTGCGGTCAATTGGGCTCTTATCGGCTCGATTGAACAGCACCAGGGGACTTTTAGCTCCCAGGCTCCCTCTCACACGTTCATTGAATACCGTGCCTCGCCGCCCGTTGCCACGACATGCTTTCGGTTCAGCCTTGCAAGCGTCAATCGCAATTCGATTCAAGTCCGATAACGTAGCTGGAAAAGCTGCGCCCTCCAAACAATCTCGCATTTTGAAAGTTATTGGCAAGACATTTTCATATTGCGGTATTGTTTTTGCTGGCGCGACAATATGGGTCATCGGGTTCTTTATCTACGATGCTAGTACATACCGTGAATGCCCCAGTGCGGTGGATATCCCTGTATCGGAGTTAGCGTTGAACCCCCGCCATGGAGGCCCGAAGAATTTGCCTATTGCGGACTTCCTCGTTGGAGATTATGACTCTGAGTCAATGCTCGAGCAGAAGGACAAGCCTCGCTTGGTGATTTTGGGCACTGGCTGGGGTAGCATTGCGTTGCTGAAGAACCTGAACCCTGGCGACTACCATGTCACAGTTGTTTCCCCCACGAACTACTTCCTGTTTACCCCCATGTTGCCCTCTGCTACGGTGGGCACTCTGGGTCTCCGCTCGCTCGTGGAACCGGTTCGCCGTATTGTTGATCGTGTTCACGGTCATTTCTTGAAGGCCGAGGCTACAGATGTCGATTTCTCAGAGAAGTTGGTAGAGGTCTCACAGGTCGACCAGGATGGAAATTCGAGGAGCTTCTATCTCCCATACGATAAGCTCGTCGTTGGTGTTGGTACGTTCGATTTCCTAGTGTTGTTCTCGAGCAGTATGCGATGTAGCTACCACAATTCTCTTGAGGCTTACAATTCTTCTTCACAGGCTGCATCACAAACCCCCATGGTGTCAAGGGTCTGGAGAATTGCAACTTTTTGAAAACGATTGACGATGCTCGCCGGATCAAGAACCAGGTCCTGGACAATATGGAATTAGCCTGTCTGCCCACCACTTCCGATGAAGAACGCAGGCGTCTTCTGTCCTTTGTGGTATGTGGTGGAGGCCCGACTGGAGTTGAGTTTGCTGCCGAATTATTTGATCTGCTCAATGAGGATCTGCTGCATTCATTCCCCAAAATTGTTCGGAATGAAATCTCTGTGCATATCATCCAGAGCCGCAGTCATATTCTGAACACTTACGATGAAGCACTCTCGAAATATGCCGAGGTAACTTCCATCAACACTGTAGATGAGGTGTATGAAAACAATACTGATAATATATAGGGTCGCTTCGATCGTGACGGTGTTGAGGTGCTGACTGGTGCCCGTGTCAAGGAGGTCAAGAATGACCGAGTCCTTTTCAGTCAGATGGAAGATGGCAAAGAGATTATAAAGGAAATCCCTACCGCATTTTGTTTGTGGTCTACCGGAGTCGGTAAGTTCCACCAGTATCACAACCTTTACCAAAGCACACTACTAACATATCTATTAAAGCTCGCGCAAAAATATGCGAAACTCTGTGTGCTAAACTTGACGGCCAAAATAACAAACACGCCATCGAGACTGATTCCCATCTCCGTGTAATTGGTACACCCTTGGGAGACGTCTACGCCATCGGCGATTGCTCTACTGTCCAAAACAACGTTGCCGAGAACATCATCCGCTTCCTCCGCACCATCGCCTGGGAGAAAGGTCTTGACCCAGAGAAGGTTCACCTAACCTTCCACGAGTGGCGTGATGTCGCGAACAGAGTGAAGAAGCGCTTCCCGCAAGCCTCAAGCCATCTCCGCCGTCTGGATAAACTTTTCGAGCAATACGACGAGGACCACTCAGGAACCCTCGACTATGGCGAGCTCTCCGAGCTTCTTCACCAAATCGACACGAAACTCACTTCCCTCCCTGCCACTGCCCAGCGCGCTAACCAGCAGGGTGCCTACCTGGGCCGCAAGTTGACAAAGATCGCCTCGGCCCTTCCCGGTCTGAAGGCTAACGAGATTGATTATGGTGACCTTGACGAGGCCGTCTACCGTGCTTTCAAGTACAAGCACCTGGGCAGTCTTGCGTACATCAGTAACGCTGCCATCTTCGACTTTGGTGGACTGAGCTTCAGTGGTGGTGTCGTTACTATGTATCTGTGGCGGAGTATTTACTTCGCTCAGAGTGTCAGTTTCCGTACCCGTTGTATGCTGGCCATGGACTGGGCTAAGCGTGCGCTCTTTGGAAGAGGTATTTTCCTGTCTCAAAAACACATCTTTGACCTTTTCGGATAACTGACCGTTTTTCTCTTTTTGCTTTAGATCTCATGAGCTTTTAAGAAGCTCTCGGAATTCTCATGACTCGAAATCTACATACATACCCTGACCTTGATCTGGATCAAGATCTGCCCTAATACTTTTAACATATCCAAATGTGACCATAGAGTATTCATGTTCTAGGTTTTTCGACAGCTTAGATAAGTGATTGAGCGTTCTGCTATTGTTTAAGGTCTTGCATTCCATTTCAAAGTCGGTGGGTGGTGGCTCCATGTTTAATGGGGATGTGTAGGAGTTGTATAATTTCATTTGCTCCCTTTTATGTTTCGATATTTTTCTTCGTCTTTGGTTTAGTCTTGCTCTTGAAATACCCTGAAGGAGTCCACTTGGCATTAAGTGTATGTGTCTGCGAGGCCCGAGCTGATTTGGATGACCTAAGGGGATCCATGGAGATAAATAACATACATTTCAAGCATGTATAGAGTTTGCTTACGGAATACTATTTCCTAGTCCAGAAGTGGAAAGTATTCAAAATAACATGCAGATGCATAGAGCTTGTATTGTATTGAATTGTTGAAACAAAGGCCTGTTCCCTAAACACCATTGAAACATGCCCATGTTGGTACACCGAGGCGCCATGCTAAAAAATAAATAAATAAAAAGAAACAGCCCGAGAATATTCTTAAAATGTGCAGCAGAATCATGAAACCATAGGAGTATCGCCGTTGTTGGCCATGATAGTATCAGTGGCACCATTCTGGGCAGCGTAGGGATCGTTACTGTTACTGTTGAGGCTACTGTTGTCATGGCTGTCGCTAACGAGGCCGATATCCAGCTTGTCAGGAATATCCTTCTTGGCGGCACGGGCCTTTGTCTCTGCGAACGCACGGAGTTTCACCAGTCTGCGTAGACGGGCCTCTTTTTCAGCACCTTGGTCATGGAGAATAGCCTCGTTAACGCGCGTGGCGATGTCTTTACGAAGGCTTGGGTCTAGAAGGGAGGCGAGAGAGGGTGACAGGTTGTCGCTGGGAAATATCAAGAGCGCGAGAGTGCGCTCGAGGTCCTCGAGAAAGTCGGGCCGGGTTGTCGCACGGGGTGCTAGCTGCGATGTTGCAAAATCCAAGGCCGGACTGATATCACCATTCGGAGTAGACGTGCAAGTTCGAATTAGTTCAACCAGCTGCAGACGCAGCAGAGCAAAGTGCAAAGGTGGCTCGCTATCAAGAATCTATTCAATCTTGTTAGCCATGGTCCAAAAATGGCATGTGTTTTTAAAGATAGATGAATGTGATGAATGCTGTTCATACTGAGGACTGAAGATGTTTAACTATCCGCAACTCCCCGAAGGGTGTTCTAGGAGTGGTGCATGAAACTGTTGATAATCATAACAGCAGGGGGAGGGGAGGGATGTGAATTTTGAATGCGGCAATATGGGACTGTTCTTACCTGAGGGTTAAGATCATTGATCTTCTCAATCGCCAACTGAATATTTCCAGAGTGAATGGCGGTTCGGATTTCCACCCGTTCCTGAATACATTCCAAATCTGGTCTGCGTTGGATATTGGCCTCGATTGCAAACTTCTTTGCAGCAGCGGGATATCCATTGGTGATGAGATAGTCCATGACCAGGTAATTGATGTCACTGAAGCTTGTCGTTAGCCACGGTCCACAACAAAGCGAAGTTGAGCAAAGGATAGTTGTAATAAGTGATTCAGATTACAAGTCAACACATTCTCCTCATGTATTTTCGGAGAGATTCCCAACTTGGTTTTCAAGATGCATCATATCACAGCGTAGGGCCAAAGGAATAAAATGGGGAACGCTGGAAAGGGGAAGGTGAACTCACGTTTTGGATGGCTTCACCTCGTCGACCTTCCGCTCGAACTGGTGCCAGGTCGGCGTGGTCGTCGAGGGAGTACGAGACATCTGTGCGGTGTTAAAAACTCGGCTACCAGGGCTGTCAAGACAGCAGAACGCATACGAGATTAGCAGATGACATGACGCAAGCTGTGCCACATAAGAGCTTCGAAGCTATCCGTCAAGTTCTGAGGGCGACCCGAGAGACGACGGCCATGGAGTAAAGGCAGAACGCTGGAAGGGGGTAAATGAGGAAGAGATTTTTCCAATGCCCATGTAGAGAGAAAAGGAAAAGAAACGGAAGAAGAAAGCAAAAAGCGGAAAGAAATAATGCTAGCCCCGCTTATGTAACCCACGAAGCGAAGGTCACGCGCTAAGCCCAATCGATCATTGAGTTGGAGATAAACCGAAAACGACATACACACTTCGGATCTTGATAAGTACATGGTGGAGGAGCTTAGAGATCATGGAGTCCACCTCACCTTTTCATTCGCTCACTCCCGAGGTGAAGTACTCTCCGCCATGGCAGGACCTGAGCATCATCGGCATCGCAGGTAGCTCTGGGTCCGGCAAGACCTCGGTGGCCGTTGAGATCGTCAAGTCGCTAAACCTTCCCTGGGTCGTCATTCTAGTCATGGTATGAACCCCCAACAGCTATCCTATAATAGGTTTTCAGTCTAATATACGGTCGGAATAGGACTCTTTCTACAAGACTTTGACTCCTGAGGAGCACCGCAAAGCCCATCAAAATGAATATGATTTTGATTGTCCAGACTCAATCGATTTTGATCTTTTGGTGGAAACTCTCAAGGATCTAAAGAAGGGGTAAATCATACAGTTGTGTGAATTTATATTTAATTTGCTTTGGTCTGACTGATCAAAATAATAGAAAGAAAAGCCACATCCCAGTCTACTCCTTCGCCGATCATCAGCGTCAGGCTCAGACCACCACTCTGTATTCGCCTCGAGTGTTGATTCTTGAGGGTATTTTGGCACTACATGACCCCAGAATTGTGGACCTTTTAGATGTCAAAGTAAGTTTGCTAGCTACTACTTGTCTATCATTCTTGCAGAGAGATATAGTTGCTAATATCAAATGCAGATCTTCGTTGAGGCTGACATGGACGTCTGCTTGGGCCGTCGGCGTGAGTCAATTCTGCTCGTATGACAGGGCCATTCTAAACCATCATTATATAGTACTTCGGGATGTTAAGGAAAGAGGTCGGGATATTGAAGGCATTGTCAAACAATGGTTTACCTTTGTCAAACCGTCCTACACTAGATTTGTTGCGCCTCAGCGGGGGATTTCCGGTAAGTACTCATTTAGTATTTGCTTGAAAACTTTGACGCGATACCTAACTTCGTTAGACATCATCATTCCCCGTGGAATAGAGAATCTAACGGCTATCGGTAAGGACCTCTGGAGCTGTGTTCAAGCTCTTGATCCTGATCGTCTACAGATATGGTTGTTAAACACATTCAACGCAAGCTTCAAGAGAAGTCTGAAGCGCACACTGAAGAACTCCACAGGCTCGGGCTCATCGCTGCCAAAGTAGAACTGCCGCACAATGTTCATGTATTACCTGCGACCCCCCAGATTTTGGGAATGAACACTATACTACAGAGTCCCGAGACCGAGGAGGTTGACTTCGTTTTCTACTTTGATCGACTTGCCTCGATTCTGATTGAGCGGTACATTCCTGACTCCTAGTAATGATTCGATTTACGTATGCTAACAGTCGGCGTACAGAGCCTTGGATATGACCCAATATGATCCAATGAATGTGGAAACCCCACAAGGGAATAAATACCAGGGTCTCAGCCCCCGAGGAGCTGTGTCAGCTGTTGCGATTTTACGTGGCGGTTCTTGCTTAGAAACCGCCCTGAAGCGAAGCATCCCCGATTGCATCACTGGTCGGGTTCTCATTCAGACTAACGAGTCTAGCCAGGAGCCTGAACTTCACTACTTGAAGCTCCCTCCACAGTTGGAGGAGCACAACAGCATCCTGCTGTTAGACCCACAGATGTCTAGTGGAGGAGCTGCACTCATGGCTGTGCGTGTCTTGATTGACCATGGTGTCCAAGAAGAAAAAATTGTTTTCGTGACATGCGCAGCCGGAGAGACTGGCTTGAAGCGCCTTGCTGCAGTATTTCCCAAGATCAATATCATTGTCGGTCGGATTGAGGAGGATGGCGAGCCCCGGTGGATGGAGAAGCGCTACTTTGGATGTTGATCGTTCGCATCTAGCTGGGTGATGACGTAAATAAACGCCCACTATACATATTGAGCTCACGAAACTTGACATCTGATTTATGAAACTACGAATGAACTTGTAATGGTCCCCTAATGTCCCCAGATGTTTTGGAGTTGGCGACTTTTAAACCTTATATACATAGACGCAAATACCCTTTTCGGGTAAAGTGCACGTGCTGTCTGACCGCCATTAAACTCCGGCAGAAAAAAAGAAAAATGTCCGCAGTCCGCTGACGATCAGATCACTTTCCAGCTACCAACATATTCCAAATCTCTTTCTATTTCCCCTGTTCCTAACTGGTCTCTCTGCATTTGAGCAGTTGGAGAGCACGATGGCAGGTCAAGACAAGAAAAAGTCCAAGAAGGCCGGCGGAGCCAAAGGCGAAGCCGGCAAAGTGATCAGTACGTTCACTATTATATGCGCAAAACGATATACACAGATGAGAAGGATAATGTCTAACGCGAGTCAATTTAACAGCCGATCCTCGATTTGCCAGCATTCAATCCGATCCTCGTTATCGTCTGCCCAGCAAGCGCCAGACTCATGTCAAACTTGATAAGCGATTCGCGCATATGCTTGATGACAAGGACTTCTCTCGCAATGCCGCGGTTGATCGCTATGGACGCAAATTGGCTCGGGATGACACCAAACAGCAATTGAAAAAATTCTACCGCTTGGACGATGATGACGAGGATGAAGAAGAAGACGATGGCAACGTCAGTGTCGACGACGACGACGAGGTTCAAAAAGAATTGAAGCGGGTCGATGCCCCTGGCTATGATCCTGCCCGTGATGGTGGCTTCTCTTCCTCGTCTTCTGAAGATGAGAGCTCTAGCGATGATGACGATGAAGACGAAGTGGAGGCCGAGAACGACGATGATGAACTCGAATTTCCCGATAAACAGCGTGTCGATGTACCTCTGGGAGAGGTCACAAATCGGATAGCCGTTGTTAACTTGGACTGGGATAACATTCGAGCGGAGGACCTGATGACTGTCTTCTCGAGTTTCTTGCCACCAGGGGGACGAGTGCTAAAGGTTGATGTTTACCCCAGTGAATTTGGAAAGGAGCGCATGGAGAAGGAAGAAGTGGAGGGCCCCCCGAAGGAGATTTTTGCGAAGAAACAAGAAGTCGCAAGCGAGGATGAAGAGGAGCTTGATTCCGATGAAGAGGAGGAAGAAATCAAGAAGTCTCTCCTGAAGAGCGACGAGGGCGAGGAGTTCAACACAACACAGCTGAGGCGTTATCAGCTGGAACGACTACGCTACTACTATGCTGTTCTCACATTCTCCTCCAAGGATAGTGCCAAGCATGTCTATGACCTCGTGGATGGTGCAGAGTACCTATCCAGCGCCAACTTCTTTGATCTACGTTTCGTTCCAGAGGGCACTGATTTCGATGACGACAAGCCCCGAGATTCATGCAGTCGAATCCCCGATGGATACCGACCGAACGATTTTGTGACAGATGCCCTGCAGCACAGTAAAGTCAAGTTGACATGGGATGCGGACGACAAATCCCGAAAGGAGGTACAAGCACGCGCATTTGGTGGTTCCCGAAAGGAAATCGAGGAAAATGACTTAAAAGCATACCTGGGAAGTGACAGCTCCGACAGCGAGGATGAGGAAGATGGCGGTGTGGAAGTAGTGGACAACACTTCGGGTGAAGGTGCAAGCGTCAAACTATCCAAGCGGGAAGCCGAGAGACAGCGCATGCGTGCTTTGCTGGGTCTGAGCGCGGAGCCTGCCCCCTCTTCCAAGTCGAAGGGTCCTGTCGGCGAGATGGAAGTCACATTTACATCTGGTCTGGCAGGCGGTAAAGGAAAGGACACCATTTTCGAAAACGAGCCGGAAATAGAGGAGAGCACAATTGATAAATATGTGCGGAAGGAGCGCGAGCGCAAGAAGCGCCGAAAGGAGAAGCTCAAGTCTGGAAACCAAGGTGAACCCTCTGACGAAACTAAGGGAGCTACCAGTGATCATGAGGAGCCTGCTGCCGAGGCACCACAAGAGGCGGAAGACCTCGGTTTCAATGATCCCTTCTTCGAAGATCCCGATGGTAAGGCCACTTCTGCTTCCATTCGCAAAGAGGAGAGGCGCAAGAAGCGTGAGGAGCGTGCTGCTGAAGAGGCTGCTTCTGCTGCTCAGCGGGCTGAGCTTGAACTCCTAATGGTGGACGATAAGAAGGCGGCCATCAAACACTTTGATATGACCGAGATCGAAAAGGCCGAGAAACAAGCTCGGAGGAAGGGCAAGGGCAAGGGCAAGGGCAAAGCCAAGCCAGCAGCCGTTGAAGATAATTTCAATGTTGATACCCAGGATCCCCGTTTTTCCCGTCTGTTTGAGAGTCATGAATTTGCTATTGATCCAACGAACCCCCGGTTCAAGGCTACTACTGGCATGAAGGCCCTACTCGATGAGGGCCGCAAGCGCAGGCACGCCCGTGATGATGGTGAACCCGAGGCAGTCTCCTCTACCAACGACCGCAAGAAGAAGCAGAAGAAAGATTCTAATTCGGATCTGAAACTCCTGGTGGAAAAGGTCAAACGGCAATCGAAGGCATGATAGTGTCAGTTATGTATTCAGATCAGAATCGATCACTTTAGGTGGATAACAAAATATTTCATGATATCATTTTTTTTCAACACGGGCTGGTTTCCAGGTTGGGGTGAGGTGATTTCAGATAGATGTCTGAACTACATATAGGTAGGTATGTAATCGCATACTTTATCCATGAATCCCGGGCACATATGTATACATATAGTAGAGCTGCCTCGGATTGATAATGCGGTGCCTCATGTATCCTTCGAGCTACCCAGGAAATTACGACATCCTCCCCCCCCCCCAATCTCTAAGCTTACCGTAGGACCGACGATCAGAACCTCTCACCGAGTCGAACAGCGCGTAACCTCGAACCAAAAATGCGTAATGCGGTGTCACCTTGAGGCTGAGATCATGTGGCATGCCCGTTGTCCGCTCCTTCACCGCCTCTTTCAACTTGCGGCCTCTCTCCACCCTTTCTAGAGCCCATCTCCCCACATACATTCTTTCTCTTCAAGAACTGCTCCTTGTCCCAATTCCTGGGGCTAATTGATCTTTGTCAGATTATACCCACCCAGCTCGCTTGTGGGGTGCTTAATCCACCAATTCCCAATTGCCTCTTCAATCGCCCCACTCTGTCCTGCAACCCATCCCACTTAACCTCTCCCCTCAATCACACGCTTTCTCACCCCTCTTACCATCTGTTGATGATGGTACCTGTCGAGTGGAATTAAGAAATGGGTAGATGCAGTCTAGTTATATCTAGCTGTCTGATACCCATAGTTACACAGCCTCTCTAGAACGGGCCGTCTTTGTTTCTCTGCATCTTCAACTACATTTATTCCGGGCTTTCCCGTGGTACAACTTCACCATGTTGGGTCGACTTTTAAGCACAGCTGCTTCAAGTCTAAACCCAGCGTCTTTTAACCCACGAAACAATGGCACACCTCTCGAATCGGTCACCGAGGAGGAACACACCTCCGGCCTTCTCTTCCCCGATGCCAGCCTGCTCCGCCGTTCCAACACCCATACGTACCCACTCCAGACCACGTTTCACTCCCCGAACGCTTCAACAGCTGGTGCCTACGATGACCGTGGAGGAATGGAATTGGATGCTATCAAAGATTTCCGAGTGGTTGTGGCCCAGAACGCTCTGGGGGACCGTGATGCGTGTATCTTGCTAGACACTCGTGCATCCGATCCGTCACCTACAGGCCTCGGGATTGACTCACAAGGTCTTGATCAGGCCGGCACCAAACATTCCCGCACGGTGTCCAGCTTATCTCGCGGCTCTCGTCGAAATTTCCTCACACAATCCTCCGTCGTTGAATCCAGCCCTCTCTCCTCGGCCGCAGATGCACGAAGGCCAATACCTGCGGGCTCTGGTGCTTTCTCACGAGCTCGAGGACGCAGCTCGACACTTGCACAGACCGGAACACAACATGACTATGGCACTTCGCGGCATTCATCAGACACCAATGATACTGGTCTTCTCAATTGCATTTTCGGTAGTAGCGCCTTTAGCTATCGTGGATCCTCCACAAAAATGCACATCATCTCTGCAGATGATGATCCACCAACAGGAGCGAGCATGTCGCCTGCAGCGCGTAGTCCACTTGCTCGGGCCTACACTACTGGAAGCTCAGCGGACTTTGGACCAGCCAAGGGACCGGACAAGCCACCCTCCAAAGTTACCGTTCTCGTGACCCGGATGTTTAGCGTCAACCTTCCAGAGGGAGCCGAGGCTTCTGCTGAGCGACAGGATTATGCCAGTGCTCTATATCAAGAGTCTCTGCCTGAGATGGGGTTTCCATTCCCAGATATCTCCAAACGGAAGAAGATAAAGGAGAAAAAAACGCCAATGTATGCTGTCGCGATTATCATCCAAATTCCTTTACTGGCACGAAATGCCGCACGACCTGTGTCGCGTTTCAGTACTCTCGGTCCTGATTCCCCTCGGCCAGGGATGTCTAGCTCATTGGATTCAGACTACCGTTGGCCTGGGTTTCTATTTGACGATAGTTTGTCATCCGCATCTCCTCCTGCAAGCTTGGATGAGCGTTTGGATCTTCTGGTCGACCATTGGGATGTCATTACTCGGACTTTATCTCACCTAGAGCGACTCGCGCGGAACGAAATCCTCTTTCTATTGAGGAAGGTCGACTCTTTGTCAGGGCCACACCCCAAGCCCGACAAACCACCCAATATGCAACGGACTAACCAAACGATTGTCCATTTGCCTGCCAACATCTTGTCTGTGAATTCCAAGCTAAAGGAGGAAGCAATTCGCAGTAGCCGTCGCATCGGCCTAGCCCTCCAGACTCCATACGTTGTGACCGGCCAAAGTCGCTGGGGCGTGTGGCGAGAAGAAGGTCGTTCCATTGTTCGAGGCCTTGGCGACAAAGAGAGTAATTTTTTCTTCCTAGTTCTGCTCACGGCGTTTTTGGGCAACCACACGGAGTGGCTCAATGCCCTCGGCCCAGAGTGGTACCGCCGCCGGCACAATCAGCAGCAAAAGGCTCAACAGGATCTCGATCCTGTTCTTACCCACCGAACTGTGGTTGTTTGTCCGGACAAAATGACAGCTCGTCGTCTCATCTTCTTGCTGTCGGCTTTCCTTCCCTCCAAGCAGCGGATAGAGCCACTGCCCTCCCCACTTCGACCTGGCACATCGGCATCCATGCGCGCCGTTTCCCAGAGTCCACCTACAGTACCAGTGCTTCGACAGGAATCCTTGAGAAGAGCAATCGAGCGCCGTGCTCGTGCGCAGCGGTTATGCCAAGGCGATATCAGTCATCACCGACGCTCAGTAAGCGTTTCATCTCAAGACACGGCTCAGCGGTCATCTGATGGGATCGAACAACCCTCTGCAACCGAGACCACGTCAGCCCGCAGGGGATCCGATGCTCGCTCAATCAAAACGCTCAGTGCTACCATTCAGGCAAAGGACCCACGGGCCAAACCTGCCAGCGGAGCAACAACCTCCATGATAACCCAGAAGAGCACGGTCCCTGTTCCACATTTCACATCACAACAAAGTCGCACTAGTCAAGGAGGATCTGACCGTGCCACAAACGCCAATGAAAGCTTGGCATCGGAGAATTTATTGAAGAACCTGCAAAGAAGTGACAGCTCGAACTTGGGTTTGAATGGCAGTGTTCCATCTGCCGAAGGTCGCTGGGGCGGTCTATTCTCTGGCCTATGGAGCTCACGGCAGGATTCGTCAAGTAAGGTCGGTGATATTTATTCCCCGGCTGATGCACGCAAGCGATCAGTCTCTACAATTGCTGGCCCACCCATGCGTGCTCAGCCTACATTGAGCCAAATGGTCAAAGAGGCTACAGAGGACATACCGGAGCATCGTCCCGATACTGCGCCTACTAGTGGGAACATTTCGATTCCAACTGCCACCACCCATAGTGCTGAGGACGATTCCCCGGGACCATCATCCCTTACGAGCCAAGCTCGTGAATCCCCCTTAAAGTTGTCCGTTCGGGCGGAAGAAGGGATTGTAGATGTTGATCTTCCACTTCCTGGATTCCTGTCACTTTCCTCTTCTGGTGATTCTACCATTGCCTCACCCAAGAAGACAAGGACATCCATCACCAGTTTCGATGCCATTGCATCCACACACAGTAGCGGCTCTGGATTCCACAATGCTGGAAAAGAAAACGATGGGCCTAGTACACACGTCGCTGGATGGTTGAAATTGTTCCATGAAGATTTCTCCCTGCAAGCAGTACGGCCTTATGCTACTCTGGAAGCAGACATCAAACGCGCGATGCAGGCTGAGCCTTCGCCATATATTCCATCAACTCCTGATGCAGAAGGGTCAGAGCGATGGGTGGATGTTGCAACAACCTTGATTGCGGACACTCGATCTTCTTCTGTCAAGCGTCTGCGATTGAGACGCAAAATTATCGTGGGTCACCACTATGGGCCAAACCATACTCCCCCTTCCCCAGCTGTTGGACACACTCGTAACTCCACAGCCTCCTCGACATCATTTTCTGGCTTCTTTTCTGGGTATGCCAAGTCCCCAGAAGTCACCGTTCTCGAAGGACACGACCCGCAATATGTGGAGGAGCGATTTATCGAAGAGCCTGTCATGGACCTTGATGGTATTCTCGTTGATGCTGTTGAGCGAGTTCTCGGCCAAAGCGGCTATTCGTCGCTTGCTCACTCCCGGGCGCCATCCCCAACACGTGCTCGCAGAGCCGAGGACAAAGGTCAAACGACTCCTCGTGGTGAAGATCCTCCGATCGAAGTTCCCCGTACCGAGTGTCGCAAGATGGTCCTTGGTGCACTTGAAGAGGTTGTCCGTGTTGTCACTGCCGAACACTGCCGCGAAGATGTAGACAATGAGTTGGGGCTAGCGGACCGAGAACGCAGACGAGCCATGGCAGGCGCCGATAACACTCTACGTGAAGGCATTCGGAAATGGCTCCTTGATGTCGAAGAAGCCTGGTAAATTGCTTGACGCTGGATTGTACACGTTCCGAGCTTTTGCAATTCCTAACATACGTTGCATTGTAACTTTTGCCCAACCATCAAGTCATTAGCACTAGGTTAACGCGTGGCTGATGGTGTTTTTGATTTTTCTTATTTGCATCCATTTGTCCCTTGTTCTGACATGATACCCATTATTTGTCGAGGCCTTGCACGCATTGTAAGGCCCATCATTTCCATCCAATATCACCAAAGAAAATTTGATTCCAAATTGCCATTTCACTAAATATTCTCTATGAAAGTATTCTGCCTGGCTTGGATTACTACGCCTTGATGATCACAACTTCAATGGAATGTTCCTCACACTGAACTATCTGTCCATCCTCTGTAGGTGAGAGCTGGATTGTCTTCAAGATCACGTCCGTTTGACTTGGATCCACAACTTCCACAGTCGATTTAGAAGCTAAACGACCATTTACCAACACTTGAATTCCGGACAGTGCATCATCATCCGGTGCCTTGAGCGTGGGATTGATCAATGTAACCGACCCCGGGCGAACAAGAATGGGCAGCGTATCAAAGTCGTGAATTTCGGTATACCATCGGCCAGCCTCATAAGACTTGGAATGATCAAACCACGAAACCCACTTCCCTTCAGCACCCTCAACCTGTGGGACATAGAAAGTCACCTCACCCTCCTCCGTGAAAACAGGCGCAACCAGCAAATTCGATCCGAACATGTACTGCGTATCAATAGCATACGTATTCAGATCCTCGGGGAACTCCAAGAAAAGCGGCCTCATCAGCGGCGTGCCGTCTCGGTGTCCCCTCAATGCCTCCTGCAGGATATACGGCGTAAGAAGAATCTTCCGCTTCACGCAATCCCGTAGCACAGCAGAACAATCCTCGCCATAAATCCAAGGAACCCGGAACGAAGATGATCCATGGAGCCGGGAATGAGATGACAAAAGTCCGAACTGTACCCATCGCTTGTAAAGCGCTGGTGGCGGAGTTCCTTCAAATCCTCCGATATCAGATGCCCAGAAGATGTATCCACAAAGCATGAGACTGAGACCCCCACGAAGAGACTCGGCCATCGCTTCGAATGTGCTCTCGCAGTCCCCGCCCCAGTGTACGGGGTATTTCTGGCCACCTGGAGCGGTGCTGCGGGCAAACAGGAGGCCTTGGTTGTGGCCCACGCCTGCTTCGAGCGTTTCGTACACGATGCGGTTGTAGAGGAGAGCATAGTAATTATGCATCCTCTCAGGGTCTGAGTTGTCGTGGTACTTGATTCCTTTTGAGGGAATTCGTTCCGCAAAGTCAGTCTTGAAACTGTCCACGCCCATCTCCATGAGACGCTCTAGATGGCCAGAGTACCAGCGACATGCGGCTGGGTTGGTGAAGTCCACAACAGCCATACCGGCTTGCCACATATCCCACTGCCAGACGGAGCCATCGGTACGCTAGGAATGTTAGTGGTGGAAGATGTTTGTAAGAATAGAATCCCACATCTCACATACCTTGATGAAGTAACCATTCTTCTTCCCTTCCTCAAACAATGGCGACGCCTGTCCCACATACGGATTAATCCACACACTAATGCGCAGACCTCGCTCCTTGAGTCGCTTCATATATCCTCCAGCATCAGGGAACATCTCCGTATCAAAGTCGAAATCACACCACTGGTAAGACTTCATCCAGAAACAGTCAAAATGAAAGACACCTAGCGGGATATCCCGATCCCGGAATCCATCCAAAAACCCAGTCACAGTCTGCTCATCATAGTTCGTTGTGAAGCTAGTCGTCAACCACAGATTGTAACTCCAAGACGGCACAAGTCCCGGCCGTCCTGTCAGCCCAGTATAACGTCTCAACACATCCTTAGGCGTCTCACCATACACAACGAAATACTCAATTTCCTCACCAGGGATAGAGACGTTGACTCTAGTCGTGCGCTCTGATTGAACCTCCAAACTGACCTTTCCAGGGTGGTTGATGAAGACACCATACCCCTTCGAGGACATGTAGAATGGAATGTTCTTGTATGCCAGCTCGGAGGAGGTGCCACCATCCTCATTCCAGATATCAACAACCTGTCCATTCTTTGTGAGCGGTCCGAATCGCTCACCCAATCCGTAAATTTTCTCGCCCACGCCTACATCAAGGCCCATGAGCATGTAACCCTGCTTTTCAGCGTAGATACCGTCCCCGGTCCGGTATTTCTCGCTGCGGGCATCGCGGACATAGCCAATGGAGCGGCCCGAGTGACCGGTGAGTTTTTTGTTAGAGGGAGAGCGGAAGACGAGATTTAATTCGTTGGCCGCGGTGTTGATATCGAGTTGCAGAGGCCCGCTGCCATAGACCAGGGAGTTGGTATTCTTGTCATGGTTAATGCTGGTGTGTCCATTGGATTGGCTAATCTCGTAATGTGGCCCATTGTCGACTTGTCCTGCCCTGGGGAAAGTGAGTAAATTGAATGGAAATGAACATGGATTGGAAGTGTAGATTTCAGGGTGTTGATTGGTGGAGAATTTACCAGTGCACTAGTTTCACGCCGATAATACCCTCCTGTGGAGAGGTCACCTGAGCCGAGATTGTAGCTGTAGAATGTTATTTGTGGTCCTGACCTGGGGTTGAATTGCAAAGACACATACGCGAGTTCAAGGTATCGCCGCGGTGTCGTTGGAATTTGTTTAAAAGTAGATTGACGCCTTCTTGTTCGATCCGCAGTCGCTCCACGTTGCTCATCCAGTCAATGTGGATGCCCTCCTAGGAACACCGTATAATTTAGTGTTTTCCTTTTTTGGTTTAAATTTGCAAAAGACAAGGATAATCTCTTACTTGTAGGCACCACATGCCAGCTGTGAACTTCATCCTGTCAAGTATGCTGCTGCGATAGACGGTGGGGTATAGACGGAGTAGTTAGATGTAACAACAGGGATACCCTCGAACTCGCTAGAATAGAGTATAGGGAGGATAGATGACCTTTTAAGGTCAAAATTGAATGATGCTTGAAAATATGCAAGAAAATTGTAGTAAAAGAACGTGAAAAGCCCATTTTCAAGTAGCTACACACCCGAACAACCGCATTCGACACGGACAACCGTCCGACAAGAGAAGCAGTCCAGATCCACAGCCAGTTACGCATACAATTTCTTTGGTCTATTTTGCAGGAGACACGTTAAGCGGGGCAACGTCCCACAGCTACTGAGGACCTATGATAAGAGCTTAGAGCTCCAGAATGTATAGCTAAGCCTATTTATAACTAGCGCAGCCACCCGACCAAGGATTGGTCCGGGTGAATTGGCCGCTTTTTGGCTAAATGGCTCCTTCCTTGGCACTTGTCTTTCGTTTGATTGCAGTATTCGGGTAATTTTCTATGCGGGATGAGTTACTTGTCGAGCTCGTGCTCAAAAAGTGGTCCTAGGTTGGCAGGTTGAGTGATCCATGGATGGCGTGATACAGCATCAAACGTTTCCGATATTTTTGGTCATACACAGTATCTCAGAGCATAATATTAGGTACAGGGTAATTAGGGGCGTGATACAGTAGTGGGACAATATAGCCGTTCTTAAATCAGAGGTCGGAGGCTACCGCTCCGTGGACTGCCCATGTAGCTCACACTCTCACCGCGAGCCCTGGTCCGCGACATCTCTGGCGACTTCAGTCCGTCCCTTGTGTCACGAGAATCCCCAACCACCCTAGAGGGCAATCCCGGCGGAGGCGAGATGTGGTGGCTGACGACACTGGCGGGAAGCTCAAGTGATGGAATAGAGGTATCCATGAGATGAGCAGTGGCAGGCTCGGCCTTGGTTGAGGCTGGACGAATATGAGCCTCGCTGTAAAACTGCTCGAGTGCGGCTGCATCTTTGCAGAAATCAGCTAGACCGTTGAGAATATGCTCTGGCGCACGGTACAGATTTGCCGAGTCGATATTTGGTGCAGCTGCCGAAGGTATGGGGCTTCCAATATCGTGCAAAGGACGGATCAGTGGAGACAGGCGTGGAGAAAGGCGATCGAGAGAGTCGTGATTTGGTGCACGGCCACGATAGTCTGAACGGCCATGATCATAGCGGCCTGCGTCTCTGCTCGCGACGCTGCGGGTACTGACCAGTCGGTTGGCGAGAAGTAGGAAATCTCCCTCATCCGTGATCTGAGCAAGCAGACTGCCATTGCGGTGGATATACTGCGGGTACTTATAATCAGGCTTGCCCCAAGAGAATGAGACTTCAACATCAGCCGGGAATGCAGTGCACGCTTCGAAATCCAGAACAAAGTCGAACTTGCGCAAGATACACTTCTGGTAATAGAGGTGGTCCGGTGGCCCTGGCTGTGCGAAAGAAGCGTTGTTGAAAACTGTATGTAACGGTCCCTTGGGTGGTGGAACCTTCAGTGAGATCCTATAAGGCTTTCGGAACGGCTGCGTCTTATCGATGGCGCAGGCCTCAGCTATAGGCACCTGAACCAGCTTCAGACCAAACTTCTCTGCGGTGGAGGCCCACGAATGAACGGTATCCTCAATCAACTTTGGCGTGGTGCTCATCCAGCTAAGCTCGATGTGGAAGCAGTTCTCGGGATTGTGCAATCTATCGTAGTGAAGGTCGATCACCTCAGGGCGATTTGACCGCTTGCGATTGTCTACATCATACTTCAAGGTCTTAGACAGCATGATTGCAACTTTGTTCTTGGTCTTGGATGGGGTACTCGGCGTCTGCGGCATGCGCTCATCAATGCTATCAGAGCGAGCGCGAAGACTGGAGGGAGAATCCTTTCCAATTGCCGGAGTTGAGGGCATTGACTTGTCTGCTCGAAGCTGGGGGAACCAACTACCTCGAGATTCAGGACGCGTGATACGATGCTCAGCGCAAATCTGATAGAAATAATTGCCGTCTCGGAAGTTGTGTCGTTTCTCGACGTGCTGGAATAGCCCGTGTTTCATCAACTCATTGCCAAACTCGACTGCTTCCTCACGGGTCTCGATATCCCGGAAGTTTTGTATCAACCAAGTGGTAAGCTCAAACCCAATAAAACAGTTATAGTGTAGCCTCCAGTGCCATCGTCGATCCATCATCCGCACCCCCTTCTCGCCTTGGATCATCTGCGAAAGTACCGTTATGAGGTCACCAGACCTCTCAAGCAGGTCTGCCTCAGGCAAAAGCTGAGCGGGTGGATTGTCAAGCCCAGGGTCGGTGAGCAGTACACGATCAAGTTCAGCTGCGACGACCTCGGACGGATTTCGTGTTTGATACATAATGTTGAGTGGATTCTGATCTCTCTTTCTGTTCGCAGACTCAAATCGCTTTTCCTCTGGAGAGACATATTTGTTTCGTTGCCAAATGTGAGTTAACTGGCTGATACCGAGCAAATGGATCTCCTCCTCGTTGTCCTCATTGAATGATTGTAGATGCCGTCGAGAGTGGGGGTGTAGTTGCATTGGGATCAATACATAACGGACCCGCCAGAAATGTAGCTGTTGTGCTGGGTTATGAATATAGTCTCGGTGGCCCGCCAGATAATTATCAGCAAGATTCCAATTATACTCTTCAGCAGTGGGGTCCAGCTTGATGTCTTTGATCTCATACTCCTGGCTCAGAATTGTTCTCATGGCCGGCTGATACAGCGTGAAAGTGGATCGTTTAGGCGACATGAGGGCCGCTGCCGTGTGATGTGTGAAGCGAGTCACTTCGATTTCCCCTCCATCTACAGTGATGAGACGATGGATTGCATTGCCTTTAGAGAGGAAAACAATAACCCCATCTCGTTCGAGTCCTCGGGTGTCAAAAACATTAAGCGACTCAAGGGCCGGTTGTGCTGAGACTTCTGCCACATTTCGGCCCACAACAATTTGAAAGCCATGAGACAATCGAAGCGAGATCATTTCTCGTAGGAGAAACCCTCGAGTCTTTGGTGCCTCGATACCCTCTGCATCGTCATTCGCGAAAACGCGGTATGGCGTCTGTAGATAATCCGACGTAAGTTCACTTGAAGTTGGGAATTCTTCTGTAGTTAAAGGCAGCACCGCAGGTGATTTCAAGCTCTTCCATTTAACCACCGCAACGTGAGGGGGACGAGGATACGCGTGTTGCCAACGACCAAACCAGCTGGTCTTGCGCAGCACATCCTTTGGAGTGTTGCAAGGGTTGACTGATCGTACCCAGGGCGAAAGAGCTTTTCCTGGAGAGTTTCTTGAGGTATCACGGGAACTGTGATTGAGAGTTATCTCGACTTTGTGATCGTTAGGCCGACCTAGCCCCTCATCACGATTTACAAAATGCGTCTCTGTTGCAGACGTCGATAGCGAGCCTTGAGCTCTACCAGGTTCTAGTCGCTCTGAACTGTTCGATGGCTTTTTCAATGGTGTTTTAATGGAGATTGGCTTAGAGGGGGTTAACCTAGTGTGTTGTGAAAGTCTCGGAGGGGTAGATGGCGGAGATGCTGCTCCATCATTGATTGTCGCCGTTGATGTAGTCTCCGATGGGCTCAAGGAAATGATACTTTTAGTGTCGGAAAAGGTGCCTCCAGAGGGCCTTTGATTGGACATCGGAAGTGCGTTTGCATGCTCTACATGAACTCCAGTACTTGCCTGGGCCCTTGGAGGAGTGGAAATCAAGCCGCGAAGCGCAAAGCTGATTGTTCGAGAAATTCGCGAGGCGGGTGGTGCTGGTCTGGTCTTCAGTGACGACTTGTTGGGTGACGGGCTTTTCGAAGACACTGTGCTCTTGTGAGATACGCTAGATCCGTCGATCCTTCGGGGACCAGCGCGCAGTGCTTGGCTGCCATCAGCGGTACTATTCTCATGCTCTCGTAGATGCAACACAGATCGTGCCGACATCCGTTCATGCGCACCAGTGCCCTGAACCTCCGGCTCACTCAGGCGCTTGTTTCTAGGCTTCGGTGCGTCCTTCCTTTTAGAAGTCGCGGCGAATATATTATCGTCATACTGGTCCATCCAAGCCATGACAGACTTTCGAGATTTTCGCGGTTCTCTGGTTTGGAGTTCACTTTGATCTGTAACATTTTCAAGAAACGGTTCTGGTCGTAGGCTGTCACTGAATTGCGCCTTAAGGGATGAAGTGTTGGCGAATCGCGTTCTTGGAGGGGCGCGAACTGCTGAGTTTGAACCTAGCCACGTACGAGGTTTTACAATATCACGCCCCTCGAGAAGGTAGGGGATAGAGATATTGGATTGTTCACTCTCCATGACACCCATCATTTGAATCTCATACATGCGTACGCGTGGAGTAAACGCTTTGTGTGGCCGAGTGACGGTGTGCGGGATAGGAGCATTGGGGTCGTTTTTCAAGATGCGCCGAGCTTCTCGATAGGTTTCCGGATTCCAATATGAGATATCGAGCCAGTGTGGGATGCCGTAGCTCCAGTCTCTAGATTTAGGCAAACCTCGCTCTCGCATCCTGGTGGCGGAGAGGTAAGATCCCGGGGAGAGGTAAGATGATCTGCTGACAAGACTGGATATCGAATGGTGGACTTCAGGTGACAATTTTGGCGTCTCGATCGGACTTTCGAGGGAACTAGAAGCACGCTCTACCGGTTCTCGATATTTGAAGAGAGGCACGGAGTGAAGGGGCATTGGACTTAGGCAGACCAGATCGATAGCTATGCCACGATTCGTCAAAGCTTCTGTAGTAGAGGCCAAAGACTCGTATGACACTTCGAACACCCCACTTCCTGGAGTGATCACGATGATAGATGTTCCCGTGTGAACCATATCTCGATCAATATGGTCATATGCCAGGTGAGCGGAGGCAAGATGAATGGCCTCGAGGATATTGCCTCGCAAAGCTGTACTGGGACGACCGGCGATTGTGGCGGTATGTGGTCTGGAAGGGATCTTGATGCCGCTTCCAGCGGCAGCATCCAGGTCATCTGTTTTCAAAATTGACACATCCCGCAAAAAAGTTCTAAAATTCTTCTTGAGCTCATCCAAAATCGTGGTCCAATGGCCGCTTGCCATATCATTCACGACGACACGATAAAAGTCCCGAGTTGGAAAATTGTTCGGACCCGGTGCACCTGCTAAGCCAGAATTGAGCTGAGATATACTCGGAGATGCATTGACATCGTATTCCACTCGCGTGAAGAGCACAATGGTGACCAAATGTTTCGCATCTGAGTTAGCCCATCGCTTGAAAAGCTCTGGCAAGAACCCGTTGATCACGCGACTGAACAGAATATCCCCAGACCCTTCCGAGTCAAAGTCCCACATTTCCCTGGACATCTGTATAAACAAAACATACTTTGCTGACTCGCTGCGAAAGACGGGAATTGTATGAGGCGCAAAATACCCTGAAAGGACCTTCTTCTCTCGAATGAAAATGTTCTTGACAGTTGCCTTAATACTTCCCATGAACATGATTTTCTGCCCCTTGTAGACAATCTTGTTGACGAGCTCGGACATGACCAGTCGCCACATATCAGACCGCACCATGTACTGGTCACGGAAGGAAATGTCAACATGAGACGCGGCGCAGTGTTCACGATCGACAATGGAAAGCGTGACCTGGGTTCTATTCTTGAAACCGAAAATATTGGCCACGCTGCTGGTCACCGATATCTCTAATTTGGGATGGCGCATCTTCACATCTTGCGGCAAAGGTTTCACCACAAACAAGCATCGGCTTTGCAATGGGGTTTTGAACTTGGATGTGCTGTCGGATTGAGAGTTCAAATTCAAGTCCGCATGGTTTTCGCGGGCCATCTTCACGCCAACGTCAGGTTTCAAGGCAGAATGCCCTGCATCCCCAGAAGCTCGAACGGGTAGAATCTCGACCACATCCCCGACCTGGATTCCGCTTTCTCCGAACGCCGACGGATTCAATAATATCTCCTCCCTCGAAAACATTTCATCATGGACCCAAAGGGTGCATTGGTGCCGGGCCAAGCTGGCGGATAGCCGAACGGTTCGCTCATCTGGCGTGGGGTCATGATCGCGATACGATGTCTCGGTGTGGATGGTCGAAAGGGTCTCCAAGCTGGCAGCGCTCACCTGCCTAAGGTGGGACCGCCGCATGGGCCCGCGCAAAGACATATTTTTTATTTCAGCTTCCTTGCATCGCAAAGGAATTGACCGCTTCCCCGGAGCTTAGCATTGGCCGGGAATGACTTGGGGAATCATGCGGACCCAGCTCGCGCGATAAGATCCCTTGGCAACTCACGTGGTGCGGAGTTTGATGCCTCAGGCCACAAAACAAGTAAGTACTATACATGGCAAGATATATCGGTACATTCAATACTGCGAAAAGTTGGGCTCTAGATGTATACCAATGTCAATAATAAGCCCATTATTGTATTTTTTAATTCGCCTTCAAGGCCGGTCAAGTCAAGTAGTCTACATGTAGGACTGAATATAATAACGCAGAGAGGTATTCGTTCTCAGAAGATGGCATTGCGCCTGTGCCCAGCATGTGCTTATGTGATGCTTCAGATAATGACCATAGACTCCGTCTCTTTGAGAAAAGAGACTGTCCTCCCAGCCACAAATTGAACAATATATACAGAGCCGCCAAATACGACCTCGGCCTCAACGTCGGTAGAAAGCTGGACTTCTAGGTTCCCATCCTCTGTCCACTTCAATTTGATCTTCGCGATAGGAGTGACAAAGGTTCCCTCCGCTGTCGGAAGAAGGTCCATTTGGGGCTCGATGCGCAGATGCTTGAAGCCCGGCCTAGCCGGCCTTATACCATACAACTGGGTAACGATTTCGTTGACTGGGCAGGCACTCCACCCATGGCAGTCACTCCGAGGATTCTTCTCAAACTCAGCCCATGTCGTCAAATCATCCGCCAGCATACGTCGCCATGGATCTAGAAGAGTGGGGAACATCTTGTTGTAGAGACCGACTTTCTCCACGGCTCGGAACACATAAAATTGTAGAGCACTGGAACATTGCACCAGCGAAGAATTGTACATTGCGCGAACCATTAACTCTCGAGCTGCTGTACCCGTGATAGTCTCGGAAAGAACAGCAAACACTTGACTATGCTGGCTGTATTCCTTTGTTGATGGACCATCCAGGTAAAGAGAATCGTCAAAGCAATGCTTATTCACAGCATCTCGGAGAGCTTGTGCTCGGGAGGAATATTCGGAAGCGGTATCCGTTCTCCCCATGAATTTGCATAAATCAGCAGCCTGCATGAGGGCAACAATGTAAAGGAGACTGTTGAACGTTGCAGCGCCTGTTTTGGTGTACGATTGCGGCATGCAGGATTCAAAGATTTTCCCTGGGACTGACCATTGAGATACCCAGTCTATGAAGGGCCATGTATCTTCCTCGAATCGACCAACTAGCCCGAGATCATTAATTCGCTCGTCGAAGTGGTTGAGAATTCCGTCGACGGTGCTCAAGTACCGCCGCACAACCTTCTTGTCCGCGAAGTATTTCATGTGATCCCATACCATTGCAACCCAGTATAGTGAGAACTGAGGAATTTGTTTACTCTTGAAACCGGCCGGGAACTGTGCCTTGATCAAACCATCAGGAGTCTGGCTGGCATGAAACTCTTCCAGGGTTTTCCGGGCAAGTCGATCATCTGATGATACTTGATATGTGAAAAGCATCTGTAGTCGAGAATCAGATGCAAACTGATTTTGCTCGTAGAAAGGGCAATCCTCGTACGTCTCATGTCGGCAATTTTGGAGAGTACGTAAACTGACATCCCAGATCTTATTGAGTTCTGGCCCAGCCTGGATTTCAGTGGAGATATCCAATGGATAGGAAGTCTCGCGGAGAGTGAAACCCTTAAGTGTGAGGGGTTGAGATGAAGTCTGGATATGCAATTGAACATATCGGAATGCTCGGAACCAAAATGGTTCGAAAGTTTGCTCTGTTTGGCCATCGGCCACTGTATAGATATCTTTAACTCCATAAAGCCGGCCGTTAGAGTCCGATCTGAGCAGTTTGGTCCTTGGCATAGGGAAAGGAGCAATTTCGACTCCAAGATCTTTCTCGTAGCATTCGGAATATAGGAATGTGATAATTGATCCCAATCCTGCGCCGCATTGAAAGTTGACAAACGCTGTAGTCAAAGATGCGCATTCGATGTCGACGCTGACAGTCTCCCCAGCAGGTACAATCAAGTCCCCATCTCCTTTGATGAAACCATTCCACTGCGTGTTTGTGAGGGATCCCTCGCATTCTACAATTCCATCAAATCTTCCAGGAATCTCCGGAAGCTCTGGGATAGGACGTGGTTCCAATTTCCACGGACGTTGGATTGGGAGCATTTTCACCGGGCGGAATTGAAAGATGGCGGACTTCCAGGTCGTGTCATCGAATGCTGCTCGCTTCCAACCAGAGAGGGTTTTGGCTTCTGTTACTCTCTCGTTGTTTGACATGAAGGGTGGACCCAAAAGATAGTTCCACTCGGAGTGAGGAATAATCTTGCGGTTTGTCTCTTGCAAGCACTTCCATGAAGGATCCGTAGAGATCGATAGTCCCTGCTAACATGTCAGTGACCTGTGGACCTGAGTAGACCGCCCCTTTTGGGCCTTTTGGTACTTACCTCAATCTCGGCATGAACCATGAGACCAGGCAATTCAGTGCTGATAATCGACGAAGAGCCGGTGTTGACGCAAGAGTACCGCAACACGCGCGCACTGATGACATTTTCTCCTTCTGTGAGATAAGGTAGAATGTCGATTGTCTCGTAGTACCAACGTTCCGGATAGCTCTTGCAAGGGCCAAAGCTGACACGCTGGCCATTTATAAATAGACGATATCGACTATCGGCCGAAACATGAACTGGAAACTCACGAAGCCCGTAGGGCTGAGTCCATTGGAAGGTTTTTCGAAACAGATAATAACGACCAGGTTGGCTCTCGTCCTCACTATGGGTCGGCAACCAGATCCATGGTGGGGTTTGTGTCCAAGCTGAGGCCATTCTTTCATCAAAATCCAAAATCACCACTAATCAAAAGAAAGATCAGATTTCGGTGAACTCATGTGGCTCATATACGGAATCCGGGGTTGAAGGCCGAGTCTCGGTAAATCCCGAACTGTCCACTGTCCACTATCCACTTGGTCGTCTGTGGGGACGGTATGCCTTCCCAAAAGCTGGTTGTTGGGGTGACCCGACCGGACCCGCACTTGGGAAAATACTTACGGTCTCCATTATAGCACAGAAAGCCCATCAGGTTCTCAGAGGGATGTGCTCCAGCATACTGGGATGGAAGATACTCACAGCTTTACTACGGAAGTTCTTCAACGAGAATTTGGGTCGGCACATCTTACCCCGACCCACAAACCGGTCAAGTCACTTGACAGACCCCTACAAAGTCTCACATGATTCTCCACATTTAATGTCTTCCTCTGGATAATTTCGTGGACACTGTCCACTGTCCACTTTTCCCCATATGTCTGCCTCAACTCCAGAGGCGTCGCCTCGCTTTCGATGCGAGTTTTGCCCAAAGGAGTTTTCTCGGCGAGAGAATGTTTATCGCCATGCTCGGATTCGTCAGTGTCTGATCCGCAAATTACTGCTGTGTGTATGCTTATTAGATTGAAATGTAGACAAACAACACAAGCTTCATCGCTGTCCTGTATGTGCCAAGGAATTCACCAGAAGTGATGCGCGCCAGCGCCATGAGGCGATTCACAAGACGCAGCAGTCGCCTAGTGTGACTGCGACGTCCCAGAGGCGAACCAAATCGCCAAAAAATCACGAGGTGCTCTCACAGCAACCTTCCGATGCGTTACATGAGAATCCGTCAGTCGAAACACATGATGGTGATAGCTTAACCAGTCTGAGTTCTCTGAATGGCAAATCGCTTCCAGAACATAATGTGCAACATGAGACTGGTAATGACTGGAGCTCTACGCATTCCTTAAATCTTGACATAGATCAGACCCACGGTCTCACGGCTCATGTTCCGACTGAGCACGCTCTTCATTGGACAAACCAATCCGCAGATAGCACATTTGATGAGGATCTGATCCGGTGGATACGGGAACCGTGTCTATTCGAAGATATGCGCTTTGATGAAGATATTATGTCGGTGCTGCTAGAATCTGGGTCAATGCCACCCTTCAATGCTGCACCGCTTCTGGCCATGGGCATAGATAGCGATCAAATGATGGTCGATCACAGTGATCAAAATACTGACGCCACTGTTGATAGAGGTGGAACAATGAGTCGACCAGTAAGTCCTCCAAATGAGGCGTCTGAAGAAGACAAATGGCCATACAAATGGAATCCTGCATCTCAAGCGATTACTGCCGCTAAGCCCATTGAATTGCCTGGAGACCATCCTTTGAGACGTGATCATGACATTCGTTTCGACATCTCCCATCAGCGGTACCTAAAGGTGATTGCATTCCTTTTGGAGCCAGCAAGGAGAGGGTTCAACTTTCACTCGCTTCATTTCCCAGACCTGGAGACTACGAATATCTTCATAAAATTGTTTTTCACCCATTTCGAGCACCAGATGCCTGTCATACATCGTCCGTCTTTAAAATCATGTGATGACTTACCTGATGCTCTTCTTGCCGCAATGATTGCGATAGGAGCTATATATAGCCGTGAACGACACACCTGTCGCTTCTCGATTGTCTTTGTTGACATGGCAAGATTAAGCTCACAGATTGCCCTCGAAATGAACAACAGACTTATGAGAGATTCTAAGTTCGTCTATGCCCTGACGCTGCTCTGTTATGCAGGCATCTGGTGTGGCAACAAGCGACTTTTTGAGCTCTCCGAGAGCCTGAGGGCTGCAGTGGTTACCTACTGTCGGCAGATTCGTGACAGTGAATACATCTTGGCAAGAGATGATCTCCAAAAATTTGGCAGTAGCGTGGAGGGCCAATGGCAGGCTTGGATTTTGAAGGAGTCCAGAAAGAGGCTCTTATGGGTTATCTACAGCTTTGATTGTATGTTTCCATGTTTGTTGTACCTACCAGCTTCGATCAGCCTGGCAGAGTTTATGACTATTGAGTGTCCCTGTGACGAGGACTTCTGGCATGCTGCAACGGCCAACCGTTGGAAATGCTTACTTGGCTCTGCATCTGTTCCACCCTCAAGGAAATTCACCTCTGCGGTGAGCCCTTTTCTAGGACCTTTGAACCTGGGAACCGCCTCACACAACACGTCTTCAGATGCAAGTCTTCGGCAGACCTCTTTTTCCTCTTCTAAAAGTCTCAATTCCTGGACTCGACATCTTGTTCTTACTACCATCTTGGTGAATATATTTGAACTATCACAGCAGATCCCAATGGTATCCCAAGCGACTCTTGACACGGAGTTATGGCAGATACCTGGAGACAGAGAAGCGCACACTCCTACATATTCGACTTTTTCCACCCTCGAACCTGAGCTCAGACCGCACTATGCCTATTTGGTGACGAGATGTTTATCCGGCCGTCCTTCAGGACTTACCTTGTCACCTCCAGAACAAGAAGCATGCAAATCACTCGCGAAGCGCAAACATGTTTTATCAAGTGAGTTTCAAGTACAGATTGGGATAATATTCAACATCTGATCGTTTTCTAGAAATGCTTTTCGCTTGGGGGCAAGCCTACGCATCCGTACCGGCCCCCGATGTAGCTGTGTATGAAACATCAAGGCATTTCCATACAAGTTCTCAAGCATACCTTCGCCTTGGCCATTTCACTATCCACGTGCCGATTCTGGATCTTCAAAACGTCCTTGGAAAGGCGGGAACATCGGAGATCTCTCCTGCAATAAACACGATGCATGGGATCCTTACAAATCACCCCGAGGATGTCGGATCTATACTCATGCATTGCCTGGAAGTCATTCGAGACCTGCGGGTGCAGCCAACCTCGTGTACTGGCGAGTCTCAATCACGAATGATAGAGCCCCCTGATATCATCACCTGCTTCCTTAGCGGGGTCTTTATTTGGGTACTTGTGATCTGTGCGGATCCGAAACAGGTTAAATTTCTCAGAGACAAAATGGACGAGTTTGGGGATTCAGATGGATTCTTTGCTGTTATAAAGGAAGCTTTGGCCTGTGACCCAGACCAACGAGCAGGTCACAAAGGCAATATTTCCAAACCCAACCTAATTATATTTGCCGCTGCAGATGTGATTAGCAAAATGACGCCGTGGAACGCATCGCTTAACCTAGCTTTACTCTTGTGCCATCGAGGCAAGGCTTCTACAACTTGCAAGAATCAAAGTCATGCTTAGTTTTAGCCATTTTGTTAGCCCTTATTGCCGTGCATGAGTTGAAATGAATACATGTATTACTAAATCAGAACGGATCATTTGTATCTAATAAATCGCTGCCCAGGTGCAGGTTGATCTCTCCATATATGGTATTTATTGTAAAAGAAAGCAGCTTGTATGGCGGGCCTGACCGAACTGAGGTCTTTTCTAAGAAGACTGAAGATGTTCCACGTCTTTAGGAGTATCACTGGAATAATTGGAGGAAATCAAAACAGCCAGTGAAACTGTATGGAGGTACGTATTTCTTGGCAAGTCTTTGAATTCGTGTACATATGTATCTATTAGAAGTCTAACATTGATGTCTCGATTGCTAGGCAACAGTTCAAGCATCATCCGGCGTTGTGATGGCCAACTTGTGAGTTGCAAACTTTCTGGCAGGCACCTTTGCCTCATAAAGGTTATCAATATCCTCCGTTGACAATCCAGTAGTATCTGGAACAATGGACCAGACACCCCAGATAAGCAACACCGTAGCACCGGCAAAGACTAGCCCCGTCCGGGCACCCAGGTTGCCTGAGTCAACATTATAAATATACGGCACCACAAATGTGACGAGCCAAGTTGTGAATGTCTGAGACATGATACCAAGTGACATGGACTTGGCACGCAATCGGTAACTGGAGATTTCGGCTGCAATCGACCAACCGGGACTTTGCATGAGACAAGCCTGCAAGGAAATGAGGACATTCCTATTTCACGTTAGTATAGAGTCTCCAGACAGGATTGATAGGTGCAATGCTTACATGAAGATTGCAATAGCCCATTTAGGTTCCGTTCCGTGGGCCCAATACAGAGCCCCCACAATTAAATTGAAGAGGAAGTTAACAATGCACCCTGAGAGCAAAATGTTTCTGCGCCGCACGTTCTTGAGAACTATGCCGCTACCGACAATGAGTATAATGGCCAAAGCGAAGCCACCGACGGAAATATCGAAAACGTGGACTGTGGGAAGGCCAACAGAGACGAGGAAGTAGATCGACTGCGTGAGGAAGGGACCACCACCGAGATTGACGATTCCGAAAAGGAACATCATAGTCAACGTCCTCTTCAGGTCCACTCCTTGGAAGCATTCGAGGTAGCTTGACTGATTCTCCTCGCGCTGGGAATTTTCTTCCTCAATGGTCTTCACCAAATGGTTGTAGCGCTCCTCGCGGTCCGCATCATCACGATAGAGCCAGCTATACAGCTTCTTTGCGCCCTCCTCACGCTGCTTAATGATACAGTACACGGGGGACCTTGGAATAGTTAGCAAAGATCGATCACGTATTATAGAGTACATACTCTGGCGCGATCGCAAATGCAATCAAGACAAGTCCACCCACACCAAATTGAATAGCGAACACCGTACGGAATGCCTTTTCGGCCATGTCGGTGACAAAAATTCGAATAATGCCCATCGCCAAGGCTTGCATAATGAGGATAAACACCACGAATGCTTGCTGAACAGCAGGGACAAGCTTTGGAGGAACGACCTCCGAAGCATATGTCATACCAGTGGACATAGCCATACCAATGCCCAGTCCTCCGACAATCTTTCCACCAAGTAGCGAGCTCCGTGTCAGAGCGGTATACTGTACAGCTGCCCCCGCTAAGCCAACGACACCTGCAATGATGCCTGTCCACTTACGACCTATACGGTCAGCCAGGTAGCCCGTACCGGTAGCCGATAGTGCCTGAGCAAGGGAGGACATGGAAGTCCATAATGCAGTCCACAATGATGGAAGGTATAATCCGGATGCATCTGTATCTCCGAAGTACATCATAAATGCCGGCATGGAGATCGAAGCGCCGTTCACAATCTGGTCGTAGCCGAACATCGTGCCGGCGCTGAAGGAAAGGCTACCTGAACACAGTGTTAGCCAAGAAGTATCTGTATTGAATGTATCAGATCTTACATATCAGCAATGCCCTCCAGTGTGTCTTAATGGTATCTATCAAGCCCAATTCCTGGTCTGCTTTGAGGAATCTAGCCTCCTCCCACTCAAGGTGAGCAGTGGATGACTTGAAATCGTCGGTCATATTGAACCCCAAGGACTAATTTGCTGAACAAATGGACAGCCCTAGTACTTGATACAATGGACACTGTGCCAACTTAAATGCATTCAAGGTCAGAGTACCCAACACTTGGCAAATCCGGGGAAATCAATTCTAGGGCGTACGACTGCCGTCCCCACAAAGACAAGTGGACAGTGGACAGTGGACAGTTTCGGATCTGTCCGAGTATGGGGTATGCTTTGGTGGCGTAAACAGGCGTCCAATTAAAAGACCGCAACGGGGCTCCCCGCTCATAACTGTCGGCATAACTGCGGATTAAAGAAATTACACTTTCTAGTCAAAAGTATTTTCCCAGACCAGTTTCCGGGCCTACCCCACCAATTATATATATTCACTAAACGGTTCCACACATCACCAAATTTGACGCAAATTCCATATAATTACGCTTAGTTATTAATACCCATCTAACGCACATACTATCAGTTAATTCTTTATAGAAATCTGCCCTAAGCTTTCTAGCCACTAGTAATTGTCTCGTCACCAAAGCTACATGGATCTTCGAATCATCTTCTCAAAATACTTCCCTATGGTCATGGATTAAAGTTAGACTTTTTTAAAGTGAGCCCTCTTCATATCGAGTGGTATAGGCCTTCCAAAAAGTTGGTTGTTGGGTTGACCCTACCGGACCCGCACTTGGGGAAATACTTACGGTCCCCATTGTATGTCTGTTGAATCTCTCATCCCAGCGCTTTCGTTGGAAGAGAAAGTTTCCCTATTAGCAGGCGATTCCTATTGGCGCACCGCTAGCTTGCCAGATCACGGAATCAAGGCGATCAAGGTAAGGCCCACAAGGGCGTTGTGACTTTTGAAAACCACAAATTCTGACGACTCATTCGTTCCATAGTATAGTGATGGTCCTAATGGCGTTTGCGGAGAGTCTATTCATGCGTCAACCAAAGCGACATGTTTTTCTTGCGCAGCTTGCGTCGGGTCAACATTCAATACTAATCTCGCCCTCAGAATGGGGCAGTTAATTGGTCAAGAGTGCAACGCTGAGAATGTTGGTCTCCTTCTTGGACCCACAGTGAATTTGCATCGGTCGCTATTAGGTGAGTAGGGACTGTTCCGAAACTTGGCGACCGCATATGTTGATTTTGGCGGCGATTCAAGGAGGCAGGAACTTTGAAGCTTACTCCGAAGACCCGACCCTTTCCGGGATATTGGGTGCTGCCTTTGTGAATGGGGTTCTGTCTCAGAGTATCTCGGCATGCCCTTAGCATTTCGTCAGGAACGAATGCGAAACCTACCGAAAAACTTCTAACACACTCGTTGAACAAAAGACTCTTCGAGAGCTTTATGCTTATGCGTTTCAAGTGCTGTTGAAGAACTGGACTCCATGGATCATTATGACTTCGTGGGTATTCCAGACGCTTATACCTACCTAGAGTACTGATGAACTGATAGATACAACCTTGTCAACGGTGTATTCATGTCAGAAAACGAGAAACTCCTTCAATATGTACTCCGAAGGGAGTGGGGGTTTCAAGGAGCGATAATTTCCGACTTTGAGGGCGTTTACTCAACAGTTCCTTCCGTGCTGGCGGGTGTGGCTCTGGAACTGCCAGGCCCTGCTTGATTCAGAGGCAAGGACCTCTTGAAAGCTGTCAAGAAAGGCCAAACCACCGAGTTCTAGATAGACTCATTGGCAAAAGATGTGATCAGTCTGGCATCAAAGGTGAGCGGCAAGGGTGATGCCGAATCAGAAAAAGACATTCCCCAGGATGACGATAGTGCTGCACTTGTGCGGACGATTGCAAATGAGGGGATTGTTCTTCTGAAAAGGCAAAACAAATACACTTCCCGTATCGCCCATCACAAATCCAAAAATTGCGATTTTCGGGTCTCCAGCAATCACGACAATCATTCACGGAGGTGAGAGCGCATCATTGACACCTTCTTATGTTATGTCCCCCCTAGATACCAATACCTGCCTACTCGTATTATGTTGGCAAAATGTATCACCGGAGACTCCCACTAAGTGGGCATTGCCATGGCGCGCGCGCACCCTAATTGTTGCAGCAGAGAAAGGCAGGTTCATTCTCCTCAATGATCACCCATATAATGCCATTCAGCTGATGGAAATCGGGAGATGATTAAATTCAGAGAGTACTGCATACACTCTCTTGAGTATGCGACGTCCTTGGAATCGTCAAGCACCAAAGCTCTTTGCAGAAACCGCCGAGGCGTGGTTTGAGTAGAAAGAGCTGCCGGATGGGATTACTTTGAATGAGATTCATATGGTAATGGAGGCTTATTCGCTTTTATAAAATCATCAAAGCCGTTTAAATAAACAGTTTAAGTTGTATGTTTTGATGCGAACTGGAACCAACCCATATTGCGATATTCTGCCTTAACTCACCGCACTCAGGTATACTGTGACTTTGTGAATAGCCTCTCTTATATTACACCATACATTCGAATACTTAGAAATAAAATAATAATAAGCTTTCAGGCTAGAAAAATTATTAATATTAATCATAAAGATATTGGAAGCTTTCAGTTCAATAGACCATGGACTGGTTTTGGGGTTTCCTTCCTGGACTCTATCCGCTGATACATTTAGTTAGGACTGGCTAGCTATTTTAAAGAGCTGTTTCAGTCTGTGTTATCCGTCCGAGTTGGTATAACCTCTGGATTTGGATATTGGCAGACTTTGCGAATTTGGAACAAGCGACCTGCGGAAGTGGTTATTCGGAAGTAGCCCTTGTCGCTCTAAGTGTGCCCGATAGAGACTCGCAGTGGATTGACACAGATGCTCTGGCTCAATATGTAGCATGTCCTCTAGCGATTCGAGGGTTCAAAAACGACTGGGGTTCAAGGAGTCTATCGAGCCTGTGGGGCCTGCAAGATGCAGTTGATCGATCGCAACTGCCCCCGACCCCTCAAAAATACGAAAAAGCAGCCTTTTCATCTCGGGCTCTTGTCTTATGCCAAAGTGGAGCAATGCCAGACTTCTCGGCGTGCAGGTTCGTCGCTCTTCCCCCGCGCGCCTGCGGAAGTATTTTCCGACCTCCTTGGCTGGCTGAACGCAGGCTCTTTCACGCTCAACGCGAATTTGCCACTTCCCAGCTGCAATGCCTTAAATGATGAAATTGCCCCAGAACTCTTATTCAAGTTCCTTGGGGACTGCAGAATATTTCCTCCGCAAAAGTAGAGCCATTGATATGCCCAGTCAGCTATGTCAGTCATGTCAAAGTTATTGTTCCTCCGAGCGAATTGAGCACAAGCCCATCAGCATGATGACGACATCGTGAGCCTCAAGCTGACACGAGCATTGCTAGATCAACAAACACATTCAGGACACTGACCTTCATTTAATGGACTGGGAGTAGAAGCATGGGCTCAAATTTGGTGCTGGCTATTAGTAAGGAGATTGTTTGAGAACCATAGGGGTGTCCTGCTGCCTCGTGGACACGGTGACCTACCAGGTGGCGAGTCATCATGCACTGCCCTTACCTGAATTTGACGGGCTCGACAACACTCATATTTGGGAAATGACTACCCAAAGCTCTAACCAGTATCGGCTTGAGGTCACTTGCCTTTGCGACGGGTTCAAGTGAGCGTCTGTCTACAACCTCCTTGTTGACGAGACAACTTTTCGACCATATCCACCCTCTGAATCCATCCGGACTCGGTAGCTCTAACGCAGCCTATTCACCGAGAACAGTCAACCCGATGCACGACCGGCGTTGATCTCAAGAATTTGAGAATTCCTCTTGGTCTGACTTCAGGCATTCCGAGCCATTGGGACATGACCGACTCGACTGGGCAATATCTGACCAGGATGGCGGTTTTTGATAAGGTTTATAGCCTGCCAATGAATCCAGGCCGGCGCTTCAAAACCATTAAAACCCGCACAAGGCCTGATTCTCAACCCCACTGCCTATCACGGCTCCACCTGAACTCTTTCATCTGGAGACCCTGATCACTTGTCCGATCTCAAGCCTCTCCATAATGTATCGCAGAAGCGTGCCTTGCAGGTGCAGGTCGATTCCAGCGCTCATTATTGGTAGTGCGCAGTTGCGGGATGTCCCGATGGATCGACTGGGGGCATCCCAACGCTAATATGGGCCCGTCTTACGATCACGGTGAGCAGAATCATATCGCAATGGTGGCTCCGATATTCTTGTTTTATTGTGGAGTTGCTGATGATAGGGGTAAGAAGAATTGATCGCATGCCCTGGGGGTCGGTCGGCTTGTTGTTGGCTTCGTGTTTGGTCGACAGGCCTCCTAATCTCTTTGTGTAGGTCAAATTCTTCAGGCTCGATTCGAAGACTCGCAGAGGGAAATCGTTCATGATTCTTTATTTGATTCAGAGGACTTAGTAGATCGTGCTTGCACCTTGGTTCACTTACGAAAACGCCCCATCTGAGCGTCGACTACCAACCTCCGCCCATCATCGCGTGTGCTGCCGAGGTTCCTTCTATAAACACAACATGATGAGAATAGCCCGGTGACCAAGCGGAGTTCAAAACGGCTGTTGGGTCGTCATTGTCACTTCCATGGTGCTTGAAGACAGATTGCTTGACCCGAGACCTCAGGGCAGGATCACCAGCCTGTAGTCTCGGAAATGTGAAATCCAAGGCTTCGAGGATATGCGCTGATCTTGAGCGCTTGAGTCTGCGTGTTTTCCATCTTGAGGCTGAGTATCGTCTTTTGAGGGGTTCGTTTGTTGACACGCAGTAATGTGAAGGCTACCCCCCTGGGGGAAGTGGATCTGTCTTTCTTGTTGCTGAAGAACATGCAGGGAATCGAGGACAATCTGCTCCTCAGATTGAAGAAAACCCCTCCTCAAGCGATGATCAAAATCATAACGCGAGGCTGTTGGAAAAGACACGCCCTACCATATTTCGATGGGCGGGTTGCAAGGGCAAGGCACGGCTTAGCTTGCAACGGCCTTTCCGGATGTCTTTACCGATCCCAAAAGGTGCAACGGGCTGACTACGGGCTGACCACAGTGTTTTATTAAAATCAATACCGTATACGACCACGGTCTTTACGAGGACTCATTCTCGAGAGTATATACCGAGAACAAATCAACCCTTTATCATGCGCTTTGCACAACCAGGGACGCCAAGCACCAGTATATCGCTGTGTCGCTAGTGAGGATCTGGGAAGAAGAGTGCCTGGCCAGGTTCCATGGTTTGGATCATGCAAGGTGACGGCATTTCTCTTGCAATTTTTACAAGAACGATACGCAGCAATCTGTCCGCTGCCCAGTGCCCCCAAACCCGCCTGATACACTTCAGTGCGCCAAGTCCAGCAATAATGTGATGCTACTGTACAATACACCGTACTTGTTAAAAACAATGGTATACGGGAGATCCAACAATTGCTTTTTCATCAAATAAGCGGAGGCAGGATTTTGCAAGAAAGAGTACACTCGAATGGCTCCAATAGCTCACACTTGTTGCGGTTTGATTCTGCTGCCAAGTTTACCCCAGTCGGGCCATTCTCATTGGTGGTACTTGTCAGATACGGTTCAGTGGCGAATCCACGCGGCTCTCAGCTCCGGCATACCACAGCTCAGCATTTCGTGGGTCGCACCCACTTCGGGATTTGCCGTACGTTTCTGGCTACTTTGTGTGTATTTTCTCCCATGCATATCCAATTCGGCCCAAGGTGGAAAATTAGGCGCGCGAGGAACGGGTTCAATCTGAATCTTAGCCCCTTAATAGGGCTAATTTTCTCAATCTCGTTAGCTTGAAGGGGGCGCCTTTTTATCCACCTTGCGCCTTTATCTTACATCGGTACACACGAGTGCGATGGACCGATTCCCCCGCCTGCCGAATACTGAGCAGCATTCGGATACCCCAGGCAATGAGTCGCCATCGTTCACTTATGACTGGGTGGTTCCTGGGTTCCCTCAGCCGCTTCCCGCTGAGTTTTCGGCCAATATTGACCTGATCCCTCCCCGCGAAGACCTGGTGAGCTCTAACTCAGGCGAGTGGTCCACAAATGCGAAGGTGCAGATTCCTCGCTCCGCACAAGCTGCAACCTGGACTAGCACCGGTCGAACTAGTCGGGCTTGCGAAAATTGTCGCGAGCAAAAGGCTAAATGCAGTGGTCATCACCCCACCTGCAGCCGTTGTGAGGATGCTGGGATCCGATGTTCTTATAGCGATCGAAAAAAGGATAAGATTATGAAGTGTGTTGACGAGTCATACGTGAGATGTGGTCTCTAATTGAAGGGCTGTAGGGAAATTGATGATTTAAAAACACAAATCCAAAATTATGAAGCCATTATTCGTCAGGTGTACCCGAGGTTAGACTCATTGTCAGCCCAATATGTTGATCAGACCCTCGGGGGTCAATTAGTCAGAGTGAGTCCACGCTAATGATCTACCCCTTCGTGGACGTCCCTATTCCACCCCCATGAATACTCACGCCCAAAACCCATGCTGTAGTTGTCGAGCTCTCCGGTATTCCGCTCCGAGCCCCCGGCTGGCATCGGCCACCCCCTGGCCATTATCGATCATACCGAAGAGGATTTCAACCGCGATGAAAACCAGGCACTGGGGTTTGTGGGAGAACATTCTGAAATGACATGGCTTTATAGACTCAAGCGCGACCTCGATCTCGACCAGGAAACGTCGACACCCATCAAAGAATCCTCCAATAGACCCTCCATATCATCTCTGAACTACTTTCAAGAAGATATGGAGCCTTTCCGCCTGAACATTGTCGACGAATCGGAGACGCCACCACAACACATTGCTGACAAGCTCGTCGAATCTTATCTTCGGGTGGTGCATCCTGCTTTCCCCATCATTGGGAAGGGGGTTTTCTTGAGTCAATACAAGTCTTTTTACTCGAACCCGAACTCACGCCCTGGCAATCGATGGAAAGCGGTGCTCAACTTGGTATTCGCCATCGCGGCAAAACACTCAACTTTAGTCAACAATGCGACACAGGGAGATATCGGCGACCATGGGGTATATTTTTCCCGGGCATGGCGACTCAGCCTGGGTGACGCTGCTTTGCTGGACCATCCGAACCTCCAACAGGTACAGGTGGAGGGTCTGACGGCTTTTTATCTCCTTTCCAACGGAAAAGTCAACAGGTAAGTTAGTTCCCGCCCGTAACATGGCACTTTCGTTGTGCCCTTACTAACTCCCTCCTTTCTTTTATAGGTCATGGCGAATGATTGGCATCGCGATTCGATCAGCGGTGGCTATGGGTCTGAATCTTCGTAGCGAAAGCTTCAATATTGCCCACATATCAAAAGAGACTCGATACCGTGTGTGGTGGGCACTTTTTATGTTGGATACATTGCTATGTGTGATGATCGGTCGTCCCCCTAGCTATGGCAATGATTTTTGTACAACGCCGCGGCCCATACCCTTTCGCGAGGAGGATTTCGGGGACAAGGAGATCCGACAACTTATAACCGACTTTTCCATGCGGCAGAACCTATTGAACTCGCTCCTCTCGCATAACAATTCACCGGGGGCAAGCGAAAGCCCTGTGGATAATATTTGGTCAGCGAATTCTGGATCTGAAAAAGGGAAACAACGTGCCCAGTCTAGCCCAATAAAGGCTGAATCCCTCACTCCGAATATCTCACTATATTTCTTATATGCGGTGGATTTGGCCTTTCTCATGAGGGAGGCCATTGAGACCCTCTACGCCCCTGGAGCGACACGACGATCCTGGGGGGAGATGGAAAATGCAATTTCCGCCTTCAATAAAAGTGCTGACAATTGGCTCTCTCGTCTGCCAATAGAGTTTCAATTCGCACAACTCAATTTAAATCATCTGTTTGCCCGCCAACGTGCCAGTCTCGCATTCCGCTTCTACACCACCAAACTCGTCATCTTACAGCCCTGTCTCCGCCGTCTCGCCTACCAGCCTGCCGAATCAAAATCTCCAGGTCCTTTCTGTGAAGCAATGGCAAGCGTGTGCGTGGAAGCGGCTCGAAAAATGCTATCTACCCTCCCCGATGAAACAGATGCATCATTGCTGTTCGAGGTCTCTCCATGGTGGTGTGTCTTGCATTACGTCATGCAGTCAATGACCATCATTCTGGTCGAATTCTTTTTGCGCACTGAGTCGGGCACGATGGAAGCTGCGGATCTATTAGATGACATCCGAAAGGCGGTTCGCTGGCTCCGCGAAATGGCTACGCGAGACCCTTCTTCCCAACGAGCTTGGTCTATCTGCGTGGAAATCCTCTCACAGCGCGGCCTTGACTTGCATTTGGAAGTTAGTTGATCTCCACCTAGATATCGCACTTCTCGTCATTTTCCCATACCTAGCGGTTCCGGAGTTGATGTCGGCATCTCAACCTTGAAAGTTTTGCTTCGCCTGTAATCTTGAGACACTTTATGCTTGCATTACCGTGCCATGCTGTGTCACCAGGCATTTGTGGTCCAGCGTAAACTGATCGTCTGTTTTGTCGTGAGCATTCTCCTCTTAGTCTGCTAATTAAGTACCAGGGCCCGTGGACTGAAATAGACGCGTGCCTATTGGCACCGTTTGCGGGCTACCATCCGATAAAGCTGTTTCTTCAGTAATCCCAGCCTTTGAATGTGCATTGCTGCACCGGGGCTTTCTACTCTGCTTTGAACCAATACTCAATTACTAACAACCCAGTCACTAACAATATTCTTCAAGTCAGTAATTTTGCTTGCTCACTTTGAAGAAAATAAATTAGAATAACCTTGGAACTTCTTTTTTTCGAAAATAATGTTCACAAGCTAAACCGCTCGTCCGGGGTCGCTGAACCTGCTATGGAGAGGGAGACAGTGATAGTAAGACTTGAGCGCATTCAGAGTAAAGCTCTCATCTTTTCGTGAATAGCTGGGCAACTGAAATGATATCTAGCTATTTATGTGCTTATGCACCTAGGCACTCATATATTCGATCAGCGTATGAAGGGCAAGGAGAACCTTGGAGTGGCAGCGAAAAGTGAACAAGACGACTTTATAAGTTCATGATCTCCATCTCTGGAGCTCCAAGTTCATACTCAGGTTCGCTCGACGGGACTGACTAGAGAAACACATCGATCGTAACTAATTGAACAAAAAGCAGACTATTTGCAAGTCATTGAATCAAAATCGCGATCTTGAAAGACAGGCATACTTAAGCACATATAATAGATCCGTGAACGTTGCATCAAGCAAATGACCAACCTCCAGTATAATCCGCAAAGAAGTTATCCGGATCATACTTCTTCTTAATCGCCTGCAATTTCTCAAAAGTCGAAAAGGTCTGCAGTGGTTTCTGATCATAATTCGCATCGTTGATAAACAAAGGTAGTCCCTCCGCATTACCCGTATCCTTGATCATGTCCCGATAACTAGCCTGCACGGCATCATACTTGGCTTTACTCATTCCAAATGGCGTGGTAATGAGATAGTTCAACCAAAAATACGGTCCATCAGGCATTTGCATCGCATTTCCACCTTGAGCCTTACTAGCATCCGTAAGACTCTTCGGAATGGGCTGGAAATCCAACGAAAGAAGCTCGTAGCTCCCCTTATTGTCTTCAGCCCAAGTCCGCCACTTATCGAGCGCGGTACCGTACGAATTGTTCTCTGGACGATGAACGCCGACACGGAACATATTCGCGCCACGAGAAATTTCCGTCGCCATCGGAACAGGCATATTGACGACATCGTTGTAGCTCTTGATACCCGTCGTATCAATTAAAGCTTTGATATCAGTGAAGTTCTTAAACGCATCACCCGGGTTCGGCCCGTCGTAGACAAGGAACATGATAATTGCCTCATCCAGATTAAGATTCAAATCCGGGAGTGGCAATTTCTCATAAGTACCGATGATCGCAGCCTTGGGATCGGTATTGTATTTAACAAAGTTGCCAATCGCCTCAATCACGACGTCCCGCTGGTCGGCAACGTAGATCAAATTACCAGCCCAGAACTCGCCAATCGGCCGGCTCTGAACTGTGTACTTTGTCACAACGCCGTAGGCATTACCGCCTCCGCCGCGCGAGGCGAAGAAGAGATCAGGATTCTTCTCGGAAGATGCCGTCACGATCTGTCCGTCGGGCAGCACGATTTCCAGTTCACGGAATGAATCACAGGCGAGTCCGTATTGCGGGGATAGGTAGCTCATTCCACCGCCCAGAGCAAGACCTGTTCCCACACCTGAAAGACGGGCGCCGACGACTGTACGGTTCCACTGGGCGAAGTACTCGTACACATCGCCGAAGACGCCGCCTGGCTCGTACGTTGCGAGAGTGGTCTCCGTGTCGTAAGATTTGGCGGTCATGCTACTTAGATCAAGCAGGACACCTGCCTGGACGGAGGAGAAGAATGTGTTGGGATTGTGGCCACCGGCTTTGATTGCGAAGCGGCTTCCTGCGGCGCGAATTGCTTGTAGCGATATAGAGACATCTTGGGCGGAGCCGGGGAAAATGATGCAGGATGGTTTATAGTCGTCTTGGATTGTGTTCCAGTATTCGAGGCTGTTGGTGTAATTTTGGCTCAATTGGTTAGTGTTGACTTTGGCTGAGCCCAGTTGGGATGTTATATTCGTGCATGCTGTCGTTCCTGCTGCGGTTGCTGTCACTGGTACGGCGAGGCCAGCTAGCAAGGGTATTATTATAAAGGATAACATAGCAATGAAGAGTAAAACGACGCTTGTCGCTGAGATGTGGGATGTGGAAGGGCGGATTAGGGGACTTAAATAATAGTTTTCTACCCACGGCCCTCATATCTATTTCACATCGGTCATTTTAACCCATTTTTGGAATAGCAAAAATCCTCGGTATGTGCACAATAGGTATGCATATACGTTGAGAATACGATAACTCTAAACTCGGTTCCTGGACAGGTCCGTGGCACGACGATCGCAATGTCGAATAGGCGATTATGCCTGGCCGCCATATACAAACTCACCAGCATCAATCTTCAGGTCGTGTTACAGGTATATGCTGGTTGCCTGGACATGTTTTGTTTTTATGGCCTTTGATTGGTTCACTAGATACAAATGTTGATACCTGGGCAAGGCTACCGTGGCTGGAAAATGGGATATTTCATCATTCCATGGTCGGATATGAAAGACCATGAGTCTCGGTGATCGACATCATGCAGGCCCGGCATTTTGTGTCCTGCTTTTTGAATGCGGGGAAATGACTGGATGTGGTTAGGGTTCGGGGTTCATCAACCGTTTGGGCTGCACGGGTAAGCCCCGCCCCGAGGCTTTCGCATGTGCAGAATTTTTTTAAAAAAAAATATGGGTCGGAGATCCACAGATCTTATCTATCGCACTCTTCAAGGGTCTCTAGTCATATCGCAAATCTTATCATGCAAGTAGAGCACATTTTTTTTTGGAAACGGGTTGATGTTTGAAGAGGTGGGCTCAGATTCAGATACATTAGCCTAATTATTGAGCTTGGTGCATTGGGAGTGTTTTTGTTTTCTCAAAAACGGAGGTATACTATAATTGCATTAAACCCCTCGTGGACTCTATGTGAAATGTCAAAAAATTAGTAGTGAAAGGTGAAAGAGTCATCTGTTTCACATAAATCGCTGCTTCTGTTTACATTCAAGAGTAGCGTCAGCTGATGCTTATCTTGGCGACATCCCTCAGCCTTAAGAACCAAGATCGAATACAATCCATTTTCGCATAGAAAATCCGATCGAGCCCAGGGCTGAGATAAACAGCTGACTAGAAGATCCCACTCGGCAGTTTAAAAGCGTCAGCACATATGCATGTGGATACGAGACGCCCTATGACAGGAGCTGATATTCACCGTAAGCCGGTGAATACGAGCCACCGTAGGGCCCCAAACTCTACAAATGACTTTCTTGTCCCACTCTCCCTTCTACATTTCTTCACCCCACCATCCCGCATCATATCCTGGAATCATTTATGAGATGATGTCAAAAAAGGAATTCTATACCAATGTCACGCCTCTCCCCCCAAATATACCCCGCCAACTAGCTCTAGACATCCTGCACAGCCACAGCGAAATAATCACCCTGAACCCCCTAGTCCTCTCGCACCACCCTATCAAAGCCCCGCGCAATGCATCGGCAGACGAATATTACTCAACATGGTACGAGATATTTCAACGCGTGCAATACGTCCCAGGACTAGGAAAGATGGGCTCGGGGAAGATAAGCTTCAAGGGCTGTTTTGAAAATCATCCCTGGGGTGTGAAAACACATACCTACCCTCCAATGGGGATTGATTTGCTCAGCAAATTCCGCATTGCGGGAACTCAGTTCAACGAACTAGGCCAGGCACAAGAGTCAGAACCTCAACCAGATCTCGAACAACGCATTCCAGGCGCCCCGGCCAAAGGACTTTATCTCCTCGAGGAAATCGAAATAAAGTGCAACATCACACTAATGTCTTTTGTGAAGAGCCAGTTGAAAGCAGCGTCGAAGGTGTTGGTGGATCGCCTGATTAAGAAAGCTGAGCTCCTCGATGCAGGTGTCTTGCAGGCGTTGTTCGAGGATGGAAAATTGAGGACGTTCAACCCGGCGGACCGGACGGAGAACCCTATTCACATGCAGGCTCAGTTGTCGCCTACTTTGCCTCATTCGCCGACGGGGTCTTCGAGGTGGGGGTCTATTTCTTCGCGAGCGAATTCGGTTGCACCGTCGTATGGGACAGAGTATAGGAAGAGTCTCGGTGGCGCTGTGGAGTTGCCAGATACTTCGGCAGTGAATCGGGGTTTGCCTTTTACGCGATTTGATAAGGGATTCCCGACTGAGCTGCCTGCTATGGAGGAGGTTCCGAGGGAATATAAGTGAGGCTATAATTTGATGAATCGATTTTTCGTTGGCCTGACAGAGCTTGACTCCATGTACAATCTATGCTAAGAAGATAATGCGGCTTGCAAGGTCGAAAGAGATTGAGGGCAAGGATTAAGAATCAAAAGAAGAGAAGGATTGGAACTCGAAATTGGAAAGAGAAAGGGGAATGGGTTATACCGAAAACTCGCGCCTCCCGTATCTGGAGATATCGTGCCTTTCTAAAAGAATTTGATGGATCGTGCCTTTTTTGTGTTTGATGTAAATTAGTATAACACGTCTAACTCGGGTCTCGTGGTATATGATATCATTCGTATGAGGATTGATCGCCAATGCGCCCAAGGGCGACTCTATATTAAAAGACTACTTGAGACCGTAGACGTGATAAGGAAACAACGGCATGTTCATAATTCATGATTCAGTTCTCCTGACTAGAGCTCATGACAGGTATACAAGTTCTCTGCCTCGTTCAAAAATGTATCAACGGGGTGCAGCAAACCAAGGTCGATATCAGACTGCGCCAGAAAGTCTTGCATGGTAGGCTCCAAGAATGCCATTTCGGTTGTGTACCCACTGATCGTATCCCTGGAAGGCAATGCATAGATATCTGTACCATGACTTGACTGTGCTGTTAAAATATCATTCTCAGATGGCATCATCGGCGCTGTTGGCGCAGTGGAAAGAGCACTTGGAAAGGCTGTTGACGATGTTGCCAGTGTTGATGATACAGGTACCAGATTTGGACTGGGACCAGGGGCTGACGCTGGCGCTGGAGCGGCAATGCCATCTGCACTGGCACTCATCTGAGTACCAGCATTGGAATTGCCTTCTGCACCTCCCTCGTTCCGTCTTAGCCCTTCAGTATTATTGACTCGATAGGTATTCAAACAAGCCTTCACCTGCTCCAAGTTGTGACAGAATTCAGCAGCAGCCAGATTTCCATTCTCTGCCATGGACCGCAACAGATCTAGAGCTGAGTCGAATCCGCTCATGTCATTTGGGTTTCCGATCGGCACAAAGCTGGACATTGCCAGGATTAATGCTGAGGAGAAAAGATAGTGAGCGTGGAAATACCCGAATGTTGGCATCGTGCCGTTGATCCAGCGTGTGAGAATCATGGAATGGGAATGACGCGCTGCATGAATACATGCTTCGCTGAGCGTCAAGACAGGTTGAGAGACTTCATCTCGGCCGGCGCTGCTAGATCCAGCTTTGCGGAGAGTGATGAGAAGGTGAAGAAGTGTTGGTCTGGTGGTGAGGATGACGCATTGATTGAACGCCATATGCAATGAGACGAGGGGTTTCTTGCTAGATTCTAGATCCTCCATATTCAGCCGCAGGCTCTCAGGTAAAGTTTCAACCCAATGCTTCAAGGACTTCAAGAGTTTCTGCACGCGCTGTAGGAATGTTTCTTGATACTTGCGTCGGCTGTAGAGTTTTGTGATAGTTTCGCCGACTATCTGAGCGAGTTTGATATTGGCAGTCATGTAATCGGTATCTGACAACTCTTCCTCATGTCTCCAGCGTGGAGATATGGGCGTCGGCATGTCCACGTGAATGTCTTCGTCGAGGATTTGCATGGGGAGACCCATTTTGGAGCCCCACATGCGGTCGAAGATGTAGATCGTCCACCATATTTCAATTCGGTGTTGTCGTTCCACGGGATCGATGAGTTGAGATTCGGAGATGTTATGATTTAATCCGATTGTAAGACCCATTCGCATGGCATTTCCAATTAGGACGTATGCGGAGTGCCGACGGTTGAGATAGTATGAGAAAAGTGACTGCACATGTCAATATAATTCAAGAACCAGGACAATGCGACTTACTAGCAACAATAAAGTCTCCAGATGAGTGATGCTCGTTCTCTCAGGAAGAATCTGAACTAAGCTCATGGCCTTCGCGAAATAAGCTGTTCCCGGTACACGAGACCCAGATGTAGGCTCCGCACGAATGGAATACGCTTGTCCAAACGCAAACAAGGCGAAGAACTTGCACTTGTTGGCCTTGCAGTCAAAATCCCCGGTCTGATATATCTCTTCCAGTTTATCCAGCGTAGCCTTGCGCATCATCAAATGATACAAATATCCAATTTGATGAATAGCAATCCTAACCAGCAGCCTGGCATGGTGTAGAGTGGGCCATTGGACGTCAGCCTCATTGGCAGCGGCAGCAGCGATAGTTTCTTCACGCGTCCACTGTGTACGCGCAATATGGGCTGTAGCATTGTTACCTGTTAAAAAACGACGAAACCGAGTAGCAAAAGCCGAACATGCCGCTTCGCCGATGTATATCGGCGGTGAAGATGGGTCATAACGATGGAACCAGGCACGATCGCCTATGAGTGGATTTTGTATACTTGTGGCATCTGGAGCTTCCACTGGGCGAGATAAAGTTCTAGGCACACTGATAAGCATTGACAACTTTGGCCGTTCGGATAAGACTGCGGCGTACCGTTCCGCATGTGCAGGCTGAGCCTCGGCCGGTGTGACCGAGGTCACCGATTGCTCTTTCAAGCGCCGAATTTCCGCCTCGAGTTGGTCGAGGTAGCTTTAAAGGGGGGCCCGTTAGCTTTGCGAACAAACTTCAGGCACTAGTTCCGGGTAAGGGTGATCATACTTCTCGCTCACTTTGACCTGGCGGTCGCGAGATGCATAGGCACATTCATCGGCAACACCCACTGCACTGCACTTTCTGCATGGTTGATCGCCAGAACATTTGATCTTATGTGAATGGCACCGCTGGCATCTGTTCGGCCTTGGATTAGTGATATTCACATTCAATACAGTACATTCGGCTCACGCGACGAATTTCCTCCTGTTTCGCCGAGCGTCATCTTCGTCCTCGGGAGGAGACCGTTTCAGCCCTACTCGTGCCATTTTGTCAGGCCCATTATCGTTCTCGGGATTGGTTGAAGGATGGAGAGCGTTTGCTCGAGGTTATGTCGGCGATTCGAAGATCTCGCCGAGGATTCGGAGTCCTCGACCGAACCTTAGACCAATCACATGGTGGTATTTAGGTGGGGCTGAGTTGACGAAACCGGGGCGATGATGACTTCGCAGGCTATACGTCTCACTCACTAGCGTCGTTAATTCACGGGACCTTTCCAAGGTTCACATATCTGTTTAGACCAGCGTGGGCCCACACAATTCCCGGCTTATAAATGAAGGTCTCGGGGCGAGCACCAAAGAGAGTAAGAAGCACATTCCCAACGAAAGCAGAAACAGGGTCCATGGGGGCCCCATTCGCGGCGAAGACTTTAAGCTCCAGAATGATGATGGTGGGTATAGTGGGGTGGGGGTGGCACTGTGACTGTGATGTTGAATCAATGCTTGAAGATTACACAGTCAGTACTTTTTTTTTTGGATCTTGTTCAGTTCAAGCTACTTAAAGAAGTGGTAGTTCAAAACCAAATAATCACAATCTATTCGATCTATATGTCAAGAATCTAGCTCTATTTTGCAATGCATTTCTGTCGTAAAAGCGGTACCAAGGGGCCTATCGTCAAGTCATCATATCATCAGGCCAGAGGCTTAGCCTCGAGATTAAACTTTTCTTCCACCCATCGCTGTATGTCAAGTCCCCATCTCGTAATGATCCAAACATTAACACCACCAATGATGGCGAAGAAGACACCTAGTAATATGTGTTAGAAGATTTTGCATTTAAACACTTCCTTCAACTCACAAATGGTAAATGTCCAACCAACCCCAATCGCATTGATCAGAGGATCAACGGCCGCAGTGGCCCCTGCGGCAAAGATATACTGCACAATATACTTGCCACTGATTACCTCGGAGCGTATTTGTGGCATAACCTCTAGAAGTAGAAGCTCGTTAGGTCAATACCGTCTACGTTGCAGACTCGAAACTCACCGGCTGAGTAAGTATTCAACCCATTAAATGAACCCATGAGTCCAACAGCCGCAAAGAATGCAGCAATGATAGGCACGGGCATACCACCCACCCCTTCCTCCAGAGTCCATGAATATATCAAGGTCCCGATGGGTAGCACCAAGAACAGGGTGATGAGTCCACTATTCAGCCGATCTTGAGGCAAACGGACCCCGCCACGCTTAATGATCCACTTTTTCACAGCTCGATCGGATAGTTTGCCGCCCACGACACTTCCAACGAGGAAGCCAATTCCCGGCGAAAGGTAGAAGAGACCGCTCACTAGTGGCGAAGTTAAATTGAAGCGGGGATTAAAGATGGTGCGTGCAGATGTGAGAATAGCATATTGGAATGTTGCCAATAAACCGCACGTCAAATGCTGTCGTGTGTCAGAAGGGATCAAGATGAAAGGTGCAGTTGAACTTACAGAGAGGAAAACATTTGGATAAACCATTGGGCGGAAGATGCGGAGCGGGTTAAACATGCTTAGCACATATGACAGATCACGAGACGGCTTGTCCTCTCTCTTTGTCTCTAGGTTCGGTACGAAAAGAAGAGATAGCACTAAGCCGAGTGCAGTCATGGCAAATTGGAGCCAGTAGATGATGCGCCAGTGGGCAAATGTGACGATGATACCTCCGATACAAGGACCTGAACAATGATTAGTATTTTAGTATGTGATGATCTGAGATGCAAGCATACCAATTGCAGGTCCGCTAACGGATCCCACCATCAAGAAGCCAACAGCTGTTCCCCGCACAACCTATACTTGTCAGTTATGGTCCAACAAAATGGAAGGAGGAAACGAACCGGCTCAAAAATGTCCGCAATGATAGTCTGTCCCGCGACCATGAAAAATGTTCCCGTAAATCCACTGAGCAAGCGCATCGCAATAAACATATGCAAATTAATGGACGCAGCTGTACCTGCCGAACAGGCACAGAGAACCAGGATAGCCGCATTGTAGGCAATTCGCCGCCCAAAAACATTGGTTATAGGGCCCCAGATGAACGACGAAAAGCCCATCGCAATGAGCACACCCGCATTAATAACATCGAGAATTTCCGACGTCGTGGAGAACTGTCCTGCGATTTCAGGAATGGCCGGTAATAATGAGGTACTAGAAAATGTGATCGCGAGAGTCATCCAACTGACGATGAATAGGATGAGACATTTGCGCCAAAATTGGATGGTGTAGCCCGTTGGTGGTTGTGGCTTGATAGGTTCCTCTGTATCCGAGTCGTGCGGGGAATTGACTTGCGTGGGCTGTGATTCCACATCGGTTTTGGTTTCCATACTGAAGGTTTGAAAACGAGATATTAAGGTTTAACAATGTCGCATGTCTATGTCTATTACCCTCGAAATGATGAATGATGTATTGTCATGATCGGGCAGTTTTGTAACTTGTGCATTTCGGCGTCTTGCCCTGTCGCCGATATCGTGGGTCTTGAAGATGTTGAATTTTTCCCGCTTTCTGCTCCGATGTGGAGTCCGCGATCGGCTCAGTTCGCCGAACTTGGCCAGTTGATGAATGTGCCTGATTCCGGAAAAATCTAAGAAAATACTACTAATGGAGTGACCCTGCAGACTCCACGTTTCAGGGTCAAGACCCTGTTCTGGATCCTGCCCATGAGGACAATGATAGGGCTGATCTCCAATTATTAAAACCTTGGAACAGCCAAGCTTCACAGCCAAGACGGGTTCCTCCAATTTACTCCGTAGACCCATAGAAATCCTAGATATAGACAGAAGGCAAACAAAGCTATATTAACGTAGCAATTATTCAGAGATTATTCGGGCCTAGCTGATTGCGCAATAATAGCCCCGAGCACGCAGGGTGACGCGTCTACCCCAGCTCGGTAATTATTGCAGTGTGGACCGCCAAGACATCCAGATCCTTGCTAAGCATCACACCTCATTTAAAAAAAAAAAAGAAAAAAGGGAGACGGCCCAAACTCCTGCGCGAGCTTTTCTCTCCGGATGAGCTCAATCTGCCCAGATATTGCTCATCATGGACACCAAGGAACCAAAGAATATTGAGGCCCCTTCTGCGGCGGGTTCACCTCCAGATGGTCCTGATCACGAGGGTCACGTCGTTTTGATTCCCCGGCCCAGTACCCACCCCCACGATCCCCTGGTATGTGCTGCAAGGTCCGAAGCGGCGAAGCTATGAGGCTCTAACCGAAAGTTTGACAGAACTGGTCCCTAAGGCGGAAGTACATCATCGCGGCTGTACTATGCTTGGCCTCGTTCTCTGGTGCGGTGGCGCCGCTGTCCGGTCAGCTCAATCTTGCGGACCAGGAGAAGCTTTATAATAAGACGAAGATCCAGGAGTCATATGCGGTATGTCCTGGCTCGTACACTTCAACTTCTTTCCATACTTGTTTCCAGATGTATACGTCTATACGAATACGTCTAACCTGTCGCAGAATTCCGCCGCCTTGGCAGGCATGGCAGGTGGTCCGTTCTTCTTCGCGCCGATATCACACATCTTCGGCCGTAGCTCGGTCATCTTCTGGTGCATACTATGTACCCTCGTTTGCCAAGTCTGGGGAGCCGTCATGACCCACTCAGACGAGTACATTCCATTTATCATCTCACGTCTTTTTGCCGGGTTCTTCGGCGCTGTCCCGACGGTCCTTGGTCCGCGCATTGTGACTGATTTGTTCTATCTGCATCAACGTGGCAGGGCATTCACTGCGCTGCACATGTCTTTCCTGTTCGGTACCATCGCCGGTCCGACATTCTCTGGCTTTATCTCCGCCAACGCCTTCTTCCCTGTAGAGTTCTGGTGGACAGTTGGTCTTCTCGGGTTTACCCTTATCTGCTGTTTCTGCTTTCTTGAAGAAACCGGCTTTGATAGGGAGAATCTTGAAAGAAACCCTGATATCCCCAAGAGTCTGGTTGCGAACCGCTTCGCGACTTTTTTCTTCGGGCAGAGCGTCGTTTTGCCATCTACCTGGAAAGAAACGGTATGCCCCTTTTCTCCAATACGTGCACCAGATGGGCAATAAACTAACAGCACCCAGGCCAAAATCGCTGCCGTACCCTTCTTAATTGGCATTTGTCCCGTGACAATAATCATGGGCGTCTTTACCCTCATCTCTTTTGGCTTTTACGTCGGCGTCAACGCTCTGACCCCTGTCTGGCTTCAGAAGCCCGCCGCAGAAGGTGGCTATGGCTTTACACTGAAACAGAACGCCGCTTTCACCTTCTGCCACTGGATCGGTATCATCATCGTCCAGTTCTACGGCCACTGGCTCAACGATAAACTTCCACTCGCACTAGCCCGACGCTTCAACAACGGTGTCTGGAAACCGGAGTACCGGCTGCACGTGTTGTGGCTGCCAAGTTTGATCCTAAACCCGATTGGACTGGGAATATTCGGTGCTGCACTCCAGTATCATCTGCACTATATGGTTCTCGCGCTCGGCGTGTTCATTGTAACCATTGGCTCATTGGCTAGTGTGCCTGTTACTGTTAACTACGTTGTTGAGAGCTTCACGCACTATCCTGCCGAGGCGGGTATTGTTATTGGTGCTTATCGCATTGCTTATGGGCTCACCATCAGCTTTTATATCAATCCTTGGGTTGCCGCTGTGGATGTGGGGTGGGTCTATGGCATGATGGCTTTCTTTGCTGTCTTTTCGTTCTTCTTTGTCATGCTGCTTATGTGGAAGGGGCATGCTATTCGCGGCATTCAGTTTGCTAGTCTCGCATCTAGCGAGGAGGGTGAGAAGTTGATGGAGGACTACTAGGCTGAGTGCATAGGGACGGATGAAATTTGGTTCATTGCGAGTTATTGGGGGTTATAAAATACGATGTTAGACGCAAGGCTTGCACAGGTACTATTCTGCTGGCTTCATACTACTACTAATACTTTAAATAATATGTGAATTTTTTCGGGTGACGTTCACAGAGGCTTAATTTTGCTCGGAAGGCAGACCAGTTCCTCGGACAATGCGTCTGTATCTTACTCGGTCCTAATCTTCCTGGATGGTAGTAATCAGGGATCAGCAAGTCTTATCTAGCAACCTTGGTATTAAATGAAAGACTGCGAGCTTATTACTCCAATCAATATACTAGTGAGCGCCGGAATGGCATTCCTGCGCATTGGAAATATTAAAAGATATAGTCAGCCTCCGGATCCAATGGCTTGATATGAGTCAATCAATATCGCTGGCGCAGGTGCATTATCCGCCGTCGGGTCGGAGCCGACATGCGGGCCGCCCCCCATCCACATTGATCCTTCAGATCTAGAACACGTTTGTGACTCACTATGCTGTGGGTTTGGGGCCTGGATACAAAGCGCGGTATTTTTGATGTAAATAGGCACCAATTAGTAAAAAGAAATGAACAAAGCAGTGCTATTGGACGAGTATCATGAGTTCTGTCAAGAATGGAAGCAAGCTAAGATCCGAAAAGTGGGTCTCGAGAATATCTACATCGCTGCCATTGACCAATAATTTCGTTTTGCTATAGTTCGATCCTTCACGCTACCGTCACCTTCCGCTCCTTTCTAACAGACCTGGCCCACCAAACTCATTCCTGACAGGCGTGACTCATAAACGTGAACTTATGTCAAATTCAAGGGTACTTAAAGCACAAACTTCACCTTTCGGGCTTTTACAACACTTCACTCTACACCCCTCACCCCGTCACTCTTCACCCAACGACTCACACATAAAGCTTCAATTGAACTCACCAAAACACACGCCACAATGGAAGCTATCAAGCAAGTCTTTGCTCGATGTAAAGATGAGCAACGTGCAGCGTTGATCACGTACATGACAGCGGGCTACCCAACGATCAAAGAAACGCCCTCAATCATGCTTGCCATGCAAGCCGGTGGTGCAGGTACGTAACAAACCTTCAACCACTAATCCCATACTTCGGATCTTAGATCCGAGATCCGACATCCGACATCCAGATGAGATACAGATTCAGATCTTTTTAAGCCTCAACTCATGATTATACTAACACGGAAATTGCTTAGACATTATCGAACTGGGAATTCCATTCACGGACCCCCTCACAGATGGTACAACCATCCAAAATTCCAATGCCGTTGCCCTTCAAAATGGCGTTCGCATTCCAACAATGCTCTCAATGGTTAGCGAGGCACGCAGCCTCGGACTGACTACGCCTGTCGTTTTCATGGGTTACTACAACCCCGTCCGTGCCTATGGCGAAGAAAAGATAATCCGTGATTGTCGAGACGCAGGCGTGAATGGATTCATCATTGTCGATCTCCCTCCTGAGGAAGCTTTACGGTTCAGGGAATTGTGTACACGGGATGGCCTATCGTACATCCCACTCGTTGCACCCGCCACACCCGACTCCCGTATGAAGATGCTCTGCGAGATCACCGACTCATTCATCTACGTTGCTTCCCGGATGGGCGTGACCGGTGCCACCGAGTCTCTGGACCAAGGTCTAGACGGCCTTCTTACACGCGTGCACAAATACACTGAGAACCGGATTCCCGCCGTCGTGGGCTTCGGTATCAACACTCGCGAGCATTTCATCAATGTGGCCAATATCGCGGAGGGCGTTGTTATCGGGAGTAAGATCATCACTGTCGTGCGGGATGCGGAGCCAGGCACTGGAGCAGAGAAGGTGAAGGAGTATTGTGTGTATGTGAGCGGACGAAAGGAGGCGAGGAACATTGCAGTTCCTGCTTCTACGACCACTGCCACTGCCACTGCCACTCCTACTTCTAGTCCCAGCTCAGCAGGTATTCTTACTCCTTCTTCTGGCCACAGCTCAGCAGGTGAGACGCATGGACCGACTCAAAACAACACGCTAGAGACCAGCACCGCCGACAACTACATGCGTTTCGGCCAATTCGGTGGCCAATATGTCCCAGAAGCCCTAATGGAATGCCTTCTTGAGTTGGAAGCTGGCTTCGAAAGCGCCAAAACCGATCCAGCCTTCTGGGCCGAGATCCGCTCCTACGCTGCATACACCAACCGTCCTTCAAGCCTACACCTAGCATCCCGCCTGACTGCCCACGCAGGCGGTGCCCGTATCTGGCTAAAGCGAGAAGATCTCAACCACACAGGAAGTCACAAGATCAACAACGCTCTTGGACAAATCATTCTCGCACGCCGACTGGGCAAAACGGCTATCATTGCCGAGACAGGTGCCGGTCAACACGGTGTTGCCACAGCCACTCTATGTGCGCTCTTCGGAATGAAGTGTACCATCTTTATGGGGGCCGAAGACGTGCGCCGACAAGCGCTAAACGTCTTCCGGATCCGCTTACTCGGTGCGACTGTCATCCCTGTTGCGGGTGCTCACGAAGGCGAGAAGGGAACTCTCCGTGATGCTGTGAATGCGGCATTCCGAACTTGGGTGACTGACCTCAAGACGACTCATTTCGTCGTCGGGTCTGTCTTTGGTCCGTACCCGTATCCGACTATCGTGCGGACGCTGCAATCCGTTATTGGCGAGGAGACTCGGGCCCAGTTTATGGAGGAGATGAATGGGAAGCTGCCCGATGCGCTTGTAGCCTGTGTGGGCGGAGGATCAAATGCCTCGGGAATGTTTTACCCGTTCTCTAAGGATGAGGGTGTTGCTTTTGTTGGCGTTGAGGCCGGTGGAGATGGAGTCGACACTGGCAGACATGCCGCCACTCTGGGACGGGGAAGTGTTGGTGTTCTCCATGGTGTTCGAACTTATGTTCTTCAGGATGATGATGGGCAGATTACCTCAACCCATTCTATTTCTGCTGGCCTGGATTATCCTGGCGTTGGACCTGAGTTGTCTGCCTGGAAGGATTCTGGTCGGGCGAGATTCATTGCCGCCACTGACGAAGACGCGCTTGACGCGTTCCGGTTGCTGAGCCAGACTGAAGGGATTATTCCTGCGTTGGAGAGTGCACATGCTGTTGCGGGTGCGGTTCGGGTTGCCCAGGAGCTTGGACCTGACAAGGATATTGTGATTTGTCTGTCAGGAAGAGGTGATAAGGATGTGCAGACTGTGGCGGCTATGGCCGGGGAAGTGTAGGACTGTTATGTGGTCTTCCCTATCTTTCGTTTCTTCCCTAATTCTTGTTGCTTCTCTATTCTTCGGTTCTTCATGTTTAGCTCTTCTTTTTCTTGTTGTGTCTTTCGTTGATATTGATACCTAAGTAACGGATACTCTAGTCGATTTAATGGCATTTTAGGTTGATTGAACATCGCACTTCTCGGTCTTGAGGAAATTGGATATTCAGGTTTCCTCACTAGTACCAGGATATACAGATGCGGCATTCGGAAATAGCCATGGATATTGAGAAAAATAAATAAATATTTAAAGGGCGTGGGTAAGAACAAATGAACACCAGCTTGCTATTGGGCCAAAAAAAAATTATATATGAACAGATTGCCGAACAAAGACGGATACAAGAAAAGGGGCCATTTTGTGCGCGCGCATCAATGATACAATGGGCACCATATTCAAATCACATCGCAGGATATAGAAAATAAAGCAAGTCATTTGAACCTTACAGCGCGATCATAAAGGCACCGGTGGCAAGAGCGACCAGGCCGTAAAGACCGGTCTGCCAAGCACCAATGACAACGGCCTGGGGGGCAGTGACAACACCAGCGGCACCGCTAGAGGTGGCACCAGAGCTGGAGCCGGTGGCAGTGGAGCCAGCGTTAAGAGAGCCACTGACGGTGCCAGTGCCAGCAGTACCGGCGGCCTTCAGCTGGGAGCTGCAGGCGCTGGCAGTGGTGGCAGACTTGGTGGTGGCGGCACCGCTGAAGCCACAGGCATCGGAGGACTTGCCGTTCTTCTTGTAGTACTGGTCCATGGCAAAGGCAAGACGCTGGTTAGCGCTGCAGCCGCTGTAGGCACCGTAGACACCGCTGGTACCGTTACCAGTGACACCGTCCATAACACCCTTACCACCGAGGTAGCTGAAGGTGCTGGCCATCTTCTTGGAGGATATGCCGTCCACAGGAACACAGGTCAGAGAGTCGTACATGCAAGAGCAGAGGGACGAGTCAATGGCCGGGGGCAGGCTGCTAGCAGCGAGCCACTCATCAGCCTTAACAGTGGGGCAGCTGCGACCAACAGTGGTGGAGACAGAGTAGTCGCTCATGGCGACACCGGTGGGGGTAGCCTTCTGCATCTGGGAGGACAGGTAGCTGAAGTCGGTCAAGGTGGAGACGGAATTGCCCGAAGTGGAAACCAGACCGTAGTCATTGTCAGTCTCGAAGTACATGTAGACAATACCACCGCTCCAGACGTTCTCCATCTCAGGACCGAAGAGAACGGGAACATCAGTGAATTTACGAGGGGCGGGCTTGTTGCAGCCGTACTCGGAGAAGAAAGCGGGGACAGGGTAGTCTTTGAACTCCTCGGTACGGGCCTGGTATCCGGAAGTCTTGTAGGAAGATTCACCGCACCATTCGTAGATGTTGTAACCGAACATGTCAATGGAGTCGGAGGAATCATCGCAAACCAGGTAGTTGGCAATGTTCTCACGAACACTAGCGTCATCATCAGTGGCGTAACCGATGGCCAAGGATGAGCGGTAGTTCTTCTGCTGGATGTAGGTCTTCATGTCACGAACGGCAGCCTTGACGTAAGCCATGGAGTTACTGTTGTTAACGCTGTTGGAGACCTCGTTTCCGGCGAAGAAACCAATGACGTTCGGGTACTGGGCGAAAGCATCAATGACCGAGGAGTAACGGTCGAAGATGTCAGCGTTCCACATGGGTTCGCTGGACTCAATGGACTCCGATGGGGAGGACAGATCGCTGATAACGTAGATACCAGCATCGGCCAGGGCATTCATACACTCGTCGTGGGAGGAGTTGGGGTTGACAGCGTAAGTACGAACGACGTTGGTGCGCAGCTGGGTCAGGTAGGGGATATCACGCTTGCAGCTTTCGGCGTCGGCCAGCGGGTCAGTGTAATCAATGTCGGAGCTTCCACCGTTGCGGGCGTTGTAGTCGGGCTGGTAGGCAACACCACGGATGTAGAATTCGGTACCGTTGTTGGAGTAGAAGAACTTCTTGCCCTTGATCTCAATGGAGGGCACAGTCGCGAGGGCCGATCCCAAAAGGGACAGACCAGCGATGATGGAGTACTTCATCGTGGAGCGAGCGTCAGGATAAAAGAATAGAAAACTCCCAAAAGAATGACAAGAAGGGCAATGAAGCCGTTCGTGGGATGTAGTGGGATAGGAAAGCGAATGGAATTGGGGAAAAGAAAGAAGGAAAAGAAGAAGTTGAAAAGGAAGAGAAAAGAGAGTAGGGGTTGGGGGGTCTGGGCTCGGGAAAGAGAAAGGGCGGATGGGTCCGGGGGTGTACCCTGAAGGCTGGTGGTACTTGACGATACGCTGGGAAACGCCCTACAACGAGAGGTCACTGGCCCCTGTCCAGGTACATCCAGTCCCGTCAAAGTAACGACGCATCATCAGTGGGCTGTGCCAGCTCCATTGATGTGCGGATGCCACTTACAACTGAAATGATTGGCATGGATCCAGCCTCGCAAACGATGTGAGACCGATTATATCGAGGGTTTCAGGGTCATTGGGTCCCTGAGCTCCACTTCTCACTTCCGCTAGGAGTTATTTGATTGTTTCGGTCCCCTACGGATCCACCCCGACGGACCCTGCACCAATGACCCTGCGTCGTTCTAGCGTGTCCCCTGAGACCTCCTCCACTGTATTCGCTAGTAAGCCGCTTGAGACCCACTCTGCAATCACATTGGACCCTGGTTGGGCCGTCTCAGGGTCCTTGTTCTTGGGGGTCCAGGGTCGCGAGTGGATTGGAAGACCCTGAGTGGTTAAAAGGGTTTAGGCTCCACTTTCCGATACACAATCCTGCTTTATGAGGGAAATTGTGCGATTTATAAATAAATAGAACCAGGCGAAAGACCCGTGGAATCGTCCATTTCCAGCAGATGAATACATCCGCCGTATGAATCCCGTATCAAAACAATGCACGAAAATACACTTTCTCTAGATCTTCCCCTATCCATCCCCTTTAGACTTGGACTCGCAACACAAAAAAGCTTGTCCTTCGCTGCCAAGGCGATCTACTGTGCACAGAGTACAGTGGATGTTGCGATAATGTCGAAAAGAATGCCAACTGCCATGGCACTAATGTCGGAGCATTATTTCATTCCCCAATTTGTGTCAACCTTGGAAGAACCATACCACGCCATGCCACGAGATCCGACTTAAATACCACATTCCCATTGCCCGTAGCTAAAGCGACAAACGTCCGTGCTCTGCCATCGCTTATCTCGACTAGCGTTCTGCATTAATTATGGAACCCGTACTAAAGACTGCGGAGACGGGGTTGGACAGCATTCCAGAATCTCCCCATGTGATTCTGTGAGCACCAGGCAGAAACGTTTCTCTTTGACATTGATCTCTGAGTTTGCATGTCCACAATATACGGTTATTTTTGGCCGGCAAAACTTGGTCAGTCAAACTTGGCCAGTCAGAAGCATTCCAAAAAAGCGTCTCTTAGGTGGGGCGTGGGTTGTGACGGGACGGCTCAGGTGTCGCATTGATCCAAGGCCCCGATGGCGTCACGAAGCAAAGGCATGATTCGACTCTGCTGAAGAAAAATGGCTGCCTTTGCCTCTTTAGATTCCCCCTGACTATCACTGTGGGTTATAAATGTGGGTCGCGCATATCAATGCATCATTATGGTGATCCCTCGCGTTCGATGCCGCCACAAAAATGTGAGCTATGATCGACCACGCGTCATCCCCATAGCGTGGTACAACAGACTATATTTGTGATACTTCTCTCAGAACTATTTGATAAATTTCGGTCTGGTTTGTACGGGCGCGCTCAATTTTGGGGGCTGAAACTCGTTGACTATACATGAATCATAAAACTGCCTGGTGGAGATGCATCGCCCTGCAAGATACGGAGACGGGAAATCATAATTCACGTGGGAGACGTAGTGATCTTCGATCAAGCTTTGTCAATTTCTCCTTAATATCGCGAGCTTGTGATCTACGTGAAGTACCAGCTGCTGCAAAATCCCAGGTCTTGAAACTAACCTGGGAAGGACGTCGCCGAGCTGGTTGCACTTCGATCCGACGCCAATCCTTCCTCTTGGGTGAAATGGCGTATTGACAAATGTATCGTGGTTTGCCTTTCAATTATTTCGATTCTGATCATTCTCTCCTGGGGTCTGCATTGGTTTGTCAAATTTTCCATATCTTTCTCACCATAGCCTACTAAGAGAGCATTGGTTTCTCTAGGCCCTGAAATGCAGTTTCTTATTTCTACCTGTGCACTGCGACTTTCTCATTAACCATGGGCCCCTCAATTATGATAGCCTATACTCACACACATTCGTCCAGAGAGCAGTGACCTCTCTAGTCAAGATAATTGATTTGAGGGAACCTGTGTTGTGGAAGCATCAAAGTGCATGGGTTTCTTGACAGATCATGACTCAATTCAGCCTTTGTCATAGAATGGCGAGTTTTCTCTCATCGGCAGCACATATCTACAACTTCCATCATCTTAAGGGAACCATTCCTCCATTAGTCCGCTATTGTCTCCTCGCCATCTCCCTCCACTCAGCAATCACAAATACAACGGTAACCCTCAAATCTAGATCTAAGTCTTTTTGCGACGTAAGGTTCCCATTCCTCTCCCCTTGAAGCCTCTGCAAGGTAGAAAGCGAGAACTTTTCCGTCCATCCCAAAAGACTTCTGATGCCGTAATCACTGCTTCGATCCTCCGAGTATAACGCCAGCCTCCGCCCCCGCATCCTTACCACTCATCATATACGTCTTGCCCTGCCACTGAACCGAGCAATTCTGATGCAGTGCCGTGAAATCAACCCTTTTTCAGATCAATGCACTTCATCAAGCTCTCATCGCCGGAGTGGCGCCAGTCGACGCCGATCTTATAGCCCGTTGTCTAGTGGCGGAAGAAGTATGCGAAGGGTTTTTCGTCGCCGAATGGCATGACCGTTGGTTTCCGGTGGTCTGGAGAGACGTACGAGCTGGTTTTATAGATTATGGCCGATGGATCCGCGGCTGTATATACATGACTGTCGCCGGATGGTGAGGGACACCAGAGAAGACTAAGGTATCGCTCTACGGACTTGGGACTCTTTTGCAAGTCAAAGCAACGCATTAGAGTGGTTTCAAAATCAAATGAGCTCGTGTGAGGTCATGGTTAGAGAAACGCGCTATTTGAAACATCTTATTGATCTATCGTAAACCCTTCCTTGTACGTTGACATTCTAATCATCGGTGCATAGATAAATTGCACTAATTATTGGCTGTTGAAAATGATATGTCATCTATTGTAGCCCCTCCGATCTCTTTGGGTAGTCCTTTCGACTTGGTATAGCAGTTTTGATTTCGACAAACACGGGTGTTTTTATTTTCCATGTCCGCTGTTTCAACAGTCTCTCCATCACACGTAACTATCCAACTTTGCATCCACATTGTATACAATCCAAAGACGGATACTTGAAACTATATCTGTCGTGTCGACCTTGCCATTTCAAATGAACACCTGAAGTCACTAGAGATCACTTACGAAGACTCGGGTAACCATTTAGCAAATACTTTGGCTATGTACCAAGCCATGGGCCTTCATTGATACTATACACGGTTGAAAGGTCACTGTTCTCTCCTTCAGAGGGACTTGTGAACTTGAATCAAAATCCTACTTCCGCCTATAATCACAAATTTTTCGTCAAACTCAACATTGGAAGTCACTCAAGCGACATTATTCCATCAAGACAAGCAGTATGACGGTCTATTCCTAGAACTGCTTCGAGTGTTTTAGAGGGAATTTGCATTTGGCTTCGTCCAGTGGTCCAAGTCAGTCCACCTGTGTCAGTATCAACTGTTCGATTTGAAGTTCAGTATTTAAAACCAGAATTTGGTAAAATTTCTATCAATCCATATGTATATCCATGGATATATATGCTCACGTAAGGTTCCCCTCCAAAATCTTGGGACACATATTCAAAGGTCGGACTCTCCATATTTTCATATTTCGTGAATGAGCAGTCTGTTGTATCCTGCGAGGGTCGGAAGGTGGAAGAATGAACATTTTCTATCTGGTAGTGAGCTCTGATATTATGTTCATAAACTGTACAACAAAAAGCAGATCTCCGGTGCGCAAGTGCTCCACACTAATCATAGTAAGCGCAGGCAGCAACGTAAAGCAGAAAACCCGCCAACTGATCGCAGAATAAATGTCTCCAGCTTCCGTCAATTAGCGCTTTTCCTTATTTTCACCGAAATACTAGCTAACTGCCGGGGCCTTGGGCCCTTCGTCACCGTTTCATGCCCATCTTCAGGCTAGAGTATAAGCCTGTTCGGGCCCCCCGTCAGATCCCCACGGGCGCCAGCGCATGCCTTTTTTGATTCGTCGACTGCAGAAAAAAATGACCCGATCGCTTGAACTTTGCCGCCTGACATGATCTGGACTCTGGGGAATGTGGCTAGGCGATGCCTCTGTACTGCCACTCCGACATTTTCCCGTCTGTGCGTCGTTGAGCGGATCACCCCAGACGGCAAAGCCACCGACGTATCATTCGCAGCCTCATGCTAACTGTATTGCAGGCACCAAAAATCCCACCCGGGTGATACTGTATTCACGATGGATATAAGTATGGCCAACCCCCTTCGCTGGCTCGCAGTGCACACCAGACCACACGTGACTGCAGTTGGACGCGACGTGGCTGTTTCTACAGAAATGGACAAGGGGTTGTGGCGGCCGGGCTCGAATCGCTTCGCATTGCCGTGTTCTGATTGCTCAATTCTCAGCTAGGACCCACCAAAAAGCGGGAACAGCAAATGAAGGGAACTCTTGCAAGCCACCCACATGTCCAATCAGCGACCGAGGCATGGCGTGGCCATAGTGTGCCACAATGTCAATCATCGCGGATGTTGGAGCCATCAGATCCTGGAAACGCAGCATGCGGTGTGACCTCACCTCTGAATGTTGGGCCCGGAGACGATTATAAAATAATGATGTGATGGGCTCTTTGCCAAGAGCCCAAGATATGGACACAGGAAGCTTCATCCCGTGAAGCATCTTGTATTTCTTGGTTTTAGGCTTTTTGTGGCTCCTGGCCAACGCACTCGACCCTTGGCAGCCTGACACCCAAGATTCCAAAGAGGACATCCCGATTTGATATATATTAACAGGCTCCTTAGACAGACAATTGCAGTTCCAACGGTTGATTCTGAAACCCCATCGGCGTCGCAATAGTGACGGTAGTGCCCAAGTGCCAAGCTTCAACTCCACCGGTTACGATCGCCCCTGGGAACACAGCCACACTGGCATGAAAATCCCAAGGAATCGAACAACCAAATACAAACCCAAATTCTAATTTCCCCTTCTTTACCGACTGCCCCTTTGATCCCAAGGTCGTCTTTTCTTTTCTTTTCTTTCTTCGCACCATTGGTGTGAATGTCGTTCTTTGTGTGATTCTATCCATCCCTTGCTTCGCCCACTCCACCCTTTTGTTTGGTGTTTGGAAAATTCAACCTGAGAATCTCGATTGAAACCTGAATTCTTCCATTATCATATAATAACCTGTGGCTTCGAGCCTCAGCCACCTTGCCACAAGCTTCACTCCACCCACTGAGCCTCGTATGCTATTCCCTCTTTGAAACAAACTTTTACACGTAAGTGCCTATCAGCGCGCCTACGCTAGTCGGTGAGGCAATGCCAGTCAGACCAGGCTGTCGCTTTCTTTGATAAAACCCAACCCCTGCTCCTCGCCTTGCAGAAGTCTACTGGTTCCAAAACGTTGGGCTATATCTGGCACAAAAACACCCACGAAGATAGGGCAAGGCATATTCATTAACACATTCCCCAGAACAATCACATCAAATCCCAACTGATACCCTCCTTCTATCCCGCACTTTCATAATGCGTAAGTCTTCAAAATCCTTGTCTCTATGTGGCCGAATGTTTCTTGACCCAAGAAAATATCATACTTGAACCATTCTGGTTCATACTTATCAACACCTATACTAATATTTCAAAAGATATTTATCGACGCCAGGCACGCAGCCTGGCCTGGTACGACGAGGAAGACGAACAGCCTTCCCGCAACCCATTTAAGAAGTTCCGCAGACGCCCACAACGCAGGCGCTCTATCCAACTAGAGGACCAGACGCGCAGCGTGAACGATCTCTCCCTTTCAGAAGACCAGCGCCGGAAGCAGGACTTCAACAATGACGGCCTGACTGTGCCCAACTACTCGAATACATTCCCACCAGGAACAGCCAATAGTGATCAGTTCACGGCAGCTAGCGCTGAGCGCAACGAGCCGTCGATTGGTAGCGAGAACCCCATCAATGTTACCTCGGAGCGAGGGTTTGAACCGGAGGCTGAAGAAGGAAATAGCAAGACTAGACAGCGGAAAGGTGTCTTGGATCATTTTAAGCGTGGATCGACCGGAGAAGAACTGAAGGATGAGACAGAGGATGTCAAGCCCCATAAATTCACGCTTGCATCGCAGCTGAGAGCTACTATCTTCAACTCCTGGATCAATGTTCTCTTCTTTGCGGTACCGGTTGGTATTGCGTTGTATGCTGCCGATATGAACCCGGTTGCTATTTTCGTGGTTAACTTCATTGCCATCATTCCTTTGGCTGCTATGCTCAGTTTTGCAACCGAGGAGATTGCCTTGCGGACCGGTGAGACTATTGGTGGTCTTTTGAACGCTACATTCGGCAATGCTGTCGAGTTGATCGTCGCCATCATCGCGCTGGTGAAGAAGGAAGTCGTCATTGTCCAAACTTCTCTCATCGGCAGTATGTTGTCGAATTTGCTGCTCGTCATGGGAATGTGCTTCTTCTTTGGCGGTATTAACCGCATTGAGCAACACTTCAACGTTACCGTGGCCCAAACAGCTGCCAGTATCCTTGCAATCGCCGTCGCCGCTTTGATCATTCCTACTGCCTTTAGCTGGTCTGACGGTCAGTCTATTCTCCACCTATCAATGAAAATGTCAACAAAGCTAACATTATATCAAGAATCCACAGGTCATGCGGATAAAGTCGCGCCTCTGTCTCGAGGCACCAGTATCCTTCTCCTCGTCGTTTACGCCTGTTATCTCTTCTTCCAACTCAAGTCTCACGTAGAGATCTACAACCGCCCCAGCCCAAAGGTCGAGAAACGCCGTCAGAAGGTTACTGAAGGCGATACTACCCGCAACCTCGCACAAATCGGCAAGATGAGCGCCGGTACGATGGGCGGTGGACAGGCACAACAAATGCAGATGCAAACTCCGGATGACGAGCCCGAAGAGCCCCAGCTCTTAATTTGGGTGGCCGCTCTTACACTTGTGGTTTCAACTGCATTTGTTGGTGTCTGTGCCGAGTTCATGGTGAGTTAAGATGCATTAGCTAGCAAGGTCCCATCCGAGGATCTAGTCTGAACTTGTAACTAATATCGTTATTTCTCTAGGTCGACTCCATCAGTGCCTTGACAGCAACCGGTAGCATCGGCGAGACTTTCGTCGGTCTGATTCTTCTACCCATCGTCGGTAATGCAGCTGAACACGCCACAGCCGTCACGGTCGCTTGCAAGGATAAGATGGACCTCGCCATCGGCGTGGCTGTCGGATCAAGCATGCAGATTGCCCTGCTTGTGCTGCCCCTGATCATTGTCATCGGATGGTGCATGGGTGTTGATGACATGGTACGAATCTTATCCTTGAAACCGTCACTTAAGTAGACTTGACACTAATTCTCTGAAACAGACTCTTTCGTTCGACAACTTTCAAGTAATCTTACTCTTCGTTGCCGTTCTTCTGGTATGTCTTTCAACTTAAAGGATATTTGAATTCCAGCTAATCTGTTTCAGGTCAATTATCTAATCGGAGATGGCAAGTCCCATTGGCTGGAGGGTGTCTTGCTTATGACTATGTATTTGCTTATTGCCCTTGCTGCATGGTTCTATTAGGCTTGGTTATTGCCAGGTGTATGGTTGATTAATATTGGTTATCCATTTCTCAGGCTTACTTTCTCTTCCACTCGTGTATTATTTCTCATACTTATACCCTTTAAAATGTTCAATGCGACGGATAATATTACGACGCTTGGTAATGTTTGTATCTCATTGATTATATTCAGTCACCGTAAGAGCCTTCCATTAGCCCAGGTCCTCATTTAACATGTTATAGGCGGCGTGTTGGATATAATGTCCTTCGACACTGACGTCTTCTTACGGTTTGTATCTTTTGAAATGTTCCAGCGCTGTGATAAAAATATTGCTTCTATCCTTAATGCATATTCACCTAAGTTTCGGCCATAGTGAAGTTATTTTGTAATGGATTATAGCAAAGTAGATAGTGTATGGGAACAGACTGAAAACTGGAAATAGAATCGCTTGTGCCATAACTCTCTTTTCAGAAAAAAGCAGGCCTATATACTTTTCAACTAGGTAACCTGCGTTTGACTGCTCTAAGATAATAATTAGCTCTGATATCTACACATGTGCATAGAAATTTGGTCGTCTGCGATGCTCTTCTGATGGGGTATCCATTCACTGGTATCGCCTGCCCACTGTCTTCCCCGAGGAGCGGGCCGGGCATGATTCCTGGGTAGTCACCAAGATCTAGGAATTGGCTGTCTATTTCAATGAAGGCTCCCCGACTCTAATTGCTACTTGTTATCCATTTGAGCACTAGTTTCGTGCTCTCGTGCCAAGTTTTGGCGAGGTTGAGAATTTACAAGTACGCATGTATATACACCCACAGGTCCGACACTCCTCTTGGGTGGGTATTAAGAGACTGTGATGCTTGGTCCGCGATGATTCTATCTACTTGGCCTGGCTAGCTTTTACAGATAAGATAAGATGTGGTAGATACTAGGATGCTAGGACAGATTTTCATGCGTAACTGCGTTATCTGTCACATGTTGAACTCTAACTAGATGCCATTACTTATGACCAAGCACATTGGCATCATCGACTTCAGTGGTGGCAGATTCATCGGGCCTCTCATCAAACTCTGTAGCTTCAACTTTATTAGCGTTGAAGAGACAACAGAGATTCCATCATGATCTATACTGACCGCAACATCCACAATACGGCATGCAATCACAGTATTCATAACAGCCCTTCCCAGGAGGAAAATGCTCACCACATGCCCGGCAAATTGGATCGCATTTGTGAGTGGCAGCTACCATCTTTCCACATTGTAGGCAATAAGTTTCCTGGGTCTTCTCGATGTCTTCGCTTTCAGGGTTCTTGTAACAATCTTTGCCACGAGCTTCATCTTTGCCATGGAAATGGAAGATATGTCGACCTGAGTGACCCATTTTGTTGGCGTGGGATGGGCTAGCACCTCTATTCTAGCACCTATATCAGTAAGAGGAGGGATGCAAACATGCGAGTGGGGAAGGGGGAGGAGGAAGAGGAGGAGGAGGAGGAGGAGGAGGAGGAGGAGGAGGAGGAGGAGGAGGAGGAGGAGGAGGAGGAGGAGGAGGAGTGAATCAGAGATAAGCCTTCTAGTTGGCGTAAATTGGGGAAAGTAGGGAGATAGTACAGTGAGGACTTGAAACTCACAATAGCAATGTTCTCCTGTCCAGCAATAGAGATTATTGCAATTAGTGAAGCAAATGATGCTGAAGAGAAGAGCATTTTGAGGAATGAAAAACTATTCATAGAAGGAAAGGAATATCGCTCTTAATCTGTCAAACATAGAATATAATCGGACATCTCCTTGCAAACAGGATTGTTTGGACCAGCGGGACTGCCCTTGGAACAAACACAAAGCATTCCAGAAGCTTGGTTTATGGGGAAGAAGTTTGGCATCCCAGATTTAGAAGTCAGGCAAGTAATGCGGCGACTGTTTAAATGATCGAAAACCTTGGTTGAAATGGATATATTAGTCCAGCATAACAGCGAATGGATCGAGAATGGAGGTGATTGATACGAATTTCACAAGTCACACACATCCCACCAAATAAGATTGGATTGAAGATTTTATTGCCGCAATCAAGAAGCACCTAGGATAAGGAATGTGAGATACTCTGTCACTTACCCGAACGACATGCTGAATGCAATTTTGACTTGAATTGGTAAAAAAGTGATATTACTTGAGTAAATGACTAACCAACATAGTGAAGTTAGTTATTACTTTGCCTATTACATAATGTGTTGAAGAACCAGAGAAGAAAATGGAGAAGGCTTGGAAGGAAGTCACAAGTTGGACTGACACCTGAGGCAGTCAATGGCACGAGACCATTCACGAATACCCCGTAGTCCAAGTTGCTAAGACTAATTTAGTGGTCAATTTACCCGTACGGGGAGCCCAGCAACTAGCCCCGGGTCGGCTTCTAGATGCAGGCTAATGTGTTCCGTAACTTAGCCAATTTAAATTATCCCGGTTGCTACGGTAGAATTTTGGTACCCAGTCAGCACACACATACAGTCCCCGGAGTCCGATCGCTACGAAAAGGCCAATAGCCAGCAATAGCCGACCGCAGCATAAGCATAAAACCATGAAAGTGTGGATAACATCATACATGACGAAACCAGAAAATTCAATGGCTAAACAATCAAGCACGGTAGGCATGACATAGTAATCGGGGCACTCGGAATCGGGATCCCACTCTGTGCCTGGATTTTTTTACCCGAACCCGATGTGGGGGGATTTGTGGGTGCTTGTAATCAAATGATCGGGTTCTGAATTCTGATGACATACCCGTGGGTCAGTAACATTGATCTTGACCAGGGGTCGAATTCAGGACTGGTATTCAAATTCTATAGAGGTTTTCAACCCCCATTGTAGGGCAGGGGTTGTCAGTAAGAGAAAACCAAACTACGCGGGCTGGGCTGGGCTGACGGTCGGAGTCGGCTCCGCGTCAGGATAGGGTCCCGCAGAACCCGATCGGTTATTTTCCGAGCCTGGTTCATAGACACGAAAAACACTTCAAACATTTGAATTACGTTAATACCAGGGTCCACGTAATTTCTGCATCCACCTGTAGGTCGTCTCTGCAGCTGCACCTTGGGCAGGGAAGTCATATAAAGATTACTGTTAAGTAAAGATCTCCCATCAAACAGGCTTCTCTTGTCATGACAGACCGATTCGGTAATCCGAGCGCGGGATTTTCCTTGCGGATTCGCATGAAGCCAGGGCCGCGGCCCCGGTCGAGAATCGGGTAAAGGGCAGGGAAGATCCATCAATTGGGTAAATCTCCAGAGGGGGGCCACTTTTTTTTTTTTTTTTTTTTTTTTTTTTTTTGCTGGTCAGCTGGGGGGTTATATACTGGTTCATTGGGTCATTTTGGAGATTTGGTTTTTTTTTCCCGGGATTGGGTTACCCCCAATCTGATGAGTGGGTGTACACCCCCCCCCAAGCCAAGACCAGCAAAAAGCAAAAGGGGAATAGGGAAATGAAAAGGGGAATGAGCAGCCGAGTACGGGGAAGGTTCCGAGTTTTGATTTATGATTACTAGAGAACAATGTCATCGAGGCTAGATGTGGGGATGATTGACAGTGACAGTATGCAACATGGTTAACATGGCAGAACCGGGGAATTGAAAAGCAGCGCTTAAATTTCCCTTTTAAGCTTTGGCTTGTGTTTCTCCGCATCACTGAACCAGCCCTTGTTGCGAGGAAACAGAATATCCACCGGGGAAAAGTCAAACGAGGGGTCCACCTCTTGACACGAGGCAAAAGGAATATCCCCGGGATTGGCACATGATGTATGGTCCTTTTTTCTCCAGGAAAGAGGAATCCTTCAGGCCCGAAAGATTCCCCTAAAACACACCAGTGGGCCAGTGGAAAGCAAATTCGGGCCATAGCCGGCCTTACGTAATGTGAAATTAGGAAATGCGGGGTTGGCCGGGGTCGGTTCGCTCAGGCTTCGGAGGCTGGGGACCAATCACAGGCTCTAGCCGGACGGGGCCGAATGTCGACGGGACTGCCGTGGGGGAAAAATGAAATTCTCGGCGTATGACTTTCCCGTTCATTCCTGACAGCAAGGGGGCGTTTTATTTTTATTTTTGATTTATGTGGCTTTCGGGGATGTTTGTTCTACTGTCACGTACATAACAAAAAGGCAACTGGAAACAGGTTCCAAGGATCTCGGATCACCCATGCAGCTCGGCATCGGGTTCTCGTTTGCTGCAGCTTGAACGAGGTCTGGGATGTGATCATCGTATTGCGGTGAGATTCCGTTGATATTGGTTGGACCGAAGGAATGAAAGACCGGGGCCCCGGGAAGTTGTGCGTAGGGGTGACACAATGACATGACGGAGCCCTCCGTCGGGGAATCAATAGAGAGGAGGCCGACCCTAGCGAGGGACTAAGTACTGATGTAACTTTCGGAGTGTAGGAACGAGGATCTATCGCGGATCTTTTTGTCGCTGCGGGGAGCCCCGGTCGTGTGTTCACCAAGTCTTAGGGGAAAACAGTTACGAGAATGTCTACCCGAGGGATCACAGATGGGAATCCCGAACGTGTTCCCCCTCTTTTTTGCCTCTCTTTTGCCTCCTCGGTATATTTATGAATCCGTGGCTCCGTGGCTTTCCCCAGGCCATGTGGGAACCTAAGCCCTAGAATCCTTCATGTGGAGTGCATTTGGGTCTAACCGTTCTCGCTGTACTCTCCGACTTTTGTCCATCCTTTCCGTTAGCCAGATGTGGACTTCCCGACTCGGGCAAATGTACGCTGTCATGGCGTATGAGATCCAGCCATTTGCCGATCGGAAGACCAGGGTCCGTGTACATTAAGGACGGGATGATCCTGGAGACAGTGATGTCGTCCGATCTCTCATATTTTGGGTCCTTTCCCCACTTACCAGATTTCCAATTTCCATTTCCTTCTGATACTTGCCGTATAGAACGGGAAGTGACCGTGGGATTGGTATTTCAGCCAGTCCCATCTGGACCTGGACCAGCACGGTGTGACTAGAAATGTTCCACTGACATCGGGAAGTTGTGAATGGATCATGAGATCCTAGCTCGGACCTCTGTCAAATACTACCTAGGTTCGATGGTGCAGTTTCGGCCTCGGGTTTGTAAATTAAGCAATCGGTCTTCAGGTATGGGGTAGAAAAGACTAAGAAATATGGGGTAATTTATACCGGGCGATGTAAAAAATACAGCCCCATTGAACTAAAAAGCTCGGCATCCGGAAAACCTGGGGGCTCCACTCTCCACGAATCAAGCCAGCGCGCGTCCTTGCATACCTTTGGGCCTCCGCAATTTCAAATGCCCAGTTCCCCAGCGGCTCTCGGCTCCAAACCGTTTTGATTTATCCATACTCCGTTCCCTTCCGATCTTCTTTTCTCCATTCGCATTCCCGGTCCCGGTGCCCCGTGGACTTTCTTTTCCCCCACACTCCGCCCATTGCCGTCTATCCCCCTTCGGGTTCTTCTCTCCTGGGGTTTCTTTCCTTGTCCACACCGTGATAGAGGTACGTATGGATGGAATACCATTGCGCAAAGGATCTAGAACGCTAATCTCGTGAACAGATCAGGTCGAATACACACTCACATAAACAGAATTCGAATTCATACCAGCCCATATTCATCGGGACCATCTCACCCGGCCAGTGAACCCAAGTGAAAACAACAGAAATCAACCGCAACCCACAGTGATAAATGGGATTCCACACTCCGGACTGAGCGTTTACCACCCGAATTCGTGCCCGCAGACGTGGGGTCTGCCTAACTACAACCATGCGGTCCAGTATCGCTTGCGCTCGATGCCGGCGCAGTAAAATCAAGTGCGTGAACTCTGGCATCGATACCACCTGCCGCGCGTGCGAATCCTCCGGCCGAGAGTGTGTCTACCCAACCCCCGCTATCGGCATAAGTGGAAATAAGCGAGATTTGGCTGCGCTTGTTGATGGGGAGGATCGTAATGGAGACTGGGGAGATGGACCGAAGCGACCACGCCAACGCAAAATCCCCGGCATCACAGGGTCTTCCCCAGGATCCAAAACCGGTCTCGAAGCCCTCGATGCCTCGATCCTCACCGCAAAAGTCTGGGAAGCCGTCTTCGATCTATTCCAATCGCATTTCGCTACACATCTACCTTTCCTCCATCCAGCCACCTTTCTCGGGCAAATACGTCAGCTGTCCACCCCAGCGCCGCCAACCCCGGTCCAGGTAGAGGGACAGGAAGCTGTGCGCAATATCGCTACCAAGACCGATCCGTCCTCATCACTAATCCCGCTGGGAGTTCTCGCACTAACTGCTCGGTTCCACCCACCACTCGTCGCATTCCACTCCCCCGCGTCCCCTGGACACTCCCCGAACCCGTTGACAGCATCGGAATTCTACGCAACAGCTTTACGAAGCCGGCTGGCCGGCCTCGATGGTGCAAGCCTGGCTGTGCCCGATCTGGCCCGTGTCCAGGCACTTCTCATGCTGGCACTCCATGAATGGGGCATGTGCCGTGGTAAGAGCGCATGGGTATATGTCGGAATGGCGATCCGGCTCGCCCAGAGCATGGGTTTACCATTTGAGCTGGAGAATGAGTTTCCCCCAAGGGACTTTTCCCGCTCATCGCCGGGCTTCAAGTCGGAGGCTGATCATTTCGGGCTGCTCCGTCGAATGGAACCAAAGGAGCAAACATCGGATGATGTAATTGCACAGGAAACCAAGCGTCGGACCTTTTGGGCTTGCTTCATTCTGGACCGATGCCTGAGCAGTGGCAAATATCGCCCGCGCATGATCAACATTCAGGATCTCGGAATCCAACTTCCGAGTGATAATGCCTTCGCTTTTGGAGAGCGGGTTCGGACAGCCCGGTTGAATGAGCCGACTGCGCGCCGCCCTCAAAGCTTCGGCGCCCAAGGCGTTCAGATCCCCAGTATTCGGCAGAGTTTAGGGTTGGGCGATGATAAGATTCCCCCTACGAACGGTACCCCTGATGGCAAGGCCTGGTCGCCCATCTCACGGCGTAAGGACTCGAGCGAGGATGACGTCGATCGATGGGAGGTCGGTGCAGAGGAGTCAGTCTTGAGTAGAGTGATTCGCATAATCCGCATTTGGGGAAGTATCGCCAAGTGGTCTTGTGCAGGTGGCCGAAGAAACGAGCAGTACCCCCCATGGCATCCCGAGTCACGCTTTGCAACGCTACGGATGCAGTTGAATGAGTTTCAAGACAGCCTTTCTCGCAATCTCCAGTACTCGGTACGAAATACTGATACCCATATCATGTACAAGACCACACTGGCCTCTTACACTGTCATGCATGTGGTGTACTTCTTGTCGGTCATTGTTTTGCACCGTGCTTATATTCCATTCTTGCCTCTTCGTTGCAATGAGCCCATTGGCCCCTTGGATGAGCCCTTACTGCCTTCCGACAAGGTCAGTGGCCCACCCGAGGCCTTCTGGCGGGATAGCGCCCGCGAGTTGTGCAAAGCGGCTCGCCAGATGATTGACCTAGTCGCAACCTGTCAAAGCCGCGGTGCTCTTGTTGAGAATCCTCTTGTTGGCTTTGCAATCTACAATGCCGCCTTCATTGGTGTGTATAGCTCTCATTTCCCCCACATGGATCCTGACGGTCTTCTGGCCGCCAGACATCCGCCAGCCAGTCATGACAGCCACTTGCCCGGTGCAGTGCAGTCCCGCAAGGCTCTGGATATCCTACGGGAGATGCGGCCACGTCTCAAGATGGCAAGTGGGTGGTTCCGAACTTTGAATCGTCTCCACACCTACTTTTCCAAGGTCAAGCGGGACTTCCGCCGTTACTCTCGCAATCGCCTTGATAGTATGTCGGACGCTTCTGATCATGGGGGTGCCAACGGCGCTCGGCCAGTTCGGGAAGGCGGTCTTGGTGGAGGCTTGGAGGAATTCAAACTTCTAGAGAAGCTGTTCCTAGACTTTGGGTCCATCGAGGATCAGCTGCAGGATTCAATGGAGGAAGATGGCATTGCAATGGTCGTGGGTGGAGACTTGATGCCTGATCGCATGACAAATCTCAGCGACGCTGGTAGCAATGCTGTCAAGAGTGAACTTGGAGATGCTGGTGAACAGCAGCTGGACGGTGCCGGTGGTCGTCGCGAGTCCTGGGTGCCTGTCAACAGTCCTGGCCTGCCTTTACCCAGCCACGACGGTGACCGCCGCCCCAGTCTCCCTTTGCCTAACAGCAGCCGCCCCATGCCATCGCAGTCCCCTTATTCATTGCCATCTTTGCAACAGCACCACCCAGATGGTCCTATGTACACCTCCCCTCAAAGCCTTCCATCTTTGGTAGCCACCACCCAATCTCCCTCGCAATATCTCACTGCAACAACCAACCGGCTGCAGCCCATCAACTCCTGGCTCCCTACTCGCCAGAACGCACCTCCTCCATACTCCCAGTCGCTTCCACCCATCAATGCTACTGCCCCAAATGTACCTGTCCTCCCACCACCGGGCTCAGGTACCCAGTTGGCCCCATCACCGCCCTTGACCTCGACCGAGGGTCCCGACACTAGCCTCCTGTCAACTAGTCTTGGTGGTGACGATGTCATGGCCTTCCTGGATGGAGGGGACTGGACACAACTATCCATGATTCAACCCTCAGAAGTCGGCATACCCACCGGATGGCTAAGCACCGTGTGGACTACCTTCAGCCGATAGGTGCTAGTGAAGCGTTTACGCTCTTCTCTGTACTATTATTCATTCACGACTCCCTCTCTCTCTCGTCCGTTACGTTACGTCTTACGTACTGTACGACTATCTACATCCACGATCGCAGGCGACTTGAAAAAAAGGAGAAGGAATCTTGAATTTGTTTTTGTTTGAGGTGTTCGGTGGATGCGATGCGATCCGATCCGGGCTGGCTTTACCTGGGCTCACTCAGTTCAGGCCTGAGCCGGAACACACGGAATTCTCTCTTGATACCCAACCTCAGACCGCTTTTCCTTGGTTCTTTCTCTCTATTTCTTTGTTTCGAGTTATCCCCGGCGCAGGAGGTTCCGTCAAAGGGGTTTATTCTTGCCTATCTCTTTGCCTACTACTTTACTCTCGCCACCGATCTTCCAGCTTTCCCTCCCCCCTATCTCGTTCTGTCTGATTTTTCATGTTCTGTGTTCTAGCGAGCGTCGGTCGGGTAGGCAGGGCATGATTGGTCTGCCCTTGCTTTTTGCTTTCCTGCCTTGTTTTTTCTTGTTTCAACTCAGCCCTTGCTTGGGACGCGATTACGATGAGCTATGGCGTTATGCTAGGTTGAGACTATGTTAAGTCTGCTATTGTCAGTTACAGCTACTGCAATAAGCTTATGGTTATGCTTAGGTATCCTATTTTGACTTGATTCGAAGTCGAGACAATTGATTGGCCAGTAGGCTTTTCTTGCGTTTCATCTATTTTCTATCTTACTGAGTAACTTGATGCTTGTATGCTGTAGTATCGGATGAAGAAGTCCAGGTCCATGTAGCAAAAAGTGTGTATATACCAATCAGAGAACGAACACATGACTTGGTGTACAGGGTCAACCAACATCACACATATTACATCTAAGCCAAACCCTCCTGTATGCCTCTCACAAAATCCATGTGCCTCCTATATTCCTCATCGCTACCATCCAACACCCCCGTCTCTTCCAACAATTCCATAAGATCAAGCACATAATCCTGACAATTCCACCCCGAAATGTCATTGTGAACAGCAGCTTCGCTTGCGACCCTCTTAATATCGTTGGCTTTCATGACGTCCACATTGCAGACATAGATCAAATCTACTATGTCGGGCGACCTTCGTGCATCTTTCGTTTCAGGTTCGTACCGAAATTGACCATCCGATCCCTTCACTTGGAGAACAGTTTTATTTTTCTGGTTCTCATCGTCGATGAAGAGACCCCATTGCTTGAAGACACCATCACCCTTAGTTATGGCGATGTAGAGCGGGATGGTGGACATCGGAGGGGGTGGACGCTGTAGGTGTTTCAATGTCAGATTTTGGCATGGATGAAGTACCTATGTCTCGATAGTCGACGGACTTACAATGGTATGGGGCTTTGCCAGTGGCCGTGAATCGTACGTGAACATTTGAACGGATCGCGGTTTGAGGCGAGAGGTGGTCACTGGACTTAAGGAGCTTGGAGACTGAATATCGAGACGGCGATCATTGTTCTAATTTATGTGCCCTATGTACTCAACGTCCCCGCAGTCATGCAGACCCGAAAATAGATTGGCGCCGACCTATGTACAATATTCACTGTTCTGATGGTAGTTTCCCCACGCACATGCAATGACAGCGAGACGCGCAAGATGAAACATTCACCCCATTGAGGGCGCTAAAGCCTGAAAATTGTAGTTTGCTTATCCTAAGCGCTGGGTGTGGGTCAAGGTGTTCTATAGTATCTAAAGCCGGCGAGTCTATGGTACTGTAGCCGAGCGGGTTCGTCAGGCAGCACTACCCCACTTGAATCGTTGCCTTGTGGTAGTTTTGGCCCAACATGACCCTCTGAGTTTTCTGTAGATTGACTTTTGTACTCCTTACCTGATGGTACGCCAGGTTTTACGTGTGCTCCGGTTTGACTCGGTGGGTCTGGTAGGGCCAATCTGTCGCAGTTGCAGTTCCTTAAGGTGCATGCACAGTACTAATGGTGCACTAGCCGTGGTCTGCCTACTACCTAACTTGTCGAGGTCTTGTCTTATGACAGGAAGAGGACCTGTCAAAATGGGAGGTGTCAGAAATCCAGCAGAATCTTAAAAATGCAATACGAGGACCTACAGTATTCGTCTAGATCATAAAGCATGCTATTTTTCTCGTGTTGTGATATTGAATCTTAATCAGTTATGATCTACGGGGCATGTGTGCTTGGGATTTTTGTCTGCAGCTTGCGTGGCTGTACCAATGAAATGGCAGAAAATCAGATACATGACCTATTGTGACGTGGTTTACAATAATTGTATCCTGGCCCCAAAACTGTGCATGTTTCACGTGGGCGATCATTTGAGAAAGACATGATATGTGTCATATATTTTAAGCTTAATTTGTTGGAATAAAATAAAATCAAACCAAGACTCTGGCATATGGCCGGCACTTCAAGCCTTGACTGCGAAGTTAATAAAATACGACGCAGTTTACAGAACGGTATAGAGCGGTGGCCAAGGCCAATGTTGTCCTCAGGAGTCCACGCAGCCACGCTGCCCCTCCAGGTGTTCCACACCCGTGCGGCTGAGTTCCAGAGATCGTGGACTAGTACGTAAAATTCTTATCATATCGGGTTTAGACGCATATTTGGAATCTTCGGCCTCAGCCAGCCCGCCACATTACTTATACAGTCAGCCCCGCAACCTCGGGGCATCATCAAAACATTCATCCACCTCTTTAGTCTATGGAGGGCTCATTTGTTGATATCGTGCATCGCCACGAATTGCCTTCGCTACGAGATGAAGATCTTGTCCGCCTACTTTACGCCCAGTTTGGTCCACAGATTGATCATTTAAAACGTGTTCCACCCGCCGTGGAAAGCGACGAAGGCCATGAAACTCCATCTCTTGGCAACCTTACCGAAAATGCGCTCAGTCCATCGAGACTACTATTCGAAAATGATTATGATGAAGTGAACCGCTCAATCACCAATGTTCGCGCCCTGAAATGGGTGCTTGCGAATGATTATGATTCTTTCGTCACCCATCAACCTCCCCCTGTCAGGTTATCTCAAAAGACCTTCCAAGAACTGAGGCGCGAATCGGACTCTTTCCTGGAAGATACCGACTTACTCCTCGCAATCATTGTGGCGCTGGTCATCGGTGACATGGGAAAAGACCCACACCTGGTCGCTGAGATCGCAGCGCGTAGGGGTACTGAAGGTGTCGCAGAGTACGAAAACCACGATCAACTACTCGCCGATGCTGTTGAGTGTGGGATCCTAGATGGACCGCTCGGTCAGCTATCCGTTGCTCGGCGCGCGGAGGTGATTCTTGGAGTGCAGATTGGAGCGACCCTAAATATCCCCCAACTAATGCAAGGCGAAAATATCCCTGGCAGCTTACAGCCCGTTCTCAAGTTCCGTGGTCGCCCCGAGGCGTTCTATCTCAAGTATTTTGAAACAATTTTTGACGTGTGCGGCGCCGGCGGCCATCGTGATAGTTGCGGTGCGAAACGGATGATTGAACCAGTTTGCCAGTCTTTTCTACAGGCCTGGCCTATCCTGAAGAAAATAATCACCGAAGATACCCCGCTATGCGAGGCGTATAATCAAGTATTGCGGAATCGTGGGCAATTACTTGTTGATCACGGCTTTCCAGAACTATCTACCGCTGATCGCTCGGAACGGGCTTTACTACGCCTTTTCGCCATAGGCCGTGTAGCTGACCGATCAGTGGCCGAGCAATTCCAGGAAGCCTTTAGAGGCTTGGCAGAGCAAACCCGCGATGCTCTTGTTGATGGAATGAACGTTGATGGTATTGATGATGGCCAGGCTGTGCTTCTGTATTATATTCCGGCCTTGTTCGCGGAGACAAACCATGTTATGCGTGAGACATCCACAGAGGAGCAGATCACCGCATTGCAGTGTTTAATGAGCTTTATGGCTCGAACATACGGAGGTTCGCGATCGCATCCTGGTCAAGAGGGATCTATTCGGGAGCGCGATGTCTCGCCTGCTATTAAGATCGTGTGTGATCCGTCTTTTCGCCATAACCCACATATTCTGGATGAATATAATCTGCTAGAAGACTCGTAGTGAGCATTCATAGATACTTTAAATGGGGTGTCTGCGATAAACCATTATTTCACTTTGTGTTTTGCTACTCGTCATCATGATAATGGACATGTCTTTCCCGGTTGCGCACGTTGACAGTTTTAGTATGAAGTATGAGCCACTGCTCAGATGTATTGTCAAGAAGAATTTATCTGGAAGATTCTGCATATAAGCCACTATTACTAAAAAATAGTAAACTTCAATGGTGATGTTGAAAGATCGATCAAACATGTGGTTCCGTAAATCTGTTCGGCGTTCTTAGTTTCCTAAAAGGGTAACAAAGATATCCGAGCTCCGTACCCAAGTCACATGCTCCCCTTTGCCATCGCATATAAAGCGTGACTTTCCATACCTGCCTGAATTTTATCAAAACAAGATTCAGAGATTATCCATGGCATTCAAGCTATCCCGTGTTCAACGGCTCAGCGCCGTGATCGGCATTTCACTCTGCTTCTTCATAGCCGAGATCTCTAGTAAGTTTAGCCCAAGGAAAAGGAAATTCCGAGAACAAAGCTAGAAATTTGATCTGATACGATTTAACAGTTGGATTTTACACTCACTCTCTCGCCTTGGTCGCCGATGCTTTCCACTATGTACGTTGGACTTATCTGACGCAAAGACTAAACTAACGATATGTAGTTGAATGATCTTGTGGGATTTGCAATCGCTCTTGCTGCCGCAATAGTAGGTATTCTTTCTCGAATATTGATACGCATCACTGACATAGAGCCAGGTTGCTGAAAAAAGTACTCCGCCGAAAAGTCTCACATTTGGTTGGCAGCGGATCCAGCTTCTCGGCGCATTTTTCAATGGAGTGCTATTATTTGGATTGGGAATCAGTGTGTTTTTGCAATCTATCGAACGATTCATCACACTGCAGCGTGAGTTTGGCAATATCCTCATATTTTTTGGCCCGTTTGAGTAAGCGTTAACGTATTTTCCACAGGTATCGAAGAACCAAAGCTCGTCCTGATCATGGGTTGTGTTGGATTTGGTTTGAATATCATTAGCGTGTTGTTCTTACATGGTGAGCCCTTTGTTAAAGTTGAATCATCAGATACGGTACTAAATTATCATATGCAGATCATGATCACGACCATGGACATGGACACGAGTCAAACGACCCCAGCCACAGTCATGGTGAAAGTAATGATAATCCCGAGAATGCAATGTCCATTGGTCTCGTGGAAGAAAAGGTATGCTCTATACATTCTAAAGCCCGTTTTATTTATTTGAGCTTACCCTTTCTCCAGCATGTGCACCACAAGCATCACACAGACACAAATAAGCCATCGTCTCGCAAAAGTCGAGATCTAGCCATGATGGGCGTTCTGATTCATGTACTCGGCGACTGTGCCAACAACATCGGCGTTGTTATTGCAACAGCAGTGATCTGGTTCGCTAGCTACGGTGGGAGATTCTACGCCGATCCCGCCGTGAGCATGGGCATCGCGATCATGATCTTCATTTCTTCCATTCCACTCAGTATGTATCCCTCCCTCCAACACATGCTACATGATCTAACTCAGGAAAAGTTAAACAATCAGGTCTTATTCTTCTTCAAAGCGCACCACAGGATGTCGATTATGATGACGTGAAACACGAGCTAGAAAAGGTACGTGCTTGCTACTTTGATATTCTATATTGGGTACAGTTGAGCTAACAAATGTAGATTCCCGGTATCCTGGCCATTCACGAACTCCACATCTGGCGTTTGAACCAGACAAAGTCGCTTGCATCTGCACATGTCGTCTTGGATGGCGATATGCCCGATTTTGAGAGCTTGGCTAAGACTATCCGGGAATGCTTCCACGAATACGGGATCCATTCTATTACATTGCAGCCGGAGGCATATACTCGACAGGAAACTCCTAGTCCGGCCGCAGCTGAGAGCTGTATTGGAGTTGATACTAAGAAAGATGTCGAAGGTGGGAAGAAAAGGTTTAGTATTGAGAGTATCTCAAATCGTTGTACATCTGGTTGTGGGAGCTTTTGTCTTGAGCTTTCATGTTGCCGTTGAGTGCGTTCGAAGAGTAAAAATGCCTCTGTTATCATAGATAAGAAATTAATTCTTTCTTTTCCTTTTGATTCCCTTGTTCCTTGTTTTGCATTCAATGTGTTCCCTGATTTAACACCTGAGTGCCCATTGGGCGGACCCACATTCGGAGATCGTAGTTTCCTAATCAGGCAAATCCCACCCGAGATCTCAGTGACAAGCTCATCAAATGACCTTTTCGATTCGAGACAAAATCGTCATTGAACTTATTGGGCTACTTTCAATAATTCACAATAAATGTGATGGTAAATCACAATGCACGTGAAAAGACAATTTATATTAATGGGTCCATCAACGGCCATAGGTTCCCCGCCTCATTCAAATACGTTGGATCGAGATACATGCCCCAATCAAAGGATAGATCCTGTAATTTAGGATTAGTACAACAGCATCAATTCTTATAGCTGCTAGGTACTCACAAATAAGTCTGGATCAGAACTTCCCGCAGGCATGGTAGAAGCTATATCCATGCTCTGCCCCGACGGCGAGGGATTGATTTGTATGCTCTGAGATTCGGATTCCACACCAGGAACCTCTTCATTCTGCACATAGTAAAATGAGCTACTACATGCATTGTCAACAGTCGGAATTCTCTTACCATAAAAGGATTGCCCGGGTAACCAAGCCAATTTTCTTCCGAGTGCTGACAGTCTGCCCGACCTTCGCCCTCGAGTAGCAATTCTTGACAGCGTCTAGCCGCGCGAGGACAGGCATTTTCCAATGTCAGGTTGCTCATCACTCCACAGTTTACATGTGGACTATGAGTTCCCGATAAAAGTTTGCTTTGCGCTGAGGTGTAGACCATATTTAGTAGCATGAATGCTTTGCAGGCCTGTTTTTCTGTCCGGACTTTGAATTCAAAGTACTTTATGGCGCTTTCAACTGTACGGAGCAGGAAGTTGCGCTTATCGCTGTCTTGATCGGTGTGGTCTGCGAGAGCACCGGGGAGAAATGGCAGTGTGCTGTCTTTGGCTTGTAGACGAAGCTCAAAGCAAAGTGTCGCGGCTGCATGAAATATCTCGCTTCGGAACATACCACCTCGGAGACGGAGGATGTAGGGATATACTGGGCATGCTTCCGAATCAGGAGCGAGTGTCAGGGGTGATAAAAGAGATAAACAAGCTTTTACGCATATCTCTCGGGAGTATCTGTACATCTCGTTGCGGGTTTCGGCGAGTCTGAGAACGAAAGGTCGGTGTAGAGCGAGGAGATATCGGTAGACGAGAAATAAATATAGTGATTGTTGGAATTTAGAGGGCGCGCCTTCACTTGGGTATTGTCCGGTGATGACCAGTGGTGTTTGGGAAAGATGAGTCGTGATGACTTGACTGACATCCAATATTTCTTGATAATCCGATGACAGGCGAACCTGGTTGACGATCTTGACAATCCTGATCCGGGTGCCTAGAGTTTGGGCTAAGGATACTTGGAAGGATGTTCTTGTCAATGCAGAGCCTGGCTGGGGTGCAGGGATCGCAGTCGAGCTGAAAGAGAACTCTTCGTCATCTAGGTTTGACGGCGGCGCACAATCATAATCATCTTCAGATATCCCCGCAGGAACACCTGTATCAAGAGCAGCTTGGAGGTCCAGTTCAACAATAGTTGCCCAAAGCCGCCGGCGAATTTCAGCATAGAAAGGTGAGACACCCTTGAAGTTTATGGGATCCCGATGAAGACCTATCATCATGGCCTCTCGTAAGAGAGACCCAGCAGCAAGCCAAGCAAGATCCCCCTCATAGGCGATAGCTTGTCTTGCGATTAGCAGCAGACACATGACCTGAATGAAGTCCAGATCCAGCTTCGCATACGTAGTCACTGTTTGGACCCAGGACCCGACAGCCTGTACCCAGCCCTTTGCTATCTGGTATGATGCCTGAGTATGTTCATCGGCTTTGATTTCAGCATCGGCGGCACATGCCATCAAACTAAGTAACTTGGCCGCGAATACGTCCCTTGACCAAAGGTTTGTGGTTGTATCGGTCCCTGAGTTCCAGAATTGCTCATACTCGGTCAAAAATTGTGGGACATGCAAAATGCGAAATGTCGTTTCAAAAGTCGAAAAGTACGAGCCCACAAGCTTGTCTGTCACCTGGCGATCTGGGACTAGACTTTCAAGTCTAGGTGGTTGCAAATTTGATTGCGGTTGTGTTTGATACGTCGCTTCCAGTCGTTTTTGCGTTGTGCGTTTCATGCCCCGATGATCTGATTTATGTCGAGCAGGTCCTTGCTTTACATGGTGATACTTCTGTAAATGGGCCTTCAGATCAGGGAACTGTTGGGTCGTTAGCAGCTTATGGCCAACCATGGAGTCGTTCAGCTTGCCATGTCCATTGTCAATGCCCAATGGCTTCGCCCAAAGTACCTGGTCCTTGTCCCTGCACCGTGAAAGCAAGATTGGGTCAGTGAGTCAACAGCACCCATCCGAGTTGAGGCTGAAAGACCATGATTGCATGTAGGGTTTGGTACTTGGCGAACATCAGATAAGATAACCGGAGTCTCATTCACTGGAGCCACTGGTGGAGACACGTGCATTTCCGCATCTCTCTGCGTTGAATTTGCGATGGGAGAAATATCAATCTCAGCTCTGGCAGTCTTGGACGAATAATCGCACGCCTCAGCCACACCTCGGCGGATGCTTTGGCTGCAGGGTTCGAGGCGGTCGCATTTCACTTTGCGTTGCCGGCATGGTATGCACGAGAGGACTGTTCTGCTCTTGCGCTGAGGAGAGCTATCACGTTGTCGTTTGACGCGCATGAAGCTTTGCTTCGAATTCCGGAGTTCGTGCAACGCATCCATCGCTGTGGAGCGAGACTAACTGGTCAAAATAATCGCGCCGATGTCAATTAAGCTTAATTCTTCAATCATCGTCAGAGGGATATCCAGATGACGCCTTGGGTCGATCAGTATTGACCAGTGGTCCAAATTGACGTTGTAGAGGACGCGTATCCTGTGACCGCCTTGGTGTCCGCGCTGAGACCAGTTTGTATGGATGAGTTAAATTGAGATCCGTTTTCCACTTGAAGGTTCGATTCATGTATATATCCCTTGTCAGGGTTCCCAGCAGGTTTGGCCAAACAGCCACCAGTCGCCCTAGGCACAATCTTCGAAACGTTCAACTGTTCAGTCTACACAACCTATGTTTGCCCAGCCATCTACACATAATCCTGAGGAGAACGCTGGTCATCACCTTGGCAAAGACGTGTTAAGGTTGGACCAAGCTCAGCTATTTCTCGCCAAGATCATAGTGACACACGCACGCCTTGACAGGCTAAGCTTGTGTCAAAGAGCAACAACAACCTAAGAAGCACTACATATTCCAAACTTAACTAAAATCAACTAAACATTCCATAGATCAAGCCCTCAAAGAGCCGTGGACCAAGCGGACTAAAAATGCAGGGACAGTCCCCGATTCCGCAGTCAAATGCCGATCAACACAGCCCGTCCTTGCCTCAACGGCTTCACCCCAACCTTGGGAATTACTCTGTAGTTCCCGCCAGCCTTTGAGGGGTAGGTAGTATAAATCGCAATACAACCTGACCCCACTGTCCAGCATCAAACACGCCACCCGGAAATCAGCACAAGGAAATTTCCCCATTGACCGTGCTAGTCACACAAGTGCCATCTATCCCCCTTGACTCCCAAACCCCCTCCCGGACTCCACAATATCCCCACAATAATGCACACAACAACCCCAAATCCTTGTCGATCCATTCCGCTCTGCAGAAACAGGGACTCGGCACTCGTCATTCCAATGGAAAAATATCCCACGGCCCCGGGAGAATGGGGTTGATCTCGGAGCGCGTGGGCGCGTTGTTTAGTCCGAGTCCACTTATACTACCCATTCCCATCTTTCCCCTGCCCACCATTGACTACCCAGAGGTACTTCGGCATAAGGGAAGTCGCGTTTCGACGAAACAGTCACCATGCGGTTCCTCGCGCAAACAACCGGGGCAATCTTCACCCTCCTAACAACAACATCTGCCACAACCATCCCCCAATTCAAATCCGAAGTGCCACAGCCAAACCACACTCACGAGCACGCGAAAGAATCGCGCTTGTGGGCTACACACTATAATGGCCATGTGTATACTCTGACCCTTTCGGGCTCCAATCTTTCTATTGCCGATACGCAGAAGACTTGTGGTGCTATGCCGAGTTGGTTAACATTTGACTCGGAGAGTAAGATTCTTTACTGCTCGGATGAAGATGGAACTTCTGATCCTAGTACACATGGTTCGTTGACTGCATACCGGGTTGATGGGCATGGGGGAAAGTTGGCGCAGATTGCGAAAACGAAAACTGTTGGAGGTGGAGTCAATAGTGTGATTTTTGAGGCGGGGAAGAAGGACAAGTATATTGCTATTGCGCATTAGTAAGTTCTACCACTTTTTGACTGCCCGGTTATGGGGCTGGTTGGTGAGGCTGTTCGCGTGGTTATGCTAGAATGGCAGTCTATATCTATCGTGGGTATAGATTGTACCTTCACGCGATGATGCCGAACAACATTACCAGCCTGGAGCCTACCAACCCTTGAAATGAGGAATGAAGAACAAGACTAACACCCCCAAAGTGAAGGCTCTGCAATCTCAACCTTCGCCCTTCCCCTAAAATCCAACTCCGAAGCCAAACAAACCCTCCCCTTCAACATGACGCACCAAGGCGCAGTGGCCCAACAAGACTCCCCTCATCCACACGAGGTCTTCCTCGACCCAACAGGCTCTTTCCTTGTATCCCCCGATCTAGGCGCAGATCTACTCCGCATCTACAGCATCGACGCAACAACCGGCCACCTGGGTCTCTGTCCGCCCGTAAACGTGACATTCGGCTCAGGACCGCGACACGGCGTATTCTGGACAGACGACCCGAACAAGAACGCCAATGCCCAGAACGGGGCATCGACGCACATGCGTCAGGCTGCGGCCGTCGGGAAGACGATGATGTACCTTGTCAATGAGATCGGTGGCACGATGATGAGTTTTGATGTGTCGTATGCGCGGTCTGGATGTTTGGATCTGGCGAAGACGCAGACGCTTGTTCCGTATCCCGGGGGTAAGATGCCTGAAGGCGCGACGCCAGCGGAGATTCGGATGGTTGGGGAGAAGTTTTATGTTTCTATTCGCAGTGATCAGGGGTTCAAGCCTGATGATTCGATTGTTACGCTTGATCGTCATGGGAACGGCACTGTAGTTTTGAAAGGGAAGAGCGACGCGTATGGAAAGGTACCCAGGACTATGGTGATCAACCGGAAGGGTGATCTGGTTGCCATTGGGGATCAGAGCACGTCGACCGTGGCCATTGTTCAGCGAGACCACAAGACTGGACACCTGGGGAAGAAGATTGCTGATCTGCAGGTTGGTGAGCCTGGGAAGGTTGGAACTGCGGAGGGATTGAGCAGTGTTATTTGGGAGGATTAGACGGTCTCTTTAGGATTGCAATTATTGTTGCGATTGAAGGTCGATATATCTTGATTTGAATTTTGGACAGAAATGTAAATTCGAGACTTGAGCAAGACGATATCTAACCCTAATGCTAAGGGAAGCATGTCTCCTCATCTCTTTCTATCACGACAATGATCATCCGCAGTACAAGATTGCATCATATAGGCATTAAATCAGAAATCCAGAACCAACATAATCATCCAAGAAAAGAAGGAATAAAACCACATATGAACGGAAACCAAACCAAACCCCCGGAGATGCCACTCAACCAAACCAAGCCAGACCAACCAAATGAAAGGAAAGACCACCTGCGTAAAAGAACCAGCTTCTGCATGATGTTCCAGGAACCTGCCGAAAATAAAAGATGTGCATGAAGCGACACGATGCCGAGTCTGATGATCGTGGTTTTGTCAAATCGCCACATGAAGAATCATGAAATATAAGTTGAATAATGAACGGAAGAACGACCATGTATAAAGCGTTAGTCATAACATGCATTAAGCCATCAGCTCATCAATATGATGGATCACTTGAAGTCTAGCTGGAAAGCTCTCCACCTCCCTCCGACCGTCCGACAACGAGGACAACCTCGAACACTCGGATAGCTTGTCGGTGCCGGAGGAAGGTTGTTGTTCATGGGACCATTGCCAGGACTGCGGAAGGAAGTAGGCGGGCTGGCGATGAACATGCCAACACATTCGCGACAAACGCCACAGATGCATTCTGTACAGGCAAAACATTCATTCAAAGCCCACGGCCGTTTGCAGTGTGCACAGTAGACCTGAATTTCCTTGTTACGGAAAGAGGCCGGGGTAGGGTTCGAAAACCGGTGATGCTGGCGTTGAGAAATGGGCGGAATAAGATTGAGGACCGGACTGGTATCCGAATTGACGGAATGAGCCATTCCGGATGATGACGAAGGGAAGTTCTTTCCAGATGCTGTCGACATTGAGTCAAGCGATGACTCAATCGAAGGAAATGGCTCCATATCACTGTCGCGACCGCGGCCCTCAAATGGTGGTGGGGTAAGCGACTTGTGCAAAGGTGAAGCAGCATAGTGTGGTGGGAAGGCCCTGTGCGACCCAAGAGGAGGAAGTCCTCCAGATTGGAAAGCTGGGGGTAGTGAAGACCGATTCTTAGGGCCAGATGGTGCCGATGTGACGTTGGCGAGTAGCGGAGCAATAGTTGGAGATCGACCAGCCTGAGAGGGTGTCAGGAAGAACATCAAATCACAGTAAAGAAACTCCAACATACCTCAGAGTACCGTTCATCATCAGCTTCCGTAGCCGACGTCGCCGCTTCAATCAGATCTTCCCATCGCTTGCCTTGCGCCCAAGCCGCTGTTTGAGGTTCCGCTGATAACGCCTTGCGGTCGCCCAGACTCGGGCGGCGACCAAATTCCTTTGATTTTTGGCGATCGTGCTTAGGTTTCCGGGCCGACTGCGAGATTGATGATTTGCGCGGGCGAGAAAGCTTGTCTTTGCGCTGAATGGGGGGCAAGGTGGATGAGCGACCGGGCGGCGAATGATTCAAAATGGAAGGAAGAAGGCCCCGCGGGCGCGCCGAAAATGGAGGCAGAGATTCTTGTTTGAAATGGTCGCGCAGCGACGGTAGTTCAATAGACGAGCGCATGGGACCCTGAGTGATATCGGTGTCAGAGTGGGTGTCCTAGAAATTGCGGGGAGATAGATCAGCGACCGGGATCACGCGGGGCAGCTATATATATGAAAAAAAAAAAAAAAAAAAAAAACCATGCAAGCTCGTACCATGTCTGTGTCCCAGTCAGAAGCTAGGCGATGGTGGTGCAATTGTGCCAACGCAACAGCTGCGGTGGCCGCAGCAGGGTGGGGTTCGTCGAGAGCTCGCGGCGTGGCCGGGGAGCTGGCGTCAGCAACGTAAATGTCCCTATCCGCCACATCTGTAGGTAGCCGTCAGTCATCCGGGGCTCCACAAGTGAACAGAAACCAACTAACCATGTCGACGTCGCGGTGGAGCAGGATCTGGTGGTGAAAGATGCGCCCTTTGCTCTGGCGGGGTGTTGACCATCAGAAGGAAGCTCTCTTCGGTAGCCGGGAGCTTCGGGATGTAGTGATTCGGATGCGCACGTCGGATGTGCTCCTGCATGGAGCGATAGCGCTTTTCCTGTGGGAACCGAATGATTAGACTCGACCGATACAGATCTATCAGACCGATTTATAGATATTCCCAGGATATGCATGGCAACATTTTGGATCTTTCTTGTCGTCCTAAGAAAGTTGCCGCATTGTGGACAAGCGGATGGCGATAACAGGTGGGGCTGGAAAGGAGGGGGAAAAGCAGACTCACTCCCAAGCATCGCTTGCGACAATTGGAACCATCGTTATTCTTCAAAGGACAAACGACTTCATTGTTGGCATCGGTGACCGAGAAGGAGCTGGTCAACGAGCTTCGGGGAGGCATGGTGCATATATGGGGCGAAAGGACCCTCTGCCTCTCACACTTGGGGGGAAGGGAAAGGGAAGGAAGAGAAGGAAAGCAAAAAGTACAAGGGGAAAACCAGTTACAGTTAGGAAAAGGGCTGAAGAATCACCAGGATTGGCTTGCTCTCTGTCTTCTTTATGGGGGGAGGAAAGAAAAGGAAAAGAGGAAAGTGTACAAGTACATTGAGGGACTCGATCCGCCATCGTCGTAGTGCGGTGCTTCCCTGTAGCCGTGGGTATTTACCGTAATTAACGTATTCTATCCCCCCGCTTGAATTTCATTATACTCTGTCGCTGGAATCCTTTCCAACTTTCTACTATAGCTAAGAGACTCTGGATATTCAAGTCCTGTACTCTATAAGAAAAGAGGGGGTGCATGCGTGACATGGGTGTTCAAGCTTGTAGATTTGAGAGAGATAAGTGTATGGTCACTTTGTTCTTTAATTACCGACAAACTATTCGGAAAGCTCGGTGCCACGCCGTAGCGTTGGAAAATTTTCAAATTTTTGATTTGGGAATTTTGAATCTTCTCCAACTTACTCATTTTCAAAAATTCCTAGCATAATCAGTTCTATAGATTTCCCGAATTCATGGCATAGAGCTTCGCGTAGAACGTTGGGGGTAGTTGCGATAGGCGCTATCAGTGGCCCCTCCGAAGCTCTCCCCAGCTCGAGCTTGAGATTCCAGAAGCTCTGCGGTGGAAAGGAGGGGAGCTCCGGGTGGCAAATACCTGGACTTTAGCGCCACGTTACCGTAAATTACAATCCAGATAACGCAAGTCAGAAAAAAAAAAAAAAAAAAAAAAAAGTAATGAAACAAAGCAAGAAAAAATTGAAATCGATCTATAGATCTGAAGCTTGAAGCTGTAGAGAGCAAAGAAGATACTGTCATTCCAGATTAAGCCTGCATACCGAGGCTGTGACCATTTAGGCAGCTGTGTACTCCGTACCTTGCTCCGCGCCCATTTCCCAACATTTGTTCCTCCCCACCTTTCCAGAAGAAATGAAACCTCTCAAACTTGGGAAGAAGAACCTAACGAAAGATGATTTGTACTCTGGATGTCTACTGTAACAAGCTCATTTAATCCCAGGTACCCCTTTTGACTCCAGCTCCAACTCTAAATAGGTCACGGCGTAAGACTCCTGTATTACACCGAACAGCCCGGTACACTGTATAACCGCTCTCCACCGGGGGCACATGCCGATGAAGAGCATGCCAAAGCAACCTGATTGGTCTGAAGCCGCGCACGGTGGAGTCCAGCTGTGCCATTTACCTGTCCTGCCATTGGTCACCGGACTGGGCGGCAAGGGCGCCATCCCGGATTTGGATGGCTGTGCAGGATCAGCTCAACTGGAAAACTCTTCTTTGCCCGCCTGCCGTTTCCACTCGGCTTCGATGGAGATGCTTCTGCTGTACAGATGTGGATATCTACAGGGCCCAGGTACCCTTTAGGTATTTGTGTACAATGGCTCTATGTACCGTACAGCTATATCCAGTACAAAGATGTCCCCGGCCTGGGCCCCCAGCTTACTGTAGGTGTCGAAGTGGACTTTGTCCCGAAGCGGCGGGGCGGAGACCGGTGGAGTTGTGTCGTGTGTCGTGTGTCAAGCTAGAAACAGAAACACGTTACGCTTACCGTTACGGAGCTCCAGCTCCAGCTCCAGCTCCAGCTTTGGACGTTCCTAGCCTTACAGTCGGCGATCTCATGCAGTTCATGGAGCTATCTCGGAGCTGCATGGTTTAATGTACAATGTATATTCCTTGTATCTATTCTTATACATTTATCGCCAATGGAAGTATGTACTGTATGTACTGCAGGTCTCAATACTCATCCCACAGTTTGTAAAAATTAATCCAATTCCTTGCAGCCTTGCAGGTTCAACATACCAGCTGCGTGTCAGCCATCATCCATCAAGGCAACTAACCCTTCTTCTGCTGTCGCCACTGTTCAGGGGCGCAATCATCAATACCAGTCCCGGTTGCTGTATGTCTGTTCCAACGTTCGGGGCAGAGCAACGAGCTCAGCCCTTGCTGTGAGCTGCTGTTGCCTGAACTATCCACCTACCCGAATAGCTTTATCGCATTGGCCATGCATGCCATCAAACTCGATCCCGTCGTCGCCACTGAAACACCATGTTTCACGTTCCACAACGTATACCGGTGAATAACACGGGATCTAACAGACCGAGATCCCGGAAATGCCGAATACTCATTCCAGTGGAGGCGTAAGCATCCCATCAGGCGCGACAAAGCCTCCCAACCCCAGCCCCAATCCAGATGACTTCTGCACTGCACTTGACTTATCTTCACCAGCAAAGAAAAGCAACACAACTTCTGCAGCACGCTTTGCATCGTCGTCATCCTCAGCGTCAGGAACAAGCGCGCGCTCAATATGCTCAATGTATTGCTGAACTAACTCAGTAGGCCAATTACCGCGTCGACCGAACTCAATGCATAGTGCGCGGTTTGACCATACATCAAATTCAAAGTGGCCTTGATAGGTCAAGATGCGACCCGGATAATACAGGCCTTGAATATCACATGCGGCGCTGCGGCCTATATTCAACCACCCCGGTGGAAGCGGAATGTCGCCTTGCCCGGAGGCTAAAGCGGCCGCTTTTGCGGCTGGCGTGGGAACGACAATGTCCCCGTGAATTAATTGGATGCGGAATGGGGACTTGGGTGAAGTGTGTTGTGCCAGTATTGGAAAATGCGTTGTGAATGCCCGTTCCAAGGTGATAGCCTGGATACCAAGCTCAAAGCCGAGGGCAGAGTGCTCAACGTGGAACGTTGGGTGAGCGTCAGCTTCAGCGCCATTCATTTGTGCTCTTGATAGCAGAGCTTGCGCAACAATTTGATGTCCGAAACACGAACCGAATATCTTGATCAGTGGGAAATTGATGTACACAATCTGGATGAAGGATTCGAGTTCTTGGATCCATGGATGAGGATCGTATGCGGAACTTGCAGATCCAGTAATGAGGATCGCGTCGATGGGGCTGAATGGGCCACCGGCTTTAGCATCTGCTGGAGACCGGGGAGTAGACCGCAGGCATTCTAGAGGCGGGAGTGAACCTCCAACGGCGTCAAAAGCAGTGATGTGCACTGCTAGCGCGCCATTTTGAAGCTGTAGTTCTGCATTTGCGTTGACACGCTTTGCGGCGGACTGCAGTAGGGTTCTAAACTGCGAGCTGTAGAGACCACGCTGAGCGTATACAGTCTGACAGGGAACGTCCGTATCTATAACGGCGATATGGATTTGGTGTGCCATGGACTTGATGCCTGTCTGGGGTTTTGTGGTATATTTTAATGAATGCAGGTCAGGTTAAGTGGTCCAACAAAATGTATCAATTTTGATTGATGACTCAAATCAATTGTTGCCTTAACCATGGGAAATGCATTTTTGATAGGGCGGGGTCGGATCGACATGCCTGATAAGGGTTTTTGTGAGTAATATAGTGGAGAAGAGGCTCCCGAAGAGGAAGCCAAGTCCCTGTCGGATGAGAATACATAGTGCGAATAATTACAAAAATCAATTGCATAGGTCAAACCGAGCGTCCTTCATTGCTCATTCCACTCCATTGTCTTCATGTTAAACTACGCACCTATCACAAGTCTGGGATACTGTTGTAAAGAGATAAACCTGGTAGGCTAGATATGGCTCCCATTTTGGGTCACTAAAACCCAATTTTTACCAAGATGACTGATTAGATCTAGAAATTTCTTTAATCAGAGGTCCTCAAATTCCAAGCTACAATGGATTTAAATCATTACGATAAGCCAGATCAAAGTTCAGCCTTTGTATTCACATAAAGATGTAGGGACACCTAAGTCAAAGGACAAAACCTGCATCAAGGCTGGGCGTGAAAAGTCATGCTTTGGTTCAACGGCCATATTTGGCAATTTCCATAACAGCAATGACCAGAAAGAGTCGCCATAGAAGCTTCCCAATTACTAGTGAATTATAAGTTCCAGCATTCAGAACGTTTCTTTCAAGATCACTCACATCCTATTAATCGCCATACATCAGCCCTAGCCACTCGGTCATCTTTCTTTACCGGGGAAGTAGATACTTACATACTATCAATCGCCATCCATCAGCCATAGCCACTCGGTCATCTTTCTTTACCGGGGAAGCAGATACTTACCTCCTATTAATCGCCGTCCATCAGCCCTAGCCACTCGGTCATCCTTCTTTACCAGAGAAATAACTACTTACACCCTATTGATTGCTAATATTAGCCCATGCCAAACAGTTATCATCTTAGGGAAACCATCACCTACAATCTACCAATCGCCATCTATCAACCCTAGCCACACAGTTTTCGCTCTCTAATCATAAGGAACCTTCACTTACATCATTCCCCATTATAATGTGTCAGCTTCTAGTTTTTAGAAGAAAGGGTTAATCTTACCTCGCGCATATTCAGCTTGTTGGATGGCTGCTCGTCGACAGGGAGCGCCATCGCCGTAGCGAAAAGGAAGGCGAAGAGAAAGTGAATAAGTTGCATATTTGCTGGAGACCAGAATATACTGAATACCCAAATGTTTGAATTTTAAATCAAGGTTGTCGAAGACTCAGCTAGTGAAATATGGTGTCGAAGCAAGGTATCCTTGAGCTTCAAGTATGTCCCCAATAAAACAGGCCCGACATAGTGTTTTACAAAAACAGAATCTCATTTTCTTCAAACAAGCTAGTGTGTGGCTGCATGGCCGTTAGCAAGCACACTGTACAATCAAAGGTCGATCTTTTTTTCCATTCCAGCCTGCTGTACAGAATGAAAGGGGGGTTCTCTGGTTTCGACCATTTTCACTATATAAAACCTGGTTTTGGGATCACAAACGATTGAAACTCATTCCAATATCTTGAGCATTGGAGTTTTAATAATTGTCAATATTTGTATCGATATTATGTTTTGAAGCATGAAAATTATTTGTGACGCTGTTCATAAATTCGATATGCATACTTGTGTGGTATCAAGCAGCTTGGAAGTCCTGGGTGGATTGGAAACTTCTAACATCGAAAGGTTCGTGTAGTTGTGGACATATACCTCAACGGATGTACCTAGATCGCAGTTATTTGATGATTCAAACAGACTTCTGGACTCCACAGAATCAGAATTCCTGGGCAGGTGACCTCAGTGATATGATCGTTCACGGAGTAAGGATATTGAAAGACTTGCTATATGCGTCTGTGCAGATGTCGGTATGCAGCTGAGCCTTAACACTCTCCTGCAGTCAATCTCCCGAGCTTGACCCTGGATATGGCGAATGATCTCTTGGATTATCTTTGGAGTGAGTTCTCTTCTCGCACGAGAGATTTGAGAATGGGCGCCATTCTTAAGCTCTGTTCCCAAGTCCAGCCGGTTACGACCGCTACCCGAATTATCGGCTCGTCGGCGAGTACGACTTGATCGCGATGATCGCAGGGATGATCCTGGAACCATGGAGAGACACATCTATCGGCCGAGTGACTTTGCAGGGGAATGGATATTTCCCCACGTCAATGGGTGGAGGTGATGCCGACCGTGATCCCCAGCTTTAATTTAACGTCGAATCCCTTCGACAAAATTACTGGGCATATGGATCGCTCCCATAAGCCAATGCGCTCAGATCGCATCTAGCAACGCACTTATTTTGAACATGTTATACCTAGGTAATGAAGTTATCAATCTTGAAGACCTGCCGAGCTCCGTCGCGATCTACGGCCATCACAACATTTACCTCCGCAAATTGCGCCATCGCCAAACTCCCCCAATCAGCCCCGCGCGCCAAACACTATTTGATGTAGTAACAGAGCGCCATGACTTGGCTCAGGCACTTAGGGTCGGATGGGTTCCACTGATTGTTCGCAATTCCAGTGGATCGCAAGCCTCGCACGCCATACTGTCCACTGGATTAGCACAAGACAAGGATGAAAGCATAACGCCATTAGTGAACACATGCAGGTCTCGGCCGGTAAAAATAAATTATAAATAAAGTCCAGCATCCCTGTCGCGTCATTAAGAATATCTGCTGTGAACAAGCCACTTCTTTGGGTCTCCTCTACCTCTGAAAAGCATCATCCATAATGGCTCCCGCTGCCACTGCATCTGCGCCCACCGCGCCGCACAATTTCGCCAAGGAAGCTCCCCTCCATATCTTCCCCGATGGACTGAGAACAACCGGCCAGCACGATCCTCTTTACGACCATATCCTGCCGTTCGAAAAGTTCCCTAAGCAGATCACCGGTCCTACCGTGTGGAACCCGGAGGAATATCGCTCAAAGCCAGAAACATGGACACACCAATTCACTGCGGACCAGATCGAAGAGTTGAGCAATGCAGCCGATGCTTTCCTCGCATCCAAAACCCCGCTTACTGGTATCACCAAGGTCCGTGCTACGCCTAGATTCGTATAGATGCATGCAACTAACCATCGGCGCAGAACAATTTCCGCGTGCCAGTCCTAGCTCCATATCTAGAGAAACTCCGTCTCGACCTGATTGATGGAAAGGGATTTATTCTTTTCAAGGGCTTCCCCGTCCAGCTATGGGGTAACCACAAGTCGGCTGTCGCATACATGGGTCTGGGTACCTACCTAGGCTACTTCGTCAGTCAGAACAGCCGCGGACATGTACTCGGTCACGTCAAGGACCTCGGCGAGGACGCTACTCAGATCGATAAGGTCCGCATCTACCGGACAAACGCTCGGTAAGTTGCCTTGTGCTATATTACACAGACTTCCCAGTCGCTAAAGCATATCCCAGCCAATTCTTCCACGCCGATGACTCCGATATCGTCGGCCTCCTGTGTATCACCAAGGCCATGGAAGGCGGCGAATCAGATCTCGTCTCCTCGCACAATGTCTACAACACACTCGCCGTCGAGCGCCCTGACGTCCTCAAGACCCTCACCGAACCAATCTGGTATTTTGACCGAAAGGGCGAAACCAGCACAGGCGAGAAAGAGTTCATCCGAACCAGTGTCGTCTACCTCGAGCGCGGCGAGAACGGCCGTGTATACACCAAGTAAGAGCCAAAACCGCATTACAAAGTAAATTATTTGCTGACATTGTGTCATTCCAGATGGGACCCTTACTACGTCCGCTCATTGACCCGCTTCTCTGATGCGGGCATCATCCCCCCACTCAGCGATGCCCAGCTCGATGCTATCCAGGTCCTTGAGGATACCTGTAACAGACTATCTCTTCACATGATCTTGGATGTTGGTGACATCCAGTTCCTTGCTAACTCGCACATCCTGCATGCGCGCACGGCATACACGGATCACGCCCCTCCTGCGCCTCGTCGCCATCTTATGCGATTGTGGCTTGCGACACCTGAGAGTGAGGGTGGGTGGAAGTTGCCGTTCTGGGACTCTAATGAGAAGAAGAGAGGTGGTATTCAGGTCGATGATCAGGCTCCTGTTGCGCCTCTTGATGCGGAGTAAATGAAAGCTGCTCAAGTGGCTTGCTTGAAACCAGGTGTCTTTTGTGTGGATGTGAGTGATCTTATGGCTTATGATAATTATTTGTATATATCCGTTTATGGAATGATACCTCTATCTCTTTCTGTTTTGTTTTTTGTTTGGCTTATATAATATATTGTATCGAACTATACAGCCTGGCGGGGAAAAGAAGGTAATATCTCAAGGTAGCATAAAGTTTGAAACGATAGTTCATTATTCATGGGTATAAAAAAAAAAAAAAAAAAAAACCACCAGCAACGCCAGACCAAATGCTAGACTGCGACCATCCTAATGCACGAGCTTGTAACTCCCACCACTAACAATCTCCAGCTTTCCACGGGACACCATCCCGGCCAAGAACTCACGTAACTCCTCATGGCTGAAGGGAAATCCTCCAGGAACAACAATCGACAACATCATCACAATACGTTGGAGAGGCATAGAGCCTTGGTTGGTGAGCATTCCAACAATGAATTGCCAGTACAGATTCATCTTCTCCATCGCGGCCGCCTCCGCTGTTTCCTTGGCGGCGGCAGCGGCGGCAGCTTCTGCAGCTGCAGCTGCATTTTCTGCGTCGCCAGATGGACTGTCATCTCCGGCCATTGAGCCAGTCTCACCTCCGGCACCGTGTCCCTCGTCTGTGGGGAGGTATTCGAGAACCCGGAAGCTGTCGCGGTGGACTTCTGCGAGGATACGCTTGCTAACCCAAAATAGACACGCGCTGCGAACCAGAGGAGCTGACATGTCTAAAGTCTCGGCAAGTTCAGTTGTAGTTCTTGTGACGGGTTCGTCGGAGTCGTCTTGGAAGGCATAGATGACTGTGGCTTGCCAAGTTGTGACTTCATCCGCGAATGAACGATCACCCAGCTCCAGTTCAACGGTTACTTGGCCAAGACCGTTACGCCATGTAAGCTTGCGGGACTGCTTGAGAGCCTCGAAGCCCTCGGAATATTTCTCTTGTAGGGAGAGAATCTCTTCGGGTACCTTGAATTCCTGGTCTTGGATTTCAGGCCAGAAGAAGCGGGACAAGATCTTGGTATGAAGCTCTGGGATATCGCGTCTTGGGACGCGCTTTGAAGTCATGCGCGAGGGCGGTTTGTTGAATCCTTGGTCGTTGCGTACGACGACATCGACACGCCGCGAGTCAGAAATATCCCTAAGCATGACCTCGCATGCCTGCAAAGCCGAGTCGCCAAAGCGCACTTTGAGAAGTTCAAGGACCGATATTTCTTGATCGTAATCCTCGCGATTCTGTAAGAGACGATCACCCAAGAGAGTTTGTAATTCTTTGACGAATGTCTCTTTCGAGTCGAATAGGCTAACAAGACTATCAATGACATCTGAGCTTTTGGCCTTTCGATAATCTGGCGCGGCATCAACTGGGTCCGGCATCCAGTTCATGTCATTCCAATCAAGTTCGCTATCGGTTTGGTTCATGGAGAGTTGGTGCGCTCTGGTCAACTCCGTCGCCAGCTCTGCTAAGGTATCTCCCGAAGACAGTGACGATGCCTCGGTAGCTGCAGTGGCAGAAGGCTCTGCCAGTAGACCGCTGACAATGACTCTCACTGTGTCTTCACGTTCCCTCAAATATCGTCGAATCGGTCGAGCAATTCGATCAAGGAGCACGCCTTTCGGGTCCAACATGTGAAAAGCTCGAATGATCGAGATGTACAGTTGCAGAATCTGGACTGTGGAGGCGCCAGGATGTAAAAGGCGCTGATTTAGAGTGGCAATGAATGTTTGTGTGACATGTGCTCTTGCGGCAGGATGCGTCGTAAAGTGTCGTAGATCCTCAATGGCACCAGAGCTAACTGGCCATTCCACAATTACATCGAAAAGCTCACTAGTCCGAAGAGCACCCAATCTGGCAATGGCGATATCCTGCCACTTTTCCACGTCAGCAAAGCTGACTTCCAGGGCGCCCGCCCTCGGTTTACCGACGGGAGGCATGCTAATAATAGCCAAAGCTTGTACGGCAAGCCGAGAAAAAATATTTTCGACCCAGTGTTTCAAATGCTGGGCAACTGACGTCGGTCTCTCCCACCGACCATTGTAGGCCGCACCAGTATATGCCGCGCGCACGAACTCGGTTAGCATGGTATTCATTACACTGGCAAACACTTTCTGGGCCCTATCACCGCCAAGTCCCACCTGTTGAAGGCCATTCAAGAAGGCCAAAAGCTGGTCGCGAGTCATAGTCACGGACTCGGGCTCTCCATCGGTCATTATCTGGGTCCGAGTGTCGGGGTCGCTTTGTTTCCACTCCTCATATGAGACTGAATACTGTCGATCTACCTCCATATCATCCTGACTGACATCCTCCGGGTTTGAATCTTCGACCAGCGTATCAATGCCCAGGATAACAAGCGCATCTCGTGATAACTCGCCAGCCAGGAGCGGTGAGATGTCTTCCCAAGGCAAGGAATAAGTGACGACTGCATGGAAGATGGCTTGTGTTCGAGCTAATATGAGCCCTTGCTGAGATTTGGGTATGAGCGGCATCAGATAGTGTACAATTGGTGCAAAGTAGATTCGACGGGCCAACTGCAAACAGTCCGCAATGGTCCTTAAGAGACCTTCCTTCTCAGGACTGACTAGAAGCTATTTCCCTGTTAGCATTGCAAACGGCCATAAGATCGCGTAAGTAAATTCCTACTTCAAAGAGCCCGGTCCGCAGATTTTCGAGGAAATGCCTCTTTATCTCATCGCAGTACCAATCACACAAATTCTGATGAGTCGATTGTCCATGTTGCGCCGCAGCAGTCAAAAATTCCAATGCCTCCCCAGTCTCCTTAGATGGAGGACTGAGCCGATTCCATTCCTTTAGTAGTTCGCTTCCATCGGTCTCTCTGAAATTGTAGATAGGCGCAAACCCTCGATCCGGTACACGCAGGAAGGCTTTTGCGGCAGACCAGGCTTGGTCCCACGTGTGCCGGTCTGGCGCATTATTTGACGGCTGGTGAACCGACCCGAAGGACGCGTTTTGAACTGTTGATGTGGATTGGAAGGAGGCTATCGGAGTCTGGTCGTCAAAGCTGGATGCGACTGGTGGCCGAGCTTCAAGTGACGCGGGGGAGAAGACGGAGCCAAATACGCGTCGGCGTCCCGCACTGAGGGAAGTGATTGATGTCATGGTTTTCAGGGTAATTTCAGCATTGTGAGGTGCAAGATCCAGAGCTAAACCAGACCGGCCTGAGATGTCAAGCTGTGTTGTTGACTACGAGTTTAGGATGCCATGATGGCCGGCGCGTGGTCACGTGACTATCATTCTTCGAGAAGAAGCGTCGAGCTACATTCTCTCATATCAGCTAAGTATAATCAAGCTTGGAAGACAATATTGTTTCAGATGGTATAAAGTAAGCTTCATTTACTCTATATTGTGAATGCTAAAGAGCGTGAGTTTGGCTCATGACTTGATGTGGAGAATAACAACGCCAAAAAAAAAAAAAAAAAAAAAAAAACAAACATTGTCCGACAACTCAAATCGGGTGCAACGCTGAACGTATGACAGGGGGTATCGTGTCACCTCGGACATCAAAGTCCGTAGAGCATAAACAGAATATAAACAGATTGGCTCTCATACGCGGACCGCATCAAATCACATCGTAGATCATTCCAAGACCCCGACAGATACAACATCATCTGATCATCCATCTAATTTTCCTCCACTTTCTCCCACTCGCTATCGGTGCTGCCGTATCCAGAGCTGTCGCCGCCGGCACTGACACGCTTCTTGGGATCTTCGTCGGTCGGCTGGAGTCTCGCCGCCGCAGCGCTGCCGGTTGCGACGGCGGTGGCCTTCTGGCCAGCAAGAGATTCGGTCTCTGTCTCGCTGTCGGCGCTGTCCACGGAATCCTTCTTCCTATCGGACCCAGTTGTTTCTGCCTCGGCCTGTGCTTTCTTCTCCGCTTCCTGTGCTCGCTGCACGGCACTGACTTCCCGCGCGAACCAGTTGATCGAGTACCACAGGCCGGCACTCAAGAAGGACAGGACAACGAAGTGGATGCTATAGGTGGCTAGGAGGAGGGCGAAGAAGACAAACTGGAGGGCTGCAAAGGTAACGTTGGTTGCGATCAACAAAGTTGGGGTGGGGCCCGGCGTGAAGACGCTGGACCACAGCTCTTCCACGAACGAAGCCATGGTGGTAGAATGCTTGGAGGCGCGTTGTGTAATGAAGTGACGTCGTTGCGGAAACTGGAATCCGTAGAAGAGGCGGGAACTGAAGTGGTTCGGGCTTCGTGTTCCGAGAATGAGAATAAGCAGAACGATCCACCCGAAAGGCGGAAAGGAAGAGGGGCAAGTACATATGGAAAATTGGGTCATTAATCCCACTACCCCATGGGGTCTCTAACCCACTAGCCTTGAAGCCCAGTTGTATATATATTTGTCATATTCGATCATATGCGAATATTCGTCAGCCGCTTTGTCGCGGGACTCATACTTCTCTACGGGCCGTACGTGACCGGGTATTCGTATACCCTTCTGACCTGCAGGGGAATTTTAAGCAACCCAACAGGGATCGATTGGTCTGGGCAAGAAAGAGTTTCGGCGTCAAGCCGAGATTAACCCAGGATCCAAAGCTGCCGGAATAAGCTACCTATCCAGCCCATTCTGGTTATTCCATTGTGACTGTACCGTAGTACCCAATAATATTTGAATCATTGCTCATGATGTTGAGAACCTCTCTACAAATTTAACATACCCTGAACACAGTCAATAGACAAGAAGCGTGACCTCAATACACAGGGAAACCCCCGGTCCTTCCTTCAACTGACCCACAATCCACCAACCACAGGCCAAGTTTTACTTTCTCCAGCCCCAAACTTGAATCGTGTCTCACGCGATTAGTGCATCCCGCACGCTACCCCACGCTTAACCTTAGTCGTTGATCAACCCCGTCTTTTCCCCATGCGGTCTTAGCACCATTGGTCCAACCATTAAACCGCTCATTGCCGTCATCGTGCACCACACCTCCGACTTGGGGCCCCGCAAACCACATCGGCCTTTGGCATATCCGCCCAATCATGGAACAGCCTTTTAGATACTGACTGATAGGTCGGAAAGGAGGGGGTACATACATGATAGGGCAGCCGATATGGCCAGGATACTGTATAAATATGTGCGGGAAAGTCCTCCTAGCTCATTCCGATAGCAATTCAGAGCCAGTGGAATTCACTATTCTCAAAAAGGTCATCCAGGGGCCAATCCCTCTTTCTTCCCTTCTTATACTTTACTCTCCCAGAAATGGCAGACAAGCCAGAGCTTGAGGTCTCTAAGACTTTCTCCCCTGATGGTGGGACCATCGAGGGCTTCTCCCATCATGCAGAGGACATTACAGCGGACCGAGAACCATACGGGCCCCCGGGCTTACGGGGACTCGCAAGTAATCCATTCGTGTTGATGTGTGCCGCATGCTCAACACTCGGTGGTTTAATTTTCGGTTATGATCAAGGTGTTGTGTCTGTCATTTTGGTGATGGACCAGTTCCTAGACGAATTTCCGCGGATCGCAGGCTCGGGTGCGGGATTCTGGAAGGGTCTATTGACTGCCATGATTGAATTGGGTGCACTGCTTGGTGCATTAAATCAGGGTTGGATTGCTGATAAGATCTCGCGACGCTATTCGATTCTGGTTGCCGTTGCGATTTTCACGGTTGGATCCATCTTGCAAACCGCTTCCGTGGAATATTCCATGCTGGTTGTGGCTCGATTGATTGGTGGTGTGGGCATTGGCATGTTGTCCATGGTTGCACCATTGTACATTTCAGAGATTAGTACGTGATTTTCTCAAACTTGACAGATGGTACGAGAACTAACATTCCTTCCCTCTATTAGGTCCTCCGGAATGCCGTGGAACACTGCTCGTTCTTGAAGAGTGGTGTATTGTCCTCGGTATCGTTATTGCGTACTGGATCACATATGGTACCCGGTATATGGCGGGAGAATGGTCGTGGCGTCTCCCCTTCCTGTTGCAGATGGTCCCGGGCTTCATTCTTGTCGGTGGCGTGATAATGCTCCCATTCTCGCCTCGATGGTTGGCCTCCAAGGGCCGAAATGAAGAAGCCTTACAAAGTCTCTGCAAATTACGCAACCTTCCTGGCACAGATCGACGTATTCGCCAGGAATTCATGGATATCCAAGCCGAAGTACAATTCCACCAGGAAATGACGGCCGAAAAACATCCTGATTTGCAGAGTGGAAGCACCAAGGACTCGTTCCTCCTGGAGCTTGCCTCTTGGGCTGATTGCTTCAGGAAAGGCTGCTGGCGTCGGACTCACGTCGGTGTCATGATCTGCTTCTTCCAGCAGGTGAGTTGCTTCTGTCCTCAAGGTCCTGGGTTGCAGTACTAATCTCCATACAGTTTGTGGGTATCAACGCACTCATCTACTACTCTCCCACCCTATTCGGTACCATGGGTCTGGATTCCAGCATGCAGCTTGTGATGTCTGGCGTTCTCAACGTCCTGCAACTGGTCGGCGTAACAACCAGTATTTTCACGATGGACACCATCGGTCGCCGCAAGCTGTTGATGATCGGCTCGGTCCTCATGGCCATTGCAATGATTATCATCGCAGTCTTGGTCGGCCTCTACAGTTCGGACTGGTCGTCACATCAAGCCCAAGGATGGACCAGTGCGGCCTTCTTGCTATTCTACATGGTCGCATTCGGTGCCTCCTGGGGTCCAATTCCCTGGGCAATCCCATCTGAAATCTTCCCCTCCTCTCTTCGTGCAAAGGGTGTCGCCCTAGCCACCTGCTCCAACTGGCTGAACAACTTCATCATCGGCCTCATAACTCCTCCGTTAGTTCAGGACACTGGCTACGGCGCCTATGTTTTCTTCGGCGTCTTCTGTGTGCTTTCTGGTATCTGGACTTACTATTTCGTGCCCGAGACGAAGGGCCGCACACTCGAACAGATGGACCACGTGTTCAAGGATAACTCGAGTGAGTATGAGCAGGCTCGCCGAACTGCTATTGAAGCAGAGCTCGTGGAGAGAGAACTGCTTAGTCCTCACCACGGGGTTGTATAAATTGTTTGATTCACATTTAGCATTTTGGGATTGCGGGATAGCGAAGGACTCTGTTCCTATATGATCATCAGGTAGCATGGGAAGAAATCATACGATTCATGAATATGGGTTTTACCTCTTAGTAGCTCTTTTATATGGACGCTCATTGCCTGTTCTTTCTCTATCCTTCAGCCGTATTAGGCGATACCCGAGCCGAGTTCCGCACGAAAGCAAGATCGCGACACGAGAACCTAAACCCCATTGCACCGTCTTTGTTATTTCAAAGCCATCTTAACTGCGCAAATTCAAACATTAATATCGGCTTCTGGGACGGAAGCAAATGAGTGAGAGAACCAGCTATAGAGGATACCTTTTAAATGATTAGGCTAGTGGATTAGGCACACTAATGGAAATGAGAGACCAGCCACGTCCGCGGAGGGATAGAGCCTGAAGTGTGCCCAGGTGGTTCCTGCGTCACATTCTCATACCCACTTGAATACTTGGGAACTGAACCGTCATCGTATTCTAATATTCCTGAGAACTGAATATGTGCTCGAGGCCCCATACAAAGGCAACCAATACCAATGGATCATTCATCACACTCCGAAGTTTATTTCTCATATGTGTAGCACAAGTGCCCACCCTGAGTGTCGAGCAACTGCGCCAAGGTACGGTTCCCCGAAAGACGTCCAATGTTCACCTGAAAACCCAGAGTAACATTATTTCCACTATAATCAAAAGGCACAATCGGGCCACCAACCTCATGATGACGAGCGGGAAGATCCTGCTGTTGCCATTGCCAAAATATATGATCAAGATTGCAGTGGTGCATAAAGAAAAGAGGATCTCAGTCTTCGTTAGAAATCATTCGAACTGCAACAGCTTCCATTCACGTACCACCAGGACTGAGAGCAGAGTTACCCAGCGTACCTAAAACACCACCGACACCGAAGTGTCCACTCCCATGGATATTAGGCTGAGAGAAACTGGGAATATTCTCGAGAGCCCGAGCAAACGTGGTGTAGTCAGGCTGGCTCTGAACATAATCAACCAAATTCTGGCGAGCAAAGTAGTTCATAATCCACGGGATATAGTCACGGCGAAGACAGTCCGGCTTTCCTTTCGGGTGCTTGACGTTCAGATCAAATATGCCCTGGCGGAATGGTCCATCCTGAACACAACCTCCACCAGTACGGCCGGTCAAGTTGAAAGGGTTCTCGGCAGCAGTGGCTGGGAGGAATGGTTCGCCATTTCCACCAAAACCATATTCGCTGTCGAAGATTTCTGTTTCGAAGATCTTCATCGATGAGTTGTCTGTAGAAGAGGCATCTAAGGCCCAGTTCCAGTACCTGTATGAGCGTAATGTTAATTCATGTCCTGGTAAGAGGCCAGTGACCAATTAAACAGAACCCTGACTTACGGCTGCGCCCCTTTATACCCACACGAGTCTCTTAGATACATCTCATATGTCGAGAGGAAATACCGGTGCCAAAGAACAAAGTGGCCCTGGTCATGTTCAGCAGGATCTATCTGCACTAGTCGATGAGTTACCTACCACCCAGTGAATATACAGAGTCTGTTGAGAGTGAGTAGCCTGGAAACTTTGATAAAGATTGGTTGCATTCTCGAGACCGCCAGTGACATCAGGAAGGAAAGACAAACACTGAACGGCAGACAAGTAATCCGCTCGTTCAGGCTTGGTCAGGTCCCGCCTTGAAAGATATCAGCGTTGTATTCAAACAGTTATTTTGATCCATTTACCATTCTTTCCGCACAATAGGATTCATACATCCCGCGGCAAGGCTATCTCTAGCCAAGAGCACAAGCTCCAGTGACACAAACAGCTTGCTGAACTGCATACTGGTGAGACACAAACTGCAAAATGCCCGGGGTACAAAGAAGGGGGGTTTCTTTGCTTTATGAGGTATTATTTGAGGTGCCTCCTAGAATATGACTTGCTCGGTAATCCCGAGCAAAACCCCACTGTAAACCCAGTCATTTGACGATTAGAAGCGGCTGAATGTAAGTTGGGATTAATACGAGGGAATATCCCTGCTTGCGAGCGGAGCCTCAGCCTGCATTCAACCAACGAGCACGATCATTTATGCAAGTATACACTAATGCATACCCAGGCGGCCTGATCGACCAACAAATTGTAGCCAAAAATCTATATTTTCTGCTGGTGAAATCAAGTGAGAAAAAAAAAGAAATAACCCTTTGAAAAATGATATCTTGCTCCTCCTCTATTAGGGCCGCGAAAGAACCTTGGAAACATCGCCAGTAAACTCCAGCATCAAGAAAAAAAAAAAAAAAAAGAAAACAGAAAATGATTATTCCAGGATCACAACGCAATGTAAAAAATCGTGCCTGAGCCCACGTCCCGCCCCTCTAAGATACTGAAATCCCGGGGTTTATCACAAGGCCAATTATATTAAGGTGATCTTCCAACCGCTGCCATTCGTAGTTTAGCCGCATGCACAGTCCTTTGGGGGCCTTTCTGTGCCGAGAAATACTAGAGTCATTCTATTCAACGCTCAGCGCTGTAAGTTCCACAGTTGATGGATCGAAGGGGAACTCGTCGGTTGGGTTTGTTCTTTCAATCGTGCTTGATAGTGGAATAGGATGCCGGCACATGGACTCTTTCCCCGTTTATACCGCGCAACCTAGAAGGTTCACTAAGGAAAAGTTATTGATTTAATCGAACCGATGAACTATGAAGTAGTAGGATCGGATTTGTAGTTGGTCTTTTCGCTGCAATACTTTCGAATACACACTTGGCCTTACTTTCTCGTTGCACAAGTGTTTTTAGGTTTGGTTCCTGGGCTATAAATGCAATCCTCGAAGCCAAAGCGCACTCATCGCAATTTTCCTCTCCGACTTCTTCCCGCTGTCGTCCGTTTAAGCGCCCTATGTCAATACACCACCTCCTCAGATGTACCTCACGATGCGATCCAAGCAAGTCCTTCTCAAAGTGTGAACTCTGCGGCGTGGATTTAGGTGCTAACACTTGTTTGATAAATTCTCATCTGGTCCCAAATTGAGGTCAACATCGCCAATTTATTCGCTTTCGCACTCTCCCTCCGCCCATGCTCACGCATGTCTTCAGGGAATCTTCCTACGACTGATCATACGGTAATCATGGTGCATCAAATTATTCATATTTGGAGTATGGAATGGTGGGGGTGGGAAGGAGTCTAAGCCACGAACTTTGAGAGCAGCGAGGACTATTAAGCTCTCCTCCAGGGAGGACGAGAACACTAGTGTGTCACCGACAAGCAATTGGACGACAAAGCAGCCAAGAACTAATTTCGGATGCAAAGGCTGCAAATGTCACAGATGCGGCTAAGATTGGGAAGAAAAGTAAGCACCAGATATATGAGATTTGTGGAAGCTAGGAAGTTTGGATATTATTATGACAAAGTTTCAATTGGACAGATCACTCACGAACATCTACAGATGCGAATGACGACCTTACGATAATTTTGCAGAGCTCCTTCTCTACTAGACGGAAGACTTTTGGCAGCCTCATCCCAGCAATTTGTATAGAGAATGGGTTGAGATCACCAGCTTTCTGGCTAGAAACCCGGTCACTGGGACTCAGCGCACAATACTTGACCCGAAGAGGCAGTCCCATGTTACGCCAGCGCAAGATGGAGTGGATGCTTCTACCATATTAAACCGGTGGGGCGCCTATACCAAGCTTGTCGGTGAAAACAGCATGTTGTCGGAGTGTTCTATTGGCTACGCTTCCGAGACTATGTTTCATTCATTGGAGACGCCAAAATAGACTGCTGGGCTGGGTTGAGGCTGCACCAACATGGTCGCCTACTTGGAATCGATTGTGGAGTCCGACGGTGAAGCTCGCTTTGAGATAAGAAAGGCCCCTTGAATATTTACAGAAATGGCCATAATCTGTTGCTTTCTTTTGTCTTGCGGGCTATGATCACAGATCTGTCAAGGGTTCTGTGTTCTGTTTGGTGCGAGATGGGTACATTGTCTCGTCGGCAAGGCGAGAATCGGAAGTATATGGTGCGTGAACATTGCAGAATTTTGAAAACGGTGCTATACATGCAGTCGATATCCACTTCTTGCGACCGTGATTTACAAGGCGACAAATCCACACTGACATTCAAAGCCGCAATTAATTCTCATTTACAAAGCTGCAGCCTATAAGCAAAACTCTGGGTTTCCATTTCTGGTATCTTGTTTGCAGGCCACGATAAACAGTTATAAAAGCAATGACATAAACCAGCGATCCCATCTCAAGTCCCCAGATGCTGTCTCTGGCCGTTCAATCCCAGACATTCCAGGACAATGCTCCACAATTGATAGTTGGTATCCGATCTCCCCGAGACCTAGTCAAAAACAAAATAAAAACAACCCAAGCTCTCAAAAATCCAGAGCTTCTTCACCGCTATTCCCCCCTGAACAATCAATGCTGTCTGTCCGGGCCCACTTCGGAAAATCCTGTCTCCTCAGCTAGCAGCTCCAGCCTTGTGCTATCGAGACCCAGCTCGGGAAGCCGAGGAGGAGACTGACTCCGTAGCCCGACACCGCTATTTCGCGTCTCCAAGTCATCCATTTTGCCCTCCTTTCTTTTGGAGCGTAGGGATCGGAACCAGCCTACTAAACTGAAGCTCGATCCTCCGTCTGGGCCCTGGGACCACTCATCGGTCCTACTTTGTGTTCTTTGGAAGGAAGATCTCATTCGGGAGCTTCGTTTTTGTGATCGCGTGCTCGATTCTGAGGTCGGGTTCGTCTGGAAATCGGGTGCCGGTGGTGCTTCGATTGAGGAGGATGTAGTAGTTCGAGAGTGAGGCATTTTGCCGTCAATACGTTCAATTTCGTTCGGATGTCTTTTTCAATCCCGTTCGGTCCGTTCGGTTCGATAATGCCGGTATTGGTCAAAGTAGGGTATAAAGAGATCCGTTGGTATCCCCCATCTTAGGATGACAGATGGATGAAAGATGAAATCCCTGAGGTAAAGTAGCACGATTTTGAGAGGTGGGGAGGGGGGCGAGCGTGGCAAGGTATGGGGCTAGGCGAGGTGATCACCGCGATGATTACTGGCTGCGTCACTGCAAGTTGATCGATCTATCATGCAAGGAGGACCCGTCACAATTTGTCTGGGGTGGCAGTCTTGGCGCAATTATATTGATGGTGAGCATTTGGCAAAGAGCATGCGGCAGAGGGGCCAATAAGGGCAAATTCATTGTGGGCCAGCGGCCGCCTTAAAACTTTATATCGTTTTTCGTCCTGGTGATAGATGTAGACTGGAGTGGATTATCCTAAGGTTTAGCTGCAGGTGTGCCGTTCCCCGGGCCTCCCCTCTTCTCCCCACCTTCGCACCTTTGCCGCCTCTTCTTTTTCCAGCTGTTTCCTTAAATTCCTACACCACCATAATTTTTGGCAGACTTACCACGGACCTAGACCGCCGATATGGAACACATCGCGGTGGTAGTGACCCTTTCCCATGATCCGATATGGTATTTTTCTCACGTCTCAATCAGGACCCTGACTTTTACTCCTTGGCGACTTGCGCGAGCACAGACCCGCAGGACTTTCAGTCGTAAGTGCCGCTCATTACAATGAAGACTATAATTCTTATCGCATTCTCACTTGAATTCGTTTCTAGGGAGACTACCTCGATTGCGTCCACGATCGCGAGGGGACGGTTTGAAAACGGACGGAGGTAAGTATATTTTATCGATAATGTTGTCTCCAGATACTCAGGTGAGATGTAGATACCAAGCCACGAAAGATGATGACTACTGGTTAGTTCCCATGCATTTATTTGGGCTTTCGCGGAGTTAACATGCCCAGGGGCCCTTCTGACGACCAGCAGTTTGAAGCTTTCGAAATAGGGTAAGTCGCAAATCCCCCTCCCCACAACACTCCAATACATTCCATGTCCCGTCAACTAGAAGATCTGTGATTAATCAAGATATGTTTCAGCCATATGGTGTTTCTCGTGTTAGATCATCACCATCAAAATCCTTTTTTCCGCTCCCCGATTGGGGATTCACCCAAAGTAAATAAGCATCTACCGAGACGATGCTCGTTCGAGTACCTAACATCACATTATAGCATATTTTAGACATCGGAACCGGCCAAGGAAGCTGGGCAATGTGAGTCAATGGAACCAACGTTTTAGGAGCGCTAATAACAAATTATTAGCGATGTTGCCGACATGTATCCATCAGGTATAAGATTTCTCGAACCAAATTTTATCTTGGACTGACACAACTTTAGCTACCGTTCGTGGCGTGGATCTGTTTCCCCCACCCGTGACATGGATGCCCCCAAACTGCATCTTCGAAGTGGATGATGTGCTTCGTCCTTGGACATGGAAAGAGCCATTTGACTTGATCCATATACGTCTAATGTATGGTGCCTTCCCTCCTGAGGGATGGGAGCAGCTATACAAACAAGCTTACGAGTGAGTTTTGATCGTAAATACTTGATCCGGTGACCAAGGAAGTCCTTATGTTTTAACATCTGGTATAGCGCTCTCGCACCCGGTGGTTGGATTGAGCAGATGGAATTCGATGTACGAGTCCGCAGCGATGATGATAGCTTAAAGCAAGAACATCACCTTTGGAGATGGGGCGACATGTTTATTAGATGTGCCGAGCGAGCCGGCCGGTCACTCAATATCCACGAAACGATGCGCGCCGCAATTGAGAAAGCCGGATTTGTGGAAGTGCACGAGAAAAGGAGCAGGATTCCTTTAGGACCTTGGCCGAGAGATAAGGTACTGAAGGAGGTCGGACAACTTCAGTACGCTCACTGGAATGCCGCTTTAGAGGGCTGGGCGATGTGGCTTCTCACACATTTTGGAGAGCCCGAGCCGTGGACGAAGGAGGAGGTGCAGGTTTTCCTTGCTCAAGTGCGCGTGGAGCTGAAGAACCCCCGTATTCACGGTTATAATTGGATGTGAGTCTCTCTCCTAGAGCTGCTGAAGTATTTGAAGTTGATTAGGTTAAGCAACCGCGTGTGGGCAAGAAAACCCACTGAAGAGGAATTGAAATCGAAGGAGATAAGTTGAGTCAAAATATCGCCAGAACTCTGACCTTTGATGGATATTAAAGAATTTGTCATATTCTCTTGATGAATTAATGACAGAAATGTGGATCAGTCTAATGTTCGCTGTCTATATTAAACCTTCTAGTCAACTATTTAGGTAGATAGTCGTCTCCGTCTTTTCACTAGTGAACTTTCCGCCCGCCACCACTTACGTTTTGGGGGCTATTTTCCCACGAGTGGTGGTTATCTGTATCACAAGGAGCTCCTCCTATAGATGAGTCAGGCTTGATGCACAATGTTTTTTAAAGCTCAGGTCCCCTGGGTGGTGTAATGCTGACATTGTGATTTAGGCGAGCTTAGATAGTATGTCCAGCGTCTTGGGTTGCTGCGTTCCGCAAGGTTTATTTGTATAAGCCAGGCCTGCTAGTCAGCTTATTTCAATCGACTCCTTCACCGAGATTCCTTGGCGAGTAGTCACTCGCTGTTTGGGGATATATATGCAACTGGTTGCAGGATGTATCCTTCAGGTGCGTCTAATATTTCTGCTTGCATTGTTTTGAGGGTGATGGGCTTAAAGATAGACTAGGAAAGACATGGATCATAATTATTACCTTCCTTGAGCGCTTGCCCCTTGGCAATACGTGCAAGGGATGACTTTTAAATTAGCCCAATTATTTCTTTTGATTCAATCAATCGAATCAAGCAAATAATCAATCTAAGGAGGTGCCACCCACTCATGCCAGAATTTATGAGCCAAGGTCAGCAAATATTCCAAAACACCAGATTTGCAACCAACGAACTTGGGTTTATTTCTGGGCTATCTTGAAACAGAAGTGTTTTCTCAGCCCATGATCAAATATCTAAAAATGCATATAGGTTTTCCTCGAGGTAGGTGGTGACAGGTCCCTGCTGCCGTGAGTTGGCTAAATTTCACAAAATATTGATACATTCATAACAGCCAGAACGGTTTTATAGCCGAGCACATGCCTTATATTACGCGCTTGGTACTATTCATATACACTGAGCTATGATAATTTGCTTTGTACAATGAAAAGCCTGTCCTTAATGATCGTATCAATGATCGTAGATGAGTTTCCAATACATGGAAGTCCAACCCACATTGCTAGAACTTGGAAACAGTTCAAAAAGGCCACCAAAGAAAGCCAACCATCCATCAATTTCATTACCAACCGGCGAGTATTCACTATCTAGTTATCGATGGCCCCAAATAACTAAAATGAACATGGAATGTGGCTGATATTGGAATCGAATCGCAAGTACCTAGTATGGTAGGGTTTAAAACTAATTGCATTCCGTGAGCTTTTGTTTAGATATCAAAACTTCTCGGTGATGTGTATAATGACACCGAGGTTAACACCATCACTCTATTCCGTAATTAGATCAGATTGCCGGGATATAGTTACCTCGGGACCCCGCCATGGTGGCAGCGAAACAAGCCAATAGGAATAGAACAAAAAAAGCCTTACAAAATGAGTTCGGATAATTATCCATCGAACAGATGATAAAGTTAAGTTATTTAAGGGTCAGCTATCTTCACTTCCTGATTTACCAGACTCGCCGAGTTAGGGAACCTTAGAAGAGTCGACTGAATAGACAGTGTTACTTAGAACCGACGACCTCCCGAGGTCATACATCAACATGGCGCCCACCGCTACCGTTCTTCTAAATGAAGACAGCACCAACGCCGCATCAGGTGCCCTGGGCCTAGCCAAAGATGGTCGAAAGCTCAAAATCCGCTCATATCCAATATTCGAAACCCTCCTCGAAGAAAGAAACTACCGAAAACAGCACCTGGCCGCAGCCTTCCGCGTCTTTGCTGATCGAGGATTCGACGAGGGAGTCGCAGGACATATATCCGTCCGAGACCCCATCTTGACAGATCACTTCTGTATGATCAGACACCCAGCAAAAGCGCAAAACAAGCGATGGCTTATACTAACAACCCGTACTCTCCAGGGCTTAACCCGTTATCCATGCATTTTGCCTTAATTAAAGTCTCGGATCTGATTATGGTGAACGAAGACGGTGAAGTTGTCGAGGGAGACGAACCTATCAATGGAGCTGCTTTTGCTATTCATTCGGAGATCCATAAGGCCCGACCGGAGGTTAATGCTGCATGTCATGCGCATTCTGTCCATGGGAAGGCATTCAGCGCTTTTGGTCGCGAATTGGACATGGTTACGCAGGATTCGTTGCGCTTTTATAAAAGCCATGCTGTGTACGCGGAGTTTGGGGGTGTGGTACTGGACCGGGAGGAGGGGAGACGGATCACAGCGGCCCTAGGGACTGGGAAGGCTGTTATATTGCAGAATCATGGTTTGCTTACTGTAAGCGATTGACTCTGACTTCGCTTGATTTTCTGGGTGCTGATGTGCTTTTCTAGGTTGGTGGAAGCATTGACGAGGCGGCGTTCTGGTTTATCAGTCTGGATAAAACTTGCCATGCACAGCTTCTTATCGATGCAGCTGAGCTGGGTAGTGGTCATAAGCGGAAGATTATCAATGATGAGGAGGCGGAGTTCACGTCGAAGCAAGTTGGGGGTCCGGAGAAAGGGTGGTTGGCATTCCAGCCTTACTATGATGAGATCGTTGCAAAAACAAATGGTGGGTTTTTACTGTGATGATAGCGGCAGCAAAATCATTGTATGAGTCAGTGCAAAGGAAATCAAGACGGCATTTGAAGTTTTCACAAAGAAAGCCAATAAGTTGATAATGTCATTCATGCGAGCTTATGATCATGTGGTATCTTAAAAGAGGTTAAAGCATGCTGAACGCCAAATTACAACCTGACCCAGACGGCTGGCGATAGAACAAGGTAGGCGTGGAAGAAGGGAAAAGCAAGGGTCAAAGCAACGATATCATGTAAAATCGTAAACGCCATCAAATCACACCATGACGGGCCTTGAAAATGGATATCTTATCATCGTAAAAGAGGATTTCCTGTAATTTGAAATGAACGCGACTAGCGCCATTTTCCTCCAACTCGCTATCGGATTCGTCAGAAAAGCCAGAAAGAAGCTCATGGTTGTCTGGGAGATCCTGATCGTCGTCACTAGTATCCATGGTCTCGTCGTCAAAAGCGGCGAGGCCGTCACTACCAGAGTGGAAGTTGGAATTCATTGATTGGGATCCATCCGAATCGGTAGGGTTGCTCGGCCCATTCTTCTCAAGAATTTGGTAGCATTTCGATTGCAAACCAATGTAAGTGATTTTAAGATCGGGACGGATGCTAACGATATCCAGAACTTGTAATGCGAGCTCTTTCAGATCGCGATGAACGGAGTGGCTAATACGAGGCAAGTATAAGGCGCGTAGTTGGGGCATCTTTGGAAGTCTCTGCAGGAAATAGTGCTGGAAAAATCAAAATTAGCCTAGAACTTTCGGACTCATCACAGACATATCCTTACCCAATCGCGATAGTGCATGGCCATTCCCAACTCTCTGAGTTGGGGCATTCGTCCGCTAGTGACAAAAGACACCATTTCCTGGTTGAACATCCACTTGTGCCAACGTGTGCTCAGACTGTCTACGTTTCCATTCCGCTCGGAGGCATCAATGAGAACCTTTCGGAGACTTAGACGATGCTTTCGAAGAATATGGCGGTAGATAGCTTCGATATTGACGTTTGACTCAAAGGTTGGGGCTTCGTGTAAGTAAACGCTTTCTAAAGTATTCGGGGCGAGGGCGTCTTTGATGAAAAGCATCAGGTATGGAGTGACGGTATCTGTGCGCAGGTGCTTAATATTGAGCGAATAATCATACCTACTGAGGCTTGATCGACGTCGTTCCCCTTTCTGTGGTCGTTTCTGCGGTGGCTGAGGGGGCGCATACTTTCGGCGAAGAGCCCTCCAAAGATTTTCGTGTTCCTCGCAACGCATCAAAGTGAGAGTGGTAAGGCGGGTCCAGTCAAGCTGGGGTAAAAGATGTGATATAGAGAGAGGGACTCGTTCCAATTCCAGGACCTCGAGGTTTAACTTTTCATCGCTATTCTGTGGTCCATATATGGGACCGCATGCCTTAGGAGCAGTAATATTTGAGCTAGGTGGTGACGATGATGTACTGTCATTGGCACTAATAGAAGGTCGTTGATCGAGAGATGACGAGGAGCTCGACCCCTGCCGAGCAATATGATCTTCGCTCCTGGTGTCGTTCTCCGTGGACGCGTCTGACTGCAGCAAGTCGCAGGAGGAATTTTTCGGATGAGACAAAGTATTACGGTTGGATAGAATGCTGAGAATTCCTCCAACCCTTGGCCAGCTTAGATTGCAGTCAGTGGGCGGGTCGGTATCTTTGGCACAAACCACCCAAGGAGACAGGTGGGCCTTCAATGCAACGCCGATCCGTAACTCGACCAACCGATGACGAGAACGTTCGATCAAGACAGCTAGCTCCTCAACATAAGCCATCTCATCTATGTCGAGAACGGCTACACTCTTGAGCGGCGGTAGCACAGATAGGGAGGGATGCTCGACATGCTTGTACTTCTGTAGCAGGCGGCTTCCGGAGCTCAGCACTGCTGAGATGCGTTGAATATTCTCGGAATTGTCATGCCACCGCACCCAAATACGCTCCAGTCGACATTGATCATGGGGTCCGTCGGCCAGGGAGGCAAGGGCAAGCCATATTTCACGAACCACTCCTGTCGGCATGTCCCATATAAAAGCCTCAAGGTTGATCATCCGCGCCACAGCTAGGGCGACCAGTGTCCCCAGCATCTTTCCTACCTCTCGATTCACTGAATACTCTTGGACCCAGCTTAGTGGACCATTGCCGATGGAAAAGGTGCGGGTGTACTGTGCATAATGATTTCCTCGTCGAGCTAGAGATCGACCGATACTACTACCTGTCTGATGCGTCCGATGGCGTGGAATATCACATCCGCAATGAGAGCAGTCATCTGAAGGTCGATCGAATCTTGCCAACGGCGCATGATGAAAGACGTCTTCTCCCATCACCAAAGTCGATAGGCCGTACGACAAGGCATCCACCCCCGAATAGTCATCGCCTGAAGAGTTCAAAGATTCAGGCCAGACGATATCGAATCGGGAGTACATGTGTGGGACTGTCAGGCCATGAAGTGTAGAGCATGTTAAGGCGAGGGAGGTAAGATCATTTGTCTGGGTGACCTATTGATACAATCGTTAGTTTGTGCAAATCAGAAAACGACAAAAGAAAAGGGAAAGACGCGTCGTACCTCTTTGATAATATCCTTTAACACGTCCAAGGGCAATTCTAGAAGCTGCATCGGGCTCTTGACTGTTGGTTTGAAGCTTGACGCGGTATAGACGGAGGCTGCAGTGCCAGGTGTGGAAGTCCGAGTCGCGCTCTGGTCCGAGCTTTCACTTGAATTCGCTTCGAGGGCCAGCCTCGGAAATAAGGAGAGGTGGCGTTTGACTAGACACTCCGGATCCACTGAGGTAGTGCTTTGGCTCGAAACGAAGTCTTCTTCGTCGGATGATAAGGCCCCGTCGGAGCGCGGCCGATCAGCTCTATCGGAGCTGGTATCCGCCATCAGGAGACTATTCGAGTGACAACAGTTCTGAGTGATAAGACGGGGTAAAAAATCATATCCTGACCCTAAATGGAGGAGCTCTAGATTTGAGCATCAGCTATCGCATCAGTCTGGTGCCGGCGCGACAGAGAAGGAAGGGGTCTGGGGAAGCGATAAGCTAGTGAGTTAGTTGACGGATCGCTCCGCTGCGGATCATCAGAAGGGGTTTAGGTAAGCGCCACATGCACCCCAAACTACAAGTATACAATTGAGCTGGAAATTCAAGCATATTCTTATGGCATTCAAATTTAAATAATATTAGGTGAATTTTATAACTGCAAGCGAAATATCTAGATGGCAATTTCTTTTTCTTTTTGGAAAAAAAATTGGGTAAGCAAAGCTTTCATCGGACTACGCTCTATCAGTATTTATTCATCGCGACCCAATTTCTCCAGATTCATGGCTGCACTAATGCATGCCAAGTGACTGAATGCTTGAGGAGTGTTGCCCATCTGCTCGCCTGAGATGGCCACTTCTTCCGAGAACATCCCCAAGTGGTTTGAGTATGACAGGATATTGTCGAAGTGGGAGAGCGCCAGCTTCCAGATGTTGGGAATCGGAACATCGTATTGGGCAGCCTATACATCGAGGAGTTAATGAGGGGTCAAATAATGGAGTAACGTTAGGGATGGCACATACTCGGGCCATGGCCTCAACAAGCCAGAAGGTAACCATAATAAAAGCACCTTCGCCTCCGCCCACACCTGTGAAACACGAGCATCAGCAACGGATTGAAGGCTGAAAAATCTTAATCTCCGCCGCGAAAAAGTACACACCGTCATTGGCCTTCTCATGGTCGTATCGGAACACCATCTTGGCACTGCAGAGACCCTCCTTCTCTTCATTTTGCAGAATCCTTTTCAGGGTATTGATGAAACGCGGATCATTCGGCGCCACGAAGAAGACCAAGGGGGCAATCAAAATGGACGCATCAAGGACGTCAGGGTTTTCGTAGCTCTGGCAGAAGTGCTGGCGTTCAGTATTGAACCCTCGGGTCATAATCTCATCATAAAGCTCGTCGCGATCCTGAATCCATCTGAATCGGTCAGGACATGGCAGACTAGATCGTTTCTCTGCAAGACGAATGCCGCGGTCTAATGCCACCCACATCATAACCTTGGAATAAATAAAATTCTGGACCTGGCCACGAGATTCCCAAATTGACATATCTTTTTGGTCTCGCATACTGACCACATAGTTAACCATGCGTCGAATTGAAGCCCACTGGTCGTAAGTGATGGGATTTCCATGCTTATTGTATAGATAGATGCTGTCCAGGAGCTCGCCGTAAATGTCCAACTGAGTGTGGAAGACAGCAGCGTTGCCAATGCGGACTGGCTTGCTCCCCCTGTACCCATCGAGATGTTCCAGCTCCACTTCGGGAATGTCGTACTCGCCTCTGATAGTGAACATGAGCGGAAGAAAAGGGCGTTTGCTTCCCGGAACAACATCCTGAGCCGCATGCGGGAGAATCCGCTCGAAGATAAAGGTCACATAGGCTTCCGCCTCGCGGCTGTATCCCATCTTCAAAAAGACATACAGGGTAAAAGCCGTGTCTCGCACCCAAGAATAGCGGTAATCCCAATTTCGAGAGCCGCCCACATTTTCTGGAAGTGCAAATGTGGGCGCAGCGACAATTGCGCCTGTGGGCTTGTAGGTGAGGAGCTTCAGAATCAACAAGCTGCGCTCCACTGTCTCTCGATAGTGGCCCCGAAACTCGCACTTGCGAGTCCAATCTGTCCAATAATCCGATGTTTCCTCCTCCATCCTGCCCAGGTATGCAGCCATCATGGCGGAATTGGGCACCGCCTTCTCGGGGCTGTGCAGAACAAAGTGCAGAGTCTGTCCCTCAGACAAATGGATCCGGGCCACCAGCCCACGGCCCTGCAAGCCTGGTCGCTCTTCCAAAGTCATGTTAGCCTTTGGGTATCCGAGCTTCTCTGGCTCCCGGCTATCCGCGAAGATTTCGAGCTGCAGCCGCTCTGTCAGACTCTCAAAGTGCATCGTCTGCAGTCGATGCTTGAACATGTCATTTTCCAATTTCGCACGGGTGTTGTGTGCATCTCTGGCATAGTTGAAAGCAGGAAAGAGCTCTATCTGCAGCTCCATTGATCCACGACCGCACTCAAGTTTCCTGATCACGCCCGAATGCTGCAGTCCTGACTTAAAGCGGTTGGTACCGGGGTCGTTGCATGGACAGTATCCTCCCAGCAGTCGGCCTGACTGAGCATTCTTCTTGGGCGTGACTGGGAAATAATCCAGCATTGTCACAACACCACCATCATTGGTCCAGCGAGTTTCCAATATATTCGAATACGGCAGATATCGTTGCTTGCTGTGGTGTTCGACCACTGTTTTGTGTGGCTCGATAGACCAGAAACCTCCTTTCTTTTCATCTAGAAGACGACAAAAGACTGAAGGGGAATCAAATACCGGCCAGCACATGTAATCCATGCTGCCGCCCTTGCTCACCAAAGCACAGGTGTGCATATCGCCAATCAGACCATAATCCTCAATGGCATTATACGTGTACTCTGTCATGGTTTTAATGATGATAAAGCCGTGTAATGATGTCTCGAGAAGAAAATAATAGCCGACAGTACTGATACAAATCTCATGCAAGAGTGGCTGCAGAAGTAGAAGAGAACAACCCAGAAAGCTTCGGCACGACCGCACCGGGAAAGATATATGATCGCACATATTGACCGGATGTCCTAGGGAGCAACGACATGATGATGATAATGGCTCCCAATTGGGGTCATACTTAATGATCTAAGGTGGCTCTGCCAATGAGGGTCGATCATTGATTCCTGTGCTCGACGGAGGGATACACATCATCATTATGGAAGAACTGATAGCTCCCCCAAGCGGAGTTTGGGACCATCAATGCCGTGATCTTCTTGGGAGTTTATCAGCCCCCAACGAGCGGAGTTGATGAACAAAGTCCGTGATACACCCTTTCAATCATTTTCAAGCTTAGAGCTCAGGCAGCAGTTGTCTCATTGTCAACCCAAATCGAATATCGACCTGATCCTAGTAATATCGCCATAGGAGATGGAATTCGGGAGTTGTAACCCGCCAATGACACGCGACCATGCCTGACCTGCATTTCCTTGGTGTGCATTTTCCCCTTAGACCCCGGATCGACCGGACAGTGGAGCTGGGCCAAGGTGGAGTTGTGGCGACCAGTAATAGTTCAAGTTTGAAATGAAGTGGGAAGAGGAGAAAAACACCCGGCGAGAAGGGTGCGATCCATCACCGCCAATCTCGATCGTTTCTTCAACAACTTTCTTTTTTTTTTCTTGTTTTTGGTGAGCTGCGTGACCGCTTTTACCACTTCACTCCTTTAGTTCCTTTCCCCATTCACCTTCCAACATAACTCTCCGACATTCGCTAAAAACCACTGGGAGATATCCACCCCTTTCCTCGATCCTGATTCGAGGCTTCCCCCCCACGTCAATAAAGGGTCGTGTGAACTCTCCCGGTCGCACCCTCATGGGGCTCACAGCTTTCATCTCCCCCATCCCCTCCCGCGTTTAAACCCAAATTCCAATATGGGGTTGCCAGCCTCGAACCACCACCGACGGCGAAGCTCGATGCTCACAGGGGCGACTCGGCCGGGGCAGCCGGGCTCCTCGGAACGGAGAGATGACAGTCTTCGACCAGGAGACGACAGATACAAATGGGACGAACAAGAACCGTTGACGGCCGAGGACACTGATACGTCGGATCTCTCAGCAGCGGCGATGGACACACGCGAGCTAGACATTAGTTCAGATGATGATCACTACGATGAGGAGACTGGTCTTACAGCAAGTCAGAGACGTCAGCGACGTCGACGGCGCAGACAACGCCGCAAGCTGGATGCTCGCATCGCCGACACAAAATCTTATAATGGCCTCCTTCAGCTCGGTCTGGCGGATCGCAATGTTGTCAAGAAACTCATGGCTAACGCAGGTCTGATCCTTATGTGGTATTTCTTCTCATTGTCAATTTCCATCGTGAGGCGATCCCAAGATCTTGTTCTCCCAAACACATGAAGCTTACTCTTTCTCTATCACAGTATAACAAGTGGATGTTTTCCGAGAGCGATGTCGTCTTCCCGTATCCTCTTTTCACCACGAGCTTGCACATGGCTGTTCAATTCACACTCGCCAGTCTTTTACTATACTTGTTCCCGTCATTGCGCCCGAGTCACCCCATGGAGTCTGCCGCCAGCTCCCCCGTCGAAGAATCCAAAAAGGAGCCGGTACTCACCAAATTTTTCTACTTCACGCGCCTCGTCCCTTGCGGGGCAGCAACGTCCCTTGACGTTGGTCTAGGCAACATGTCGTTGAAGTTCATTTCCCTCACTTTCCTCACAATGTGCAAATCATCTGCACTCGCCTTCGTTCTGCTTTTTGCTTTCCTTTTCCGCCTTGAATCTCCGTCGGTGAAACTGATCGTGGTCATCGCCGCTATGACAATTGGTGTTGTTATGATGGTTGCCGGCGAGACTGCATTCAATGCACTCGGTTTCACCCTTGTCATTGCCTCCGCCTTCTTTTCCGGGTTTCGATGGGGTTTGACACAGATTCTTCTGCTTCGTCATCCGGCAACCTCAAACCCCTTCTCGACTCTCTTCCTTCTCACACCCGTCATGTTTCTTTCTCTTATCGTCATTGCCCTCACTGTGGAGGGCCCCAACGAGATACACGGAGGTTTCCTTAAACTCGCTGAGCAACATGGAACGGCAATGGGAGCCTGCCTGCTGATTTTCCCTGGAGTTCTGGCATTCTGTATGATTTCATCTGAATTCGCCCTGCTTAAACGCTCTTCGGTGGTCACCCTGAGTATCTGCGGTATCTTCAAGGAAGTGGTGACCATTAGTGCGGCGGGTATCATTTTCCATGACAAATTAACTCCGGTTAACGTGACTGGCCTTGTTGTTACCATTGGCAGTATTGCATGCTACAATTATATGAAGATCTCGCGGATGCGCAGCGAAGCACGAGAAAGTTGGAGCCGTGAGGGTAGTCCAGACTCCGACACCGAGGATACAGAGCTTAGTGGAGCAGAGACTAGCGATTACCGCCGCGTCGCAAATCCCGAGCCGGGCCTGATCAGTGTTGTCCCGGGGGATCATTTCGACGACGACCTGCATGCTTCACGAACGGGCGACCAGCGCCGCTCGTTCCGTGTCCGCGCCAGCGGTGCCATGCAGGGGCTTACGATTTCCACATCCACTATACCCGAGAATGACGGCCCTGGGTCGCCCATTAAGTCCGCCCCTCCAACCATCACCTCCATGTCCGAGGCATTCCCCGCACATCTTCAGGCGTCTGATCGGGAAGCATCCCCAGGCGTCCACTCTACTTCATCTATTTCGCCAGTGCGGCAACACACTCCCATGAATCACTAGCCTTTCTATCTTCATTCTTGATACCTATTTTCCTAAACTTGATTCATCTATACACCATCTTGGAGTGGGTGCTTTTTGTATTGTGACTTGCACAGTCCTCTCTTCTTTTAGTTCTTCGTGTGGGTTGAACCCACGGGATCAACGAGTTGTTTTCAGCCTTTGGACCTTGTGTTTACCAATATTTGATGTAAACGATGTCTTTGGTTTTATAGAGCGATGAGTACTCTGGGTTGGTCCGAAGGCGGATGTTGTTTTATTTTTATCTTTGCATGGCGGTCGTTAGGCTCATTACAGAGCGGCCGATTAACGGATACCACAATTTCATTATTCTCTTGTGAGGGCCTATGGTCCTGCCATTCATTCGAAAAGGAGTTCTCCATACACAATCAATCTCGCCAGATGTTCCTTTTATAACCCGATTGGGGATTATTGTTGGAAACTGCGCCAAGGCCCCGTGAGACTGTATGAAGTACAGCAAACCAGGCCTCTTCGAAGTTGAGCTAGGGAAGATATGTATACGATCAAATATGGAAAAGTTCAGAATCTATCAAGGTTCCCATTCAGAATAGAGAATGTTTGGTGTGTACCTAGCCTAGGTACAGATAAGACATATGAAAGCAGCAGGTCACACTGAACCCGTGGGCGGTTATTGAGTATAATCTAGGGCTTGCTTCTGCAGTGCATCAAGGGCAGACAGTTGAGATCAAAATGGATTTATCGGTATCAAGATCCACAATGCGATATCCTCGACTTATGAAAAGCATCGCTAACTATTTTCCACCCTTCATCATATCTACCAAACTCTTTTGCCCCTTCGCTTTCCCCTTCGCCTCTTTCTTCTTCTCTGTCTCAATTTTCCTATCGTGTTGCTCCTGCTGCTTCTCCCGTGTTTCTCGCCCCTCCTCAGAAAGCTTCGCTTCAAGAGCTTTGAATTCCTCCCCTTCTGGATCCATTCCAATCAACGATTCAAGCAACTTGATTTCTCGAGCCCAAACACCAGGATCTTGAACGGTTGGCGCCGACGCACCAGCAGGCCGTTTAGCCTTCTTGCCCTTTTTCTTCGTGCCAGACTCACTCTCACTTCCCTCATTAGGATCCCCCTTCTCAACTCGGTCAATGGGCGTTTCCAAAACCATGGGCAGCCCCTCAAACCGTGGCTCATTCATCACATTGTGGAAAGCCCGAAGACCGAGGAAGCCGGTTCCGATATTAGCATGCAAATCGCGCTTGCTACCAAACGGTGCCTTGGAGTCGTTCAGATGCAGCGCTTTCAGATATTGGATGCCAATTAGCTCTTCGAACTCGTCAAGGAATGCCTTGAAGCCCTTGGGCGAGGCGAGATCGTATCCGGCTGCAAAGCTGTGACAGGTGTCGATGCAAATGCCGATTCGGGAGTGGTGTTCTTTCGGGATGAGGGCAAGGAGGTCCTTGAATTCGGATAGTGCGCCGCCAATTGTGTTGCCATGGCCGCACATTGTTTCAAGAACTGGAATTACAGTTGAAGTTTCGGTGATGGCTTTGGTCAAAGTGCTTGCTAAGCGAGAGAGGGCGTCTGGAAGTGGTGTTTGGTTTGTGCTTCCCGGACTAGTGGGGTGTAAGTACATATACGTGTGCAATTCAGTGATTCACAAAATTTGACCTACTGGAAGTTGTAAAGCTTAATGCCGAGGGCTTCACATCGGCGAAGGTCATCTAGGAAGGAATCGTAGGCCTGCTTGGCTTTAGCCTTGTCGCCCTGTGCAAGGTTCACAAGATACGACCCATGTGGGAGGACGTGCCTAATAATATTAATAAATTTCATCAACTCGGAATTTTGGACAACTTACTTGGCTGCGTCATAGCCCTTCTCATCGCATAGCTTGCGGAATTGATCACGATGCTCGTCTAAAAGAGCTGGGTTGTCCCATTTGCGTTGAGATTTCAGAAATAGCGCGAATGCGTTGCCTCTGTGGTACCAATCAGTCCATGCTCGAGACCATCGATTGCGCTGGGAGATTACCCAATATGTTCGCTATTATGAATAGAATTGAAGACGCCTTTAGCGGCACTGACATGCGCACCAACAAACATCTTCAACCCCTGGGTACGTGGTGCAAGAGGCATAGCTTCGGACTCTTTCTGCTCTTTGGTCTTCTTTCCTCTCTTTGCGGGAGTGGACTTGGCCTTCTGGGTACTGGCTACAGTTTCGTCTTCGGCTTTGACCTCAGTTGGCTCTTTACAAACACTCTTGACATCAGAGACAGCTTTTGCCTCAGGACTTTCAATCTTCTTTGTGGACGAAGGGGTCCTAGTCTTTTTCGTTTGCTTGGTTTTTGCCGGTGTCACCTTTTTATCGTCTCCTCCCTCGGATTCATCCGAAGAAGACTGTTCCTTGAGGTTGATTGTTGATCTTTGCCTCTTTGAACGTCTTACTGGAGAGGCATCCGCTGTTCCGCTGCTGAGGTTTCTCTTGTGGCCCTTGGAATCGGGGACTGGTTGAGGCTCGTCGTCGTGGAACTCACACATGATGTACTGACCACTTGAATGGGTGCAGGGAGATGTTCTCGGGTTGAGGTATTGGTTCCAGAAAACCGATGGGTCCGGAATCTGATTGGACGTGCCGACCCAGGGATATCAAAATGATGCCAAGCCTTACTGGACACCACTGGACTTGATGCAAAATGCTAGAAACCGGTCCCTATTGAGATTCTCTGCGGTCAAAGCACGCTTCAAGGCAACAGAAGCTCGTGTTACAAAGCAAGTAATGATTCCGATCAAATTAGACCTGTCCGACAGTGAGGAGACGTTCATATGTAAAATCATATCACGTGTGTGTCACCACAGCAACAGTCATGTGATGTTTATCGATAACCAAATCCGCAACAAATGCACCAAGTCCCCTCCTTGACCTCAACTCGAAGGCACACCCCAAACCATTGTCGATACCTGCAAAGGGGGATCCCGGCGAAGATCTCGGCAGGATGGCGGCCTCCAACGACTTAATTGACTTCGACATTATCGAAGCCCAGAAGGAAAACGTTCAATCACTTCCCGGTGGGAGATCAGCCCGAGAGCTCGCCCGGATTTTCTCAGGCGGGAGCAATACCAGCGACAAATACGCATCGCCAACACCAAACGACACAAGAACCTTGAACGATGCCATTCGTCAAGAATACGAAGGCGAGTTGCAAGTAATTGCAGAGTCTGATGACCCCCTCGATGTTTACGACCGTTATGTCAAATGGACCCTCAACGCATACCCCTCCGCCCAAGCGACCCCCGAGTCCGGTCTGCTTCCCTTACTCGAACGCGCGACGAAATCATTCCTCTCGTCAGCGGACTACAAGAACGACCCACGGTATCTGCGATTGTGGCTACACTACATTAGGTTGTTCTCTGATGCACCAAGAGAGACATTCGCATTCCTCTCCCGTCATCATATCGGTGAAGGCTTGGCACTTTTTTATGAAGAATTTGCAGCCTGGTTGGAAGGTGCGGGCCGTTGGAAGCAGGCCGACGAAGTTTACAGGCTAGGTGTAGACCGTGAGGCTCGGCCAGTTGAGCGATTGTTGAGAAAATACAGCGAATTCCAGCAACGATATGAGAGCCAGCCACAGGATGCTGGGCCATCATCACCAGCCCTACCAAAAGTCCGACCTGCACTTGCTGCGAAAATGGACCCCTTTGCACCCGCTGATGGTTCTCCGGATCCCCAGGCTGCACGCCCCTCTCCTTCATCCACCAGTGCGCCGAAAACCAAGTCTGGAAAGCCTAAGATGGCTATTTTCTCGGATGCTGGTGCAAGTGCTGATAGCCAACCAGCGGCGAGCGGACGGACGAAGGGATGGGACAACATTGGATCAATGGAGGAGCGCAAGAAGGAAAACAGAGTGGAGGCAAAGCCGTGGGCTGGGGAGACTTTGAAGGCAGGAAAGAAGGCAGCGCCTACACAAAAGATGGCCATCTTCCGGGACGAGGTGAGTTGCAATTGTCAAGTTGCTTATCCCATTTCAGACCTCCATATATTTACGATCGCAGGACTAATTACTGGCTTGAACCCATGTGCTTCGGTTATATGTAGTCAAATCCAAATCAACATCAAGAAACCCAAGAACCCCAAGAAAAGAGTGCTTCCAAGCACGTTCCAGAACATCATGTAAGGGAAGCGGTAAACCCACGGACAGGTCGTCGGGAGCGGGTTTTTGTCGATTTGGAGGCAGTGTATCCTGACCGCCAGAACCCTGCGCATGAGATTAGCTTCGAGGAGCTTCGAGCGATGCAACGGGGATGGATGAGTAAGAATTGGCGGGCCCAGAAGGAGCCCCTTCAGCAAATTTCCGGAAATGTTGGAGGTTTTGACTCTCCACTTTCAAAGTCAAAGGCAGCCAGTCCCGATGAGGGTCTACTAGAGTCGGATTTGAGAGCGGAAAATGATGATCACCATAACGCTCAGGAGCAGAATGCATCTTCCGATGGCAGACCTGGGAAAGCACGACGTTTCAAGGTCAAAGGAGAAACCCAGACCCAGACCAGTAGGTTCACTTCACTCGCGGTTCTAAGTAACCCAACTCACAATCTTCATAGTAAAAATGAAGTTCGACTCACCCCCCAACTCTAAGGTTCGACGGAAAAGTACCAGGGAGCCGACAATGACCATGCACACCCGCGCCGCCACCGATGAGATTTACGATCTATTCAACCAACCATTGAAAGCGGAAGCAGAGGAGGATGCAGAGGATAGCGTATTCGGCAGCGACTATGAAGATGATGACCTTATCAGCAACGCTGATAGCACAGTTACTGGACACTTGTCAGCCGCCTCGAGTGATTTTGGCAACGAGGAAACACAAACCTTCCACAAGTCGTACGATGATACTGAGTATGCAGACACCACAAGAGCTGAGAGCGTCGGCGATGGTGATGGTGATTGGACTAGGTTCAGTGTCAGCAAGGATATTCCTGGGCACGAATCCGGTGATATCACATCTCAATCAGTCTACAGCGAAGGAGTGGTGGATGAATCCAACCTAGGAACTCCGGAAAGAGATCATTTTGTTCCCCGAATGCCCGACGACTATGCTCCGCCATTTGGCACGTATAGGGACCCTGCCGTTATGGCGCAGAATCGTCTGCCATTCATGACGCCCATCGTGGAACGGACCGAATGTTCGATACCCTCGCAAACGGTTGCTCGGGAGGCCTTATACAATGCCAAAACGCCTTCGAAGCCTCGATCTCCAGCCGGCATGCCTCAGATGGGCGATCTCCTTCTTTCTAGCCCAGTAGGAGCGCCAACACCATACCATGGAGACCACACCTTCACATCTGCAGCTGATGTCCCTTTCAGTCCGACTGCATTCAAGGCACTTGCCCCGAAGTTTCGTCGGCGAGGAGATGCTGTCATCAGGGAGACTCAGTGCAATCCGACAGATAAGGGTATACGAAACACCATTCTGAATTCTTTGGACCCGCCTCTTGCGGCTTATGCCGGATACCATGGACACGTCAAAGATAGTAACTATGCCTCTATGATTCAAAAGTTCGTCAAGACACATATTAGACGCTCCAAGGGGCTGAATGAGGATTTTGATACCCCTATTCTGGAGTTTCCCGGAGCTGAGCGAAGCTACATTGTTCGACGTGAGCTTGGAGCCGGTGCCTACGCTCCAGTCTACTTGGCAGAGAGTGTAGACAGTCTTGACTCCTACGACTCTGACTCGGATGACGAGAACCTGACTTCTAGCAATCAGAATTCCCGTTCCAAGACACCCAGCCCTTATCAAACTCCTCGGTACTCATTTGAGGCGATCAAGGTCGAGAATGGACCGTCTAGTGCTTGGGAATTTTATATGATCCGAACTGCGCATGACCGCCTGCAGCACTCTGCTGATCACTCTCGGGCTGCAGAAAGCATCGTGCGGGCGCATGAACTGCACGTGCACCAGCGCGAAAGTTTCCTCGTGGAGGACTATCGAGGTCAAGGCACATTGCTAGACTTGGTCAACATACTTCGCAATGATCCCATAACTTCCAACCACCACAGCGAAGGTGGACTCGAAGAATCTCTTGCTATGTTCTTCACTGTAGAGCTTCTGCGCACCGTTGAAGGACTCCACGCCCACGGAATTCTCCACGGTGATATTAAAGCCGACAACTGCCTCGTTCGTCTCGACGACCCCAATACTGAGAATCTTCCAACCACTGCGATGTCCCTTCTTGACTTGAACGAGAAGCCCTCTGAGGGCCGTGATAGTGTCCACTACTCACCAGGTGGCCATTACGGTTGGCGAAGCAAGGGCCTGGATCTCATTGACTTTGGCCGAAGCATTGACATGTACGCCTTTCAACCATCCGTGCAGTTCATTGCGGATTGGAAGGTTGGCACGCACGAGTGCAATGAGATTCGTGAAGCGCGGCCATGGACTCATCAGATCGATCTTTACGGGATCGCTGGTACGATTCACGTCTTGCTCTTCGGCAAGCATATCGAGTCCATGCCTGCCCGCACCAGTACTGGCGACGCCTCTGCCACTCACACGTACCGTATTCGCGAGTCATTGAAGCGATACTGGGACCGTGAATTGTGGGCCGAGGTGTTTGATCTACTTCTTAACCCTGGAGCTGAGCGGTGGGCACATATGGAATGTGAAGGCGGCAGTGATGCCACTCCGTCATCCGTTCTTCCTGTGCTCCAGTCCATGCGCCATGTGCGTCGCAACATGGAAGACTGGCTCGTCGCAAATGCGGAAAAGAAGGGGCTTGCCCTGCAGCTCCGCAAGATCGAGGCGTTACTAGCTGAGCGGAAGAAAAAGCTTGAACGGTCCTGATCGCCCCCTTGTTCTGTTTTCTCTTTGTTATCATTTGTCTCCTAATTACCTGTTTACGATTATACCCCTGCTAGTATCTCTTTTTTTTATGTGTCTGGTCCGTGGTGTCTATGTGGAATTCCTTACCTGTTCATATTCTTGTTTCAGTATATTAATTTGTTTCGTATCAATTGTCACGGATTTGAGATTAATTGAGCTTGGAATATCTTCATTTGCGGATCCTAACCCATGTCCACTACAGTACTCCCTCTGAATGTAGGTACCCTAGAGCCGCGTCCTTTGTCTCAGTCTCGTGCGAGGTTCCACGACTCGGCTAGGTCGAGGCATCTGGGCCACGGGCCATGGCAGGTGGATCGTGCGACTCCGACCCGTTCTCAGTGGGTCATGACCATTAGCGCTGTTGGACCTGAATCGTGTCCCGATGGAACCTTGGAAGCTCCCGAGATAGGTTTAGCGTGTGTGGTAATGCGTTCCATGGCTGTAATCTGTGTAATAAAACATCGCGACGCGACGCGTCAGTGGAGAACCGCGTGCCTCGTGCCTTGTTCTTCCCCAATGAGGTTATATTGAAAGCTGTCCCGGCCCCACGCTCGGAGTCTACGGGCACTCTACACCGCACAATGAGATGAGAAAAATTTTTCAAAAATTCCCATTTGACCTGTGGGTTTGTGGGCTTGTGCTGAGTTTGGAAGCTAATTATGGATACAAATATCTAATGTTCCCTGTAAACATGGCGGTTTCCGAAGGCAAGTCAGGAGTGCACAGAAAGCAAAAGCATAGGAAGATTCTGCAATGAACATCACCAGATTACCACGCATCGTGCCCGTTCTCCGGCAGATCCTGTAGCCCTTGCAGATGGTTCACGGGAGTTGGTCTCACGAACTGTTAGGAGTACTCCGTATGTTCTCCGTTGTGGGAGAAAGTGGACTCTCGGATAAGCACGATCGACCGTACCTTTTATCATTTAATGGGTTAGCTTAGTGGTTTCAGTCCAATTGGAGCACCATCTCCCAGCCCCCCATTTCCTTCTATACACAATACTGATCCATGTATGTACGATTCAAAAAATTACCCTGACTCGAGGACGCAGCGTGCATCAAGTAAGGTCCAACCTGCAGCCTCCGGATGGGAAAGACTCGAGAAAATCTAAACAAAGATGCCCCCCAACGACATTCCGTAGAGTCATGAAGTCTGTTTCTTTTTTTTTTTACCCTTTGAGATTACAGGTTTTTTTAGTCGCGAGTAGCGCAAGTTAGTAGAATTTCGCGGTGGGCCTGCAAGTCCAGGTCGAAGTACAGAGTACCTGAGTTGGGTATTGGCTCACGCCTACACGCCAAAGTATAGGGTACTCAGTCCCCCCCCCCCCAGCGCCTCACTCCAGCGCCCAACCACAACTCCTCTCCTTCTCTCTCTCCTCTTCCTCACCTCTACATTGACCACCTACCCCTTCCCTACTGTTTCCTTCCCCCAATTTTGCCTGCGATTTTGATCGCAGCTGCGCTTTCTTTTGTTCTCCCGGCGTTCCAGGGGATGACGAAATACTTCATTTCCTAAACTCGGGGATGGAGCCGCAGTGATCTGGTGATCCCGATTTCCAGTTGGCGCATTCCGCAACCACACACACCGACACCCTCGATTTCCTTTGAACTGCCTTTTATTTTTCGCCTTCGTTCGACCGTTTTCCTTTTTCCATTTCCCTCACGATTCACGACATCATTAACCACGACTTCCGCGCGCTTCCTTGAACCGAAGGTCGCGAACTCCAAGCTGCAACTCAAATCTCCCTCATCTAGAACGCGTTGAAGACTCCCCCCTCCTCTCACATTCTTGAACTGAACCCCACAATACCCGCGAGCTGTACCACGAGTCATTGATCATCATGTCTCAACGTCAGCTCTCGCGAACTCTTCCGAAGAACTTCACCTTCCCATCTCTGAGCGCGGATGAGCCCAAGACCCCCGAACGCCCATCGACCCACATCGACGTGCCGCCTCCACCGCGTCATTCATTCTCCAGTTGCCGTCTCCCTCGCGTTCGAGTCCGCTCCGGCACTGATGTCTGCGCGCGTATGGATCTGGATCTATTCCGGTTCCAGGGTCTCCCTGATCTACCCTTGCCCTCGATCGAAGTCGGTCAGTCAAACGCGCCGATCGAGTTGTCTCCCGCGGCTCAACCTGGCAACGATGAACGCTACCTAGCTCCGCCGCGCCAGAGAATGGTTTTCAAGACGCCTCCCGCTCAGATTCGCGGGACTCCATTCGAATCAGGCGACGAGACACAGGCGTGGCCCTCGTGGGACCAAACCCCTCTGCCACACAACTTTGAACGCCCAGGCTCAGCATGTTCAGATATTTCCGATTCATCTGTCGAATCAATCGAGACTTATGCATCGCGCCCGTCTGTAGGAGGAAGCTGTTCAAGTGTTGAGAGTGATATCTTTGATTCTTACTTCCCTCTCGAATTTACCAAGGAGACTCAGATGTCGTCTCCCAGTTTGCCCAAGAAAAAAGCCCAGCGATCTCAGATCAAGGAAAAAATCTTCTCTCGTGAGATGGACAACCACCTGTGGAACACTTACCAGATGTATCTGCAAGACCCTACCATGACTCCATTCAAGATGACCCCAGGCAGCATTCCACCCTTGGGAGTCACCTCACGCGTGGCCCGTCGAGCGAGGAAGACTTGGGAGAACAAGAAGCTCCGCATGGGTCAGTCCCTTTTCATCAAGGCCTCAGACCGCAGCGGCAGCTCGACTCCAAAGGCCATGGATGACAACAAGACACCATGGCCCAAGTCTGATTCGAAGACTCGTCACCGCTTGAAGATGCTGTGTCGCCGCAAGTTCTCGATCATGCCTCATTATCAGCGCATGATGCAGTCTTGCAGCCCAGAACCTGCCCAAGATATGGTCAATAGCGCCTGCCAACCTGGTAACTCTACTGCCTACGGTACCCGCGATCTCGGTGTCTCTCTTGTCACCTCGTACGACCCGACTCCGTTGACCCAACTTGCCGAAGCACCTGTCCCTGAATCGAAAACTGAATGGTTCAATAACCCTGTGCAAAACAATGTTGAGAACCACGTCGTTCAGCCCTCTAACCGGCATCTTAATGTCGAACCCTGCAACATTCCGCGCCTGGGATCGCCATTTGTTTACAGTACGTGGGGTCCTGCAAACTCAGGCTGTTCAGTTGACAGCATGCCTATATCTGCTCGGCGCGAGACCGTGCACGCCCCGACTCGGGCTCGGCGTAACACCCACTTTGACATGACTCCTCGGGAGCAAGATGATGTGTTCTCCCCCAAGGCGCGTGTGGACCGAGACCCCTCTGACGAAGAGGTCCATCAGCGTCTGAACACCTACCTCCGGGACAACAAAGTCCAAGACATTGGTCATGGTCGGGTCCGCATCCGCAGCCGTGGTGCGACAACTGGTGCTGCCGACCGTTCTCGGGATGTCAGCCAGCTCTTCTCACCCCCTTCGTCCCTCAACTCTTCCCAGATTGAGCCTGAAGAAAACACACCCATTACCAAGCCTCCTATCAACCCATTGTTGAATCTTGGTGGTGAACATATCAAGCGACTGGGTTCCCCTTTCAAGGTGGAAGGTCAGTTCAAGCGACGTACGACTCCTGGACGGTTCATTCGGCACGCGCCTTCGCTGTCCGATCCCTTCTCGAGCGGTGGCATTTCAACCTACCCCAGCTCTATGAATCCCTCCCCAATGCAGGAACAGGACAAGCATCAAGGACCCCCTCCATCTCTACAAAATCCCTTTGAGGAAGGCCTTTCAGATGCTGAGCGGATTCGCCGGCAAATCCTGAGCATGCCTTTCATGCGCAATTAAATGCGCATTTCTGCTGTCCACTTTTGCAATTTCCGTTCCCATTGTGGCGTCGATTCCTTTGCGATATCTTTTCACTTTGCATGATGACCTGAACGAGATTTAAGGGGGTAATGTGCCGCCCCCTCTTTGCAGCCTTTTTACATTTATGACAGCCACGGCCTTTGATGATTGTAACGATATTTGAGACGGCTCGAGTCTCGGAACTTTCCTGATATTTGCAACACATGACCCCGACTCCGAAGAGAAAATTGTGACGGGCCCTTTCTTCCTGGATCAGTTGTCGATTCGTCTCCAGCGCATTTGTACCATATTCAACAACGTTTTGGTATACATACGTGTCTGTTTCCTTCGACATCCTTCGTTTCCTCTAGTGCAGAGGGGACTTTCGACTCCTACCAGGGCATACATTCATTCACACCCCTACACTCATTGCACCTTGAAAGTGAAGACGGCTTCATCACATGAGAACCGCTTTGACTTCCACAATAGCAAGTTCACTCCCTATCGCTATGCGACGAATTTCATTTCCTTTCCCTGTCCGATTGCTCGATCCACTAGATGTGGTTTCGTATGCAATGAAAAACGACAAAAACCAAAAACATTCGAAAACATTACTCGCTACGGCGTGATTCATTCTCTTCATCTTTCTTTTCCTTTTATCTGTCTTGTTCAGTCGCCACCTTGTCTTGTGGATGTCTCGGGTCCCACATACCTGAACCAAGGCCTGACAAGACTTGAACATCACCTCTCCATTTTCTCTTCGGCCTACCCTTGCCCAACCATTCCCAATCGGCTCAAAAATGATTTTCCGAGCCAATACTACGCCTCTCCAAAAGAAGAATGTGCACGACGATACATATGCAACACACATAGACGAACCGAAATGAAACGACGCACATGAAATGCAGTTGGCCAACGACATTGCGAGACGCAAGCGAGGCGTTTGGTTCTTATCTTCTGTCTTTGCAAGCGCGCTTTTTTAAATTTTTCTGCTTTACCACATTATCATTCTTCTCCATCTGATTTGATTTCATTTCATTCCTCTCGATAATACGATCTGCTCGGCTTTGTACTGTTCTTTGCTTTGCATGTTTCGATGGATTCGATCCGCTTTCATGAACTGCGATACCGCTTGTGATTCCCAGGCTTGTTAATGGTGTGCCCGAGATGGAATGGGAAATCTTTGCGAACTTGCTTATGGCTGCGTTTCTTTTCGATTTCGAGATCAAGATTTTACTACAGATTTGAACACTCCAGTGCCGGTGTCTTTTGTTTCCTGCGTATATTGATTTTGCAATTACGCCCTGGGCGTCATCGGCGAGTGGTTTTTAGCTTCCTTTCTTTGAAGATCGCTCTTTATTAGGATCGATCGAACAATCAACTTATTATGCTTAACATTGTCCCCCATGGTACTCGGTTCAGTATGTTTTTGATCAGGAGTAGAGCACGTATTGAATGTTTCCAGATCTCTTCCACTGATAATCTCTTATGATGGCGCCTTGATCGATGGCATGGTCTCAATTATATTGACTTAGACCCTCTCTGTTGCACAATTCGAGGGCATACCACGAACCCCAGGATTGGCAATGCCCACTATGTCATTCGTCTTCCTTTCTACACCATGAATACTTTGATACTCTTCGTTCGTTGCAGGGGTCTCCTTGGTCACTTAACGGCGTGCGTAGCTACCCCACTACCGGCACCATCCATCACGCCTGCACCTTACCTTCGCCACATCCTCATGGATCCCCCGTCTCGGAGAGCCTTGACCGGATTATCAAATCCGATACTATCCATGAGGCTATGGTTCTGAGCGCACTCCCCTATTCCGTTGTGTAAGGTAGGGGATTTTGTGATCTCTCTAACAGAGACAGCACAACGGAAATGCCTATTTGACCAGCTTTCCTTGAATTTACTGCAAGGGGGTTCGTGCCTCTATCTAGCCCTGCCCCTGTCGCTTGCTTACGGACTACGTGCTTCTCTCGTCAGTGCCTTAAATTCTCCATCCGATCTTACATCGATCAGGGTCGATCTGTATCTTTCCGAGATTCAATTTGTTCAGAGTATTACCGCCACCCCCCGGTCTAGATGCGATATCCACGCCATGAAATGGGTCCATGATGAGATGGAAAAAGAAGAGCCCAGGAATACCTCCGAATGAGGATGGAGGTCTCGCTCAACAGTCATTCCGAGCTTGGCAACAAGGACCCCACTCCGGATCTATTTGGGGACGTCGGATCAACTCCTCGTGGATCTCGGAACAGCGGGGAGTCATCCAAGTAGATCTATGCAATTTATCGTTGGGGGAAATTCTAATTCCAGATCGCCAATCTTTAGGTTCCCAGCAGAGACTTGTACCTGAACTCAATGCCGCTCAGTACTGATAAGTGCATCCATGTATTCAGCTACATGGTCAAGCTATAGGCAACCGGATCAACACTGATATTCTTCGGATCTGCATCAGGTTGCCAGCTGTCTATACGGAATACGTGCGGGGTGATCTTGGCTTGGTCTTACTTCTTACTCACCCCCGCATCGTCAACCAACGTGTCTCTCATAAACATAGGCAAATACGACTCGAATCCGCTTACATAGATCACTGTCTCGAAAATATGTTCAGATCGGTCCCGCAAGTGACTTGTAGTACCAACGGATTAGCTGGATCCCAACGAGAACTGATGTAATCCTGCAGGTGGCCAACGAATAGAAACCCCAGATGGAAATAGAACCACCCCCACTGTTACAGTAAGTTAAAGCTTATTCGGCGATCTCCGCAGGGAAAGTATCAGCAAGGGAATATGCCAGTGTGCGCATGACGTTCCATTTTGCCGGAGCCCCCGAGCCTCCGCTCATTATCTTTGCTCTGCTTGATGTCTTCGACCCGTGAGCACATCATGTGTCATTGGAATACCATAGGCACCGTAGCACCGGAAAACGGGTGCAGTGTGTGAGACATGCTCTGGATTCGCAGTATGTACAATCCTGTAGTCAGATTATGGCATGTTGGCTACGTAGAGCTCCGCGTTTCACCCAATCATAACATCAGCGCCAAGCTAGACCCTTAGGAGGGCGAATATCTATGTCTCACCGCGTTTTCTAGTGAAGTACTTAAAGCGTCTCTTCTCCCATTGTTCTCTTGGTTATTCATCTAAATACATCTACAACATCGATCTTGATCAGTCTACATCTTTTGCTACCCACTCGAAACCAATTCTCTTCCAACCAAAATGCACTTCACCACTCTCGTTGCCTCTATCGCTGCTCTCGCGATGAGCGTCTCGGCTGCTCCCTCTCCTGCTACCCCAGCAAACACCCGCTATGTTCAACTTCGTCTCTATGGTGAACCTGGATGCTCGGCGCAGAATCTGGGAGAACTCGGTGTCTACGGCAATTACGTTAACAGCTGCCAAAGCTTTGGTGATAATGATGTTAAGTCTGTGAGCTTTGAGATGGCTATCAAAAACTGCACTGGTATGTATCTTGACCTTGTCACTTATCTCTGTCGCTGAGCTGATACGAATACAGTGCGTGTTTACACCGGTGATTCTTGCGATGTTGGCGGACAGGATGTTGCTTTGAATACCTGTCATGGTGGAGATGACGAGATCCACAGCTATGAAGTTTTTTGCAGTGAGCTTTAAGAGATTGCATGAACCGGATGCATGGTTTCTTTTTCTTTCTTTGTTCATTTGCATCGTCATTGGCTTCGGGGGAATGGAAGATATCAATGTTAATATGGGTTACAATCATGTTTCATACGAATTGAATACAAAATAGAATTGCATACTGAATTTCGAGACAATTATGTGCCCGGTGATATACAGCCTATAGATACACTCAAATGTAGCTTCTCACCCTGAACTAGAACCCAGTGATATACCGGTGCTCAGTCGTTTCCTCCAAAACCTCCAACATCATTCCAACTTCAATAGCACCCTCATTTCTCGGTGCACTCAGCATGCCAAAACAAGGCTTATACTTAACCCCCTCATCAACTCTGCGGTACGAAACAAGTGTATCCCACGGTTGCTTCTTGTGCTTGTGTGCCGAATCAGGATCTACATTCGGGACCTGACATCTCGCACAACGCGCCACGATATCCAGAACCAGCGGGGTCTGCGTCACCTTCTTCTCAGAACCAGAGCCATTAACGGCTCTGATACGGACCAGTTTCCAAGAATCTTCGCTCCACGCTGTTTCCCCTCGAACAACGATATTCGGTCGGAACCGTTCAACGGTAATAGGATCTACACCCTTGGAACTGAGGCGCGTGTTCAATTCAGCAAGAGAGGCCTCTGATGCGATGAGAATTGGGAAGACGTCGGGAAAGCCGGTTTCCTGGACGCGGCCCAGGAGTTTGGGTGCGCCGTTGCCTTTCAGAACGCGGGGTGTTGGGCCTTTATAGACTAGTGCGACGGAACGGCCCATGAATGCTGAGAAGGGAGCATTGATTTCATCACTGTAAATGTATCCATCTGTGTCATTTTCCCAGATCTTGACGGGGGCTATGGTGGTGTGGGCCTGTAACCATTCTTGGGTGGGGTGGGCTGGTATGCGGATTGTTTTGGTAGTATCGGGTGCAGTATCAGATTGATGGGTCGATACTGGACTTGATGTAGCTGGACTTGGAATTGTCACAACTAGATCCTCGCCATCTTCACTAAGCCCTGTTCCAATGCGGGTCATGTTGGGGATTTGGCGGATGGTCAGGAACTCGTTTGTTGAGGCGTCGACGAGCATCCAGCGCCGGTCGAGATCTAGGCCATGCTCTTTGAGTGTAGTTCGGTGCACTTCAAAGCCCCGGCAGGACTTGATTGGGTACATGCGCAGCGAGACAATCTCACTGGATTGTTTGGAACGCCTATTCCAGAGGCGTAAGTGCGGCAGCAAACTTGCTGACGGCGATGACTCGTGGATCCATCTTTTCAGTTGGGGGAAGAGTAGAATTGGAAGTAAAAGTACCAGTCCTAAGACCAGGACAGATGTTGTGGGTACTACCTCAATCATAATTGCCAATTTGATTCAAATCCTGACCCAAGCACAAGGTCGCGTTTCAAATGTTGTGAAGACTCATACTTGGAGATAGGGTTCTAGTTCCGTCGGTATTGATAAGCTCTTTTTTGCCGAATGACACCGCCCGGGATCTCGGATAAATTTATGACGTCATGTCCCCGTCCATAGCCCAGCTGCTCTGATATTTTGCGGTAAATTGGATATTCAGTTGAAATGTCATTTATGAATCTATTCCATGACTACCATGGTCATTCATACTTCTGCTCAAAGGTCACACCAAGCATGCATATATGAAGGCATGGTTGATGGGTGTGGATTTCAAGACTTGTGACTTTGCAAAGTGGAATCACAATTTGAATTTAGTCTTTTCATATTTGTATAGAAAGATGAACAAAGAGGCGGCAGTTGCAGAACCTTGTCTCGCATTAACAAAAGAATCGGTGTATTGAGGTAAGGGGGAGTCTGGTTTGACCTAGGTGTATGAGTAAACACGGTGATAAACATCATGATGTTGAATTCGAGGAGATATCAATACTATCAAGGAAAGCCAAAGTAAACACCATGCGTGAAAATGCGAATAAATAACAGCCGAAATGCAATTCCTCCTCATACAGAATGCTTCTCATCGATCCAGCAGATCACCATAGCCTTAATCAAAGCCAAGGTGATTTCTCGCCCGCGCTCGATATCAGCATCCTCCGCTGCACCGGGGACATGCAAAAACAAGACATTGCGGTCTTGGCCCTGCTGTGCGGCCAAGGCCATGCTAGTATAAAAAATAAAGTCACAGAGATAATGGCCCGCGTCATGGGAAATCCGGAGATCCAAGCCCGGCGACGCATTAGCCTTCCACGTCTCTAAGAAGTGACCGTTTGGTGGGTAGGGAACACCCTTGGACTCATGGGACTGTTGGTCTTCCTGCTCTTTAGTGGCAACGAAAGCCCTACCTGGGCACAGTATCGGAGGAAGCCCTAGCAGCTTCCACCTTTTCTCTCCGTCCTCATAACCCGAGCGGCCGTCAATATCAGTAATGTTGTAGTCATCCCGGTGGGCCAAATGCTCCACCGAGTAGTACAATCTTGGTGATGCGATGCCAATGTGAATCACTAGATCTGGTCGACGACCTTGATTGGCTGCTGCGAAGTCGTTTAAGATTACGGGTAATGATTCACGAACAGACGAATAGGCAACAGGGATCGGAATCGGGTGGACATGCAGAATGACACGGCGGTTCGTGGCGCTAGGGGCTGGGAAGGTAAATGAACCAGGGAGCGATTTGGCGATCAGGGAGGAAGCATTGACAAGGTTGGTTTTGAAGGGCTAGTTACACAGTGAGGTCTTAGATCGGGCTCGGAAACGCTTTGGATCCGGGCGCAGATCACTTACGCCAAAGCCCGTTACCAGTACGGAGATGTCGGGTGCGGTTGCAGAGCGTTGGTCCGTGTGGTGCTCAGATGCGGGGCCATAGTCACCCATGATGAGATTTCAGAGACGTCTTTCAAGGTCAAAGTTCAAGAGTTAAATGAAGTTGGAAGCTTAGAGGGAAGGCAAATGCGGGGGTTGATTATGTATACATTCTCGGCTGGGGACCATCTCTCACCGCTGATTGGTTTCTTCACACTCTGTATTCCTTTATTGTTCCTTTGGCTTCCTCTTCATTTTACTACCAATATACTACTAGGTGGCGTTCATGAACACGGTTTTATGGCTACAGGCTACAGCTTCTGCTCACGTTCCACAGGTGTGATACAACTTTCGATCGATTTCATCCATGTTGATTGGCCTCAGGTCATTCCAGCATGGATCCAAAATTGACGCGAGGATATCCTCCAAATACCCTTTCGGGCAAAGATCGGTCCTCGTTTTCGTATTTCCTTGCTCTCGACCCAAAAGCAATTTTGCTGTCCCTCGGAGTGGTCAAGTCCCGAGCTGTTCAAAATATAGGCTTTCCCCTAACTCTCGGCCCAAGCCATATCCGACTGACTGGGGTGGGACTCCACTTCGGAATGTTTGGGTGAAACCTGAATAATGTACAAATGACTTCGTCTAAGTGGCGGAGCCTCCAAGAAGGTTTATCACAAGTCGCCTTATAAATGCGTCAGGCCCAGACGTTGAAGATTTGGGCCCGCAACATTGCTTTTTCGCTCTTTCCCCCTCTTCATTGATGCTATGGCGCTTGTTACCGAAGTGTTAAGCACTCCCTATATTGCTCAGTGTGTCTGTGTTGTGCTTCTGCTGGTGTTTCTCTCCAGCGTATGGGATGATGTTTCCGATGAGATCCCCTATGCTCAGTTTCCTTTGATTGGAAAAAGCCGGTGGGATCTTTCCAACACGAAGGCCAAGTCTCTATTCAGTCAATCAGCACGGGCGTTGATTGCGGAGGGCTTTACCAAGGTAGGAGGATCATCATGCTCTGAGCCCAATATGCTAATCAAGAGAAGGGTCGCAATGTATTTCAGGTCATGGCTCCAACCCGACCATTGATTGTCCTACATCCAAAGTATATCGATGAAATCAAGAGTCATCCCCACCTAGACTTTGATGGCGCTACTAGGAAAGTAAGGGTACCATTCACAACTCTGAAATTGGGAGACTGATTTGAATCTAGCACTTCTTCTCGGGCCGTATCCCTGGCTTCGAGCCGTTCCATGCAAATGGAGCATCTCGAGTTCTCTTGGATGCAGTGCGAGTCAAATTAACTCAAGCCCTTGGTATGTTGGTATGTGAACCCAAATCCTGACGATGAATGTTCTAATCCGCATACAGGTGGCCTGACAATACCGCTCTCCAAGGAGACCGCCGCGACGGTGAAAGACACCTTTACCCCATCGGATGGTATGGCATGATCTTAAATTACTTCATATCCAATGCTAACCATATTGTCCAACCCAGAATGGAAACCGTACAACTTTTCCTGCAAAGTGCCGTACATGATAGCACGTATCTCCACACTGGTATTCCTCGGTCAGAAAGCCTGCCGCAATGAGGACTGGATCGACGTCGCCGTTCACTACACGATCGACTCCTTTAAGGGGGCCCGCGAACTACGGCTGTGGCCGTCCATCTTACGACCGGTAGTACACTACTTCCTACCATCCATCCAAAGGGTTCGCTATCATCTACGCGTTGCCCGGGCTATTGTGAAACAAGAGATTGAGGAGCGTAACATGATCCGCGATGGCAAGCTGTCACCTGAAGAACCACCTCGTACTCAGGCCGATGCCCTCGATTGGTTTGAGGAACTGTCTAGAGCATACAACATGCCCTTTGATATGACACGTGGACAAGTTGCGCTGTCCTTGGCGGCCATTCATACTACCTCGAATCTTCTCACAAACATTATGTACGACCTCGCAGCGTACCCGGAATACGTCCAGCCTCTCCGCGACGAGATTGCCGCCGTTATCGCTGAGGATGGCGAGCTCAAGAAGACTAGTTTGTTGAAACTAAAGCTGATGGACAGTGTGATGAAGGAGTCGCAGCGCACAAATCCAATCAGTATGAGTAAGTCATATATCTTGCAGTCACTCTAAATCCACCATACTTATCACCTTGCAGCATCCCTAAATCGCCTGGCCTTGGAAACAATTCCTCTATCAGATGGAACGGTCATCCCCAAAGGCGCCATGATTGCTGTCTCTGCCCACATCAATGAAGACGAAACCATCTATCCTAACCCCGAAAAATACGACGGCTACCGCTTCCTCAGAAAGCGCCAAGAACCAGGCCATGAGCACAAACACCAATTCGTGACAACCACTCGTGAAAGCTATGGGTTTGGCCACGGAGTCCACGCTTGCCCGGGCCGCTTTTTTGCGGCTAATGAGTCCAAAATTTTGCTCATCCATTTATTGCTTAAATATGACTGGAAATTAAAAGATGACAGCGGACGACCGAAGAGCTTTGAGATGGGCAGCGAGATCGTTACTGATCCGACTGTCGAGTTGCTTTTCCGATCAAGGGATCCGGGGCTTGATCTTTCTGCCCTTGGAGAGGGATCTGCACAGAGAATCGGTACTTCTTGCCGTTTTGAGAGTTCCTTCTGATATTGATTATATTTTTCGGCCTTTACATAGCAACATTGTATAGTCCCCAGGCTATGATACCTCATTGGGCAAGCCAAGTTAAGATGGTGGTCCTAGCGGATAAACGAATCCTGGGGAATCGATTATTTATGAGCCTTGATGATATAGGCCTGGATAATCATGACTTAGCACTACCTAATATGGATGCAAGGTTTGAACTGATGATTTACGTCAAGGTCCCATTTCGAGAGTATAGAGTTTCTTGGGATGTCGATCATGTTGGGCTGCCCAGAGCGTAGTATCCGTATTCATGCGTATTCGCCTTGTCCTACCAATAGTCAAACTATTGGACCCACGGCCCCGCCTCGTATACAGCATCTCCAACCCGACAACCCATCTCGGCCATGCAATGACTAACGCCTTGTATCCCCTCAAATTGGTGATCTGCGTACGCTTACTTAGGTAGCAATAATGTGATCTTTCCATTGATATATGACCCTAAAGCTTTTACTAAACACACATGTGCTTGAACAGAAAACAAAATTAGCAAGTCTTTTACCGTAATCAGGCGAGGTAACCAGTGGATTGTCACTTCTTGTAGCCAGATATGTATATTACTTCATTCAGATCTTTGGTTGTTTTTATTCTTCATTATTTAGTCTCCGAGGCTTTCACTAATAAAACTCCATGAATACCTCCCACTGTTTACCTTGCAATTGCTCTACGGATTGCGTTGACCCAAGTCTAATATCAAAGGTAGTCATGACACTCAATTTTTCTATAGCCAGGTAAAATGTCTAGCAATTCTGGCTTTCGAGAGGAATACCTGTGCTCATATGCGGGTATTTAGGTACTTAGCTAGTCTTTGATTCTTACTTGCTACTCGGTTGTTGCTTGTATATATTTAACTCGAACAACTATGGGATCTATCGCCTCGCGTTTTGTTTTGCTCTCGGTCTTCCTAAGAGACATTCACCTATACCCTTTGCCGCTTTGTGATTCTATTATACCAACCATGCTAGCCAATGTCAAGCTGAGTCGGCGATAGGTAGCAAGTTTGTCCAATTCCGGTGCAGAGGTGGGAAGGGGAGTACGAATTCTAATCTTATGAAATATCGGGGGACTCTCCCGATTGAGTCTGAGCAATATGGTCCAAGATGGTCAAATTGGGGCACTATATCGGATAGCTAAGGGTCCCTTTGGACTTGTGTGTGTAGGGATACAATGTTACAATTGAAATTATATACTCAATGGCTCATTGAACAATCTTGTTGATTTCCGGAGTACAATGCTGCAAGCGTAAATTATCATATTAGGCTTCCTAGTGATATTATTAGACCGGCCAATTCCATCTGAATGATTACCGCCTATAGTGCAATTTGAGCTGATTACCGTCGAAGCCCAAGATCCTAGACTAGCAACGGCAAAGATAGAGAGAGGCTTACATTCGGCTTCAATTACAAGATTTTATCGCGCAGTGTATTAGACTACCGGTGTACTTAATGTATATGTATCCTTTGTTACAATTACTATCTCTCAACTGAACATGCCAAGGCATTGAAAGCTAATTTGGTCACAAGGGTGACGACTGAACTACATAATTCACGAGACCATAGCTCGTCGGAAGGTCTAGTAAGAAGATTCGACGAGACCTGCGATTATCAGGATGGGCAAAAAGCGCTTGTCCGTGTTGTCTAAAGTGTGAGGGAAAGCTTGAATTTGCATACTGGTGACTATTGCTAACCGACGTGGCATTTTATGCTGACATTTTCAATAGTCATGTCGTTTTATGCCCACATGTAAGGCACCAAACCTTTGATTTAACTCCATATAATTCCCAAGCAGATATAAATTTCCAGTCAGACAATCCACTCAGTTTTTGAGCTGCTTGCTCGCCGAAACACACCAGTTGTTCCATTCCGTAAAGAAGGAAGGCTGAACATGGCACTTGGTACTGCAGAGCTGAGCCTTCCGTGTCTCGCCATACACATCGACAACGCCAGCAATATCAGCCTTGTCATGTGCAACGAGGACCTTCACAACAAGCAAACTAGCCTGGCTAGCCGCAGCCGCATGAGTCTGAGGCCCACTGTGTGCCGCTTCCTTGTGGATGGACCGGAGCAGCTCCCAAACAGGCTCGGTCTCGCCTTCGATCTTGGGGACGGCAGATCCCTTGCATAGCTTGGTGTACTCGCGGAGCACACTGTTAGCCTTGTTGGCGATCTGCTTCACGGAGGAACGACGCGAAAGACGGAGGAGAGGGAGGAGGAGGTCCAGGGCCAAGACGCGGGAGTGGCACTTCTTGACGAAGATTTCGAGGAGGTCGAGGACACGGTTCTTGAAGTTCACCATGTTCTCGCGCGCGCCCTTCTTATCTTTTTGCTGGGATGTGACTTGGCGGCGGGCGCGGAAGACATTGGCTAGTTGCTCATCGACAGCGTCCATTTCGTCATCGTTCATGTCGGCGTCCGAGTCGGTGTCAGATGTGTTCCCATCTTTGTCTGCGAGGTGGGTACCAAGTGCGGCGGCAAGCTTGGCTTCGAAATCGGCGACTTCGGCAGCGTCTTCCTCGTCGTCATCTGAGGGCTCTTCATCATCCGAGTCGGATTCAGAGTCATCACTTGCTTCAACGACTTCGACGTCGCTGTCTACGTCCATCTTGTCTTCATCTCCCTCTGAAATTTCTTCGACATCGTCATCCTCTTCCTCTTCTTCACCTTCGTCTTGGTCTTCGAACATTTCCTGCTGTCCGGCAAGGCTCTCCTTTGCCTCGAGGATAGAAATCAACGACTCCAGGCCGTTCTCGGATATCTGATCAGCAAACGCACCGAAGACCTGCTCACTCATGCGACGGAAAAGCTGTGACTGCTTTGAAGCAAAGCTGAGCAAAATTTCAACAAGCGCATCTGATGCGTCAGAGGCGTCCTCCGAGTCCTCGTCATCCATGATCTTAGAATAGCAGAACTCGAGCTCGTCAAGCATCGACACGGCATCGGGGTCACCATTGTACACCTGCAGAACTGTCATGGAGTAGAGAAGCTTGAAAGCGGAAATGCCCGATGTGTCGCCCTTTTTTTCCTTAGCAGATAGCTTCTTCAGTGACTTGAAAGCAGTCTTCACGGACTCCTGGATCTTATCATCAATGTTGATGATGAATCTGCCATATTCTTCAGACTTGGCGGCATCACGGATTTGCTTCACGATTGCGTAAGGGATTGTCGAGGCATAGGTCTGCGATGTAAGGAGACTGTTCAATGAGGAGTTGATACGGTTGCGCAGCATCTCCTGGGTCGCCTGGGAGAGGGCAGGTTGAGGGGCAGAAGAGGTGTTACTGGTGTTCGGGAAGTATGCAAAGCGCACGAGAATAGACAGAATCTGCTCCAGAGTTGACTGGAAGTCATTTTCGGAGTCGTCACTGTTCCCAGTGGCAGCCTTTCCGCGCACCACTGAGAGAAGGAGGCCAGCAATGAACTGGCGGTTTGATGCCGCAAGCTTCTCGTCACTTGCCTCCGGGCGGTTGAGGAGCCTTTCAAAGAGAGGAACGATATCCTCCAAGGCCTCGCGGTTGGCATCCGCTACGATCTTCTCGATGGTTTTTGTCTTAGTGGCCTGGTCGAAGTTGACTGCGCCGCTGCTACCCATAAGACCGCTAACTGCTGCAGATGCAAAACCAGGCTCCTTGGATACGCGGGTTTGAATTGCCTTGGCGGCTTTGACGGCCATGCGGTGCAAGTAGCGATCTTCAACGGCAAGTTGGTTTGTCAAGCAACGGACCAGGTTCTTGGTAAAAATGTGAGATGCCTGCTCGGGCGAACCTTCGTTCAAAACCTTGGTGAACAAAAGGAAGCCCCAGTACTTGCGTTCGTCGGACGAGGCAGAGGCAAACAGACCGTCTGTGGAAAGAGTTAGTTCGGGTCAATTGAAGATGTCAATATCTAGCTTACTGTCCACAACTTCGGTCCAGAAATCACTGAAAGACAGACGAGAGGATTTCGACTTCGACTGGCCGCTCTCGCCGGTTCGTGAAATGACCGCATCCCAGGCAAAGTGAAGCTTGGAATTCCAGACACCAGAAGACTTGGCTTTGTTCTCGCCTTGCGCTTCCTCTGCAGAAGACTCCTTCATGATCTTCGACAAGCTATTGCGCTCTTTTGTGTCCAGCGGGTCATCGTGCTTCCATATCTTGCTGGGATAGTTGACCTTGGGGAACATGTCCTTGGCAGCCAGCCAGACCGCAACACCTTCCGGCGACCGAGCCAACTCATGAGTGCGCAGGCCCTCCAAAATAGCCTCCACAAACTTGGCATCCATATCGCGAGCAAACAGGTCATATACACAGCGATAGAGAATCCAACCGCATTCCTCTCGGATCCATGGCTTGGTCTGGGCAAGGTCGAAGATCAGGATGAGGACCTTGGTCCAATACTCGAAGGGAACGTCAGGTTGGAAAAGAACGGCAGATTTAATTATTGCCTCGGCACCGAACAGACGGCCGAAGTGATGGTCGCGCTGTTCCTGAATCGATAATCTTCTTTAGCACCACTCTCATAATACGGGGAGTATTCTGGAGCTGACTCACCTGTCCTGACTCGCCACCGCTCGCATGGGTTTGGACCTGCCAAAGTTGAAGGGCATCCGACAGCTTGAACTCCGTAGAGTCGCGCGGAGTAGAATAGACCTGAGTGAGGACCTCGGTCAAGGCAATGGAGAATCCAATTCGAGCTGCTTTGCGGCTACTGCAGAGACCGCGGAAGAGTCTCTGCAGCACCTTCTTAATCTGTTCATCGGTGGGGTTCTGGTCGGGTGTGAATTGCGACACAAGGCTTTGTGCAGCCTTGAGCCGAATCTCGTCTTTCTCGCTGGCCAGGTCTTCATAGATCTCCACGAGTTTCACATCGATGTTGTAGCCTTCGCGACGACGCTTCTTCGGGCCGCCAAAGTGTGGCGGCATTGTTCCGGAATTGAATTATATTGAGGAATGTTCTGCTGTGGTAATCGAGGTCGCAGCTCTCGGGGTGGAGCTATTCGCGAAGTTGGATCAAGTGAACATTGCTCGCCGCGGCGCAGAAAATTCGGGGAGGCTGTTGCCCTTTACGGCCTAGCGTGGTGCGATAAGCTGATAAGGTTTCTATTTCTATAGATTCAAGATGAGATTTAGTATAATTCTTGAATAAGGAGCGCCGTTGCGTACTAATATAATATCAGCTCAGGGCTAATAGCATCTAATCCTTAGCAGCTGGTGAAAGTGTGGTGCTGCCTGTGTCCCACGTAGCACTTGAGTTTATGGAACGTTGCGGGACTTAGAGTTGTAAAAATATATAGACCACTCTCCACAACTTTATTATTCGCACAACAATTGAGGACGAGGTACCACCTTTAACAATCACTGGAAATGCTGACAAGTTAAATAGCTAAAATTTAGGAGCTCAAAGACTGGTATCATTTAATCATAGGCTCAATCATTATTCAATCAACACAAGAGAGCAAACTTGGGTTATCTGATAGGGAAAACCTCCAAATGCCATCAGTGCGACAAGCCAAGAACCCATAACCGAGATGCTCCAAAAGATAGGTTGCAGAGAGATATCTTGAACGTCCTTTGGTTAGATGAATACCTATAAGCACAAATATTGTTTGCAATTGGTGCCCATCGGCTCCGAAAAAAAAAACCCCCAGTCTTTAGCATGCTGCAAGGAAAATCATGATCGAGGTCAGTAAGAGAACCATGGGCCTTCCAAGTGAGCAACGGTGGCCTGAACGATATCCAAAGTACGAATAATAGACCGACCCATGGATACTATGCCCACGGTTTCCCGGACAGCGGCGATATTCCATCCATTCCCCACAGTGTACCAACGCAAATCCATGTCGCACCAAATCAAAATCAACATAAACTTTTTCGATACAATAGTCGTTTCCGAGTTTGCTACCCAAATTCTCACATGCGACCAGCCGATTCCTTCGACCCCAAAATCCAGCGTTGTCAGGGTAGCTACGCTAGCTATCGTTTTGGCGTGGAGCAGCGATGGTCCAGACGGCCGATATTCAGGGGGAAAACGGCACGATGTTTGCATGGCCCCCCAAAATATGACCTATTGCCCGCTCAGCGGAGTTATAAACGTACCTCTAAGCCCGAAAGGCAACGATGGATCCATGCATTCATTGAATTAGAACTCCGTTAACTAGGCACCCGGAGGACTCCCGTATGTATGCAGAAGTCGACATTGTGAAGTGTACAAATTCGAGGACGGAACCCCAGCAACGAGTTTATATATCTCTGCTTCGCTCAGGGGGCAAGAATTGAAGAAGCAAAAATGTAGAACAATTGCAAATCATTGAGAAGATAATCTTATAGTGCAGTGCTGTGGCACAAGACACGTAGAGTATGACACGAAGGTCCGCGGTTCGCCATGCGTTTCCGCGCGGATGACAGGTACCGGAGATGATATATCTCACCCGCTGCGCTGAACGCCGCGTGGATGGGGCTATGGACTCGGCTTCGGCAGCGGCAGACCCGAATAGGGAACCGGGAGTGAAGATCGACATTGCTTTTAGTGCTACATTCGATAGGATACGGAGTTCAGAGACAGGCCCAAAATAAGGTGTTGATGAATCAATTCCAACACGTCAGTTGTGAAGCTATACGATGTTTAATAGTGGTGGGATTAGTGAAAATTGTGGATTCTATGGATGGTCTGTCTGATCTATCTGCGAACCGGGAAATTGTTTCCTTTAATTGCCTAAAATCTGACCTCAGTGTGAGGCGCTGGTCGCTAGGCTAGAGACCCCGTGCCACGATCGGGCTTGTGCGCTACCGGTTAAGAGCAACCAATGCTGAATAGAGTATAGGGTGGTCGTTAGACTGGCGATAACACCACGATCAGGGGTAATTTAGCACGGAAAAGTGACAGGCACGAAGGCCAGGTGGGTTAGGCCGCATGGCTGGTGGCAGCCGGGGCATTCAATAGCGCCGCAGATCGGGGACGCCGCGCTGGAGAATTTATTGACAAATCGTCGGGGCGGATGGCGGGCCTGGGCGACTGTAACGGAGTAGTGATGACATGCTGCACAGTTGGATGTATGGGTATTTCGAGTATTGAAGAATACCAAAGTATAATACAGGGATTATCCCGATGAGAGATCAAAATTATGAAAATCAAGATCTGGATCTTATATTGTTGTTCTGATGTCAGTGATTGGTAGTGGTCACGAGATTCCGCATGTGGTTCGCGTTCAAAGTTTCATCTTTGTTTACTTTTTAACGCGAGATGGGCGCAACATCTGACATCATGATAAGGCAGATTGAGGGGAAAAGACAAGGCCCAGACACTTGGGATGTACCACGATGTGATGAACCCCGCAGCTGCGACAGGGCACATCGGCTGGAGACTCGACACGACTGGCCCATTTCACATGGCGCTGTGACGCAGATGACGGGTCACATCATCGTGGGTTTCTTCCCGAACCCCACCTGGGCTTGGAATACTGCAGCCGTGGCGCAGCCCTGCAAGATACAGACCGGACTGGCCGACAGGATACCCCGGTTCAAAGTTCCCAAGACGAGATACGGAAAAGTCAGCTTACCTGATGCAGCCGCTTTTCCCGTGTGATTGGAGCACTCTCATGCGCGGGTGCATTAGGCGAGGCTATCATTGCAACTGGAGGGTCAATTCACGACGCGTCTCGAAAGTCAATTTTTCAAAACAAACGGAAACCGTTCCAATCAACAACCCACGTCATGATTAATTTCAACAGGTTAGAGCACAAAGTAAATGGGCCAGATCCGGATGGAACACTCATAAATGAATTGAGGATGATGCCGAAATGATGCTGGTGTGACGTAGGCACACGGACCAATATGGGGTCTTGTAGCTCGCAGCTGAAATGCTCCCGACGCTACTCCGACCGTGAGGACGTGCGAGGCCACACCGCATTGTTATAGTGGCTGCCACGGGGTGTATGCATCAGACAATGGAACAGAGCAGTTGCAGGTTGAGGGATCAACTGTCATGCAGACTCATGTGGCTCGACCCAAAGAGCTGCATCGTATCAGAAGCAACCCGGTGTTTCACGAAAGAGGGGTTTCGAGTGCCCAGAATAGAAAGTCGTGGGGTGCAGGATTTGGGCTCGATGCATCCAACCCACTATGACTGGACGATTGTTGCCCACTCCGTCGACTAGCAGTTTCAGGTCCATAAAGAGCCGCTTTGCAGCGTGGTGGCAAATTAATTGATCAATTGGACGTGCTGATTTGCTTTTGGCGTGTCCCACACGTCTGATATCCCACATCGGCTGTCCGGAGACTTCTTTGGGACCGCAAAATGGAGTCGGTTTGCCGCCAAATGTGATCAATTGTTGATGCCTCGAGCTTTGATGACCAAATAGCCGATCCGCCCATTATTGACGCTGGGCCAAATCTAGCGGGGAATAGATTAGCAACAAGCGCCGGTGACGTGATCTCATGAATCAATTGTCGGCCCCCAATGATCTCTGCGGCAATTCCGATATTGTTATGGAGCTGGGAGTTGCCGTATTCGTCATCCCCACGGCGGGAGCCGACATTTCTGATATCGTCACGGAAAATCCATTTTCGAAGATTCACCGGAGGGACAGTCAGCGGGACGGGATTTGGTTCATAAAATCTACGGCCCTAGGGTAGCAATTAATACCAGAAACATCCTACGAAGGGGCTCAAGGGATGCGCGACATTGAAGGATCTCCTCGCGGATCCTTGATCAACTGGAATGCAAGTAAGGGCAGCGTCATGGGTATGGGACTATTATCAAAGGGTATGAATTGCAATCATGGACTAGAGATAACCTTCCATTCCTTACTCAATAATGGTTGTCCAAGAGGCTTACGATGTCAAGAAACTGGGGCATCATGGTGGGGTAGCTTGTTCCGATCGCGTTCTTCCCAACGGGGTAGTGATCATGCAGGGACGAACTCTCTTGCGCGATGATGCGCCATCACTGAAATCACACCAATCACCACCTCGGCCAGGAACTCCGATCACAGGCATACATGCTCTGGAGATCATTTCCCTCCTTTCCTCTTTTTTTCCTCTTTCATTTCCTTAATTTCTTATCGGCCCTAACCCTCGTTAGTGTCCTTACTATGGGAATGATCGTCCCCGTAGAAGTTACAACGCACCATTAATGAAGCTCAAACCATCAGCAGGACTTTCCTATTTGGACATGCCGAATCAGTCCGAGCTTTTCGCTTCACGAGTGTCCCCAAAGATCTGAGCTAGGGACTGTCCAATGACATCAGAAATAGATTCGAACCGTTTCTCGATCATTTATTGCATTGAATCCATTGCATTGGGTATCCAAGTCATGCTTGTCCTTGCATGGGCGATCCTAGCATCACTTGCATCAAGCCCTCGTTTGGCGTTTGCGAAGCTCTATTTTCCGAACCAGTGGAAACTGCTAAATTGAATTAGTGGAGCCCTGATTCCTTAGGCTCGATCTCGCTCCGTTTTTCAGCTCAGGTTTGCAACGGCACACACGGGATGTTTTATGAGACGAGGAAAAAACTTTTTTCCACTCCATTTGTGGAGACCGAAGACCATGGAAGACGCACCGAAACTATCCATTTGTGAGGTATAAGCCCCGATGGTACCTGAAAATTTTTCTATACAGGGTGGGCACCAGAGGAAACAACCCTAAAACCGTTTTTCATTTAATGGAACCGAGGGTGTCCCCTCGCCTTGGTATGGATATTGATTTGCAGAGTTCCAGGATTTCCCCAGGTTCTTGTAGGCCAGGGGGGAAAGGAGGGATCTGAGTACACAGTCAGAGCTGAGCCTAATGAGTAGCTAATAGCCCGAGACACATGGTGCCAAGAGTATTTGGGGGTCATTTTGGGATTTCCCCTGGTAACCGTGCACTCCGGAAAGGAATGAGGGCGGACGGAGACAGTAAGGTCTCTGATAGGCGCTGGGGTTGCTGAGCAGCCAGTAGTCCGGACGATGGGCGGCAAGGGAGCCCGGGCAACCAGACTGGGGCCAAACTTCCCCCTGGGAGGAAAGCATGGGAACTACCTGCACATCAATACTAGATTGAGCCTGCAGGTCGGAGCCAGATTATACATTGCATACCAAATAAATCAAATAAATGCATGTTTAAAAAAAAATTGACTATTCTATAGTTAATTTGGGGAAGCAGCACGACCGAGTCCCCACTTTTTCCATCCCAATCACCGAACTGCACACAACCGGGTTACCGCCGCATTATTACGTATGGGGTGTATAATACATCGTACCGTACACTATCTGGAGATCCTCCCCACTTGCGTTGCCATTGCAACAGACCCATCCCTTCAGCTTCACGAGTTTCTTTCTTGAAGCCGCTTTGTTCCACCTTTTTTCTACTCTTCTCTTCATTTCCTACGACATTCCAATCCGACAACCCCTCCGAACCTCCTTTAGCACCTTGAGTTCCCTTTGTATCTCTCCGCCAGGCTTCTAGTTCATAGTTGCTTCACGAGTTAGATACATCTCACTGTGCATCGCCCCCTCAGCCCACGAGCTGTCGGCCCCTCTCCAATTGCAGCTTCCGCCCCCCGATCTCCGCACTTTTCGGCCATGATTCTTTAAGTTCTCCACGATAGCTTACGATCAGATCTTCGGCCGCCGGTGGTTTTTGGGCTCGAGATCTGGGTTTTCTCCTCTCTAGTTGGGGATTCGACATCGGTGGTGCTTAGGAAGTTCTCCGATAGGGTTGTGATTGATATCGCAAAGGTCGACATACTGGGAAAAAGAAAGACGATACTTTGAGTTGGGTTCTCTTTGGTTTGGATTTGGGGATCGTGTGTAGCAGGTTGGATTCTGGCCCAGTCACGTCCGGTTGTCGTCGAAATGGAACATTCGTCTCCGCTGGCCGCTATGCAGCCTTCACCTGCTCTCTTCGGGCGGTGCTTCAGATCTGAAGCTCCTACTTCGTACCCATTGTCCGGGTTTGGTAGCAATCCATTCAACTTCAAAGACCTCTCAATGAAGAAGTCTGGTGCCGATTACTTCAACATGGGTCCTCTGCAGGGTTCTTCGCCGGCCGCCAGTTTGGCAGCTGATCTGTCCCAAAACTTTCATATTGATCAAAGGTTTGTTGGTTCCATGGATTGTTCGTTTACACGCGGGGAGAGCATCAAAGAAGCTGACTCTATAATTAGTCCGCAGCTGGTTACGCCCCGGCGGTCTTTGTTCTCATCCAATGCGTTGAGTATGGCCAATCGACGTGGTACGCAATCTTTGCTTTCAATGACACACACAAAGTGGGAGTTGCTAAGACAGTGAAACAGATAATGTGTTGACTACGCCCCCGTTGCCCTCGTCGCCTGCTGGTATGGATCCTATGGAAATGAGCCCGCTGCCGCACAAGCCCGCTTTCATCGTCACCACCGAGTTTGAGGTCCACTCACCATCACCATTGAATACACCTATGGACTCTCCAATTACGTCGGCTGCTCCCAGTCCTTTACAGGCATCGCCTATGGAAGCACCGACGTACGCTCCACCTGAGTAAGTTGTTTAAGTAAAATGGCCCGACAGTCAGTGCTGATAACCAGTGTAGGCGACGTCGCCCTCCATTCCTTCGTCCCAGCCTGGCTAAGAGCAAAGCCGCATCTTTCCAACTTGGGATGAACCGAACTGGCCAGGAAAGCAAAGCACCTCCCTTCCGGTTCAGCACCCAGGGAGCCAAGACGTCGTTGAGCACTTCGACCTCGCTGGAGGATATGTTTGGTGACTCACCTCCCCAAGAGAGATCTGTCTCTCGTAACAGCTCTTCCAGCAACTTGGCTTTGCCACGGCTTCGCCCATCAATCAGCCACTCTCGCAGCAGTGGTTCGCCCGCTCCAAACTCTATTCGCAAGCCCTCTCATCCCTTGATGCGCCCTCGCAAGCAATGTCGTCGGTCATTGAGCATGTTTGAGAACCCAGCGGATGTTATTGCCGAAAAAGAGGCTAAGGTATCTACAAATGCACCCCTACAGTCCCTCCAGTCCATCAGTGACATCGAAACCGCTCCTCAACCCCAGCTTCCTCACTTTACACCTGAGGATCGGGCGGACGGTCTGCCTCGCATCGCCAAAAACACCCTCCTGGAACTTCTCGATGGAAAGTTCAGTGGCCAGTTCGACAATGTTATGATCGTTGATTGCCGCTTCGAATATGAGTATGAAGGTGGCCACATTGATGGCGCCGTTAATTACAACGATAAAGATCGGCTTGCCGGTGAGCTTTTCAACTCGCCTAAGTCCCGAACCGCATTGATCCTTCATTGCGAGTATTCTGCCCACCGTGCGCCTATCATGGCTAAATACATTCGTCATCATGACCGCGCCGTCAATGTCGACTCCTATCCCCATCTCACCTACCCAGATATGTACATCTTAGAAGGTGGGTACAGCGCTTTCTATGCTGAGCACAGCGCCCTTTGCTTCCCTCAAAACTACGTTGAGATGAACGCAAAGGAGCATGAGTTCGCGTGTGAGCGTGGCCTTGGCAAGGTTAAGCAGCGTTCCAAGTTGAACCGCGCTCAGACATTCGCCTTTGGCCAGCATTCCCCTCAGATGGAGGATAGCCCGACTGGTCGCTGCCGCTTCGATGAAGAGCGCACCAATCGTCTGATGAGCTCTCCATTCTCCATGTCTGACAGTCCCGTACCAAACCGCACTCCGGGCCGTCGAATGCTGTCCTACTAAACAATTTCTCGCCCTTCTGCTTTACGGCGCTAAACGGATACCATTGTTTCTTCTTTCTCGGAGTGAGGTGTTTCCTTCGTGGCATTTTGCTTATTCTTCTTCCCTGGTGGCCACAAAAGTTTTTGCACCACATTTCCTTTTCAGCATCGGCATAGCGCAATGCTTGACTCTGGCAGCCCTGGTTTGCGATACCGATTTTGAAGCTGCGCAGAGCGCACATACCTTGACTTCGTCTTCCACCCGTCTTCGACAGCTTCCCCTTTGAATCTTCTCCAGCACCGCCACGATATCCTGCTGGTGATATCGTCCTTTCCTTTTTTTCGGCTCACTCGACATTCAGAGTCTTTGCACGATTCAGCGATTTCCTTTTTATTATCATCTTTCCTTCTGTCACCGATATGATATCCGGACATCTGATCTTTCTCACCATATGGTTGAGACACGCCACCTTTACCCATGAGCACCCCCGACGACGCCTGGGCACCCAAATTTGATGAACCACCCTCAGATGATGAATCCTGAGACACTTTTTCCTATGTCTTCCCTCACGACCAATCGAACCGACTTGAATTTGCTTACGAAGCCCAATGGGCCATGTCTTTCCGTCGGACCTTTTCCTTATGCTCCCTGATCGTCCACAGACGCTTCATCCAACTCGCCACTACTTTGGCATTTCCTTCTCTCCATCTAATCCCTTTTCACGAATACTGCCCTTTAATCCACTTTTCACCCTTCTTTGTACAGTTTTCAAAACCAACCTCCTGGAACAGACCTCCTTTCCTTTGAATTGCGTATCCATTGCGATGCGACCTACTTTTGAGCGCTTTTCTGCATGCATTGCATTGTACCTTTGCCCCCTCTGCCAATATTGTTCCCTCTTCCCCTCTGCTTGTTTATCTGTGTTGGGGTTGTTTTGCGGGGGAATTCTGGGGTTCCATGTGCATTCATGAGTGGCTGTGAGCCAGCTGTACATACGAGATAATGCCTGGCAGTGTTACAGGAAGGAACCTTTCCGAAGGTTGAATCCTGATGGGATCTAATGGGTTAATTGTGGCCAAACGCCTCGAGGAGGCTGTTGATATGTTGTCCCCTTTGTGAGAAATGAAATAATTCAAATAATCCCTCCAAATACTGGTAAAATTCCCGAACCCTTGTCTCCTTGTCTCCGCATATCGCAACGAGGTTGTCAAATTTGCGCGATCGGCAAACGGTGGAGGAGGCGGGTGCATGGTTAATGACGATTGGCGGTTTCAAGTATGCGGAGATTCTGATAGGCAGATTAATGCGGGCCATGTCAACCCTTACTCCATTCCCCTCTCCGTGTTTCAAGAGTTGTCTTTTTCCTTAACTTCAACTTCATCTTCAATCGCAGGGCTATCACTCGTTTCGAGTCCTGGGGGCTGTGGTCTTTGAAGTCTATCATTGTCTGGGCCCGTCAGCTTAGATCTCAGTCGCATACGAACCGTGTTGCCTGGCTCACTCTTTTAGCCCACAACCCTTTGAAGTCGTCGTCATCCCCCGGACCCTTTCTCTTTCCATTCGCTATTTTCGTGTCCCGGGCGCATATTCGTGAATACGTCTCCCTTCACTGGTTACGGTTTCGCGTGCCCCCGCCTTGAATTTGCTTGGCAGTTGATTCAGGGTCTAAATCGCGCTCTATCGGAGTTACTCGTTGCTGAGCTGGGACCACATCACGAACGCAACTGTGCTACTTGACCTGATTAGTATTTAATTTCTCGATCACGCGTGTCGCACGGGAGTAATTTTGCGCTTTACAATCATTCTTGAATATCCGAATGTGTTCACGCCGATCGCGCTGTATACATCATGCCTTCGCTTAAGATGGGCGCCGCCCACATGGCGCTGTTTGCGCGCGATCTTGCCTCGACTGAATCGACTTTTACAAGTTGGGACAAGTGTATGGCCAAGTCATACTGCAAGTAGGTTGATTGGAAGAGGAGCGCAAATGAGAAATTCCACGACCATATACTGATCTTTGTACGATGTAGGTGGCCAGTCATTGTTGCGATCATCATCGTTTCAGTTATTCTCATTGCGGTCATAGGTTGCATTGTCAACTGTATCTGCTGTGGTTATCGATGCTGCACCGCCTGTTGTGGTTGTTGTTGTCCTTCTGGGCGCCGCAGGAACAAGCAACCTAAATACTACGATGACCCTCCATTGGTTCCCCCAGGCCCAACTCCTTCATACAACCAATCCCCTGGATACAACCCGACCCCCACGTACAATCAGCAGCCCACAACTCCTGCGCCGCCATTGTACCGTGGTGCCGTACAGACAGCCACCTTTGACACGGCCAAGTCACCTACAGCCAAGATCAATGAAGATGCGCTCCCTGAGATGCCCACATGGGCCAACGCTGTTGATAAGCACGTCGAAGACACAAGTCCCCACGAGGATGTGGAAATGGAGCCATTGAACCCCGCGGATCGGAAGCATGGCGCTGGTACGCCAATGCACGTCAACACGTTCGCAGACTACCCACCGGACCGGGGCACGGGAACACCCGCCAGTGCTGGTTACAGAGGGTTCACTCCGACTGACCCCTACGCTCGCCGCTCGCCTGCTCCTGCTGCTCTAGCTGCGACGCAGGACCCCTATGGCCGACGCTCACCTGGCGTGACTTCCCCCGCCGCAGCAGCAGCTATCGATCCGTACAATCGGCGCTCTCCTGGCCCCGGCGCTGCCATGGATCCATACGGTCGTCGATCCCCCGGTCCCGCGGCCGCATTTGCCGCTGCTCAAGATCCCTATGCTCGCCGCTCTCCAGGACCCAATGCGGCTTATGCCCCTGCACAGGATCCCTACGGCCCTCGCTCTCCTGGCCTTACCTCGCCTGTCGGTGCTGTAAGCCCATACAACAACCAACCGTATGACCAGCACCAGGGCTATGACCAACACCAGCCATATGATCACGTCCAGCCATATGATGACTACAGCCCTGGCGGCGCAAACCAAATGGCCAACCCCACAGCCACCGGCTACGCACCCCACGGCCTCACATCTCCCTCTCCAGTGGCAGCCTACAACCCGCACACAAATTACGGCACCGCCCAAATGCCTAGTTCAGACGCTGCTCACAACAACGCCGGCTTTACCCGCCAACCGTCCTTCGGCTCAAGCCAGTACCCACCCACATATACTTCTCAGCCTCCCTACCGCGGTGTTTCACCCGCTTTGCCCGCGTCCCCGCCGCCTTCTTTCCCTGCGCCTTCGCCGCATGATTTCCAGAGCTACGAATACCACGCCCAGCCTATTGGGCATGCCGTTAGCGCACCAATCGGTCAGGCCGTTAGCCCAACAGAGGAAGCTAGGAATCGTCCTCCAACTTTGTTGATGAGTGGGCGGCAACCCGCAACGAACTTCTGATTTGATGGCTGGACCGGTACATACTCAAATGTATGATGCTTTCGTTTTCAATTTTCTGCATTTTCTTTTCTTTGAAAAAATCTTGCCTTTTGTTTTTCTCGGTTATCCTCACCTTTCTGCTCGAGGCAGACAAGTTTGTGAGTATCTCCTTCTCATTTTGATACCATCGTCTTTCCAATTTTTGTCATGTCCTCTGATCTCAAACGGTCATCTATGCCTGTGTATTTGGGGGTTTGTTTGCAAGATGGATATCTTGTTTGTATATGATTCATCTATGTCTCGGTATCTATGAGGCATTCTTTTCTTGGCGTCTTACCTCAACTATTAGTTAGGTATAGCATTTCCAATGTATGGAATACATAAGATATTTTGTCTTCCTGCGGACGTAGGCTGATTGTGTAGCATTATGTGATTATACGTGCAGTCAATTCAAGGTTTGTTTGTCGGGCCGCGTTTTACTCGGCAAGATTTCCAAAATTTAGGATTAAATGGCGACAGGCCTCCAAAAATCATATTAGCCTTGGCCCAGGCAGTCAGATCGGAGGCTTTCCAGTTATGTAGAAAAATTGAAGCCTCCGTAGCCTATCAAATTGACATGGCTCGTTAGGCATTACTCCAGAGCAAAGTCATGCTTCTGGAACGCTTCCTTGAACGCCGCGCTATCAGCCTCTTCTTCCTGAATAGTCTGGGTTGCATCCCTCCAGTTCATTCGCTTATCCAGCTCCAGTAGCTTGGCCATCACGCGACGACCGAACTGGAGATCAAACCGGAAGTCTTGCGATAGCTCCAGCATGAGCATTTTCTCTTCACTCGACGCTGCACCAGCCTCTGCAGACCCATCTGTGTCCACCGAGTTCCAGATCCACAGTCGGAAAAAATCGCCTGCCTCTTCCGCGCCCTTTGATTCTGATACTGGGATGGTAGAAAAACGGGGGTATTTGAGATTTTCAGCTTCGACTTTGAAAGCGGCGTCGACAAGCCCATCACGGATCAGATCGATTGGAACAGGGAGGAATTGCCAGTGTGTATGTATTCCATTTGTGCGACTAACTTCCCACGTTACAGCACCGAGCTTGCCACCTGAGCGGTCTGTGACCATTTTGTGCAAGGCTGTGCGGTAACGCTGCATCTCGTTGTAGGTAGATGCACGGGATTCCGGGTCTTGAATTGAATTTAGCGTTGGGGAGTGAGAGAATGGAATAATGAGCATGTGGCCAGGGAAGCCGAGAGAAGAGAAGAAATCAGTTGGTGGCAGGGGACCCTTAGCTGTTGTGAGATAGCTTTCGTCACCGATAGAAGTGATGAGATGTGTGGCGATGTTGGGGTTGGAGAGACAAAAGAAGCATTGGTCCGGGCCCGGAGGAGGAGCACGCTCGCGCTGACGTTTGTGTGGGCGGTGACTGTCACCATCCGTTGGCGCAAAGCGCTGAAATGATTCCCGCTGAGTAGGAAGTCCTTTGCGCTTAGATTGAGGAGCGGACAAAGGGGATGCAGTTGCACCCGCCGGAACTGTGAGTGGCGGTGCAGCCTGTGGATCTAGCGAGAAGGCGTACATTGATTTCTGCTTCGACTGGAATGATGCCATGGAGATGAAGCGCGTTAATGGCTTAACATCAGGGCTGTCTTCTGTCGGCATGTGGAAGAATGGCTCTCGTTCATAGAAGAATGGGTCGGATGCAGAGAAATGGTAGCGAGGTTTTAGAGTGGCACAGATATCAGCCACACACTGTACTTCGGCCGTTAAAACGCTCTGGTCTTCTGGCAAGGGTGCTTTTGAGCCAACTCGAATCCCCTTGGGCCATTGGTTCGTGATAAGAATATCGGCGCTGTGTGTGCCGAAAAGCGCACGGGCATCAGATTCGCCATATGTTGATTGAAATTTGCCACTAGCATTACTTTCGGGCTTGTGTGAATCTGCACTTGCTAACTTGCCACCAAGGGCAGCAATGCGGATTCCCTCCGAAGTCTTCAGCGTACCTCGCTTGCCAAGGAAGTACAGATTCGGGCACACTTCATCGTTGGCTTCGATCCTTTCTACTATCCGAGTTGGAAGCGGCAAATCACCAATTGTGAAATACGTTGGGAGGGGGACATTGATGTTCCCCTGGAGTAAAGCAGAGATCTCGTCGAGCTCACTCTCCGTTGAGCAATCACCGAAGAGATTTCCGACGACAATTGCAAAGGCAAAGTTTTGTTTGACCTGCAATTTGGCCAGCTTTGTAAACACTGCTTGCAATTGGCAGTTTACGCCTCCAAGAACAATGCTATTCATTTGGTCAATATTCATCCAATGACTGGAATAAAGCTCACTTACATCTTCGAAGCCATGTTCTGATAATATCCTGATTCGCCTTTGAGGAGGCCGAGGCTGAGGTAGAATTGTCACTCAGAACGTGCACCAAAACCAAAACTCCTTTAATGTTGGAATTTCGGTGTCAATGAACATTGGGGTTGCTTTGTTAAAGTTGAATAGGAAAATGCAACGAGAATCGAGGCGCATTTCCTGAAGGAGCTTGGACCAGCTCGTGACGCTAATCCGTATCTGGCTGGGTGGAGCGTCCCTCGGATAAATAAAGCCCCGGAGCCGGTCAACTTTTTTTGTATTGAGCATACGGGCAGAGAAAAGTTCCCCGAATATCTTTCTCGTTTACCTTGCTGCTTTTTGACACCGTCAAGATGGTGGTGCCAGGTTCACGAGACAAGCATATAAAACGAACACAAAATGGCACAAAAACCACAAAAAACCACCGATGGGAGCCCTTCTCACAGCGCATCGCAAAGCTCAAAATCGACCCGATCCACCGCGTGCGCCGTGCCAGCTTCGGCGAAGATGAAGACGAAACTACTTCCTACTTCCGGTCTGCCCTCGACCATTGGGTGGATATGAACCTCTCAGAGAACTTTTCAACCTTCTATCGCCGCATAAATCCCCTCTCCGAGAGCCTCGCCCAGATCGTGTACCATGAAGAAAAGATTATGGGTCTACTAGTGGAGTTCATTGAGAAGAATGATGAACATTCCATGGAGCCATTACTGAGCTTGCTTGCTCAATTTGCCAGAGACTTGGGGGTTCGATTTGAGAAGTATTTCGCGACTTCCGTGACTTTGGTGGCATCTGTTGCTGCAAAACACGCCGACGTCGAAGTCGTCGAGTGGGCCTTCACTTGTCTGGCATGGATCTTCAAATTCCTGTCCCGTCTTTTAGTGCCGGACTTGCGACAGCTATTGAGCATCATGACACCATATCTGGGCAAGGAGCGCCAAAAGCCTTTCGTGGCTCGATTCGCCGCCGAGTCCATGTCTTTCCTGATTCGCAAAGCAGGTCTCGTCTACTACAAGAACAAAGCGCCGCTTGAGAACGCTCTCTCTTTCCTCTACGACGATATCTCCAAAACTGCCGAAGATGGGAAGGATGTCGAGAAATACAAGGAGGGTTTGATGGTCATGTTCTCCGATGCCATCAAGGGTGTGAATAATGGTCTTCATTCCAATGGAATGGACGTTCTTCGCTGTGCATTAGACCAGATTCCCCCAGCCGATAAGAACTGTAACTCTCCGGCAGAGGTTGTGTATGGAGTGGTGACCAACCTCATCCACCACACTACACCGGAGACTTTCGGGCCCATTCTCGACACTGTCCGAGAATTCATTGAATCTCGCTCACAAGGCTCCGAGAACCCCAACATCCCGGAGTGCTGTCATTTAATGCTTATTTGCGTCGCAACCCGTAAGGGAGTTCGAGTCCGAGACTGGAAGTCTGTGCACCAGACTCATGTATCACTTCTACAACAAGTGTCTAAGGACTCGGAGAAATACCCAAAAGCAACCCTTGAAATTCTCACAGCTGTCGCCTACGCTCTCCAGGTCTCACCAATGGATGAAATGCTTCGGTTCGTGCGCCCTCTTATGGATCTGGTATCCACAGGACCCCTGTCGAAATACTTCTTATTCTTTTGCACTACCTTTTCAGAATGGGGATCGGAACGCTTCCAAAGTCTATTACTTCCCCATTTCCAGAAGTTCATCTCTACTTCCTGGCAGGAGCGAGAGTGGGAGACATGCTTGACGCTACTCCGACTGAACCAAGCTGGTTGTATTACACCTGAGACCTCAAAGCCCGGCTACATTTCATGCCCGGATGCTTTGAAGTCCCGCATTTTTGCGTCTTTGGTGTACCCTTCTACTGATGAATTTGGGTTAAATGCCTTTGTGAAACTTTCAAAGGCTATCTCGATGTTCTCTGACTCTGCTGCTCGTTCCGAAATCGTGAAAAAGCTGCATGGAAACCTTAAAGCTGCTTTCAGCGATGCCTCTAAAGCAGCAAACGACACAGATGCATCGTTATTCTATCTTGGTCAAGGGTTCAAGACATACGTTGAATTAGCTACTCAGTCGGGGGAGCTCGATTTGACTCTTTGGGAATCCATCTTGACGGTCTCGACCAAATTCTCTCGCCTCTCTCTATTCCTGGAGGGTGTATTTGAATTCATTTCCTCTGCTCCAAGCACAGCAGATTTGGACAATCCCGCAGTGGACGGGTTTGCCAACAGCTTAATTCTCAACCTGGCAAGCCCCACGGCCAGACTAAGACTGGTATCTTTGCAGATCTTGCGCGAGCTGGTTACTCGCATCAATAAAGATGATCCTTCGCCGGTTTCCTTGGCCATCGAGATTGAAGAGAGCCCTCTGACTTTGCAGAGCGCGCGAACCCTTTCAATGCACATCCGCAAGTTGGCGATATTATATCCTCAGATTGTTTCTCGCAAGTGGATGGCCACACTGATTCCATACTTTTGTTTCGGTCTGTTCTCCAAAAAACTGACTCCTCTTTGGGAGGATTCTGCTGCCGCTTTGAAGACCATCAGTGAGCACCCCGAGGGTGAGAAAATTGTTTCAGATTTGTCCATTCAGTGGTTGCAAGAGCGGGACTCTGGCGTTACGGAGGGAGATGTGGAAGAGGACCCGGAGGATAACCACGTCGCGGGTAACTTTGTGTGCTTCAATGTGGGGAAGGTCGAAAGTGTTCTCGCCGCCAACTTGAAGACTGTGGAGGACCCAACTGCAATTTTAACTCAACAGTTTGAGAAAGACCACAAACAGGCGGATATTATTCCTGCTCTGCCTCGCAGCCATGCGCTTCTTGTCTTGAATGCTGTTCCCGCCATTGCAGAGAAGCGCTCGCGGCAAATTGTGCCTCTGTTTTTGACCTGGGCGTTGCGCGATGACCAGGACGATCTTCCCGCCAGTAATGATTCTGACACCAAGTCTGAGAATGTCCCAGTCCGATGGGGCTTCAAGGACCGACTCTCCATGCTCGGTCTGTTTGGGCAATTCCTGAACCCTATTGTTCTTTTCAAAGCTCCCGAGGTCCACGATGCTGTCCTGGGTCTTCTGTGTCACGGTAACTCAGAGATTCAGAAAGCTGCTCTCAAGGTGCTTTTCACCTGGAAAAACCCGCATGTCCTGCCTTACAAGGAAAATCTGCTCAACATCTTGGACGAGACCAGATTCAAAGATGAGCTTCAAGTCTTTGTGCGTGTTGGTGGCGATGACAGTTTGATCGAGCAAGAGCACCGCCCTACTCTGCTCCCTGTTCTTCTTCGCCTGCTGTATGGTCGAATGATTTCCAAGGCCGGTGCAAGCGCAACCCAGGCTGGTCAGGCTGGCAGGCGTAAGGCTATCTTGCGTGCCCTTTCGCATCTCTCTGAGGAGGAGTTTGGACTCTTCATGCACCTCTCTTTCGGTCCACTTGCGGAAGTTCACGTTGTCCAGGACGGCAAAACAAACAACAAGGCATTCTCAGAAGAGCTGACTAGCCCAAGAAGACAGCTTGGTCTACTCAAAATGATTGAAACAGTCTTTGACACCCTTCAGAGTCGTATGGCTCCCTACTCTGTGCAGACTATGAACGTTGTCATTTGCTGCTTGGTGCGGGCTTGCCGGGCTCTTCAAGATGAGAGCAGCGTTGATGAACGTCTCCGGGGCGTTTATCAAAACCTTCGTCAAGAGGCCATTCGCTGTCTTAATCTAGTCTTTTCCGTCTCATCGGACCGTGATTGGACCCCATATGTCAAAATCATCTTCGATGAGGTGATCAATAACAGGCTCGACCAATTCCCTATCGAGACAGCCCAGGGTGTGTCTGGCCTCCTTCGTCTGTTCCACACCTGGGCTTCTTCCCCGAGATCCGCCGGTTATCTCGTGCAGCATAACAAAGACGTGCTGAACAAGGTCATTGACTGTCTCAGCGTCGAGTCGGCCCGTGACGAGGTCAAAATTTTTGTTTTGGACGAGGTTCTTGTGCCATTGGTTCGCTTAGCTAGCGGCAAGAAGCTTGAAGAAGATGAGGAAATGCCTGATATTCCGGCTGAGCAGATTCGCTCCGAGGTTCTTTCGCCCTATCTGGAGCATGCCCTGTCCCATCTTGGCCGTCTTTTGAAGAGAGGCCCATCGAAGCCTGTGCTGTTCTCAGGCGTGACTGCCCTGTCATTAACCGCGCCCTGCGTTGAGTCTTCTGGTGAAACATCGAGCCTTATCAGTATTGCGACATATCTGCTTCGCCAACCCCCAGACCGTGTCAACCCCAAGACCAAGTCCGGTCTTCTGAAGATTTTGGAGCACTTCTTACCTCTCTACGATCCCAAGGAAGATGTGGCTCTTTCTGAACAAGTTTTCGAAGCCGTCTCTTCCTTGTTCGATTATTTCAAGGATGATACGAACCGAGAAGTGCTATCGAGAGTTTTTGTGGCTCTTGCTGCACACGATGAGAAGATGCAAGAGGTAGCTGCCCTGTGCGCTGACCTAAATTCTCGCTCAATGAAGAGACTTGAGCCCGATTATGAACGTCGTCTGCAAGCTTTCAGAAAGATCAGTGATGAACTCTCCCAGACCTTGAGTGCTAAGCAATGGAGACCTATTCTTTACAATATGCTCTTCTATGTCAAGAATGAAGATGAGCTAGCTATCCGGTCTAGCGCGGCCTTTGGCTTGAAAAGATTTGTTGACAAGGCTGCCGCTGAGGCTGACGTGGAGGACTTTGAGGCTCTTGTGAATAGTGTCCTGATGCCCTCGCTACAGTATGGTCTTCGTCAGAAGTCCGAATTGATCCGTTCTGAAGTCGTCTCCGTCTTGGGTTACTTTGTCAAGCTAAACCCTTCCCGACCTTCGGTGCAAGACATGAATGTCCTTCTGGTTGGCGATGACGAGGAGGCATCTTTTTTCAACAACATTCTTCACATCCAGCAGCACCGTCGTCTGCGTGCTCTCCGTCGTTTGGCTAGCGAAGCCAGCAAAGGAAATCTCAACTCCGATAATTTAAGCAAGATCTTCCTGCCTTTGATCGAACATTTCGCTTTCGAGGAGGCTTCCGATGAGAATGGTCACAATTTGATTGCTGAAGCCGTTGCCACCATCGGTTCGCTGGCGGAATGGCTAGACTGGGCGCAATTCCGTGCCAACTTCCGGAGATATCGTGGATACATGCAGAGTAAGCCGGAGATGGAGAAGAACATTCTCAGACTTATGGGTCGGATGTCGGATGCTCTGTCTGTTGCAATGAGTCAGAAGAAAGGACCAGAAGAGCAGGCCAACGGCAATATCGATGTTGATTCAATGGAGATTCCGGAGCTACCCAAGTGCACACTTGCCAAAACTTCGCCTTCTCTTGCTCAAGTCTCGAAAGAATTGATTGCCAACTTCATTCCTTTCTTGACCGAATTCCTTCACCACAAGAACCAGGCAGAAATGAGCTTGCGTCTGCCCGCTGCCATCACTACAATCAAGCTTCTTAAGATTCTCCCTGAGCAGGAGATGACTATTCGTCTCTCGCCTGTTCTTCTGGATGTCTGCAGCACTTTGAAGAGTAAGGCGCAAGATTCCAGAGATACTGCCCGGAAAACACTGAACGATATCGCGCTGTTGCTGGGTCCATCATACTTCAACTACATCTTGAAAGAATTGCGGAACACTCTCCTGCGAGGTTACCAGCTCCACGTCCTGTCATTCACCGTTCACTCGATGCTTGTGTTCACCACAGATGAGTTCAAACAAGGCGACTTGGACTATTGTTTGACAGATCTTGTCGCAATTGTTATGGACGATATCTTCGGTACCGTCGGTCAGGAGAAGGAAGCCGAGGACTACGTCAGCAAGATGACGGAAGTAAAGAGCAGCAAGAGTTACGATTCGATGGAACTTCTTGCTAAGAATGCAACCATTCGCAATCTTTCGAGTCTCGTTCGACCTCTTCAGGCACTTCTGCGTGAGAAGCTCAACTCCAACATCGTCAGAAAAATTGACGAACTGATGCGTAGAATTGGTATTGGTCTTTTGAGAAACCCCGATGCTGAAAGTCGCGATCTCTTGATGTTCTGTTACGAGGTCATCAAGGAATCTTACCAAGAAAACGTCACTCCCAGCAAAGAGGCTACCGCCAGGTCCTATACTGAAGAGCGGTTCTTGGTCAGGTTGCAAGGAGCCAAGCGCGGTGAAAAGCGCGGCACTACTTCTTCTCACAAGCATAAGCTGACAAGATTCTCCCTCGATATTCTCCGTGCTATTCTCAACAAGTTTAGCTCTCTTTCAACGGCCACAAACCTATCCGGGTTCCTACCTATCATCGGTGATGCCTTAGTTCAATCACATGAAGAGGTAAAGATTGCCGCTCTTCGACTTCTGTCTACCATTATCAAGCTTCCGCTGCCAGAGCTTGACCAGAACTCGAACGTATATCTCACGGAAGCTGTGAAGTTGATCAAGGAGTCCCCAAGCACCAACTCCGAGGGTTCGCAAGCGTCATTGAAGTTGATTTCCGCCATGATTCGCGAGCGAAAAAGCACTAAACTCCGTGATGGCCACCTTGCCTACTTGCTCAAGCGCTTGACAGCTGATATTGAAGAGCCTGATCGTCAAGGTATCACGTTCAACTTCATCCGTGCCGTCATGTCCCGCAAGTTTGTTGTGCCGGAAATGTATGAGCTCGTGGATCAGATTGCAAGCATGATGGTCACGAACCAGACTCGCTCCGCACGAGACCTCGCTCGTGGTGTATACGTTCATTTCCTGATTGAATACCCACAAGCCAAGAACCGGTGGACCAAGCAGCTTGGTTTCCTTGCCAAAAACTTGGACTACAAGCACCAGGAAGGACGTCAGTCAGTTTTGGAAGCAATTCATCTGTTACTCTCAAAGACCGGCCCGGAGATGGCTCAAGACATCATTAGCACTTTCTTCCTGCCAATCGTCCTTGCCATGGCCAATGACGAGTCACCTGAATGCCGCGAGATGGCTGGCGCATTGCTGGCACAATTCTTCAGCCGCGCCGATCGGGAACAGATGAAGACTATCCTGACACCTTTGCATTCATGGTTGGATCAGACCGAAAACATGGCCCTGGGTAGCATTGGATTGCAAGCTATGCGAATCTTCTTTGAGTCTGAGGACACAGAGAAGGACAAGGAAGCTCGTTTCGTTATTGGCATTCTCCCTGATTTGATGCAGCCAATCCTTGAAGACCACGAAAATGGAAACTGGGAAACCCTCTACTTCGCACTGCAGCTGTTCACCAAGCTGTGCAAGACCGTTCCCTCACTTGCATTGGGCCCACAATGTGCCACCATCTGGGTGGCTATCCAAGAATCGCTGTTCTTCCCTCACGCCTGGGTCAAGACATGTGCTACCAACCTTGTTGGTATGTGGATGGCTGATTTGGCCAAGACACACGCCACCTCAGGCTACAGTGCCCTTCCTCTCGTAGGAAGCTCTGGCCTTGCCCTGGACAAGGAGGCAATGATCAAGCTTATTCGTGCCAGTCTGCGCTGCCTCCGCACCCCAGGAGTCATGGAGGAGCTGGCCATGCAGAGCGTCCGCAACCTTGTTTTCCTTGGTCGGTGCGTCGCACAGAATGGTCTGGAGCTGCAGAAGGCTGGAACCGAAGATGTCGAGTCCGATGATGAAGAAGAAGCCGATAGTGAAGCCGAAGGCGAGACTGAGACCGAGAAAGAGGTCATGGACAACGCACCCGTCCGGTTTGCTATTGGATACATCTTCAAGCAAATTTCTTCCCTCCTGCGCCGTGAGGTCATTTCAACCCGGCCAGAAGCTCTTATTCCCAAGACCGCTACCATCGCTCTCCTCGCTGCACTTGTCCGTCATGTCGAGGCCGAACATATCGAACCCTCTATCGGTGTCATTCTCCTGCCGCTGCAGCACATGACCGATTCATCTATCCCGGCGCCGCGGTCTCGCGACGAGACCTTCCAAAACACATACAAGGCTATCGTCGCTAATTGCCACGAGGTTCTGGATTCTCTTCAGAAGAAGCTGGGTGCATCGGAGTTCATCGCGCACATGGCCAAGGTGCAAGAGAACATCAGACAGCGTCGTGAAGGGCGACGTGTCAAGCGTCGTATTGAGGCTGTTCAGGAGCCGGAGCGATATGAGAAGGATAAGAGAAGGAGAAATGACCGGAAGAAGGAGAAGAGAAAGGAGAAGGGTCTGGAGCACCGGGGCAAGAGACGTGGTTGGTAGTTGGCTTCATTGTGGTATCATATATGACGATTGTTTCATGTGGCATAAAAAAGCTGGCGTTCTGGATGTACTAGATGGTTTTGTATATACCTGGCATTTGATTTTGTACAAGCTATCTGCAAACCTATCTGTCCACGTACCTACCTTGTGAGTAGGCATCTATCGTGCAAAGGTTGTGTAGCTACCCATCGGTGTAGATGTGGTAGCAGAGACCCTGTATAAGCCTACCCTGGTACAAAACAGCATAATATACAAGATTGGTTCTATTATACATGATTATTTTACATCGACGTGTCTCGCAGGCAGACAACCCTGCCCTTCCTAAACTCATCTATACCTTGCCCTCCATGTCTAGGACCCGCCATGCTGAGAGTGGAGAGCATCAAATAATATACATCCCCACCAGATTCCCCCCCAAAATGCATGTGCGATGACGTTTAACCTTTAAATCACTCGAATAACACCCCCTGATCAGATTAAGCCGCGGCATCGTCGCCCTTCTTACTTTCATCCTTGTTGCCATTGGACTTCAGCGTGGTACCATCATCCCAGAATTCCAGATTTCCATCCATCTTCCCATGCTTGATGGACTCCCCCTTCTCCTGCAATATGCTTTCCAATGTTGTTTTCTCATCGTAGAATATGCCCAAATGATCACTCATCACATGCCGATTCTTGCAAGTTGGACACTGGATCAGCACTGTGCCCCGGTGGTAGCCTTGTTTCGACATGCGATGTGCGGACCTCTCGCCACATGGCTTGCAGGTAAATGTGATGCGATAGGCTTCCTCATTGCTGCGACGCTCTTCGTTTTTGCGCTCACGCTCAGCGTCAGTTTCGGGTTGGGTGGCATCGGCGGTAAGAGGGTTGGCTGTAGAGTTGTGACGGATGACTGATGGGATAACAAAGCGTGCCTGACCAAGAGTCGAGGATCGGGTGAGAAATTGGGGCCGTGTGAGCTGTGTTGAGAGAAAACGAGTAGAGGTGGCGGATGTGGTTTTGGATGAAAGAGTACGCAATGCGCGCAAGCTCTGGGGCAGGAATGGACGCATGTTGATTCTTGATTGAGGATTTTTGAAAGGTGGTTTGATAAGATTGCCTTGTTATGAATTGGCTTTTTTTTATGAAGTCGATGTATGATAGTCGAGCGTTATTTGATCGAGAACCGCAGTGAAGCCCCGGCGGGACGGATAATCAATAAACCGATGCCTCCTCCGCGGAGAGAGAAGCAAGCATGACGAAGTGACGTTAACAAAACCCAATATTTCTATGAATTCGTTCATATTCACCTCGACCTGAACGCGTCCTCAACCATGGCGACAATGCGGACGAGACATAAAATTCGGGCTCCCCGTCGGGTGTGTGATGAACCCCTCACTGAGACACAATTTATGTCTGTGCCCGGCAAGCACTGTAGCTGACCATACCATAGGGACTCGCGTCTGCCCAAACCGACGACTACGACGCGGTCTGGTCCGTCCTTTCGGCCTCTCTCACAGAAATTCACACTAAAAATGCCTCGACTCTCTCTTTTGAAGAGCTTTATCGAAATGCATATCGGATCGTCTTGATGCAGCGGGGTGAGGACTTGTATACGCATGTGAAGGAACATGAGCAGGGCTGGCTGCGTGGTACGGTTCAAAAGATCGTGACAGACTCTATTTCAACAACACTGGTACGCGCTCAGACTCAGAATGCCTCGGAGTTGCTGGATCAGTCGAATGAGCGGCGGGCTGCGGGGGAGAAGTTTTTGGCCGTGTTGAAAGCGGCATGGGAAGATCATCAGCTCTGCATGTCCATGATTACGGATGTAATGATGTATATGGTAGGTTAAAGGCCTTAAAACATGCTGACCCATTGGAGCATTAATCGGTTGCTAAGGTATTGACAGGATCGGATCATCGCTGTGGATCACAACAAGCCATCCATCTACGTTGTCTCAATGGCATTATTCCGAGACCATGTCCTGAACACAAAAGTTCGCACTGATAGTGATTTGACTGTCATGGATGTACTGAATTCGACAGTTCTTTTCATGGTTCAGCTAGAGCGAGCAGGGCACATGATAGAACGACCGCTGGTCCGGCATTGCACCCAGATGCTGGAGGGACTTTATGAAACAGTAAAAGAAGAGGAAACGTCCAAGCTTTACCTCACAATCTTTGAACCTGCCTTCTTGGAAGCAAGTACAGAATTCTATAGGGCCGAGGGACGTCGGCTTCTGGAAATTGGAGACGCAGCAGTTTTCTGCCGGGTTGTCACCCAGAGGATTGAGGAGGAACATGAACGGGCTAGTGCTACACTTTCCACGCTGACAGAAGCGAAGATCCTTGCATTGCTTGACAACGAGCTCATTCTCAAGAACATTGATGAAGTCGTCCAGCTGGAGGGCACCGGTGTCCGATATATGCTTGATCACGATCAAATGGAAGCATTGCACCGAATTTACACGTTAAATACGCGAGTGGATAAGAAGAAGGAGGCACTAAGCAAGGTCGTTAATAAACGTGTGGTGGAGCTCGGCAGCGAAATCAACGCTGCGTCTATTGTATCCGCTGTTGGAGCCTCACCTCTACCCGAAAAGGATGCAGAGAAAGCTAAGAAGGGCAAGGAGAAAGAACGACCAGGGAATCAGCAAACAGTCTTGGCTATCCAATGGGTTGATAGCATCCTGGCTCTCAAGCGACAATTCGACAACGTTTGGATAACCGCATTCATGCGTGACCAAGGCCTTCAAAGCTCCATCATGGCCAGCTTCTCCGATTTTATCAATATGAACACACGGAGCTCTGAGTATCTCTCGCTCTTTTTTGACGAGAATCTCAAGAAGGGTATCAAGGGGAAGACAGAAAATGAGGTTGACGCCTTATTGGACAATGGCATCACGATGCTACGCTATATTAAAGACAAGGATCTCTTCGAGACCTATTACAAGAAGCATCTCTCACGCCGTCTACTCATGAAACGCTCTGCTAGCATGGATGCCGAGCGTCAGATGATTTCAAAGATGAAGCTAGAAGTGGGCAATCAGTTCACGCAACGCATTGAGGCCATGTTCAAGGATATGACCGTATCCGAGGATTTGACAGCGAGCTACAAGAATCATGTCGCCAAGATTGCTGATCCCGATCATAAGCCTGTAGATCTGGAGATCAATGTGCTCACCAGCACAATGTGGCCCATGGAAATCATGGCCAACTCAAAAGAAGGGATGCTACCAGCCACCTGCGTTTTCCCCCGAGAAATTGAAGTTCTCAAGCAAAGCTTCGAGAGGTTCTATCTCGACAAGCACAGCGGCCGCAGGCTCACCTGGCAGGCTTCCATGGGCACAGCCGATGTGCGAGCATCTTTCCGTCGCAGCAACGGCAAGGTCCAGCGTTATGAGCTTAATGTGTCAACATACGCAATGGTAATCTTGACATTGTTCAACGATGTCCCAGATGGAGAGTCCCTCACTTTTGAAGAGATTCAAGCGCGAACCAAGATCCCGCATAATGACCTCGTCCGCAATCTACAATCCTTGGCCGTTGCGACCAAGACGCGTGTCCTGCTGAAAGCACCCATGACCAAGGATGTCCAAACCACAGACCGCTTCTGTTTCAATAATGACTTCCAAAGCCAGTTCGTCAAGGTTCGCATTGGCGTTGTCAGCGGCGGAGCTAATAAAGTTGAGAACACCGATCAACGAAAGGAGACCGAGAAGAAAATGGCTGAAGAGCGCTATGGCACCATCGAGTCCGCGATTGTGCGCATCATGAAGTGGGTAAACCCATCAAAAATTTTCAGCTATATTCATCTAACATGTTCTTTTAACTTTCTAGGCAACGGAAGACCCTTACCCATACCCAGCTTGTATCCGAGGTTCTCTCTCAGATATCTTCACGCTTTGTTCCAGAGGTCAGCATGATCAAGAAGCGCATTGAAAGTCTCATTGATCGCGAGTATCTGGATCGTGTTTCTGAGGACCCGCCTACTTATGACTACGTCGCGTAGGCTGGGACTAAGTGGATATTACAGATTTCTTCAATCCTCCATTTGCCTTTTTCTCGGGAATTTGCATCTAGGGTTGTCCCCAGCATGATATGCGGGCATTTCGGCTCTTTTCAGCATTCTTTTTCTTTATTTTGCCCTTTCATCTGAGCTTAGCGATCGGCGCATTGAGTGATTTTACTAGAGGCGGGAACTGGTAGGAATTGGGGTTTTATGGTTCATGAAATGATGAGGTATGGGGTGGTTCATTGGAAGATGAAACAAGCAGATTATATTCTCGAATAGCTCTGTCTGCATAATAAGACATCAATATCTGAACCAGTATGCCAACCACCCAAGCAGCTCCGATAGACTTGATGGTATGGCCTCGAGATCTATGACATGGATATTCTTAGATGTAAATATTTGATCACGACTCAATGCAATGTATGTATGCTCCAATCCTGGATATAATGACCGAATACAAAGTAAAAAACATCTCAACGCCAAAAATGCCGAACTCCACGATGGACCATCCCAAACATAACATGACAGAAAAAAGGCAAGATCATGGATCCAGTTAGACCAAGCCAGACCCCATCGAAGGGGAAAAAAAAGCAGATCAAAGCAACTCAACCTCCCCCTTCATCCAAGCAGCCCTAACACCCTCCCAAAGCACAACCCAAACATCACCCATCCGCATAACAACCCCCAAATCCTCACCCCCATCAACACCCTCCACAACAACAGGAACTTCAACCCCCAAGCACCTGACAAAAACCACTTCTTTCATATCAGGCCCTTCAACCATACTAGTCCCTCCAGCATTATCATCCAATCGTCTGAGCTGCGGCGGGAACGCACCCATGAATGAGCCGCCATAGTGGCCCGCCAGAAGCGTTTGATGCGCATGGACAAAGGCGCATTCTTGCGCCGAGAGCGGGTTGTAGTTTGTTACTGCTGAGATGTCTGGGACTGAGTCTTCCGGTGAGAGCGTTTGTGAAGGCGGAGGTTGGGATTGCGATTGCGAGGGGGTTTGGGAGAGAGGGTTTTTTGTTCGGCTGGCTAGTTTGACGAGGTAGTGCATGCTGTATTTTGTGAGTTTTGATAAACGCTGGCGGAGAAGGCTGCGGAGGATGTATTGGGTTCGGGCGAGGTCTGTTTGAAGGATTGAGAGGCGGAGATTTAGGTTTGGGTTGTGGGTGTGCTGTTTTGTGGAGAGGTCTATGTCTGCGGAGGAGGCGGCGAGGTCTTCGATTGTTTCGATCTATATCGAAGATGTAAATTTCTCTTGAACTTCAATTAAATGTCCTCAAGGCGTGAATATATATCAGAATAGCAGTTGTATTTGACATGCCATGAGTCGATTGGTCTGGATTCTTACCTGCATCCGCACTCTATCCATCATCCGCTCCATTAGCGGTGCGGGCCATGGCAGGACCTCCGAGACGGCACGTTCGGCGACCCAGAATCGGGTCAGGAGTTGGTGGTCGATGGCCGATGACTCTGGACTGGCGCCAGCGCCGCGGTCGACAGATGCGAGAATGTCGTCAATATCCATGGTATTTCTGGGAAGTGGGATGCGTGACGCGAAAAACGCGGGTGGTGATCGGTGGAGTGGAGTCGAATGTGCCTGGGGCATCCGCGCATTAGTAGGTGGATCATGACTACAGAGTATATGGACTAGTTCAATCCATGATCCCTGGCTTGGGACCTGTTACTGGCTACTGCAAACCTCACTTTCGCTATGACGTTCTGTGTAAATCGAATTTAGATGTCATTAAGATTCAAAATATTGAAAGCAGAAACACAGAAATCTTAATTATTATTTCGGCTTGTAAAATGCAAGTTCAAGAAAATCATGCTCGATGCAATCCTCGCGGATCGATGCGAGAGAAACATTAAAGGACAAGAAACAGTTCCATGTGAGTCTTTCCCACAGAGTTGAGCCGCGGTAAAAGATAGACCCAAGACAATCATCCAACCCAGAAAAATAACGCCGATGTTTTCAATTCATTTCGATCAACAAGGTCGTAGAGTCGCCTTCACTTCGTCTGTCCCCTGCCCCCACCGAACTGTTGATCGGTTGGTATATGAGGGCCGGAGTACAAGGCCGAGTTCGACAAATTCATCTCTCATGACTTAGCCGGGGGCGGACCCGCCGGGGGTTCATATTCTCGGGCACCGGAAGCGTGATACGAATTTTGGGGCGCTTGCAACTCGATGCCATTCTGCTGTGGGTGCTGGGGCGGGGCCTGGGCGCCAAAGTAGCCGTAGTTCTGCGGGTTGGCAGTGTACTGGGGAGGAGGCTGGTAGTAAGGATCGTTGTTGTTGTTGTTGTAGTATGGCTGTTGGTATGTAGGCTGGTTGGGCGGAGGTGGTCCAGGCGGCGGTGCCATCCATGCTGTACCGCTGTAGGGCTGTTGGCCGTGAGAACGACGACGACGAGCGTTGAAACAACTGTTCGGAAGACACGGTTAGTTCATCTGTTTCGGTCGCGAAGTGTCTGCTAGATGCTGTAAGGATTCCCAGTCTCGAGGTATAGGAAGACTTACGCGAAGGCAAAGAAGACAAGGAAGGCGATGGCTACGATGACGGCAAAAGCGACCCAGCGACCCCAACGGTCCCAGGAAGAGTTGTTGCAATCGTCATCCCACCCATTGCTATATCCAAGTTAGAAAGGAAGATCACCATGTTGATTATCCAACTTACCAGTAATATCGAGATGTCAAAGAAGGCATGGTTGCGTTTATGGAAGAGTGGAAAAAAGAGCAGGCAACGGAAAGAAATAGGTCGTGGCTGAGGCGCGAATCATGGGGCTGGGGGCAAGTGTGGGTCCCTCTGGCTTTAGGCTGCAAGTTTATGATTCATCATGTTAGCTAATCAATACATTTGAACACTATTGATTCTGGGTCTTGGTTTCGTCCTTTACACAGAACCGGTTTCCTTTTATCTGTATGCTTGAAGTCCGGAGTACTCTCTCTTCAGTCAAATCCTTCGGGTAACAGGTGTACGTATTCACATACGTATCAGCACCACTTCGCCGCAGCCCGGATATACTGTAGCGGTGGCCAATCACACAATAGTGGAGCCCCATGCTGAGGAAATGGATATCTCGGCATTGGTACTATTCTTATGCACTGAGGTCTTACGACATCTATATCAACGTACACCGTGTATCCCCGTCGGCGGTACAAGGTACTCAAGGTTGTCTGGAAGCGCCGGATCCAAGTCGAACTCAAAATCGGGGTTGTTCAGGTCTCGGCGCTTACATTGATTGGATTAGGTGAGACGCCCATTTCATGTCATCGTCTCATTTTCTAGGCTTCAAGCAGCACGCATGTAAACGGGAAAAATACTCCGTGATCTTGGCCCCACCCTAGCTCTACATGAGTTGATAATTGTTTAACAGACTAATCCAGTATAGTAGACTGATCTGTACTTTCTATGATGTAAATTGACATGTGTCCCTTGGCGGGGGCGTTGGTCACTTTCGGGTCTGCATGGCCAACGCATCGCTTGGTCCGTGTGCGCTTCACTTTATTTATGCCGACGACCCCCAGTTTTTTTTTTTTTTTTCACCTGGAAAACACTCAATTTGACCTGTCACTACGTCATATTAGCCCACTCTGCCATGGTGACTGAAGAAAATTTATGCGAACTTGACCAACCCAGCAAATCTACATTGAAGAATTGTCAATAACATATAAACGTGCGATCATCAATTTTGATCGAGTGGCACCCGCTTTGTCCCAATTGCATGCACCCATGAACATATACTAAACAGGAAAAAAAAGCCATGGATCATTGACGTCGTTACATCTGAGGCTGCGAGCCAAAACGCTAGTCTACGAGACATAATCACAAACAGAAAGACACGCTCAGGAAACATAAGACCAAAAAATCCAAATCACATGAACCAAATGAGCCAAGTGGGAAAGATCATAATGTGTCATGGTAAAGCTTACCGTCCACTCATCGGCTTGCTCGCGCGATCAACCAATGCAGTACCGCGTCGAGGTTGGTTTCTTCCTTTGCGCTGATCCCATAGCAGCTGACTTCGCGATGCGTGATGGACTTCAGGTCCATCGCATCGATTAGCTCATCCACCGACAACTTAACTGGCAGGTCAGACTTGTTGCCTAGCACGAGGAGTGGGATCCCATCCAACGTGGGCTTGGTCATCAAATCATGTAGCTCCTCTGTGGCTACCGGCAAAGCATCTTTGTCCGCTGCATCCACGATATATCTACAACAAATCAGCATCAAGTATCACTCCTTGTGTTTTCGGCTGCTTTTGGTTTCGTTTTGACTTACACGATTGCGTTAACCCCTCGGCAGTATCGCTCCCACATCGGGCGAAATCGAGGCTGACCACCCAAATCCCAGCTTGCCGCCGTTAGCGATTACCCTACACGTCTTTGATACAATACGTACCACTTCAAGGTCACATGGCCTTTTTGAACCCGCTTGGTATTGAAGCCGATCGTCGGAATAGAGCTGGAATCCGGTTAGCCGGTGACGTCGTCTACTTCCCGTTCCTTGCACAACTTACTCGATAGTGAATTCCCCGCCCTACCACATGATCAGTATTCGAATGCAACACCGAAAACCAAAAAATTAAAAAAAAAAAGGAAGGGAAACGGGAAACGAGACCCTAGAGGACTTACCGCCAATACACGAAGCAGGGAGGATTTTCCTGCATTTTGCAGGCCGATCATGGTAACATCCATCTCGGTGGCCCTGCAGGGAAGAACCGTATTAGAGCAGGCGCTTTCTCATCTGCGGGGACGGGCCGGGGGGGCTGGATGATGTTCCCGAGAACCAAGAAACGCCTCAACGGTCCCACTTACCAGAACATCCTCAAAAGCCAGTCATAGATGGTGCGAAAGATGCCGGCCATGTTGGGGCGGTTGGTGTGGGTGGGGTGGGAAGGGGAAAAAACGGATTCAAACCAGGTCGGACTGCCAATAAAAGAAGAAAAAACTGTTTTGTAAACGGAACCTATGAAGAACCTCTCTTTTCTGTCGAATTAGAGGTCTGAGCCTTGATTTGTGGAGAGCCAGTTCCTGGGGGTTAAAAGAGAGAGAGAGAGAAAGAGAGAAAGTGAAGAGAGCGCGGTGGGTGCTGAAATCCAAATATTAAGAAAGGGCTTGGGACGAGCCACTATCAACGAAAATCAAAATCAAAATTAAAATGAAAAGGAAGGAGAAAAGCAAAGGTGGAATCCCTGAGCGCTTCTTTCCCGCCGGTTTTAAGTATACCGAAATGGAATGTACTGGCGCCAATGCGAGATCTACGGGCACACATGACTGCCGTTGGAGAGGGGCGCTTAGGCTCCATTCGCGGCCTGACGTAGCGCAGCTACTGCAGATATACAGAATACGAGGGAATCATGGCAGTGCGGATGAACCATTCATAGAACAAGAACTGGTAAATTACGTAGTCAGCTAGTGGACCAGTTCAACCCACGTAAGCCATGGTATTGTTACCAGATATGATTGAGTAGTTCCTGCAATATAGAAGACGAGGCGTTCGTGGAGCAAGTGACACCTCAGGCATAAACAGTATGCACCTTTATCACACGTGATGATAAGCGGCTCCACCTCGAAAAATTTCCCCAAGCAGATTCATCTCCAATTGTTCTTCAAAGCTGCCAATTACCGGCTCTCATCGCTTTGCTGGTATTTCTGGGAGGCTGAGCTAGCAGGGGCTTTGATTTGGTCGCCCCATTTTGTCTTCAATACCCAGGTCAATATCCTCCCTTGGCTGGGTCACATCAAAGAAAAAAATCGAAAATTCCGAAAACTCCGTGAGCTCCATCATGGCTCCCTCTGCTACCAGTACCAACACCAAGTGGTCGGTGCAGTATGACACTCTCCGTCGGGAGAACCTTTTCCAGAACCCGCCTCGGGATCACACTGCCTACCCGTCCCTGGCTGAGTCAATTCGACCACACATTGACTCTTTCAATGCTTTGTTCGAGGACAGCAAGATCCTGGACGCAGGATTGAAAGATATCGGTATCAAGACCTTCCTTGATGGCGAACCCGAAACCCCAGAGCAGAGAAAGGTTCGCATGGCTGAGGGGCTGCGTGCACCCAAGCGCAATCGTCTCAATGTTCGTGTGAAGGAAGTTTTTCTCGACAAGCCTCAACTGCCGCCCACCAACAAATACAGCACCAAGAACCGCGAAATTTACCCCTCCGAGTGCCGTGAGCGACATGCGACCTACCGTGCCAAACTCCGTGCTCGTCTGGAGTTCCAGGTGAACAATGGCGATTGGATGGAGTCAGTGCGCGAGTTGGGCCAGGTCCCAATTATGGTGCGCACTAACCGCTGCCACCTCGAAAAGGCCACCCCCGAAGAACTGGTCCGCCACAAGGAGGAATCTGAAGAACTCGGTGGTTACTTCATTGTGAACGGTAACGAGAAGCTCATTCGTATGCTAATCGTCGGAAAGCGGAATTTCCCAATGTCCATCATTCGTGGTTCGTTCGTCAAGCGTGGTCACACCTACACCAAGTATGGTGTGCAGATCCGTTCCGTTCGCCCTGATCAGACATCCCAGACCAACGTTCTGCATTACCTCTCCGATGGTAACGTTACCTTCCGTTTCTCATGGCGCAAGAACGAGTTCCTTGTTCCCGTTATGATGATCCTCAAGGCCCTGGTGGAAACCAACGATCGCGAGGTTTTCGAGGGCATTGTTGGTGCCGCCAACTCCAAGGGAATGAAGAACACTTTCGTCACAGACCGTGTTGAGCTCTTGTTGCGAACCTATCAGGCTTACGGCAAGCACAGCAAATCCGACTGCCGAGCTCACCTGGGCAAGTGTTTCCGTCCTGTCATGGGTGTTTCTCAGGATGTGTCTGATGAGGAGGTTGGAGCTGAGTTCTTGCGCCGCATTGTCCTGCCTCACTTGGGCAACTACAATGTTACCGAAACCCAGGATTACGACAAGTTCAAGATGATCATTTTCATGATCCGCAAATTGTACTCCCTGGTCGCCGGTGATTGTGCTCCTGACAATCCTGATGCGGTCTCCAACCAGGAGGTCCTGCTCGGTGGTTTCTTGTACGGCATGATCCTCAAGGAGCGTATTGAGGAATGGCTTCGGTCACTTGGACCTATCGCCCGAGACTGGTCAATTCGCAACAGCAATGCCAAGTTCACTGATACTGCATTCGACCGTGATTTCTTGTCCAAGATTGTGAAGCGGTCTAACGAGAACATCGGTCAGGCTCTCGAGTACTTCCTGTCCACCGGCAACCTCGTCAGTCCTACGGGTCTCGATTTGCAACAGACTTCCGGTTATACCGTCATGGCCGAGAAGATTAACTTCTACCGTTTTATCAGTCATTTCCGAATGATTCACCGTGGTAGTTTCTTCGCGCAATTAAAGACCACTACCGTGCGTAAGCTGCTGCCAGAGAGTTGGGGTTTCTTGTGTCCTGTCCACACTCCTGATGGATCGCCTTGTGGTCTGTTGAATCACTTGGCGCACAAGTGTCTGATTGCCACGGACAACCTGGACGTCTCCAGCTTGCCCCGCACTCTTGTCCAGCTTGGTGTCAAGGGTGAGTCTTCTGTGGCCACCGAGGACAGTGTGGTTGTTCAGCTGGACGGTAGAATCATTGGATTCTGCTCGCCCGAGCAGGCTCGCAAGATCCACGACACTCTCCGTTACTGGAAGGTGGCCGGCAAGAACAATGTCCCACTGGGCCTGGAGATTGGTTACATCCCCAACTCCAACGGTGGACAGTATCCCGGTATCTACATGTTCTCTCAGTCCGCAAGAATGTACCGACCGGTCAAATACCTGGCTCTGGACAAAACCGATCTTGTCGGACCCTTCGAGCAGCCGTACATGGAGATTGCCTGTCTGGAATCTGACCTGATCTCTGGTCTTTCTACTCACATCGAGTTCACCCCGACCAACATTCTCTCGATTGTGGCCAACATGACACCCTTCTCCGATTACAACCAGTCTCCTCGTAACATGTACCAGTGCCAGATGAGCAAGCAGACCATGGGTACTCCTGGTACCTCGATCGCCTACCGTACCGACAACAAGCTATACCGCTTGCAGACTGGTCAAACCCCCGTTGTTCGAACTCCCTTGTACAACGCTTACGGTCTGGACAACTTCCCCAACGGAATGAACGCCATTGTTGCTATCATTTCTTACACCGGCTACGACATGGACGACGCCATGATCATCAACAAGTCCTCTCACGAGCGTGGCTTTGGTCACGGTACCATCTACAAGACCAAGGTCCACAGTCTGGCTGAGAAGGATCGCCGCAAGTCGCGTCGTGAGGTTAAGAAGCTGTTTGGTTTCGCTCCCGGTGACGAAGTCCGAGCTGAGGTGCGCAACTTCATCGACGATGACGGTCTGCCCCATGTCGGTATCCGCGTGCAGGAGGGAGACAAGATTGCCGCGTTCCACGATGTGCGCTACGATGCCGCGTCCGACTCCTACGTGAACGTCGATGGTATCACCCATTTCCTCAAGTATAAGGATGCCGAGGCTGGCTACATCGAGAGTATCCGCATCATGGGTTCTGAGAGCGGTGTCGAGCCTATGCAGTCGATCAGTGTCAAGTACCGCATTCCTCGTAAACCCATTATCGGTGACAAGTTTTCCTCTCGTCACGGTCAGAAGGGTGTTTGTTCGCAGCTGTGGCCTGCTGGCGATATGCCATTCTCCGAGAGCGGCATGCAGCCCGATCTCATCATCAACCCTCACGCTTTCCCATCTCGTAAGTTCTCCGCCATGTCTATTGGTTAAATTACGCTAACCTCTACAGGTATGACCATCGCCCAGATGATTGAATCCATGGCCGGTAAAGCCGGTGCCCTGCACGGTCACCCGCAAGACTGCACTCCGTTCCAATTCTCCGAAGAGAACACCGCCACAGACTACTTCGGTCACCAGCTCAAGAAGGCCGGATACAACTACTACGGTAACGAGCCTCTGTACTCCGGTATCACCGGCCGTGAGTTCGCCGCCGACATCTACATGGGTGTCGTCTACTACCAGCGTCTGCGTCACATGGTGAACGACAAGTTCCAAGTGCGTACCACTGGTCCCGTCAACGCTTTGACCGGACAGCCTGTGAAGGGTCGTGCCAAGGGTGGTGGTATTCGTGTGGGAGAGATGGAGCGTGATTCCCTGATTGCACACGGAGCGGCATTCCTGCTCCAGGACCGTCTGATGAACTGCTCTGATTCTCAGCTCACCTGGATCTGTCGCTGCTGTGGCTCCTTCCTGTCGACCCAGGTTGCTGTTTCGGGCTCCGGTTCGTCCCGGTCTCGCAATACTATCAACCCCGGTGCTCTCGCTGCTGCCGCGAAGGCTGCTCCCAATCAGCAGGCTCCCGGCGGCGCGTCATCCGTTGGTGGTGCGCTGGGTGGTGTTAATGGTATTGTGCGCTGTCGTCGCTGCGCTCGCCAGGCCACTTTCAAGGATTCTCGTGCTGAGGCCTGGGAGGATGGCGATGGCTTGCGCTATGTTGGTGGTGACGACGTGACTATTGTCGCTGTCCCCGGTGTCCTCCGTTTCCTGGATGTCGAGTTGGCGGCCATGGGTATTCGGATGAAGTTCAAGGTGGACAACTAAAAACGTGCAATTATATACTTCGGTATACCGCGGGTGTTTCTTCAAAAATCTGAGATTTTGTCATGTCATAGATGGAGCGTTGGTTAATTTTTTTTGTTTTCCCCTTTTCATGTTAATATTCGATGTTCTATACGCAATGGACGAACTGGTTTCAATGTCAGGTTTACTTGTGTGTCGACCTACACACACCTAACGTACAAGTAACATATGAACATTCAACATTCTTATCTCAGGAGCGGCCTAAACACCATTAAGCATGCCCATCCCCACTCTAACCGGAGAACAAGATTCACCCAATCGCCACGCCAAGCAACACCCATCGTCCTCTGTAGTAAGTCCATTGCCGATATTGGCTTACAATTGAACCCCATAAATAAATGCCTCGTCTGCCAAGCCGAACATCGTAATCAGACATGCGACAACAACTGCCGATCGTTGCTTGTCTTCCGCTGCACTAGCGCGGGAATAGTTTAGCGTACGAGATGTACGAAATGATAACGGGACAGAATCGCTCCACTCCGCCCCCCTGAACCCGCTTCACTTGCCGATGGTCACAACTTTTCGGCGGAATGGTGCAATTTGTGACAGCTATGAGGAAGCTATAGAGCAGAGCTTTATAGTCATATACTTTGTAAACGTGACGTCTATTCATGGTTTGCATCTATAAATCTCTGTTATCAAACCTTGGCTCGGTTTCCCCCGTACTTATGTGGCACGCTAATGAACGCGTACGCAAGCTCTTATGTTCCGCTATTTTTTTTTCTCCATACAAATTAGTTACATATGGTTAGACCAAATCGACAAGCAGGATGATTGGCTTAGAGCTTGACGAGGTCATGTTTCGTGACTCGTGCTCCTTCTCTTTCTTTCCTTCTCAATTTTATAATGCCGTTTGAGGTCTCTTAGATCCCAAGCCGCCTGGACACTTTGGGGGCGGCTGTGAATATATCCGCTCTTTTCCTATACATTTTTGATTGCGTTATTACGCCTTGATACCGAGCGATCATGGTTCGATTTTCAAGCGTCGCGTGGGCACTTACCACGTTAATCGGCGCAGGTGCAGATTTCGTCTCGACGGATTACGAAGGATATAACGATGGAGATTTGGGGCATCGACCACACCTGGAATTCCATTCTAGCGACGAATATGCGCCAGTGTTACAAGCCAATGTGTGGAATCAGAGTGCGATTTCAGAGACCGGTTCGCATATCTTTATTAAACATGATGGCAATGATTCGTCACCACTTTCTTCGCCGCTTATCATCGACGCCAATGATCTATCTGCCGTCTACATGAACCGTACGTTCGAAAATGTGTTCGGTACTCGCGTCCAGGAAGATCGAGGGAAGAAGTACCTCACTTTCTGGGAGGGGCAGAAAGGCAATGGAATTGGGGATGGGTATGGACTTGCATATGATGAGACATATACCCTGGTCTATAAAGTTTGGGCACAGAATCTCCAGGTGCACAGCGACTTGCACGAGTTTGCGTTTACGGGGAATGGAACTGCGCTTGTGACCGGCGTGGACAAGGTGACTAAACAAAACAGTGATTTCGATCCGAGTTGGGAGACTCCTGATCGTTTCGAGGTTCTGGATGCTCTCTTTCAAGAGCTTGATCTTGAAACAAACGAGGTGCTTTTCGAATGGCGCGCGCTGGATCATGTTAATCCTATGGAGTCATATGAGCCGCGAGGTCTGACTGGGTGGGATGCGTACCATATGAACAGCATTCAAAAGGTGAGCATGTGCCAGTAACCCATATCAATCATGTCTCTAACATTTTCTAGACCGAAGCCGGCAATTATCTCATCTCAATGCGCCATACGCACTCTATCTTGCTCATCGACGGCAAGACGGGCGACATCATCTGGACACTGGGTGGTCGCCAAAACAATTATATCGAATTACCCCCGAGCAACGAGACCGAGGGCGCTGAACCGATTCTCAGCATGGCTTGGCAACACCATGCACGTTATGTACCTGGGACGAACGAGATGGAGATGACTCTATTCGACAACCACGTTGAAGAAACGACGCACGGCGTCTGCGATACGGAGTGCTCGCGCGGCTTGCACATCGCCATCAACGACACCGCATCACCACCGACCGTCAAGCTTCTCCACGAATACCGGCATCCGTCGTCACTGCAGGCACAAAGCCAAGGAAATGTACAGGTTCTCTCGCATGCAGCCGGAGACAAAGACATCGGCAATGTGTTTATCGGGTGGGGAAGATGTCCTACGTTCACGGAACATAGTGCCACAGGCGAGACGGTGATGGATGTGCAGTTTTCGCCGTGGCATAGCAAGGAGATCCCCGATGCATTGGATAATTACCGTGCGTATAAGATGGACTGGGCTGCCACTCCATGGTGGGATCCGTCCATTGCGCCACGCATGAGTCCAAAGGGCGAGCTCGTCGTCTACGTTAGCTGGAACGGAGCGACGGAGGTGGCAGAGTGGGTGGTGAGAGGTATTGAGACGGGACGATCATTGAACTCGAAAGGCGATGTGGTGACGAGATCAGTGCGCACGGGCTTTGAGACCAAATTGATGATTATTGAGGAAAAGAAGAGTTGGCGATACATCTGGGCTGAGGCCTTGGATGTGAATGGAAAGATTCTTCGGTCGAGTCAGATTGTGGACTTGGATGGTGCCGCGCTACCCATTGCCGTTGATGCTTATGACGAGACCAACTCCACTTTTGCTGGTTTCCTTGCTGCTGAGAGAGCCTCGAGACTGAAGGCGAAGCATCATGAGGGATTGTCTAAAACGGGAATCGCTTTGCTTGCTACTGGGCTGAGTATTGCTGGCGTGTCTATCATTGCGGCCGCTGGGTTCTGGTGGTATCGGAGCAGAGACTATAATCGCTTGGAAGCCGAAGACTTTGCTCTGGAGTCAGACAAGTTTGCGCTGGACTCTGACGATGAGTATAGTGATGCCGGTGCCGATGCTAATGAGAGTGGTGAAGATCATGACAGGCATGCTGATTATAGACGATCAAGAGACGAGGAAAGCCAAGCTCTTGTCTCCAACGCTGAGGGCGGAGGAAAATAGATTACCACTAAGTTTTGTATATAATGAATTGATAAATGTACCTAATGACCCTCCTCACATATGCATTCGATCAACCTTAGAAGCGACCGTTCTTTCCTGGAGGTCCAACAATACACTGCCGAGGCCTGATCAGTTGAAGATCAATTATTTAATACTTGAAGTATACATTTCATAGGCAGAGGAAAGTTATTATTACGTGGGATTGTTGGTAGATCCAATGGTTTAGATCTTATTTCATAAGATGATCAATTAAAGAACCATGATCCTAGCATCAGAATAATACATTCAACCAATTCTATACCACTTACAACGCCGATGTGACATTTGAGAACTCGCCGTGGTCTAGCTTCGTCTTCCAGAAGATAGGGTTCATATCATCGAAGCCATGGTGCACCCATCCTTCCTCCTTAACGTGGTAGAGGTTAATGAAACCACCAGAGTAAGCATCACGGTGCATAGCAGCCAAGATAGCACGGCGGCCCAAGGCGAGGGCCTCCTCAGTAGTCAGTTCATACTTGTAGTTGGCGTCCAGAACACCGTAGGCGAATGTCTGACCGGATCCAACACAGAACAGATTGCCTGGCAGTCGGGTACCGTCTGAGTCGATGTAGTACAAAGCGGGTCCTTCTTGGGGAGTCACCTGTGAAGATATGAGTTAAATCAACCCAACAGACTCAGCAGCTACTGAGATGATTTGATACGTACACCGGCAAGCATGGTTCCCATACTCAGGCCATAGCCCTTGTAAGCATAAGTCAAGTTGGCGAGGATCTTCGATGCGGCTGCGACAGTAATGCGGCGCTTGTGTCGGATTTCTAACCTCATTAGCATCATCATCCTATCCACTGCCACTGACGAACATACCATGCAGAGTACACTGCTGACTCAAATACCGCAACCAATATTGGCAATCCTATAGAATCATCAGAAGCCCATTCACATATGTCACAGCTGTCCTCAGACTTACCGCCGCACCACCGGCCATAGTGCCCAACAAACCAGGTGTAGGCTCATTAGTAGGCTTGTCCTCGCCACGGCTCAACCGCGACACGGGAATAACCTTCTTCACTGTCTGACTAGCAATCCAATTTCCAGCTGTCGCTCGCGAGTCGGTGCACACAATCTAAATTCCACCAAAAACCGTCAGTACCAATGAAGCAAAGATACCACAGGATGGCCAAGCCGATCGGGATGAAACGTACGATACCGCCCTGGAATCGGAAGGCTAGGGTTGTTGTTCCGTGAGCGAGCTTGATGGGGCAGCTGGGGTTGGCGAGGTCATCGGTCATGGCACGAAGGAAGGAGGCGTGCTAAATAGAGCGTAAAATATGATTAGCTCAGGTTCTTCTGTTGATGAGATTCTTTTGCTGAGAGCTGCAGCTGCCGCATCGCTTGCTGGCAGGCCTGGCCTAGATGAATGAACGAGGCAGACAGTACCCAGTTCCGGGAAGCATCCAGACTCGAGGGCTTGACATGACGGTGTTCCAAAACTCACGTTGTCGACAGGAGGAAGAGCAAACTTGAGTGAGAGCGGAGGGAGGCTCTCGGTGAGGTCCTGTTGCTCTTGCTCTGAGTAAAACTCATTCTGGTGCTGCGGGCGCGAGTACTGGGCGACGAGCTTGTCCATGGTGTGCTAAAAACGGTGAACAAACGAGGATATGGAGGTGGGTGGAGATGAATAGAGGACGAGCTGGAGAGGTGATGATGGGGCAGCTCCGGGCTGGAGCTTGGATTCCGCGTCACTCGGGCGCCTGGGGTCACGTGCAGTCATACATAATGAAATCGGAATGGAAGAGATGCATCAGAATTGATCTTATTAGAATTTCCTAGGATTTCAAATGCGAAAGCATGCTATCTACTATGAGTAAATGAATAAATTTGGATATATACGAGGATGAACATTTTGGTCGGATCCAACGATGGTCATACACTATGTAGTCCTGGAGTCGCTACGCAGCACAACTACAATTCTGAATGCTAGAGCACTTTTTGTTGTAACACATATACCAATTCAATTCAAAGTACGTATATTCGAAAAGCCCATTGACATGCGCCTACTTACACAAATCAATATCCAATTAACCCGACTCATTCTGATCGCAGTCAACAATAAAAGTGTACATGAAACATGGCTATAGAAGCATTCTCCACAAGCAGAAAGCAGTTCAAGTCTGCACATCCACCACATTTAAGAAGCCAACACTGCAGGCTCCTCCATCTCCTTCGAAGGCGTAACATCTTCAGGGATGGCAGTAGTGTCAATGCCGTTGGTCAATTCCGACTCGTTGTCATCATGCACGTGGTTACCGTGTCCATTCACCTGGACATCAGCAGCAGAAGTAATGGGCTCAACGGTAGAGTGCCATGCCCGTAGGTCAGCCTCTGCATCCTCGAGGACTGCGCGTGCTTCGAACTCATGGTCGTAGGCCCGACGAGAATCACCAGGGACAACGGGGCTGTCGTCAATGAAGTTGAGCAGGCGGCGTGTATGACGAGCGAGAATAATCTGTTTCTCAGCACGTTCGATGACAGCAGCAGTGTGGATGTCAAAGGCTTCCTTAAGCTTTGTTCGGGTCTAGAATAGCAGTTAGAAATTCATTCTAACCATGACCTTGACCGGATAGGTCTTCATCAAAAAGCATAAAAGCCCAATCAGCTCAACACATACCGTATTCGACAACTGCGCTTCAGCAACCAAACTCTGTGCCTCGGCTCTAACAAGCTCATGTTCCAGTGTAACAATGCGCGGGCTATTTGGGTCCTTATACTTGAGCTTTGCAATCTCGTCCGTGACCTTCTGTCGCTGATCCCGACTCGGCTGCACAGAAGCCTCCATATTCCGAATATGCTTCAGAACACTCCGGTAGTCCTCCAGGTTCTGCGCAAAGACATCCTCCTGCTCACCCATCTCTGCAAGCATGACGCCCAGCTTGTCCGAGATATCGGAGATGGCGTCGTCCTCGGTAGACTCGCCCCACTCCGAGAGCTGAGCGGCAATGGAACCGCGCTCGCGACCGGCAGTTTCATGGGCACCGATTGCGCTATTCTCCGATTTGATCAGGCGGGATAGACGCTTGCTGAGCTCGGGCTGTTGGAGGCCACGGAACGTTGCGATGCTGAAGCGGTGGCGGTTGCTCGCTGGCTCACGGTCGCGGCGCGAACGGATGGAAATTGTGCGGTTCCTTGGAGACGTTAGTCATGTTGGAGATATTCTGCGGACGGTGGAAATACATTTTGTGTACGGAAATGAAGCCCTTTGTAAAAGTAATGTTCAGTGTACAATATGTTAACCTAAGTAGTAAGTACTAGGTTACCAGGTTCCGGACAGGAGTGAAAGACCTGGCACAAGTTATATGCAGGAGAGCGCCTTCCTATAGATGACGATGCACCCAACTTTAACTACCGTAGCTTTGGGTTCCGGCGCACCAGGAAGTCCAGTCCTGGTGGTTGTCTGACGTCATGACGGGAGATACGGATGGTGAGCTCATGCACTATTCCGATTGCAGCCCAGTGCGTGACCTATGGGTTCGAGAGATAGCTTGGTATGAGTGGAGGAGCTGCCAGTTTGAGTTGTGCATCGTAATTGGATCTGATGCTACCGAATCGTGATCGTCAGTGCTCCAGATGTGGAGTAGAAGTTGGCTCCGCATTATTAATGTTGGATTTAAGCTTCTATCCCGCAAAGTAACTGGATAAAAATTAGCCTATTGTCTCCTGTGGTAATGTTACCATATAAGGCTATGTTTTAATCATAAGATAATAATTGACGAGCTCGTCCGTACTGCCTGTTTTAATTTACACAGAAATGACATGAACTGTGTATCAGATCCAGACATCCATCCATCCCCACAAAACACCATAAGCAGACCACAGGGCAGTGTGCTAAAACGCAGAAAAAATAAGATCCATGAGCGCCATCCGACGACAAGCGAGAAGAAAATAAGAACGGATCCGACTAAGACATCTCGTCGGCATCTGGGTGGTGCGAATGTTCATTATCGGAGGCGTGGAATGCATCACCAAATGCCGAATTGTCGAGATCAGGGAGATCGAGATCATCGTGCTGCTCGGAGTAGGCGGCTAGCGCATCACCTGCACTGTCGATGTTTGTGAAATCAAAAGCCGCACCCTCCAAGCTCGTGTCTCCACCAGCCCCATCCTTATTTTCGTTATTCACCATCACCCAGCCAGCATTTTCACCATTGGCACCGCCGAGGTGGTCACCGAGGTCCATGTCCACATCACCAGGGATATCAGTACCAGGCACGGGTGGGGCAGAAGCTCCATTTCCTGGGCTGCCAAACTGGTTCAGAAGACTGTCGGCGTGTTCCAAAACCATGTCGTTGGCGAAAGAATCGGGTTCATCCTTGTGTTCGGGCTCAATTTTCTCCAGAAGACCACCCTTCTCTACACATGAAACTTTGGGCTCGGGCATGATCTGCTTCTTAAAGGCGGATTCAACCTCACGGACCACGTCGTCCACTCTGTATTTGGCCTTCTCTTCAACATATTCCATCGGTGGGGCTTCGTCATCCTCTGAGGGAATGATAATTCGGCCCTCCAGTCTCCATATCTCGGAGCCCGTTGCAGCAGGGTCAGCAGCCGCCTCTCTGAGGCGTAATTCAGCATCTTTGAAGAGCGAGCTACGCTTGAATTGCTCCATCCGGCGAGCATGTTGCTTCTTGAGTTCTTCAATCTCAGCGTTGACTTGATTCACCTTCTTAGTGACCTTGTTCGCAAACTCTTCAGCTTTGGCTGTTCCTAGCTTCGACGCTCCTGGGACATCAGTGTCTTGGCCTTCTCCACCGTCAGGCGCATCAAAAAAGCCCTGAGTCAAAGACTCCAACTCCCCCTTGCGACCCAAGCCAAGTGAGACCGGAGTAATTTGCGACATGGTGTATGGCGATGCGAAAATATCTTCCATCCACTCGTGGTGCAGCGTGTAGCGCATCTTGCTGACATCTCGCGGAGCCAGCTGGTCGATCATATCACCACTTGACACGTCCTCATCTTCAAGCGCAAAATCAGAGGTGGCAGAAGCCATCGCGGCTGAGGAGGCACGGTGCGGGCGCTGAACTTTGTTAGAGGGGTGAGCGACGGCGGCCGCTGGGTGGCCCTGTGGCGGGTAGAACCCAGGTCGGGCCTGGGAGGCAGCGTTTGGGTAGGCGGCTTGGGGCTGAGTGAGGCCTTGCGCAGAGACGTGTTGAGGGAAAGGAATTGTGGGCCAATTGTTGCGGTCGTGAAGCATAAATTCTTTGCGACTAATCTGACCCTGGGTTTGTAGGAAACGGCGCTGGCTCATCATGCTTTGAATTTGTGGGGTTACCGGAACACGGGTCGCAGGAACATGTTCGTTTGGAGGTGCTCGTGAATAATGAACGATCCACATCGCTGGGTCAGGCTGTGGAGCGTTCGGGATTTTAGAGGAAACAAGGCGATATCGCTTCCGGGTGTGCGACGCAACGCTCTCGTGGGGAGGGTGGTACCCACAGCGATGCACAAACATTTCAACCGTCTGATTCCAATATTAGCCCTGACCGTTCTTCATCTATGCGCGATACTCTGGGTCGCATCACACTTGGGGTCGCGTACATAGCCTCGGGATTCAAAACTAAATGCCTGCTCATGGTCGGCCCATACATAACCGTCGCTCGCAAAATTATTGCCTAGATGCGCCATAGGCTGCCAAGTAAGAATCACAGTACCATCAGCTGGCCCGTCTAGAAGGGTCCAATGCACAGGTTTCTGCTGGAAGAATCGAGGTGCGCTGGCTAAGTATTCCACCGCGGTCTCGGCGGGCATCATGTGCATCTTCGGGAATGGGTGGTGGGAGACTAAGTGCATATGAGGCAGCTAATGATAGCGGTCGTGTTAGTGTATTGCTCAATGATTCAACATCTTTAACATGCTGTGTTGAATAAGACCTAGAATCTTACCAGCTGCCCCGGTATGCGGCTTGCCGGGTCATCCATATTTGCTGAACCCACTTGTGGGTGATAATCAGTTTAAAGAATTGCACAATATCGTTGAATAGACGGTGACGGTCAATTGGGATCGATGCGAAAGGAAGGCGGAGGTGGTCAGGGCGGATGGAGCTCCTGTGCAACGCGACGCGGGAGATTTTCGATTGATGCGGTCCGCCCGGGCAAATAGACCTCATGTGCAAGGACGGGCGTAAGGCGGTGAGGCGGCAAGGCATCAATATGGATAATTCCATTGAATCAGAACTAGCATGCCACTGCTCCAACAGGACCCTACCAAACCTGGAGACTCGTGTCGACAAGTCCTTCAATCGCCATGAAAACTTAAGAAGCCTCCGAAATCAATATTTTTGATTGCTACCCACTTAGTGATGTCCGAGGTAGCTGCATAAGGGGCAGTTACCCATCCTAGTCAAGATGTACTCTATTGTCAAATCCATCTAGGGTGTGGAATCAAGGAACATTATTAATATAGATCTGGTGACAATTAGATTTTGCGGACATCTACAGTCATAGTATAGATACCCTTGTTCACTACAAAATTGGTAAGTTCTTATAAAGTCAAGCTGTATGCCCTAAGTAAATAAATATCGAGATCACGTCCCTACATACCATCTACTTTATGTGCTCTCCATCTCTGGGTTTGTGAGCCTCACTTTAGATGATCAGGCGAAAGACCTATAGTAGGCGGATTCAAGCCCAATCAAGCGAGTTGACATAGTGAGAAAGTGAATAAGATCTATTTTTCAATAACTGTGTCCAATAATTGTGATTTTTGGTAATATTTTTCTGTTTCTATGTGGTGATGCGTGAGAATAAAATGCGGAATAATGGCACCTGAAGTGTACCTAGCTATTCCGAGCTGTTCAGTATATGTTTCCTTAATTTCTCGAAAAATAAAGCTCTTCTTTAACATACGCTCTATTCTGAGACTCACTGTTTCAAATCATCTTTTCAGTATCTTAATAATTATAATGTATTGAGGTTATAATATTTCCCAAAGAGTAATGTATCAATTCTCGTCGCATGACACAAATGACCCTTAGCTATGGCGATTCACTCCGCTTCTCCATCCAGATCTCTACAGAAATGTGCTCAAAGCGTTTGCTGTGGATTGACATACCCCTCCAAAGGGGCTTAATCTGGAGCTTTTTGCGGGGACCCCAGCCTTTTCTATCCTTCTCCACCAGCGTCGGTTAAGAGCATCCCCCACCTCCTCCCCACATCACTGCCGCGGCCACAAAAAAAAATAGAATACACCCGGTCAATTGCCGACTGGTACCCAGGCGGCCTGAAGCGAAAAATGTCACCTCAACTTCACTTCAAAGCAGAAGCAAGCTTTGCCAAAGCGGCTCCACTTTCTAATTATTGGTGGTTTCTCCGCACAAACCCCATTCGATTGGCTTTCTCCACTATACCCGCACTTAGACTTGGTGGTTCGGGCTTTCTTTGTGGAGATGTGACACCAGCCATTGGCTGACCATATTCAAGTCAGCCGAGCAGTGGCTTGATGAATTACGAGTTGGGGGTCGATCAGTCAATTTTGCTCCCCACCTTATAAAGTATGGGGACACCCCGGAGTTCGCACAAGTGCCGCTTTAATTTTTTGCTTTCCCAACCCCGCCGCCATGGGTCTCTTTGGCAAGCGTGAGCTCCCTGATGATGAGATTCAGCGAGTGCCTCCGGATCAGGATGTTGAGAAGACCCTACCGGCACAGATGGAGGTAGCACCAGCCCAGCCTCCCGCCAAATATACCCCGAGTGCTATTGACCCGGAGTTGGAGCGTCGGGTCGTGAGGAAATTAGATCTGCGAGTTCCAACCCTTATGGGATTCTTCTGTATGACTGTCGATCCAAAAATTGAAATAATTTGCTAAATGTCGAAACCCCAGACCTCCTCGCTTTTCTCGATCGAAGTAACATTGGGTTCGTCGCGCTCCAATTTTTCAATGGACAAGAAAAGACCTAACAAAACCAGAAATGCGAAAATCGCCGGAATGACCGAAGACCTCGGACTCACGGGCAACCGATATGCATGGCTCTTGACAATCTTCTACATCTCCTACACCGTCTTCGAGTTCCAGGCTTTGATGTGGAAGATTGTCAAACCGCACCAATGGGCAGCCTTCGTCGTGTTCTCCTGGTATGTATGCGCCCACACCCACGTGGGGACGATCCCAGAAGTGGCAAGATACTTACTGCGTATTGCATGATGTGTACAGGGGCTTAGTAGCAACCTGCCAAGCAGCAGCACAAAACTGGCAGGGGATGATGGCACTCCGGTTTCTAATGGGCGCTTTCGAGGCTGGGTTTGGTCCCGGTGTACCCTACCTGCTTTCGTTCTTTTATCGTCGCCATGAGCTCGGTCTACGATGTGGCCTATTTTTATCCGCTGCCCCGCTGGCGAATACCTTCGCTGGTGCCCTCGCCTACGGAATCACATCTGGCCATGCTGCATTGGCTAATTGGCGAGTTTTGTTTTTGGTGGAGGGGCTCCCTGTCTGTGCAGCTGCAATCCTGGCTTGGTTCTTCGTCCCGGATTCGCCATCGACTGCAAAGTTTCTCACCGAAGAAGAGAAAGAGGTTGCTCGTGCACGTGGTCTACAGCAAGCCGGTGATGCCGACCGGGAGGGCAAGGTGCAATGGAAAGAGTTGGCCATGACGTTATTGGATGCGAAGGCCTGGTTGACTGCCGTATGTGATCAATGAGCCCGTTCGAACATTAAAATCGCTAATCTCGATCGACTGCGCCTTCAGTTTATGTATTTTAGCTGCAACGTCAGCTTCTCATCACTTCCCGTCTTCCTACCCACTATCCTCGAAGAAATGGGCTACTCGAAAATTAACGCGCAGGGTCTCACCGCACCCCCCTTTTTCGCCTCTTTCCTGGTCACAGTGATCACTCCTTGGGTGGCGGATCGGATCCAGCAGCGGGGATTAATGATTGCAGCGCTATCGCTGATCGGCGGTGTGGGGTACATCCTCTGCGCCACCTGCACAACAGTGGGAGTGCGATACTTCGGCGTATTTCTAGCCGCCTGTGGAGTATTCCCAGCGATCGCAAATATCCTGCCGTGGGTTCTTAGTAAGTCATCGAATCGCCCAATAAGCGATTGATTGCAATACCTCTAACCTGTATTACGTGTACCAGATAATCAGGGCTCCGATACCCGCCGTGGTGGGGGTATCATACTACTCAATATTATCGGCCAATGCGGTCCTTTCTTGGGTACTAATGTGTTCCCTGACAGTGAAGCACCGCGGTATATTAAGGGAATGTCTGTTTGTGCTGCTTTCATGATTTTCACCACTTTCCTTGCCTTGGTTTTGCGATGCTTGTTGGTGTGGGAGAACAAGCGTCTTGATAAGAAGTATGGGCCAAGGATCGAGGTAGATGAAACTAAGGGTGAGATCGCCGTGGCGGAAGACAATTACGGTGCTAGTTTCCGATATATCCTGTGATTTTACCTATGTATCTACTAAAGTTCACAGGGCTGCCCAGTGTGATCTTGTTGGTCAGAATATGAAGAACATATATCTTGAATCAAATGGGGTTTTCTAATCCACCTCGGCAAGCCATACCGAATATCTACGCCATCAAATCCATTCTCAAACATAAGCAGTGGACTTTACACGGCAGTATAATAAACAGAATGTTTGGTCTCTTAAGTATAAATACTGGGCATCTTTCAATATTGTACGCATGCCCAGATACCTTCTTCTACAGGTCACTCAATATACTGTGAAATAAGTCCTGCTTAGGTGCCCGATTCTAACTACAGATTACCTAACTAATCAGTGAATCGGTACAGACCCACCAAATTTCGAAAAACCCTTCACAACCCCTTATGATTCCACTTAAGAGTCATTCTTTCACAAGCACATCTGATATAATTTAGTCCAGGGCACAGGGAAAAGATTATTCCTGGTTGTTGTGCGTGGTGCTGTGAGGGGTAATAGTGGTGTTTTCGTACAGTCGGTTTGATAGATCCAATCGGGACTAGTGCAACATGTCTACCTACGTTATATTAGATTATACGGAGGTTATCTACCCCAACCTAGCTGATATTACTAGAATAAATATATGCGGTAGAAGAGGATATATAGGTACATCCCTATCTTATACTACGAAGGACGCTCAAAACACATTGAAATAATCCTTTCATGGATCGAAGTATATCATCACCTTCTTTCTATTTGTATTTTTTGACTGCGATAAGATCTTTCAAATGATTCCACTAAGTTGCGCTTTACTAAGAATGGAAAGTTGTATTGGTCACCGGATGGAACGAATCGACTTGTCGGCTTTTGGCTTGGAGTCTCTGGGACTACGCTTCAAAAGATGACTTAGCACGATTAACACCGCGCAAAATATATCAGAGCCTTGAAAAATCAATCTTCTGATGGAATGGAATAAAAGATGTAAACATACTGAAAGTAATGAGCTTAAGGCTGCGCTGCTACGTTCTGAGGAGGAAAATTGGACTGCAAGGGATTATAGTTACTACTAGGGATGACATAGCAGCATGTAGGCCATCACGATTAGATAAGTACAATATGTATATCGTGTGTGCAAGCTATGTAAACAGTAATGATAGAGGAGGGGGCCAACCTATCTGTAGGTCCTCGAGTAGCCCACCCGTATCATGAGCTAATCAAACAAATTCATGGCTGCGAGCTGATCGGAGCGGCATAAGTCAGTGGCTTGCCAAAGCCCAGGATTTTGAAATCTTTGCTATATACCTATTTAGACGCGGAGATGCAACTATCCCCTGTCTGTCTCAATTTTCTGAATCGAACTATCCCTGCCAATAATTTCGCTTGTAACATTCCGACCCTAACGTGCGTAAATTAGCAAAGCAAAAATGATCTAACCTCTTCGGACAAGGATGCAGTACATTCCGTAGGTAGCGCAGCCACCTATAGTACTTTGACTCTTTCTTAGTCCTAGCTTGCCAAGGTACGCTAGTAAATATGGGGAGTTTCTCCGCAGTACTCCCATGGTGAATTTCGTGTCACAACCTTTATATAGGGGTACCCAAAATACATCCCACATCCAAATTCACTTCAATAGTACGCTCTTTGAACACTTACGAAGGACCAATAGAAGAAAAATTGTTGCTGGAACATAGGTCAAGTGGAGAAAGCATTATATGGAACGTCAAACCAAGCAGTAAGTGTCGCTGTTTGTACGACCGAGATAGTGCCCAAGGGGTAAGAATGACTTGGTACAGTACTCTACACATTGAGATATCGCTCAGGGGTGGTGACCACCTAATAGTTCTGGGAAGTGGGAAATTACACTTGATTTTCTCTAATGCAACAGAAGTGGTTCATCGGCGAAGTAAGGGAGAGTACGTCGGCATCCATGGCGAGTGATAAGTGTCAAGTGTCCGTGGTTTAGAAATCTCGATTGGAGCAAATTTCCCCATCAAGATAAACGCAGCATCCTTCCATCTCGGCATCCTTCCATCTATGAATCTTTGATAGCTTATGATAACACCTCGAACTAGCCCTTATTTAAATAGAATCAAAGCTCGTTTCGGACAGGAAGGCCGGATGAAAAGGACAATAGGCTAAATTTGGTACTGGTACATCGCCACGTCTACAGCTCACATGCATGCTTAATTTCCAAGTACTTATATAGCTTCGGGCTCTTCGGAGGCCGCGTGCCCCGCTGAATTAGGGATAAATTTGGGACTACCCACAGGCCACCAATTTGCGTGCAAGCGTCGTACTTAAAGGCGACATAGTGCCCGCTTATTAGTAAGATTGAAGGCGAATAGGCAAACCCTAGCTTGTGAACTGACCTTTTTTTTTTGAAGGAAAATCAACCCATTGTCAGAGGAACAACGCTCTATATAATTTGTCAGACTTAAGATCCATTGGCTCATCACATCCATTCTTTCACGACGTTTGTTACCCCAGCACTCTCCAGAACAATATGATAGAAATCGCATCAGAGCCTCCGCCTCCTACTGGGGTAATCATGGGCGAAACTGATACCAATGAAAGTGGAGAGCAGCCGGAAACTGGATATATGCAAGGATGGCCCCTCGCTTCGTTGACCTTGGCATTTATGTCTATTTGCCTCGTACTAGCTATTGACAATACCATTCTATGTTCGTGAATTCCCCCAACAGAGGGTCATAGCATCAGACCTAATTGTCATACCAAGCGACGGCGATACCCCAAATCACCAGCGACTTCCATAGCCTCAACGATATTGGTTGGTATGGCTCTTCCTACTTGATCGCACAAATGGCACTGCTACCGACCTGCGGCCGCCTCTACGCATTCTTCAACATCAAGTGGGTGTATTGCATATCGCTGGCCGTCTTCGAAATCGGCTCCATCATCGCGGCAGTCGCTCCGAATTCCGTGGCGCTTATCATAGGGCGGGCAGTCTCTGGTCTCGGTGCTGCGGGTTTAGTGAGCGGAACGACGACTATTCTGTCATATTGCGTGTCTTTGGAGAAACAGGCAATGCTGTCGCCTATCGTCCTAGGCATGTATAACATTGGATCGGCCGTTGGACCACTAGTGGGTGGTTCGATAACCGACAACAAGAAGCTGACGTGGCGATTCATCTTCTGGATCAATCTCCGTAAGTGTCCGTCGATGACGAAGCCCGTACCCTATCCCTTTATCGCTAGCTAATAAGTCATAAGCTTTCGGAGCTGTTGGGCTGGTTCTAGTCTGGTTCACCTTAAGGAAACCCCCACCTGCGGTAAAGGGGGACCTGCCTTGGAAACAGAAACTACGTCAACTAGACCTTTTAGGGGCTACTGTGCTTCTCGGTGCAGTATCATGCTTGAATTTAGCATTACAGTGGGGTGGCATCGTCTACCCATGGTCTGATACCAAGGTGTTCGGGTGTTTGATCGGATTCGGTCTACTCTTGATTATCTTCTTGTACTTGCAATTCCGAAGCGAAGAAAAGTTTGTTGCCTCTCCATAGATACTACTTATTTGGCATTATTGCTAACACTACCCAGCTCGAATATCCCTCTTCGCATCTTTCGGAGTCGTACCGTATCGGCATCATGCGGCTTCATGATGCTCGTTCAAATGGCTATAGTACTACAATCGTACTTTTGGCCCATATACTTCCAGTCGGTCAAGAACACCAATGCCAAAGACTCGGGAATTAATCTACTCCCCTTGATAGTGTCGAACAGCCTCGCCACGATCTGCGCGGGCTCTATCGCGTCAAAATTTGGGCACTATGTACCATTCATGTGGGCTGGGCCTCTCGTCCTAGCTGCCGGAGGGGGTCTATATCAAGTAGTTCGCCCGGACAGTCCAAGCGGACAGTGGATAGGGTTTCAAATCTTGTCTGGGCTTGGCTATGGTAGCTGTGCCCAAATGCCGATCCTGGCTGTGCAGGTTGTCCTCAGCAAGTCAGACGTACCAACAGGTCTTGTTATGATAATGTTTTTCCAGGTGCTCGGGGGCGCGCTAGCTCCTAGCGTTGGACAAAACCTATTTACTGATGGGCTTCTGCAAAACCTCAGCAAGATGCAGGGAATAGATAGTGCAGCTGTAGTGGCCGCAGGTGCAAGTGGTTTCAGGGAGGTAGTTCCTCCCGAGCTGATGAATGCTGTCGTGGGTACATTTAATTCTGCTTTAAGGAATGTTTTCTGGGTGGCGCTTGCTACCCCAGTCCTTGCTTGGATAACAAGCTGGGCAATGGAGTGGCGACAATTACCTATATCTAAGAAAAAGGTCAATCAAGTTCCAGTCCAGGAGGTCGTTGAGAAAATGGCTTGATAGCAATGGAGAGTGATCTAGGCCTTAAAGGGAGTGTGCCATGTGCCTGGCTTTGATAGTGAATAGGTATGCTCAACTTGTCACATCGTAATTGATAATTTATGAATCCAAGCAATACCTTCAGGATGGCAATTCATGGGGACAAAGAAAAGCCCTGTAGGCCCCGGACTACCGCTAGTGCCCAACAGGAAAGTTCGCAACAGGTTCTTGGGTAGATTTGCATAAGGCATGCACTCTACTCATGGCGGGCTATAGGGCTATTCTTATGCAAGCAGCCAGATTTAGATGGCCTGTGGAGTTCCAATTCACTGCTGTGCACTAAATGCCCACTTGCATAGTACTCCCGATATCGCTGTAGAGAGTGGGATCTACACTCATTATTCGCTTTCGATGCCCATTCTTAAGCGGCCAAGCCATGCACAAGTCACTGCCTCGCCGTCCGCAGATCCTGACAAGATAGGATGCCATAGATTGTCTCAAATGTTCAAGAGGTCAATAACGAGCTTATCTACAGTGCAAGCATGATTGGGTTAGTAGATATTAAGTGACTATAATACGACATTCATCAATCGTACTACAGTGAGCCAAGCGTCTAGATAGTTCTGCCAAATTTGCTGATTAACGGCGCTATGGATATCATACCCTTGTGAGTCAATTCAGCTGTAGAGAGACCTCAGCACGAACCTTTGGGCATAAAATGAAATATTCAATAGCCCAAGACATAATAAACATTCAATTTCTCAATATTATTCGTGTCCGCCATCCTAGTAAGCCAATTATCCCTGATTCCTCAGAAAGCTCATCTTGGAGTAGCTCCTGATCAGTTCCTTTCTCAGGGCCTTGGTCGATTGTATGTTCTTCACTGTGCGATTCCAGTCCAAGATTGGCTGGCTCAAATCCATTAGGTGGCATGTTGCCTGATTAGCCTAAGGCTCAGTGATCACATTGATGGTAGATATGTGGAGGCTGATAAACATTCGAAGAGTCAAAAGCAAAGTCGCTGGGAAGTGAATGCGACTAGGCTGCGGTCTTGAGACAGATGGTCGTCTATAACGTCTTGCGCGACCGTTCGGTCCTTTGTCAATTCCAGGCCATCACCCTGACCAGAAAGTGTGTTACGCGTTTGCTTTTACGACTACAATATAACATACCACATAGTAATAATCATAGGGGAACATTACCAATCTATCCGAGCCAAGTGGCATATGTCTCCGAATCTATTTGAAATCAACAATGATATTAACAAGTAAAACACGTACCCTGGTCACTTCACTATCATTAGAGTTATGATCACCTAGTTAGCTACAACTTGGGCAATTTTCAGGGAAGGGGTATCAGGAGGCCACTGACTTCGCCATACTTTACAGTCTTATTACGCTTTTCTCTATTTAATTCGGTCAGTATGTTTAATGTGCTGGTAATCGCTGAGGATGGCCAAAGTTACATGGTCTCCATGACGATACTTCCAGTTGTGTGATGTACTCATCCCCATCTGGGATAAAGAGATCTTACGTTCCGTTAGACTGGGCGACATGACTCCGAGTCATCTACTAATGTGACTGCCGGTGCTGGCTCAATGGCCCAGCCTTTCGGCCCCAACCATCCTGAACATAGCTTCAGGATCGATTTCATTCTCTGGGAATTCATCTATTCCATTTAACTGAACCCAATTTCCTCATTTTTGATTGATCTTAAATTTCTTCTCTTGTCTGCAATGTTTATCTCCATTAAATAAGAAAACACAAACAATGTGACAAAAGGAAGTTGACGTTTTATCTCCCCCCATTACCCTCAACCATTTGCGTTTTATAGCCGCGCAAATGCCTCCTTCATCCTCACATAGGGCTTCACCGCCAGGATCGCTTGCGTCGCTTCTTTTGTCGATATTTTGGACTGCGGAGTACGCGCGCTCTTCTGAATTGCCGAGGCTCGTAGTCGTCGAATGCTGTCCCAGACTCGCAGTCGGTCGGAGATAACGTGACCGTCAGAGACATCCGCAAAAGTGCGATAAGCCCTTCCACATCTTCGAGGCATTGATAGGCCCCTTTTCCCTGACACGTAACCATCGGATGGGCGGGATCGCCTATCAATACGGCTCGGCCCTTCAAAACCCATTCTCATAGTTTAGGAGCTGAAGCTCTTGGCTGAAAAAGGAACCTCAGGGGAAACACCTTGCTCATCCACCAAGGATATCTCCGAGGCTTCCTTCCCATCAAGCCGACCTGGTCAATGAGGCGAAAATTGAGGGGCTGCTGCCTTGAAGATCAAAAGCTTCAAACATGTATATGAGAACATACCTGTACGGCGCTTTATTAGTGGCATGCTGCCTCCACAGCGAGTAAGGTCGCCATATTGACCAGCCCAGCATTCAAACACTGCGATTCAAATATCAACTTAAAATCGAGGTTTCGTGTTCACTGTTGGGTCTCTTTGCGTACTCTCCTGAATAGTATGATATAAGATATCCACCGAGGGGATCCTGGTCGTTTGAATTTTTCATCAAACGGCCTATAATTCAAATTCGATTTCACCAAGGATGTCGCTATTAGAACGGTTCAAAAAATGAATATATTAAGGATATTCTTAGTGAATCGTTGAATGTCGTCTTTCTTCCGCTAATTCTAAATTGGGGAGAGTTGATGAGTGGATTCTCAACTGGGCCTTAGCCTTTAGTGAGAGTGGTGTTACCCTGGCATCTCCCAAATTCTTCTATCCAGTTAAGAAATCACATTAGTCCTAGGCAGCAAGCTCACTCGGTAGCCGCGAAACGGTTACCCATTACCGTCGCTCATAACGTAATGCCCTGATTATCCGCTAATCCCAGTATATCTTGAATAAAATTCCAGTGATGAATGATCCTGCAATGCAATTTTGGAAAAGCATCCAAATTTATAATCTTGTCTCCAAATCACCAATCACCAGCTGTCGCGGCCTGACAAGGCTGACAGGCCCGTGCATATTAGGAAATTCATGATTTACCCCTCCCATTTATTTTATGTTGTACTCATTTTACTCATCTCCTCTCACTATATTGAACTTTATCTCAATATGGAATCCTTTATGAGGGATTTACCTCTTTCCCGCCTTGGTATCCAATTAGGGAAGGACTGGTATTGTGTAAGCGGCCTCTGAATTCCGTCAAGATATCCAGCACTAATCAATATCAGTGCCTGGAAAAATGCAGATCATACAATACATCAGAAGCAAAAGAATGTGTTGAGTGTCAACATAAGAAATGTGCGCAATGCCAAGGTCCAGTCTATGGAATATCTAAAGTGACGTATATGTATATATGTGTAAGTCAGCCACTACATACTGGACAGTCGAAACCCAAGGTTCCTGACAGTGTTAGAATTTAGTGTAACTGCGGTGATGGTCCAAAGGTATATAACCAACAGCCATATTGTGTTACATGTAATCATCTAGCGTGTTCTAACTGCATATCTGTTAAGTGAATTCAAGTATGTTTTTCTTGCCCCTGTCTCCACCATGGAACCATTCTCTGTAACCCAAGAGTCGCGGTTATAGTGCCACCCGTGAGACAGATGACACAAAGCCAGTATTTCCACCAGGCGTTTTCACCGCTGACTTGATTCATACCGAATATACCCTGTTTAGTACATTGAGTAAAGTAATAATCATATAAAAAAAGGTGTAACGTACCGTAACTAAACCCAGAGGAAGGTATATCTGATCAAACAATACGCATTAGCTAAACTCGATAGACAAGTTAGGAGACTCACGATGCTAATGTACGTCAAAAGCCGGATATTATTTCCCTGGTGGGTAGCCGTCATGCTCTCCGCAAGTGAGGAAGCATTCACCAACTTGAGATGCATTAGAGAAACATATTAGAGCGAATCGAATCTACTAGGACCAACATACCACATCCGACATCTTCTCTAATGTTTCGATCTGCTGCTCTAGGACCATCCGGACAGTAGCCAGTTCGGCTGTGAATTGGCGCACCTGGTCGAAACACTCGCGGAATCGGTCGTACAGGGCGCCTTCGGTTTCGAGATCAAAGTAGACACCACTGTTCGCTTGAAAGGAGACTAGCGTAGCGATCACTCGGGCTAGTAGGTTACGGAGCCTTCGTAGTGTTCCTAGAGTCCAAGTATATTCTTTAGTCTTTTTCAGAGACGGGTCATCCTCGAGGAATACGTCATCCTATTTGGCGGTTCAGCTTGTGTATACATTAGGGGCTTCAAATGGCAGAGGAGAATATATATTTACGCGCTTATCAATATCATGCACGATGATTTCCATCAAAACTGCCCATTCCATCGTGATCTGACTCGTGCGAATGACTAGAATGGAAAGGAAATAGTATCGTGGATCCCAAATAGGAAATTGATTCATTCGTAAGCCTGATGATGGTCCATCTACCTCATCCTGCAGGTACTCTGTAATGGGATTATTGGCTCGAAGGTACGCGTCTTCGCAGAAATAGGCGGTCCAGAAGTATTCATCGACTCCGAACACGATCAAGGAAATTTGCGCCTCATAGATGGCATCCTGGCCTGAAAGGCTAACGAGACGGTGTTTCCGGAGTTTCCGACCGTCTCGAAGTTGGTAATTTTCTTTTCTAAGGGCGTAATGGGGTAGGTGAAATTCTAAAGTGAACCCAGTGGTCTAGAATTCTCTCAGCGATTCTCCCATCTTTCTGTATAAATGGTAATAATACCTGTGAGACCCCCATGTAAGAAGCAAATGTCACGTATCGTGACAAAAATGACCGTACCTGGGGAAGATGCATATAATTGACGTTTGAGATCAACGCAAGGCCCATCAGAGGTGTCAAATCGACCAGGTATCTTGCTAATTAGCCACAATCGATCGATTACGATGATAACATACATTATTCGGCGCTCTGCAAATCCTGCTCTCTGGGATCATCAGTAGCATAATTCATGTTTTGAACAGAATTGAAACACAACAAAACATTCAAAACGTACATCCCGATTAAGATGCGTGTAGAGCGTCTCCGCGTCCACGCCGCAGACACTAACATGCAAACCCCCAGGAGGTCGTCGCATATATTCTTCGGATTCCCATTGTCGGACAGGCAAGAAAGCTGCGCTTTCCGGGAGGCTGGTAAACTTCAAGCAGGGATCACATCGGTCATCAATTATGGCAAGCTGTCTTCTGTCCGCTGGTGAGCTTTGGCCCCCGATGAACTCCGGAAATGAGCGTGTAGCTCCAGTCTGCGCGAGGAAGAGTTTCAACAGCTCATGGCGGCGGGGTGGGGACAGATCGGGATTATAGCTGCGGAAGAATTCGTCGATCACTGATGCACCGTTGGGGACGCGCAACCGGTTATCCTGGCCGTGGTAGAGAGTCGTCTGGCGGTTCGAAAAGTCTTTACGCCAATGTAGAGAGTTTAGTGGGGGACGAAGAGAGCTGATTATGGCGTTCATGGAGTGGGATTTGAGAGAGAGAGAGAGACAGAGATCTAAAAGTCCAGAATAATCATTTTGTGGATGTCAACAACATAGGTCGCCTAGCGTCGCGCCGCAAAGCTGGATTTTGGGCAATTGGACAGGTCGGATCAGCCTGGATAAGCAAATATCAAGACCGGTAACGTGGACAGCCAATTAGCGTATCCCGATAACTGACAGGCACTATTCCTAACCTATACAAATGACCTTTGAAATCAGGCAAAGATTTGCAACTGAGCATTCGAATTGCATTTTCAACGCCACGGAGACTCTATTATTGATCTTAGTGGAAGTCTGTAATAAACTCAGCACGTGAAGATCTCAGATCGTTCCCATTGGGTGTGTTCTAAAAAGTCCTGACACAACCTTGCACTGCTTTCGAGGAGGGGGGGCAGAGCGGGGTTCAACCGGCGAGTGCACTATACATAGTACGGGGCGCGTAGGGTGAAGAAGCGCTATAATTAGCACTCAAAGCCGGATTTGGATTAGCACGGTAATCTAGGGTGGAAAACCCCAGCCCAAAAAGTAATAAGGTTATTATAAGCATAAAGCAGTTATTCGCTGTACCCATCCGATATGGTGTAGTGGCTAACATCGTCGTCTCTCACACGACAGCCGGGGGTTCGATTCCCCCTATCGGAGTTTCTTTTTATCTTCGTTTTTTGGACATCTACCCCACTTTCCACTCTTTAACGATTCTCCTTCTTCTTTCCTTTCTTTTTCGGTTTTTTTTTTTTTTTTTTTTTTTTTTTTTTGGTTGGCTCATTCGTTATTTTTTTTCTCCTGAAGAAATGCGGGGGCGATTAGCATGTGACTGCTATAGATAGCATTGAACTTATTAAAAGAGGGCAGAGCACAGGATTGAATGACTATCTTAGATTTCGACACTCTTGAATACTGTCTTCACCTGTGGCCTAGGAATAATCCCAACATTAACCTACAAAATGCCTACTACATTCACTTTCCCCCCGGCGGATAAGTCCCGTGCCCGTGAACTAGATCTACTTAACAAGGTCGCCGTAATCAGCGGTGCATCCCGCGGTATCGGACGAGCAATCGCCTTTAACCTCGCATCACGCGGCTGCTCCATCCTCGGAACCTGCACCAGCGAAAAAGGCATCAAAGCTATCTCGTCAACCCTGAACGACGATATAACACGCCAGGTCTTCCAAGGCACATCTCGGACAAGACCCGCAAACATGCAGATCAAAGGCATAATTGCCGATATCTTCTCCAATTGTGCAAGCATAATCGCCGATGAAGTTAGCAAAAGCTTCGATGGACGCGTCGACATATTCATTAACTGTGCTAGCGATCCTATGCCCGGCATAATTGGTGAAATGGACGCGGCTGAAATTGAGCACAGTCTGCTTGGTAATATACAAACTCCAGTGCTGATAGTCGAGGAATTTTTTCGGCGAAAGTACTTTTGGCCGGAGAGTCGCATCATCTACATTTCATCTATCCGGTCACGGCTGCCATGGAGTGAACAGCTCATGTATGCAGCTGGCAAATCCGCTGGCGAGTCGCTGTGTAGGACTTGGGCTCAGGCCTTCGGTGGGAAAGAGGAGAGATATGATCTTATGGCGGGGACCACAGCAAATGCCGTGACAGTTGGATTGACCGAGACGGAGGCGGTTGTTAATTGTGGACCTGAGGCCGCGCAGAAATTCCAGAGTGAGTTCTTTCCAACTCAGAGTATACCGCGTTTTGGGCAACCTGATGATGTGGCGGATGTGGTTGGGTTGCTTTGTAGTGCTGGTGCGCGGTGGATTACGGGATCCGTGATTATTGCTATGGAGGTTTTGTTAAAATTAGTTGATGCCGCAGTATTTCAGAGGAATTGTTCAGGTGCTTTTTTAAAGCAAAATGAAATTCTGCCCCAGAGAATAAACCCAGGATTCCTCAAGACAGTAGATAATTAGATTCCCTGGCCTATGGATGCCCCTAAGTTTCCGATCATTCGGGGCTCTATAAACATTGAAATACACATTACCGGGCAGACCCAAATAAAGTTGGTGATATATCAAGTTGACTGCAGCATTTACCTGGGGGTTTGCGATGTCGGTGGACTTTCCGCCTAGTCCAGTGCTGGATATTCTAAGAATGTTTTCCATTGGTCTCATAGTTCCCACTACAGAATGGTTGCATTTTCGTTCGTCACGACGGCTACAACCGGGGCCAATGAAACATATCCAATGGAACTCCAGAGATTAAAAAGAGATACATAGCTGTGATAGGTGCTGACAAGAAAAGGCCGGAGCTCTGTAGTTTGAGGCACACGGACCAGAGTCTCCCGATCTCCACTTATTTGCGTCTAGAAGTACTGTAAGTTTGATCATCGCGGAAGGTTATTTAGAATTTCGGAATTTTCAGGGAGACTGCAATTTCTTTTGAACATAGCTATTCCCTTGATTTATTCCTTTCAGTTGATCTGATCCCTTGTAAAGTAAGCTTGAATGACCATTCTACTCGATCGGCAGAAGCCCTAGGAGCGTTTGAACATCAAAATAAAGCTCCGAAGCCCGCAAATCAAAAACGTCATTATGCCATCAAGATCAGCATACCCCTCCCGAAATCGCAGCTCACCGGCCACTGAAAATCGCCAATGAACGGATAGAATCGGAGAATATGACAACATAATGTTTCAAGCAATTGGCGGGGTGCTCCCAATATAAAGTTCACTGCCCCTCACTCTTTTCTCCTCCTTCTTCTTTCCTCTCTCATCAACCTATCCAGCTTCGCCGGATCAAAGCAATTGAACAAGACCAACTCAGTAACTATTAGACCTTTGATCTTGGTCCGCCCAAGCTAACCATAATTTAGATTTTCACAAGTACATATTGCCCCCGCCATCTTGTGGGAAGCCATGTCTCCGCTTTGGCTGGGCATATTGTCCCTTAGGGATCAAGGTATCTCAGGTAACTTCTGGGCGTTGTGCCGGTGTTCGTTCCGATACTGTTGGCATCGCTTCTTTACTCTCCCAAGATAAACATCTACGAGCAGATAAGAAGTAATGTCAATGGCATTGGTTCGTTCTGAGAATATACGGTCAAAACTTGATCTGGATAATACCAGCGAAAGGATCATGCCTTCCCCTTCTCTCTCCTTGTTGTATAGCAAACTAACAAAGGTCCAAGTCACCTCGACTTGATCCCTAACCCACAATGTCTCCACCTGCTGCTATCTTTGAGCCGACTGTCGCCCCTGTTGGCATCAAGGGCAAGGTTGTCGCTCCCGAGACGACTACTACCACCTTGACCGGACAGGGACAGTCCCCGCTTCTAGACCAGTTCGGCGGCAAGTGGGATGAGTTCAAGTTCGCCCCTATCCGCGAGAGTCAGGTCTCTCGTGCCATGACTCGTCGCTACTTCCAGGATCTGGACAACTACGCCGAGAGCGATGTTGTCATCGTTGGCGCTGGATCCTGTGGTCTGAGCTCCGCCTATGTGCTCGCCAAGGCCCGTCCAGACCTGAAGATCGCTATCGTTGAGGCTTCCGTGTCTCCTGGTGAGCAAGACTCGCGGATGAGATCAACACTAGCTTCTTTACTAATCTAGTACTAGGTGGTGGTGCCTGGCTCGGTGGCCAGCTCTTCTCCGCCATGGTCCTCCGTCGTCCTGCCGATGCTTTCCTCACAGAGCTCGGCGTTCCCTTCGAGGAGGAGCCCAACAACCCGAACTTCGTGGTCGTTAAGCACGCCGCCCTGTTCACTTCGACTCTTCTGTCCCGAGTTCTGGCCTTCCCGAACGTGAAGCTTTTTAACGCCACTTGCGTTGAGGACTTGATCACCCGCCCTGATGGAACTGACAAGGTCCGTCTGGCTGGTGTGGTCGTTAACTGGACTCTGGTCACCCTTCACCACGATGACCACTCTTGCATGGATCCCAACACCATCAACGCTCCTGTCATTATCAGTACCACTGGTCACGATGGCCCATTCGGTGCCTTCTGTGCTAAGCGTCTTGTGTCCATGAACACTATCGACAAGCTCGGTGGTATGCGTGGTCTGGACATGAACCTAGCTGAGGATGCTATTGTTAAGAACACCCGTGAGGTTACCAAGGGTCTTATCATCGGTGGTATGGAGCTGTCGGAGATCGATGGTTTCAACCGCATGGGCCCAACTTTCGGTGCGATGGCCATGTCTGGTGTCAAGGCCGCTGAGGAGGCACTGCGTGTCTTCGATGACCGTAAGCGCGAGTGTGCTGAGTAAATTGGGACATTTCAGTACAAATGTCCCTAGTGGAAGTCTAGCTATGTTACTGGGTAGCTTTTGCTATCAGTCGTTTCGATAATGCGCTCCACACTCGTTTAATGCGATAATGCAATTGATACTCATTTTAACGATGGATAATTTCGTGTTTGAGTACCTTATTTTGTTTGTAGAATGTTCAACGTACATAGTAGGCATTATGTATTATGTTAGTAATGATTTCAATATATAATATGTTACAAAGAGGATGTTCTCGTAATAAATAGATGCTATGTGCACCAGTGTTCTGACTCAAGAAGCAATGAATCACTCCTTTCCTTTCGAGTCTCTACTAGAACGGGGAGCCCGTCCCTCGGCAGCCAGAACTAAATCCTTTGCAGTCCGGACCTCCCACTCGAATTCTTTCAGAGCACGAAGCTCACTTGAGACAAAAAGTCCGCCTATCAAGCCATCCAGAATACCAGCTCCAAAATTCAGTGTGCTAACCAGGATAAGGATGAAGCCGAGATACGTGCGATTTCCCACCCACCATACGCCTACCATGCATCCGATAGAGACCACAATCGACAGAATAAAATGCGCAAGACGCCAGCGGCGCTGCGACCGTTCTCGCTGCACATAAGTGTGGATCATATCGATGATGTGATCGTAGGTATCAGGGGAGAGGGCGGCATTGGGGGAGATTTGCTTGGAGGTGGTTGTGTGGAGAGAAGGAGTGCTCGGTGAGTGAGGAATATCAACCTGAGTCTGGGTTTCAGTTTGAGCTTCAGATTCGATAGAAGCAGCAGAAGATCGAGTGATTACTGCCTCAACGGCAAAGTGGTCGCTAAGAGAGCAGCGGAGGGTGGGATGGCGTTCAGTCATGCTGACCTTCGCCGATTCAACCGACCAGCGAGGGGCAGGGAACTCGGGAGCGTATCCTCCATCACCAACAAAAATGTAGTCTAGACGCTTTGCGCGTGGGTCGGCTTCATCCTTATTAATGGTGATCTCTTCACCCTTGTCAAGTCGTTTCTGAAGAGCTTTAGACCAGCGCCAGGTATTGAAAGCACCGTCACAAGTAGCGCCGTTCTCAAGTAAATTGAACTCTGCGGATGGAATTGGTCGTTTCCGAGCTTGCTCAACAGGATTAATTGCTGCACCAAGGGACGAGTCCGGGTGCAGCTCGCGCCAAACGTCACGGACGGGGCTCTGTGCGCTGATCAATCGGTGGGCGAAGGAAGAGGGCAACATGTTAAAGTCGCCCAGTCCGATGACCAGATGGCCTCGCTCTGCAGCACCGCGCATAAGCTTGGAGATTTCCCACGCTTGCGCCGTGCGGTGACACAGGTACGAGTCATTGGGTTCTCGCTCATAGGGGGCGTGCAGATGCGTGCAGAACACCTCAGCGACATCGGCTGCGCTTGGTCCAAACCGCACCCTGGCACAAGCTACACCTTTGCCTACAAACCAATCGCCCCGGAAGAAGGCTGTTGGCCGTCCGTTTAGCGGGTATGCGTACATGCTGCTCTCCTCAATTGGCCACTTTGACAAAATTGCCAAACCCGCTCCAAATATGCCTCCGAAATAAAATTTTCCGTAGGGTAGAATGTGCCGAGTTTGGTCTCGGATGCTCTCGTAGTCTTGTTGTGTCCAGCACTCCTGCAGGCCGACTATCTCGGGGGGTGGACTGGCCAGAGCCAGCTGTCGACCGATCTCTGAAAGACGTTCATGGCGATAGGTAGCGAGATACTTGAGACCCCAGCAATTCAGGGTCAGTATCCGGATGTGAGTAGGAGGCTCATTCGGAATAATTGAGGAAGCCATTTTGTTTGACAATGGCCTTTTAGTGTTGACGAAAGTAGCTTAAAAGTGGAGTGTCGATCAGCGATGTAAATTGGAGAATTCACCGCCTTCGAAACGCGCCTTTTAACATTTCCGCGGCTTGTCGCATCACAACCGCGTTTGTGACGTTTGTCAATGTCCTGAATTGGGCCCAATTTTCATGGAACATTCGCACTCCTCCAGATCTCGTCGGCGGGAGACCCGTGTGTCTCCCGTCGAATCATCGTCAGATGAATTGGCGGCGGCCTCAGATCATGAGCAAGCTGATCGCCGACGAACAAGCTGGGGCGTGCATAAGAATTTCACCCCGCAGCGTCCAAATCACGACCGTCACCCGAGAGATTCGGACAGTCCAGATGAATTGGCTGTTGACGCTGACGAATACTGGCGCACTTCCCGCAACCGTCGGAGCCCCTCGCCCATCAACCGCCCCGCCGATTTGAGCAGCAGCGCTGAACGCCTTTCAGAAGATCGATTGAGCACTGCGGACGAAGATAACACTCCCACCCATGACAACATGTCAGACCGCGCCTCCACCCCTGTTCCTGCTGTTCCGGCTCTGCCTCCCAAACCTGAGCATCTGAACTACCGTGAAAAGTTCGTCCTTCAAGGTCATCTGCGAGGCGTGTCTGCTGTTCAATTCTCCCCAGACTGCTCTATGATTGCCAGTGCTGGTAGGTCATGTTGATGTTCGAAATCCAAGAAGCTCGCTGACCTTTTTTCACCGCAGGAGCCGACGCCGCAATCAAAGTCTGGGATACGCTAACTGGCAGACTTATATACACCTTTGAGGGCCACCTGGCGGGAATTTCCACCCTTGCTTGGAGTCCTGACGGTCAATGGATCGCATCCGGGTCCGATGATAAGACAATTCGGTTTTGGAACGTGAACACCGTATGATACCCGCCGAACTCGCCGTAATGATCAATGCTGACTTGTTACTACAGGGTAGAGCTCACACCAAGACCTTCGTCGGCCACCACAATTACGTTTATCAAATCGCCTTCGCACCCAAGGGCAATATTCTCGTGAGCGGCTCATATGATGAGGCTGTCTTCATGTGGGACGTGCGCCGAGCACGTGTCATGAGATCTCTCCCTGCCCACTCCGACCCCGTCGCCGGTATTGATGTCGTTTACGACGGCACACTCATTGCCTCGTGCGCACTGGACGGTCTTGTTCGTATCTGGGATACACACAGCGGCCAATGTCTCCGCACTCTGGTGTTTGAGGACCAGCCACCTGCAACGTGTGTCAAGTTCTCGCCAAATGGTAAGTACGTTCTCGCGTGGACTCTGGATGGCTGTGTGCGTCTGTGGAATTACGTTGAGAGCCGTGTTGTGAAAACATTCCAGGGTCATGTCAACGAGAAACACAGTCTGTCTGGGTGTTTTGGTCTGTACGGTCCATCGGATATCCGGTACTCCCCGCCTTTATGCTTCGCCGTGAGCGGCAGCGAAGACGGTGCCATTCTGTGCTGGGATCTGATCAGCAAAAATGTTCTCCAGCGCATTGAAGGACATACCGATGCTGTCCTTTGCGTTCACTCTGGCGTGTTAAACGGCAAGCGTCTTCTCGTCAGCTGTGGGTTGGACAAGACAGTCCGTGTTTGGGAGGAGCGGCCCAGGGATGGAGACTCTAACGGAGTTTCCGATGATGTCTCTGCGGATATGGATAAACCCAATGGAGTTGTCGCCAAGGATGAGGATGGCGACAACGAGATGACTGATCCTCCCGGCCCCTCTACTGCGACCACCCCTGCAGAGGATGTTGTGATGACATGATCGAGATTCTTGTTCTGTTATTTGACTTTGCATTGCATTCATGGCTTGCATGAGCGGTTGGATTTTGCTTTAGGTTTGAGGAAATACCCGGTGTCTGGAGTCGAGAAATATGGCATGCATACGTGCATACGCCTCGCGGAATCTTTGATAGGTTAACGCTAGCATAAAATGGAGTACTTTGCCATTATCAATTGAAACAGATATGCATTCAACGTCTACCTTGTGAAATAGTAGGTGTATGCCCAGTCTTGAGATTCTACATGCATCTAAATTACCCATGGACACATACCTGTCACGAATACTTCGGTTGAGAAACCGAGAACAACAATACACGCCCTACCACCCTCGTTTCGACCTGTTTATAATCCTTACACAACGCTTCCCTTATCTCTTTCTCGCCATCATCCCAATTACTAAATATCCCCCGCCAGTTGTAAATACACATCAGAACCCATCCAAAGAAATTATGCGATACATCCTTCCCAAGAACCGTCGTTCCATAAACCGTACCATTCTCAGCCAGATATGGCTTTAAATTCGTAAAAAGCACCATCTTCCGCTCCAACGGACCGGGCAGACAATGAACCAGAAAAAAGGTCGAAATAGAATCATAAACAGCCGTCAACGGAAGTGGCTGCAGGACATCCGCTTGGACAATCTGAGTATCGGGTCTACCAAGACGTTCTTTGGTAAATTGAAGGGAATTGGGATTCAAATCCATTAGCGTTATTTGGGTCTTCTTTGGAATACCGGCGTGTGCGGGATAGTAGCCTGATCCGATGCCGATATCCAGATGGCGGTGACCCAAGAACTTTCTGAAGAAGGGAAGTTGAATGTTTGTAGTCTCGCAGCACCAGACGAATGAATTGCAGATTGCTAGGACCCAAATGTCATATAATGATAGGATGAGGGGGCTATACACGGCTGCGCCGGCTGCGCTGGTAGGGTGCGAGGTGATCTGTATCATCGTGTTCTGAGTGAAAAGTGAAGCTGAGAATGCAAAAAGGTGGAATGAAGCTGAGCTTCTTCATTGTTATATTCCTTTACAATGGCCCCCTCCGGGTTGTCTCGCTATGATGGGGCCTAGCCCCCACTAAGATCTATGGAGGGGCAAAGTCGGAGTTCCAGGGCTCTTTTCTCAACCAATGGTTCAGTCTAAGGAGTATTTCAGTGCGAAACTACTTACCTAAACTTAAAATAGCTGTAGAATATTCGTTACCATTACTCCGTTTGGTTGGCTTAGACCCGCTCTTGTCAAGGCACTCCCGTCGGGTAGCCATCCAAAAGATAACAAGTGTTGTGGGTCACACAATTCTTCAGGACCTTGATGGTGAATGAATAATAAAACGTAACAAAATTGATAGTGCTACTGAGCTTGGGCATAACTCGCCAAAAAAGGCGACTGCCGACATGTCTAAATTAAGTATAAGACAGCCTCCACATCGATCTAGAGTGCTCGACATCGAGCACATGATCGATTCATTGGGGACAAGCTTGTCTGCGGCCCCACTAAAAACTCAATTTGCGCACCTTGGCTTCCTAATTAGGTTTAAGATGCTGGAGCTTCATACAATCCCATGATATCTCGCAATTTTTTACATTGTGGGATGATTGTCGTGGCGACAAGCATTAATTCTCTGCTCCTCCACAAGTTTTGATCTTCAACAACCATTCCAATTAATTCATCATGGGCTCCTCGGGTCTGCAGCTGGTCTGTCCTTCTGAGCATGACATCTACTATAATCTCAATGGGGATGGCTATTCGGAGCCCCTCGTTGGCGCCGTGGTGCTTCAACGCCATGCCATCAATACCGATATTACTCAATTGCAAATACATCTCATGCAGACTGTGCTAGCGGAGAGCAATCTTCTTGCTACAAACCCTGAGAAGAACTTCTTGAGACGAATCCGCACTCCTCTTGGGAAAACATCACGACCAGAGACTTCGGCTACCAAGTCATCGTCTATTATTGAACAAGTAACGCTTCCTGCGTTGCCAATTAGTCAACTTGAGGTCTCTTTCAACGGGCGCGACGCCGTCCCGATCCCGTTTTCTGTGCCCATTCCTGTGAATACGCCCGGAACGACATCTACATCTCTGGGGAAAATCTCATACTCCCTCATTGCCACCCTGACCACATCACAAGGAGATATCATTATCATCGACAAATCAATTAATATTACACGCCAACTCATTCCAGACCGGCAATGCATTCAGCATGTGCGCTCATTCCCCAAGTCACCCGCCATCACCAACATCGCTCTATCTCAAAACATAGCGACGGACGTCAAGTCCGGGATCTCCGTTTCCGCCAAATTAAATCTGCGGGGAGGATTGAAAGCACGCGAGTCTGAGTTTAGATGTGCTTCCATTCGAGGAATCCACTGGCGTGTGGAGGAAGTGACCAGATTAATCGATCAAACCCAGAACAACCTCCAGGATGCACCAGAGGATTTCCTCTGCAAACGTGAATTCATCCGCGAAATATGCAGCGGAAAGCAAAAGGGTTACTGGGCTACACGCGAAAACCCACTTTCAAAACAGCTGAAGTCAGAAGATCAAGATTCTGCTGTTAATATTACGATTGATATCTCCATTCCGAAAAATGCAAAGCTCGCCCCTATGATTGACGGGTCCTGCTATGCTTCCAATACGACTGATTCTATCTCAATGCCACTTGAGCTCCAGGAATGGTGTCCTGCGAGTGATGAAAATCTGGCGATCTTGATCGAGCACCGACTGAAGCTTGAATTTGTTACCGGGGAAGACACCTTTGATGCTCGTTCGAAGAATTTGGTTGATCGTAAGCCTTTGAGGCCTACATTGTCCGCACACTTCCCACTTCTTGTTGGGGAGACGTTTAAGTGTGATCTTGAGGCTATTGCTTTTAACAACCCGCCGAGGTATGAGGAAATTCCATTGTCGCCTCCGGAATATACACAATTTGTGTAAGGGAGTTTTCTCTAATGATTAACGACATATTAATAATCAATAATAATACCTTGTCTTCAAGTGGAAGAACTTGAAGTTGCTTGAATGAAAAAATGTTCAAACTCACGTCTTAGAAGTGTACATCTATTCCATATGTAATCTTGACAGCTTGGCATGTAGCATAAACACCGACCTCGGGACTGTGGGCATATGACATGTCGACAAGGTGGCAAATAATTGTCCACCTCATTATGGGCTTCTTTGCCATAAACCCGAAAGACATTGATTATAAAGAGGTTTTTGTAGAAAAGAAATCCTTTGAATAAAAAGAAGAATATCAAGAACCTGACTTAGAAAGAAGGATGGAGCGGGGAAAAAATTTGACACAAAAAAAGATAATGGTTATGGGGCGAGCCGGGATTGAACCGGCGACCTCACGATGACAATGTCAGACTGTAGTGAACTTCAGTCGTGCGCTCTCCCAACTGAGCTATCACCCCAGATTATATAATATATTCATTGGCTCAACATTCTATTGCTACGACGTTTATGCCAGTTGTTGTTTTCGACTTGACAGGCAGACTTTCTACTATCTCATTTTCAACGACTGCATGTAGTGGAGACATTCGAAATGCATAACAACAAATTCCTAGATCAGCCCAGGGAGTTTAAGCACAATTTCAACTCAAAGATCTGATTGGTAAACTCTAATCGCGTTCAAGCACTGCGGCAGGTGGATCAAAAATATATATATAACAAATAGCAATGCATGTTGTCGGTTGGGAGGGCTAAAAATTTCAAGGTTCCTTTTCTTCCTTTTCAGGATCAATATTCATTTATGACTTGTAGGTATTTGACTCTCATCATCACCCTAGATACTTGAAATCTCGCAGGATCCTCCTTGCTCATAAACTCCCAGCTTGACAATCCACCACAAGCTGATCGAGTTGGTAGTAACACCGGTCACTATTCCATCCGACAATCCACTTGTCTGTATTGTGGAGGCTATCTGGGTCAGTTCTGATGTGGTAATAGAAGCCGTTTTGCTGGTGGTCCTATTCCGTCGGCAGTGATCTCGATACCTACTCTTCATCGCAAACACGAATTTGGTCAAGAACATGGAATAAATTACGTGTCGCATTATCTAGTTATCCAAAACAAAAAGTATCATTAATTGCTCATCATGCATTCCAAGAAGGTCCTCACAGCGATCATGCATCGCTTCTGGAGATCTCCGACCGTGATGGTGTCATCAGTTGGGGCCAGCAAGAGGACGAGAATCGGGCGCTCTGAGAGGTGAATGGAGAGATCTGAAAGGAATATGTGGCGAAAGGGACTTTGGGACTTTTCGAATTGCGGGGTCTGATATGATCACTGCCTCGTTGCGAGGTTCGTACTCGCAATGTTTTCGCGCCATTTTGCTTCGATCGCCGATTCCGATTGCTGAATTGACTTCCCTCCTTAGCCCCCCTTGCGTATCTTTTTTGGATCGAGTTGGTAATTCGCAAGCCAGTCGCTTTCTTTGTAGGTCATAGAATTCGTTGTTTGCTCGACAAATGTGGGGTGATTGCTCAATAATAATTGGACAACGAAGAGAGAACGAGTAGGCCTTACATCTTTGTGCTTTCCAAAGAATTTCGTCCGTGTCTGAATGCATTCTTCCAACGAGGAAAGGTGAAGCTTTCGCCTTCGCGAAGGACCTAGAGAGATATTAGTATAACGAGTCGAAGCATTGGTACATGCAGGAGACTCACAAATCATCATTGATTTTCGAGAAACGATGTAAATCAAGACAGGACTATCATCAGAAGTAGAGCCTGCAAGAATTTTGCTATTATTTGACTTGACTGCCCGTGGAAACCATTAAATTCCAAGGGTAGGATTTGGATGCCATAAAAAATGCGCATCTATAAGGATAATCTAAAGGAAGCTATGGTTGTTGAAATATCAAGTTGTAATGTATTGCATCTACTACATATTTTGGGCTGTTCCGGCTGACCGGCTGTTCCGCTCGCTCGTGAAATACGTTAGTTAGTTCAGTCAGTCAGTAAACTATTTGGAAGAACACCATTGAGTACAAGGCAAATAATCATTATAAAGTGGATTCCAAGTATGAGAACGAGACTTTATGATGTGACATGACGATGGAGGTACTGTTGCTAATGCATGAAATTAGATACTCGTACCTGAAGTATTGGCTGAAAATCTGGATATTACAAGCCCTGGATCCTCGCAAGTTACTCTCCATCCCCAGATCGCATGGAGGCGATGGGAAAAGTCCTGATTTAGCTTTGTGATCAAATGGAGCAACACGGGCTAGTTGATTACCAGATGGGGATCTGGGAAGAGGAGATCCTCTGTTATAAGTTTTAGATACCTTTCGTTCAACTCAACCTGAAACTAACAAATAGTTTCCCAATTAAATTAGTGCTAGGTCAATGCCTCGACCTATTGGAAAGCAAACCAAAAGTACGGATGGCAGCGGTTCCTGAACCACCCACGGCAGCCCCGCGACCTTAAACCCTAAAGGTCTACATCGTTTCCCACGACTACCATTTTCCTAATCACGACTAGTTGGCTATAATGACTGACATCCTACCATCGGCCCGTCCAGTGAGTGAACTTCGTATTCGTGGTGATGAGAAGGATGATCCAGACCTTTATTCTATCTATTTATCAAACGCACCCATGAAAGCTAGGATCTTAGATACTCAATATAGCATAGTCTTTATAAAACGGGCTTCGTAAGAGCGGCTCGATTATCAAGAAAGTCTAACCTACAATTAGACCTCTATAGCCCTGACTGTCAAGAATGTCCGCCCAAAGTGCCAAGAATCTCAATCAAGACTTGCCGAGTTTGCTCTCCACCTCCTGCAAATCACTCTTCTAACGCTCGTACGTACTAGAATAAAAGAAGTCTCGTGCGTTATTTGCTAACTTTGTCGTAGTTGCATGCTTTTACGTGCAGTTCGCTCAGACTGGGAAGAAGCCCCTGGGCAATCATTACACAATATACCTCACGGCTCGCACTTCTCTCAATCTGAAGGCCAAGCTTACAGAGAAATCACGGATCCACCTAAATATTATTTCGTGTCTTTTAGCTCAATGATAGTGGCCTAAAGGTCGAGGTAGATAACGATATATCTCAGCATCTTCTAGAGGCCCAGAGCATGATTATAGATGTCGTGAACACTCGTATACTGAAATAGGCCCCTCGAGCGTAAGGTGCTCTAAGGTGAAGTAAAGCTCATGTTCTGAATACTCCCTGCAGCCACCAGCTCAGGGGCCAGTTGCAGGAGTAATCCGACAAAAAACTCCTGATTCAGACGAGCGTATCGTGGCAATTAGGTCTTAGGAAAAGGAGAAGAGCGTAGGTGGTGAAACCATTTACGGACATATGGTTAAACTACCAAACAACAATTAGTACTAAGATATAGGTTTACCGTAATTTTCGGTGACTAATGAAGATACACGGACAAACATGACCGGCGGAATGAACTCCTAACGCGGAAGTTTCGTGCAAATTACATTATCTCCGGCTTCAATTCGTGATAAAGGTACTATTCCACTATTTCAGTAAGTCGTCTAGATGGCGGGGTGATTACGTCATTTCCCTCTTAGGACTAGCGTGCTTCCGATTACTGTTTGGACTTTATGTTGGCCATCGAGTCAAACATGCTTTGCAACAGTCTACAGGATTATGACTTTAACCAATGAGCAGACCTTACAGGCGATAGCCCCATTCTCAACAGTTGAGCCGTCAAACGCCACTCACACAGTTCCTCGACGGACGAAGCGATCCACGGCCTGTTCAGCATGTAAGGGACGGAAATCAAAAGTAAGCCAATCTGCCAGCTGCTAGCTGCCACCTGCTATTTCGAACCATGCTGTCTTAAAACACTAATTTGAGCGCTCCTTCTCTAGTGCACAGGCAATCAGCCCTGTGATAAATGCATTGAGACCGGCTCCAACTGCCTGTTCATCGAAGCACTCGATCGGCGTCGAAAGTATGCCCAGAAGCGCGCGGAGCAGAGCCTTGACGCAGCACAACAACTTTTGAAACGGATTGTGGATGCTTTCAGTGAGGGAGACATCACACAACTGACGGAATTATTGACCACCGTCAAAGCACATGGCACCGATGAGCAGCTGGAGGACGTTATTACGGGGGGTTTGGGAAGGTACGGATCATCACCAAACACCGGGAACGAGAAACATGGCGGTAACTGTCGAACCAGGAGCCAGATACAGCAACCCTTTGAAAGCATATTGCAAGTCCCAAGAGGGAGGAAGCTGGGTGAAGCACTAGCAGGGAGGGAATCAAAGTACATCTTGTGCAGAGAGTGTGCTATATTGGATGATATGGGCTAACATCTCCCAGGAAGAGCAATGTCCAAACCGAAAGCGTTTCCCGATATCATTCCCGGCGATCGCACTCTGTTGGCTCGTCCTCATCCTCCGCGTCCGTTGGATCTCTCAATGAGGTTGACACGTTGACAGAAGACCCCAACCGCAACGAAGAGACGAGGGCAACGGGCTATATTGGGAAGGGATCTGAGATTGCATGGATGCAAAGACTGGACATTGAAACCAGCAATCTGAACAGAGGTTGGCACCAGCAAGTATCGCCATTGGAGGACACTCTCACTCGGATGAGCTACCATCTAGACAATCTCCAAATAGCCGAGCCACTCCCTATTGCTGGTGACGCAAGAGCTTTGCCTCCCAAATCATGGGCGGCTCAACTTTTGAACATCTACTTCGAATCTGTCGGACCTACCTTTCCTTTGATTGATCAGCAGTTGTTTATTTCCCAGTTCAATTCGGCCTTCACCGATGCCACACCGCAGCCCACACAGAAGTGGCTCGCGGTTTTGAATTTAGTCCTTGCCATCGCTGCAAAGCATTATCAACTGGCTGAGCCAGACTCTGGGAGGGACGTAGACGACCACGTCTTCTTATCCCGAGCAATAGCACTTACTACCACGCGGTGGCTTACGATACAGCACGCAGACTTACATCAGGTTCAGATTGACCTACTCCTTGCAATTTACTATCTGGCCTCCAGCCAAATCAATCGGTATGACCTCGTCTCCATACGACCCGACTCAGTCATTGACTTGTTAGGTCATGGCAGATAACCGGTCGCGCTGCTCGCTCAGCTATCGCACTAGGGCTAAATCTCCGCGAAGCGAGTGGGCAGATAGACCACGTCTCTAAAGAGACCCGAACTCGCATGTGGTGGTCAGTATTCCACCTAGAAAATCTCCTCTCTGGCATGACCGGTCGATCCATGTGCGTGGACTACCGTGCCATCTCTGTGTACCCCCCAGTGCCCTACGACGAGAGCGAGTTCCAGATGCCAGAAGTAGTTGAACTACTTGAGAATACTACACTACGCGAAGAACGCCTCCAATGGACAATCTACGCCAGCGACTCGACCCTCCACTCCAGGAATCAGTGGTTCAGCACCCTCAGCCCGAGCCAATCGCTATACTTCTTTCACCTTATAGATCTCTCCATCATCACTCATGCCGCCGTCGCATCGATATATAGCCTCACAACCAGGGAGGCCAGCGGCCAAAGCGGCATTTCGTACTACCAGGAGAGATTACAAACCTGGCTATCAAATCTCCAGCCTCCTTTTGCATTCACGAATCCAGACAATCAATTGGAGATATCAAGACAGTCTCGCGAACAAGTCAGTCTCGCATTATCCTACTACAGTTCGCTGATCATCCTCAGCCGACCCTGCCTCACATGCCCAGATTTCCTAGAGGGGTGTGACATCAGAGTCCCCCGGTCCCGATTCGGCAACACCACAGCAAAGACCTGTGTAGACACAGCTCTGAGGCTGATCTCCGTCTTTCCTGACACTCCAGACATGGAGTGGCTGCTGAAAATGACGCCCTGGTGTTCCGTACTGCATTTCATGATGCAGGCCCTAACAATTATCCTCATCCAACTCTCCGTCGGTCTAGTAGAAGGCAATGCCATGCAGGGCGCGCAGTCCGGCCAAGGAGGGGATTGTACAGCGGAAAAGGCCGAGGTGGCTCTTAGGGCATCTAAAAAGGTTCTTCGCTGGTTACACTGTATGGCGAAGCAAGATGCCAGTGCTAGACGCGCGTTTAAAATCTGCAATATTTTCATCCGCCGCATCGCATCGGCGAAAAAATTCAATCTGCACGGGATTCCGTCAATTGCTACGCTACCTGAACATACTCCCGGGTTTTGGTTAAGTCAATCTGATCGTTGGGAGAGCAAAGAGGGTAGTGCCAGTGGCAGTGTACCCCCAGGCTCACAGAAGAATAAGGTGAATTGGGGACCGGATCTTACAATTAATGAGGCGAGTTTGGATGAGAACCAGCAAGACCTTCATTTGCTGGATCCGGTTTTGTTTTCGTGGATGGATATGAATGAGGATGAAGATTGCTCAGTTCGATGAAAATGCCACCCGAGCCAACTTTTCCTATGCCATACTGAACCACCTCCCGCCCGCCTAGCAGTGTCCTCTAGGCACTAATCACAACATCACCAAATCGTATATTACGAGCAATTAACGAAATTGATGGCATTTTCGTGCGGGGCACCATGACAGCACAGGTAGACTATTCCTAGAATGGTTTACGCAATTCCTGGTATCGGAATAGAAATACGAAGCATTACTATGCCAGACTAATAGAGGGTGCTCCAAAATGGTGAGCGTCTACCGAATGTATTGTCCGGCTCTCAAGTCGCAAGAGTGTGGAAATATAAACAACTTAGAATTACTGTAACAGTGGTAAATTACTACTCAGTATAGTTTAGAGACTGTATTTTTTATCAAAACATAGCGTGATCCTTTTTTTTCCTTCCTGTGATAAGCAAAATGTGAGAGAGCCACTACGGTTAAGCACACTGGCCATCAAAGCAGCCAACTAAAAGAGCTTAAATGGTGATATAGCCCCGATCAACCATCAGTTCCCCATGTGGTGGGAAGTTCCTGTGTTGCTTTCCGGAAGTCATTTCGTAAGTCGATTCTCCGCGAGGGCGCGTGACCTCAGTTATTCCACTGGTTGATCCTCCCGACCGTGCGACATCGATGACCTTCATTCCTGCATTCTGATCACTGATTTCGCCACTGCGCTATTGTTCGAAACGCCAAAATGATAGTAATTAAGTCATACGCTGTAGAGACGGTGGCGCAGGCTAACCTAGGAATATGAAGTCTCTTTCCGTCTCCAGATCATGTGTTCATCTTGTCCTCTTCTCTAAGCTTTTGACATGATTCGTGGTCTAGTCAGACTAAACCAAGCCAGCTTCAGCCCTTCATGCTACCTCCGCTCATCATGGATTGCCCGTGGTTGATATACGATACCCCTTCTTCCCTCCACCTTTCTCCAGAAAAGCTTTACATCCGCTTGGGTGGAGACTATGACGGAGACCATGACTACAAAAGCACATGCTACTCGAAGGAATGAGTGAACTTCTCAGCTTACCTTTCTAGAGTCTGAGAGGCTGGACCTTTGATTTCGAGGAATTAAGGATTGACGACTAGAGTGCCGGTGGCGATTTCGAAGAAGTAAAGCAAGCTTATGGCTTAGGAAAGTTCGCCCTATTATGTGCAGCAGCAGATATTCCGATGATTTCTTGTATATGTTCGAGGCGGGCAATATATTCTACATCTGGGATCAGATCGAAGTTATAATGTGGTGTATATTTCAGCCGAACTCAGAAACTAAAATAAATGAGGTCTAAGTTACCAGCTTAGGCAGATACACAGGAATGCTTTTAGCATAGACTGACTAGCGTGGTTCCGGAATTCCCCATGTTGTTCGTACATACACTCTTAGGTTTCATGTGTGCGGGAGATGGAAATCTGTCGGGCCGGGGCTCCACACATACCCCCCTTCATTAATGAGGCTAACTATAAGCTTTGTAATACGGTTAAAAGTCTTTTTGAATACCCGATTCGACCTTTATTGTAAAGTCCATAAATAACCAAGACTAGTTCGCATGTTGCCTATCGTAATTCCACAGGCGCTTAGATTTAGGGGCCAAATGTATATTATTGGCTAGATTTTGATTAAAGATCCACCGATGGCTGAGGGGAAGCCGTAACTCAACTAGTGCGCATACTAGCTCAAACACTTTCAAATCGGCGTGAAATATTTCCAGCTCTCCCTCTGTCACCTTCCAGTCAAATCGAAATGGCAACATGTTATGATCTACATGCGGGCGCCATTAACATCAACTACTCCGACTTACCATGTGAAGACGTGAGCCAAGTCGGTCACAATGCGACATGCTGTGTAAGAGGCTCTGTGTGTATGAGCAATGGTATTTGCCAGAATGCCGACAAGAACGGTTATTACAGCGCAGACTGTACTGATCCAACCCTGCAAGATCCTATATGTCAAAATCGCTGTGGTCAGTATCTGTCTTTCAAAGTTGTCGGGTTGATTCAAGAGTTAACTTGTGTTTCGGCTGAACAGGGGGACTCGCCGGCTCACAGATTACATATAACTCAACTACCGGTCTTTGGGCCTGCTGCTCTTACAATAATGGAAAATCCAATTGTTCTGAACCTACCGACCAGCTTTTTCCTGCACCTGGCCCATCCAGTCTCAAAAGCCTCCAATATCTCCCCACAACCGGATCTGCAACGTATTCTACCTCGGCGACCGCAACTTCTACATCAATCGCAACTGTGACGATATCTTCATCCTCATCATCATCTTCGAATATCAGTTCCGGAGCTGCCGCTGGAATCGGCGTGGGTGTTGGCGTGGGAGTGATTATTATCGCTGCTGCAGCCGCGTTATTCGTTTCCAAGAGACGGCGGACTAAACAGCTAGATAATGCAGTGCCAGCTGGTATTAGGTCAGGCCCAAGTTCAACGCCACGAGAGTTAGATAATAAAACGTTGGTGCGTGAATTGGACGGCGACGATTCCCTGCCTGAGTTAGCCTCCCACTCTTGAAAAGGTCTTTGATGCATATGACGGTTCTGGTAGAGTTATTTAATACAATTTTTGGGGTCATCATTGCCTAGTTTATACAGTGTTTAATACTCTGCTGAGGTCTTGGGTAATCAGTGCTTGCTATGCAATGCTAAGTTGCAACTGAGAATCTATTCAGTCTTATGAGAGTGCGTTGCTTCTATATACATCGCGTTGAATTTTCCTGCCATTCCTCTTATCTTTTGTATTTCCGTTAATTCAGTCCAAAACCAAAGAGAAATGGCCAACGAGAAGAAAATCAGTTCCGGCAACCCCGATGCTCCTACCAGGACCTGCCAGTGCCAAGCAACATAACTAATAAGCACAGCCCATTGAGTGCTTCTAGCTATGCTCGCTGCAAATGAAATGGCCTTGATAGCGAGTTGACTCAATCTTCGAGCTGGCGGAGCGGTGTAGTATAGTAAAAACACGAGATCGCTTAAACCATCTGTCAACCCAGGGCCAAATACGATCAGAAGCACAAGAAACTGGGTGACCAAAACATGCCCACCTCCCCCATCGTCAAGATTTGCAGTTCTATGTATACCAACATCCACAGAAACCAGGCCACGAGTATAAAACCAGTAGTAATAGTTCAAGCATTGCAGACTGATGTGATGAATGGAGAGCTCTAAGCCGCAAGGACGATGGAGGGCCTCATACATGTAGCAAATGGACATAAAAAACCACACTTGGAACTGGTATTCAATATTTGGTCGTACAATGTTGGAGGTAAGCTTGGCTTGCGGGAATTTATTCCCATAAAGCAGGTCAAAGAACCATGACCAGTCGATGGTATGTGCAAGGAGTAGCATGACCGAGGTTTTGAGAACCATCACAGGTACAGCAGTATAAAGTTATTTTTGGCGACGCGAAGAATGAGTACTCATACGATGAATCATCATGAGCATAACCATCTGCATAGATTGGCTGGCGAGATAAAGGATCAACAATTCTGAAAGAATGAGTGCTTGCATAGTGTGAGGACTTATATAACAGTCTAAAGCCATGGTGGAAATATGCTGGTAGAAAACCTTCATTCTTTTTCTTGGTTTTGATTTTAAAGGAAGACTATATGGGCTCGCTGAAGATTCTGATATTTGAATTGTGATTAGAAACTGACAGATATTGTAGGTCGGTGACGATGTCGAAGCAAGTGTCTCTCAGCTACAGTTAGGTAATACGATATGTTTTAGTATTGGACCCGGTGCAGCTGATCAACCTCTCCACCGCGATGATATGGTCCACCATAATCATCTGGCAGGCGCTGATAAGCAAGAGATTGGCCGTGATGTAGGAGTGGGTTTGTTCGTAGCTGGCAAAAAAGCTACAAGAGAGAATGGAGCTACAAGATTCATCCCGGGCTCCCATTTATGGGATTATTCCAAAGGCCCTCCCAGTGAAGAGCAAACGTTTTATGCGGAGATGGAAGCAGGGGATGATTTTTTCATGCTGAGTGGTTGCTTTCATGGAGGGTCTGCCAATAAGACAGAAAGTGAGGAGCGACTCATATATTCCTGCTTTTTTACTAGAGGTTGGTTGAGACAAGAGAAAAACCAAGTAGGTGGTATTCGGTCATTCATGATTGTTCACTAAATTAACTATCACATCCAGATTCTTGCGAACCCTATTGAAGCGATCCGGGCTCTTCCCGGATGGCTTCAAGAACGTGTTGGTTTTGGCTTAAGCATACATTTCTTAGGTTGGGTGGACTTGGCGAACCCAATGCATCTCTTACATCCGGAGAAAAATAAACAAAAAGATGTATGGTAGCTACAGCACATCAAAATATGAGGAAATCACATAGAAAGTCTTGAGACTGAAAAATATATCTACCTTGAACTGATTCAACATGGATCCTGTAACCCTTATAACCAGCAGAGATAGTTAGGATGCCAAAGAGAATTGGAATCGCGTGATCTAGAATCTAGCGAATTCGAATAAACCTCGTATGTTTCCTCTCTCTCATGAGTATTATCCCTATCATCAGGGCCCCATGTTTTGAGTGTCCGTTGCGGTTGCAGAAGTTCTTGTAATTTTGCAAAACCTGCCAAGTCATCTCCCACCGTGTCCACCTGAGATTCGTCTACTCATCTTTCTTTATATACCGTAAGCCCATATTATACTATTGAGCGAGAGTCCATTTCGGGAGTCTTTTCACTTTGAAGAATTGCTTGTACCTCGATTTTGCTAATTGCACCTTTCCACAAAATGGCCATCCAGTTTTATTTGTGGCTTCCCATGAATTTATTCCTTCCCCCCCCCCCGCCAACCGATTATTAACACCACTTAGGTTGATAATGCCTTCCTTTCGTGATTGGAGAACAGTCAACCGATAAACATAGTCCAGGGTGAAAATGGATGTGGAATTTATACTTAAGCAATATGAAGCAAAATCCTTACGATTAGGCATGCTACGAGGTTTAAGGCAAGTTGGGGTTTCATTACCCCGAATATATACAAGGGGTAGTCATCCATTCAGCTGATCTGAATTGTATGAACAGTTCTGATGAAAATCCCAACTACTAGATGAGATACAAACAAAAGCCTAAAAAAGCGTACCAAGGACCGGTTGCACCATCGTCAAAAATCCCGTATCATCTTGTGCAAATCCCAATTCTGGATCCAAGCTCGCCGTATATGCATCAAAGACCGAAGTCCATATCTCGCGAAAAACTCCATATACAAATGCTATCACGTACATTTATCGAATCCTTGATCACCTTCTGCTTTCATCGACTTATGACACATCACACCACAGAAATGCCCGTCTGTCTCACTGTACACAACCCGACACGGACCTGGTTCTTTCTTCTTTTCCACTAGCGTATCCCCAATCCACACCCCATTCCACGGGTACAGTCTTCCAGTTTCATCAATGGGAAATTCAAGCGTCTTGACCTTAACTGAATTGCATGCATGGTTGTCCCATTGGATTTTGTCATAGTTTTCGAAGATATGCGGGTATGAAGACTTTGTATTGATGTCCTTGCCAGCAGGGGCGGTTTTGGCGATTTGCTTGGCGGCATCTTCGTGGATTTTGGCCGTTTTGCCATCGACAGTGCATTTGAGGGTCTTTCATTGGTATTAGCATTGTCGTGCGACCAAAGTATTTGGCGAATTTTGCTTCAGGCAAGCAGATAGCTTACCCTGCCTGTATTGTGTGAGCTTGTTGGTTCTTTGGCTGGGATAGCCAGGGCAGATCCAGCAAGGAGGGCAAAGAGCACATTGGCTTTGATAAGAATCATCATGGGATGATGATATGATTGACTTGGTATTGCTGTTAGAAATACTGAAGATAAGTGGTGAAATTTGTTTAATTGTTGATGTTCAGTTCAATTGATGATGCCCTGTCTCTTCTTATGCAACTTGGAACCGACAAAGTGCATTCTGTCTTGGGGCCAAAATAGCCTGCCGTAGGGCCAGAATAGCCTGCTGCAGGGCCAAAATGGCCTGCCGTGGGGCTAAAATCGCTCGCCTTGGGTCCAGAATAGCTTGCCGTAGGGCCAAAACGCCTTTACAAAGCATCAACTGCCTTAAATCAGCCTTACCGTAGTGGGCTATGACGCTATGCAAAGCTAAATTAGGAGATTTGGGGCCCTGCACCGCCCCAGGCGGACTTCTATATATGGCAGAAAGTACTTGATTAGCAACTTCTCTTCTTCAAGCACAATTTCTTCTCCATAACCACCACTCGCATTATCATGATCGCCTCTAACCCCCTCAATCTGGACCTCGAGTCCCTCCACGTGCCATCCAACATTGAGCACGCAGTCTTCTCTCTACTGGCGACATATCTCCCCGAAACCTCCTCCATCACTCCAAACCAAGCAGCAGAACAGGTCAATGATCTACTCCTTTCTCACCGCCCGGGACCAAAAGAAGAAAGACAGTCAACCGCTAGTTTTCTGTTTGAGTTCTGGGAGTTAATGTTCTGCATCGCACCACAGTTAGATTACCAACATGAGCCAATGCAGCGCTTCATTGCTCTCGTCGAAGCGTTGAAAAACTTGCCTGAGACGATTGTTATTCAGGATGGGGGCATTTACGATGGTCAGCCTGTATGGCGAGATGGGCTTTATTTCGGACCGACGCTGCATGAGCGGTGGAATCGTATGTCATTCTCTGCATATCAAACAATGGTGTTCTTTCAATGCTCATAATAAAACAGGAATCCCTGAAAGCACTCCCCCGGAGGATCTCTACGCCTTTCGCTGGCGAAACATGAACGGCCTCCTAGCTCACTTCACCAACCACAACCTATGCACCAACGACTTCCGTGCCCTTGCTTGCATAACCAATGCCCTCGAGGAATTTCGGAGAAAGAAACCCAAGACCCCGATAAACCATCGTGTGCCCGCTGCTGCCATCTGGTTTGTCCTTTGTTCATCAATGATCTACCTGGCTTGCCAGCGGCAGGAATGTGCGGATCGTAAGTTGTCTGGGGAACTTTGGAAGGGCGAGCCGCAGCAGGGGTACTCAATTGCTCGGTGGAACTTTTGGAGGAAGAGGTTTGGGGAGTTGGAATGTCATTCAGATGCTACAGAGGAGACCAAGGAGGCTTGCAGAGCTGCCATAGAGGAGATGGATCGGTATGCTGGTGGCGTTGAATGACTTTGACCTGTATTATGGGAGTCTCACCCATCAATGCGTAAGGTTTCACACTGAAATGGTCAAAATTACAACCTCTCTCAACAACCGCGAATAAAATCCATTATTCGGCGTTATTTTCACGGCTAAGGCTACATGGAAAGCTAACCTGCGAGGCTTTGAATGAATTTCTGCGCGTAATGTTGTGGTGTTGAAAAGATTGGGCCGGGTCTTATCGCATTGATCGTGGAACTATATATTGAATACCAGGATAACAAGGTATGAATTCACGAAAATCCATCTGTTATCTATTCCTTGCCTTGCTCATGTCATTCAGCTTAGTCTGAAGCAGCTTCAGGGGGTGCAGGGCGTTCCGGTGAAGAATATAGGGGCTTTAGGGTATTCAGGTGAGGGACTGAAGAGTAGGGCAGCAAGAAGAGTTTCCTAGACGAATCAAAAAGATAAATAAGGAAAAAACAAACTAGACCTAGACAAAACCCGCGGGAGCCGCTAATTTCTTGTCCCATGCCCGTGGGACCTTAGTCATACGGGCCGAGAGTAGGTGGTTTTGACCACCACGCCCCACTCCCATGGGACCGGTTTTCATGAAAATACTCGTGCCATGGTCAGTTCCATGGTGGGAATCCCGTGGGCTTTGTCCAGGTCCAGTGGTAGCCATGCGTGAAGAAGAATAATGATAGTACTATTAAAGCAGCATCCCGGTTATCTATTGCCATGGCGACTATTGGTAGTAGATCCTTCCAGTTATCTTGTGCGTACGTTGTCAATACGCGTAGGATGCGCTCGATCTCTTGATTGGCACGTTCTGTTGCGCCGTCGGTCTATGGGTGGAAAGCAGTAGATAGTCGGCGTAGAATCAATGGCTTTTCGCACAATTTTCGCCAGAAAGCACTCACAAACTGGGGGCCGTGGTTACTCACGATCGCTGATGGGACGCCATGATGCATATAGAAGTGTATTGGAAACGCTTCTGCTACGTCTCCTGCCGCTGTGTCTCCCATTCCAATAAGGATGACCCTCTTTGTCAACCGGTCTGTGATAATCATGCAGCTCGTCATCTTAGTGGGCCCGGCGGATGGTAAACTAGTGATAAAGTCTATGGCTATTATGGCCCAGATTCGCTGAGGAATCGGTAATGGTTTTAATAGCCCGTGTTTTGTGTCTCGCCATACTGAGCTTCATCCGCAGACTGTACAATTCTGTAGAAAACGCCGTACGTCCTTCGCCGCCCCTGGCGAAAAGAACCGTCGGGGATAGTATCGAATAGGTAGCGCCTCGTCCCGGGTGCGCCGTTGCGTGAGAGTCATGAACCTTCTGTATGAATCCGGTGCGTAAAGCTTCATTATCGGGAATCCATATTCGTTGCCTGAAATGCAGCAATCCTCGTTCGTCTAGATGGCTCTCCGATAAGCTCGTCTTAACGTTCGTCTCAGCCGCGATTCGGCGGTCTCCCTAAGCAAAGCGTGGGAAATTCGTTGATATATTACGTCGGAACTTCTTGCCTTTTTCCATTCTGCCTGTAATATAGGTTCTTTTAAAGAGAGGGACATCTCTTTTAAAGCTAAGCTCTATGGATAACGGCTCCTTGGTTGACTGGAGATTCGATCGACCTGCCTTGATCTTGACTCTTCTAAGGAGGATTCGGAAGCGATTCGATAGCCTTTCATCAGTGAAACTCTTCGGTATATCTTGACTTCGTCGTTATAATGCGTCTGGTCTTGCGGCAAGCTTGCCTGGCCGGTATTGGAGTCCAAAGTCAAAATTCTGTTAGGAGATCTGCCCGACATTTGAACGCATCTCCCGTTCATTAAGGTGCTGTGCTTTGCTGAAGTATCGTAGGTTCTTATGGTCCGTTATGATCATGAATCGGGGCACCATCTTTAGTTCAGGTCTCCATTCACGCAAGGCGCGTACGATCGCCAATGGCTCTTTGTTGCGGATCTCATGGTTTGCCTCTGCCGGAGATAGCCTCTGAGATAAATAAGCGCACGGTCGTAATTGCTTGTCAGGGCCATATTGCGATAGAACGGCGCTCGTTGCTTAGCCAGAGGCGTCTGCTTCAACGACTGTTTCGCGATTTTCTTCGAAGTGGACGAGAATTGGGGCATTGATAAAAAGTTCCTCTAGCTCTACGAAGGCCTGTTGGCATTCGTCATCCCATAAGAATATAGCAGGAGCAGGTTATCTAGGTGCCTGGGTGTTTCGGTTCTTAGGTTCTGGTCTGTGCGCATCATAGCCTCGTCTTGAGGCGGGGTCCTGGCCGAAACCGGGGCATACTTTGTCCTCTAATTTGACACTGACAGGATCGGGAAGTGTTTGGGGCCGGGATCTTAGGGGATCCTAGGGGATCCTATACGTAAGCCTTTCCTGTTTTATTTTCTCTTTCAAATTTTTGATATCCAACCTTTTCTTTTGCTCTCTCCCTCACCATCTGCAAGTTCAATACCGTCATAATGGGCTTCACCGACCTGCTCTCGGACTCTGGTCTTACCGGTATGTAGTGGTATGTGATGCATTTGCGAGCACCGCCTAACCGGACGTAGTACTCAACAGCTGGTTGACCACTCGCTCCTACATTGTCGGGTATGTTCCAGTCTGATTTCTGTTCTTTTCCCCAATCCCCAAGCTTGATAACATGATGATACAATTTGGTCCGTGTTTCCTAGCAGCCTCAAGACCTGCAGATGATGACTCAACAATCATTTTGTTGCAATTTTGAACCCTTTTACTTGCGACTTGCTGTCGTTGCCGCCTAAAGCCCCCCCTCATTCGGCCTCCCACTGACTCATCGCGTTGATAGCTTCTCGCCGTCCCAGGCCGATGTGGCCATCTTCAAGGCCCTGAGCACTGCTCCTGAGGTTGCCAAGTACCCGCACGCTGCGCGTTGGTACAAGCACATCGTTAGCTACGATGACGACTTCGCAACGCTTCCCGGTGATGCGGCTAAGCCTTACACCGTCTACGGTCCTGAAGTCGTCGCTGCTACTCTAAACCCTGCCAAGGCCCCGGCTGCTGAGGAGGACGACGACGATGTCGACCTGTTCCGCAGCGACGAGGAGGAGGAGGAGGATGCTGAGGCCGCCCGCGTCCGCGAGGAGCGTCTGGCTGAGTACCGCAAGAAGAAGGAGGCCAAGCCTAAGGTCGCCGCGAAGTCTGTAGTCATCTTAGACGTCAAGCCCTGGGGTACGTTGAGGCTCGACACGCATTTTGGTTGAATTTTCTCGCTAACAATGACTCTCCAGACGACGAGACCGACATGGCTGCCCTTGAGGCTGCCGTGCGCGGCATCGAGAAGGATGGTCTGGTGTGGGGTACTTCTAAGTTGGTGACTGTTGGTTTCGGTATCAAGAAGCTGCAGATCAACCTTGTCATCGAGGACGAGAAGATCAGCTTGTCCGACCTCGAGGAGGAGATCCAGGAGTTCGAAGACTTCGTCCAGTCGACGGATATCGCTACCATGAACAAGCTTTAAGCTCCTGGGGAGGGGCTTTGATGATGAGTTCATGCTTTTATTATAGAAATGCGATTCTAGCAAATAGTGAAAGAGAGCTAGCAATTTACAAACGTACTCTCTCGTGCTTAAAGTAATGATAATCGCGATCAAAGAGATAGTGAAGAAGATAATCTATATCTTTCGCTATAACTAGAAACCACTCTCTAGGTTTTATTAATAGTCCATAATCCTTAATAAGGTCATTACCGATAAACTAAAGCGTAATTAGTAAATCCCTAAAATAATAGTATAGCCACTTACATTAAAGACATCGCCCTTAACTCTAGGGTCAAGGGATCGGGAGGTGGTTCGCTCCCAGTATAAGATCAGACTAATGAAAATACCTCAAACACTTTTCTTCAAACGAATCTCCCTTCGCGTTATGATATATTACTCGGTAAATAGTTTAAGTTATATAGGAATGGGATCTAGTTCGTCTTGAGAGAAGTTAGTGTGTATTAGCTCGTTACAAGACAGCCTCCACCTAGTTTTTATTAGAGCTGGAAACTGCGAGATACATAGCAAAATATAACTCACAAACCCCAAATATATACCGCACCATCGTATTTCTCAGTCGAAACCGGGGCGAGCTTTCGGAGGCTAATAACGTTATCTTTCGACTCCTTCTGATCTTGATACGTGTTAATCTACGTGATTTGGCACGTTCAATGCTTAGGGCGAGGGCTTTCTGGATGTTTCCTTCAGTTAACATTTTGGAAAACATTAAGAAAACTATGATCAAGCGATCGGGGACCCCTAAGCTAGCATTTATTTATTTTTGCCCGGCTAGGGGGAGTCATGGAGTCAAATCACCCCCCGGGTGGAGAATTCCTACCCCGTTCTTACTTCTCACCCAGTCTCCAAAGTTCTAATCAAAAACACTCGATAAAAAGAAAAACAAGCAAAAAAGAAAACGGTACATACAACAGTTAGGATTCGCATGTGGTCACCCACCATACTACTAACTAACCGGCGTGTGGCTTAAGTACGGCTGAGCGGACGGGAAGCCCTGTTCTCCACACCCTATGGTCGTATGTGACAGACATCACTTTGGTGAAATCTATATAGCGCAGTGAGAAAGGGACCTACAAAAATACAGGGCATGTGGCCACGCGGATTCTTGCCGCCTAGGCATATCACTGGCGCCCGGCCGCTTCTGATATACTAAGCTGCCAGCTAATAGGGAAAAAGGCAGTTTGCTGAAATATCTTGAAGTAATCATTTGCCAGAATTGATCAAGAAAAACTTGGAGATATAAGTCATCAAAACTACAGACTAATTCTGATGTAAACAATTTGATAGTACCACAAGATTCATATAGGTACCTCATCATTTCTGTACTCCGTATTAAACACAAAAATAAAATCAAGACATCTGAATCATACGGCTTTGGAAGATGACCTCAACCTATAGCAATACAAATTCAATTCAAGACACAGCGAAGACTATAGCAAAGTATCAATCAGCTTGCGCATATTCTTCTCAACATGCGACATAACAAAACTTCCCAGCTCCTTGAACATAAATGGTTTCTCCTCTTCCTCGAAATCTTCATATAAATCTTCGAGTGCACTTGATTTAGCAGCGATTTCCAGGTAGAGAGAGCGGTCCTCATCCTTGTCACCAATGCAAACAATAAAGCTTCCTAGCTTGAGAAGTAGGGAGTTGAGTATCAAACGGCACATTCTTCCGTTGCCATCGATGAACGGATGAACGTTGACGAAGATGTGGGTATACTTCGAAGCAATTGCGATAGGGTCGATGGTGCCCATTTTGAGGGCTTCGTTAAGGTCTGACTTAAGTTCACGGATCATAGCCTTCATCTTGTGGGGCACAAGGCTGGCTGTGATGAGGAAATGAATGGAAGCCTGCCGAGACTTCATCCGTACGGTAGACACCGCTATATTCTTTCCAGGGTGTATCTCCGGCGTCAACTTTGTAGGTGAGGATTCGATGAGTTTGAAGAATGATTTCTTCGCTGAGTCATGGATGCAAAGTTGATTAATGATATACAAGGCAGCCTTGGCGTGCAGCACGATTTCGCGACGACTTTGTATAACCGCGCAGAGATTTGCTGGGAGATTCTTGCGTTGGAGGTATTCTTCCAACTCCAATAATTCGTCTTCTGTAATTGCGTCACGTATTTCCCCGTCGCGGAAAATTGCCATGCAGAGCTTGAGTGTCACTTCGTAGCTATTCCCAGCATGCTCGATCATATTGGAGCCGTAGACCATATATCTGCAAGGCAATTCAGGATATGATCTTCAAAGGAAGTCTGTTGGCCAAGTGTGAGTTGTTTTTGAAGGACCTCAGAGAGATGATTCCCGAGTGTGATAATTTCGGGGTAGATGGTCTCAGGGTCAAAATCAGTTGCGACAATACTGTAGTCGTAGACATCGTGCTTCGCAACTTTGAAATGAGCTTGAGCACCATGCACGCTAGGAGAGACAATTCCGTGGCCACTATGAAGAATCGACTTCATGTATTGGCATAAGGATCTGGCAAGGTTGGCTTGTGAAGAGGGAGAAGAGGAAGAGGTGGGGTTTTGCTCTGCCTGCTTGGTTGGAAAATCCATTTTTCTTAGAAGGAAAATTTAATTCATGGTGAAAATTCTCGATTTGAAAGAAGTGAGGTGGAAGTATATGTACAGAAGATTCCCATTTTTGACGTTCCGGAATTGGTTTAGGTTCTTTCAGGCGGTCCAAAGAGGCCCAGTAGCCAAGGGATCATTGATTGAAACGTCATTTTGACCACCATAATAGCGACATTCAAGTTGTGCTATCATTTTACTTGCCAGGTTCCTACTGGAATAGGAGTGCTCGAAGGTAGCACCTTCGAATTTACATGAGTCGATCCAGCAAAGACAAAAACAACGCCCACAAAAATAGCAACACGTACGATTAATCGAGAAATTCCGTAGGGATTAGATGAGAGAGGTATGGAAGTACATTTTCTCATGCTACCACCAGCAGCTAGGTGTGGTGCACGAACATAGTTTAACAGTAACGACCGGCATATTTAACTTTTAATGGTCATGTATCATATGGTGAGGGGGACTACAACGATTCTTTACAAGCCTGCCCAGGTGGCCTATTCAAATGGAGCGTCGTCTTGCGTGTTGGGCTAGCTATTGCATTTGCTGGGTATGAAAGCTTACGAGTCATTCTTAAGGGCTTATTCGCCTGGATTCGATGGTTGATTGAAGCTCTATGTCATATGTTGACTTTTTTGACGTGAATCAAGCCAGGTGGAATTTTGTGTGAAGCATGATTACTACACGACATAGAATGTGGGTAGCGAGGTATTCAGCTAATAACTTGCGATTTTCTGAGAATGGAAGGTGTTAAAAGGTCATGTGATGCTCTCTATTGCTCAGATCAGTGCTTGTCTCTTGTTTTCTTTTTGTTTTCCGCTCTTCTTCTTCTCTCTAAAACCACAGTATTATTTGCTTCTGCTGGCTCCGTTCTTTCTATCCACCAATATTAGTGTGCTTCTTTCTCTCTCCCTTGCTTCTTGCGAGTCTCCTCTGATCCTTCTTGACGCTTTGGTGTCAACAGAAAGCATGGGGTTATTTATATGGCTAAAACATTGCGATATACGGTATTCAAATTAAGATCTATCAAGATTGCCCAGATGTCAAGTCTCGGGGGGTCAGGGCATATAATCTTATGCATCCGGGCTGGGTATAGTATCTGAGTACGTACTAGTAGTTTCAATTCCAGTTCTACCGTTTCAGCATACTGCTGCCAAAGTTGAATATTGACCGATCACACTATTTCAATAATTCCCGCAAATGCACCAGATTTCCTAAGCAGACGCGCGGCTCCATTATCAACCCGACCTGCGATCAGTGTCATGATGTAACCTGGGGCCCAAGTACGTGGCACGGAATTCGGCATCCTGAGATTACTGTAGAGTAAGGCTGAGCGCATCAATTGAAAATATATGCGAGCATAAAAGGCACAGAAGCACAGCGCAGGGGCCCTCAGTCGTGTTGTTTACGTAGGCTGCGCTTGTAGCCCCAGCGTGTTCGTAATACAAGGCCGAGGTTACTGGACAGGCTCAGAGCAATGGGAGACCCACTAGTGCCTAATACACTACGGGCTACGCAAACTGACTCCGTGATGAAGTCCTGAGGCACGTGTGGAACAAAGTTGCCACTAATACACAACATGCGACCGGCCTAGTCCGAATGAATGCTACCACATACAGTACTCCGAGAAAATTTAGTTCCCCGCCAAATAGCCTGACAGTCTGAGGAAAAAGAAACCGTTCTCTCGAGTATAGTGCTTACCCAATGAAGGCCCGTACCAGGCCACTACAAACGCCATCGGCCATGTTTCCTACGGTTCCTATGTCGCCAAGACCAATGAATATCTGGCCGTGTACCTATGGGAATCGCAGGACCAAAATATCCACATCAATCACAATATAAATCGTCCTCACAAAAGACTTCAAGGTTGCGACCGAGGTAAAGAGAATACCCGGGAGAAAGTAGCAGCGGCAAAGCGAACTTTCGTGTCTATGTGCCCTTATGGGATCCTGGTACGGTGTACAGTCGGAGTTCAACGCAGACGGCCAGGTACACCGCGTTGTGACCCCCACCACCGTAGGGTTTAGGAGCCCTAGGCCCAGGCCTAGCGAATGGGGACAGATGGGGCACCGTTTGCCGGCGTCCCAGTCCGGTGAGGCTTATTCCACAAGCCTGCGGGGAGGGACGCGAAAACAGCGATCAGGGGAAGCACCGGTGTTTCAGGTGAATGGGGACAGGCTTCGTCAGAAGCAAGGGGAATTGGTTTCTCAGGGGTTCCAGAAGCAAGGTTTTGGGATGAAACATGGCGATCGGAGGGCTATCGGGCGGGATCGTTTGTGAGTGGGGGATGCCGTCATTGTCGTGGCGCATACACTTCAACATGCGATGTGTCGGATTTTTGAGCCAAGAACGAGGACAGAAGATATTGGCATTGTGTGTTTGAGTCTAGATACAAAATTGAGTCTCAGCATGAATGGGGATATAATTTCCAGTCATTGTTTTTTCTGTGTAGTTTCATTCCCATGAATCAATGTGGCAGGCGCGTCCTATCAGGGCGGTTGCCCTGACGTGGATCCACGGATCGGACAGTCAGCGCCACCGGACCTCCAATCCTGTCGAGTGCCTACATGGACATGTCCACGGTACATCAAATAACGTCTCCACTTTTCATTGCTTCCCACAAATGGAGCTCATTTAACATGTGAGCTGTCTTGTGGCAGAGTTCTCCAGATTCCCAGCTCTCCGTTGTCGCCGTTGAGCTCATCCTGACGTTTAAAGTAGATCACCGGCGCTAAAGAGCGTACTGCTTGATGGATTTAGACGAACTACTCCGAGATTCAAGAAAGTTCACAAGAAAGTTCATGCAGCTCGTAACCGATTCTCTGTTGTCTCGGCATTCCAAAAAGCCCTGTGTCACCGGTCCAGCCCTTTGTGGAGCAATGATAGATCTTCTTTGTGGAGCGGACAAATAGCCCGATTAAGGAGGCGAAGACAATTGAAAAGAATTCCACGACACGAGGGTCCACTTTAGGTCAATGTGAGTTGTAAGAGCAATGCTCAAGGTAATCCACAGACCAATCACATCTTCTCCAGTGACTGTCAATCGGGTCTCCGTTCCCCATGTCCAGTCAGACTCTGTCCCTGGTTCCTCTTTGCGACGGGGGTTCTGGTAACCTATAGAATAGAATCACAAGAAAAATGATCCAAAACAGACCCAGAAATGGCCCATTCGGTCCAATCATGGAGCTTTTTCTCTTGTCCCGCAACTCCACTTCAGCAAAAAGTAAATATGCAGAGACGGGCCTGGTCCCAGTGAAGTACTGTGCGTAGTTTGACGCACATTTGACGCGCCGGTGATTTAACCTCCTCCATTCCCCTTCATTTTTTTCCTCTTCTCTTCTTGCAGTGCATCTCATTCATTCCTTCGGGTCTTTTTCCAGTCCCTTCTTTTTTTCTTTTTGCCATCTAGCTACCTGTGCCGTGCACGGTCTAGAGCGCCCTTCCTTTCTCCATCCATTCTTTTCAATTTGAGAACAGGTTTCTCCATTCATTCGGTCTCATCCACTCCTTCGGTGACCAAAACAAATAAGCACTCAAAATGGTTTCTTTCACCAACGTGCTCACTGCCGGCCTGTTGGCCACCACTGCCCTCGCTGTGCCTCACAACATGCACATGCATCGGGATCTCCAGAAGCGCACCACCACCAAGCGTGGAGCTGCTTACAATGACGTTTCTACCGTCTCCCTTCTCTCCGAATCCAACACTATCAGCTGGGCCTACGACTGGGTTTTCAGCTTGGATACCGGTCTCCCCTCCGGCGTCGAGTACGTTCCCATGCTTTGGGGCGCTAAGTTCTTCGGCGGCTGGCTTACCGGCATCGAGACCATCCTGTCCAGTGGTAGTGACTACATCATGGGTTTCAACGAGCCGGATATGGCCTCCCAGGCTGATATGACCCCCTCTGAGGCTGCTGGTTACTACATGCAGTACATCACCCCATTCTCCGGATCCGCTAAGCTGATCTCCCCCGCTGTGACCTCCTCTTCCTCCGATGGCGAGGGTCTGAGCTGGTTCGAGGAGTTCATGACTGATTGCTCCTCTTGCAACATCACCGGACTGGCTGTCCACTGGTACGGCGACTCGATTGATGACTTCAAGACTTTCGTCGAGGACGCCATTAGCACTGCCTCCAGCTACAGCTTGGAGGAGGTGTGGGTTACCGAGTTCGCCCTGAGCTCCGATATCTCTGGTGTTGCCGATCAGTCTACTACTGCGGAATTTGTTACCGAGGCTGTTACCTGGATGGATTCGCAATCTAGCGTTACTCGCTACGCGTACTTCATGTGTGCTGAGAACTACCTGCTTACCAGTGGTTCGCTGAACTCCGTTGGCTCTGCTTACACCTCGACTTCCGACTAAGAGGTTTCTATTTGTGTTGTTTGCTGGTATTGGCATGGGGACGAGGGGATGTTAAATGTTAAACGAACACAGAATGGGAGTTATCGGCGTCATCATGGAACAAGACTACGGTCTTGACTTCTCTCAGCGCAACGGATGGGTCTCTTCTGGGTTTATTGTATTTTTCGATGTCTTTCTCAAATTTCATGTCTTTATCTTTCCGTGAATATCATAGAAAATCGAAGAAAACATGAACTCAAGCAAATATCATTGAATAACAAAACTGCGCCTGCCTAGGTATATCCAAAGCACCAGGGAAAGGCCCTATATTGGGACTTCTTTAGGACTGCAGGTCAGGCTCCACAACAACATCGAGCCTTCTAGGGTATATAACTTCCCGAACAAGGCCACTTAGTAAGCATTGGCCTCATTTGTTCTCACAATGACGCATTCGGCTTTGCACATGGAAAACTAAGTAGATAGCTTGGTTGTTTTTAATTTTATTGTTATTTATTCAAATAGCCCTCTCCATATTTGCACATGATCAGGTGCAGGCAGCTAGCCCTGTTGCCTCAAAATCCATAACCCGCTGTGAAGAGCCAAATATCTGCATGAAAAGCACGCTCTAGCCTCATCGTTTCATGAAGCAACTGCTTTCCGCGGTTTTAAGTGCACCATATGAGAAAATGAGATTAGTTCATGGGATTGCTCAAATCAATCATTTCACCTTAACCCGCTTCAATTTTCGTTATTTTGGGGCCCGGTGTCTAAGTAGGGCCGCAAAACTCTTGGGCATTTCGAGATCGCCAATTCACGTGCATTTTCGAATACTGCGCATTCCCCCTTCCCCTACCACGGACTTTTTACCTAAAATTCTTCTCCCTGCTCACTGAGCAGAGAGCCAAACCTCCCTACTCCGCCTCCATTTCCAGGTCCGCAGACGAGTTAGAAATAGGGGAGTACCACACGGTGAAATGATCGGGCTGAAGTTGCACTTATCCCTTATGGGACACGGTAGTCTTCGTCCATTTTTTCCCCTAATATTCTAAGGTCATTATTTCAACTCATTGTGATTGAAAACCGAACAAAGTGGGTTACATAGAACGTCAAGGCGTCCGTGCATGAATTACGATTTCAACAAGTAGAAGCTTCCATTGAATATCGCTTGATGGGATGGCCCCACACTGCTGTCACATGAAACGTTTTGATTTGCCGAAGCGTGGAGATTCGCGAACTAAAATATGAGCTAAGAATTAGCGCTGACAGAGCTCTTCCTATTGGCTGATGCGTGGACTTCTACGTCGCCAAGCTACATAGTCTTGATTTCATTTCTATCAATCTTCTAGGCAAAGCAGACTATAAAAATGGCTAAAAATCTCTTCCTTCCGGCTACTTAAATCCTCTTCACTACTTCAAAACATTCAATCTGTTACTTCCAGTTCCTAAAAACTTGAACTGCAGCCATGGCAAGTGTTCTCTCGGGTCTGGCTTCTACCCTGACGTCCGCTTTATCAAGCCTCCCACCTCCAGACATGATCCAAGATGCAGAACGCATGCAGCTTCTGGGGGTCATCAACCAACTGCAAGCAGCACTAGAGCCCACCCAACTGCCTATCCAACGATTTTGCTTCTCGGTATTCTCCTCCAGACTTGATTCATCTTATGTCACCTGTCTCACTGAACAATTTACTAACACTCTTTTGGGCAGCACTATGGCATCGTCGTTATCCGAATAGCGCAGGGTATGGGAGTCTTTGATGCGTTCGTTAGATCTCAAGGCAAGGAGATGACCCTGAAAGAGCTGTCTTATAATGTCAAAGGAGACGAGAAGCTTCTGAGTAGGTACTCTATTCCATGTTGTATTGGGAACTTGCTGACTTACCTCTAGGACGTATCATGCGATTTTTGTCTGCTCACAATATTTTCAAACAAACGACGAGTGATACATACAAGCCTCTACCACTAGCAATGGCATTCGGCAACGGGTCAGTGCCCGGAGACATGATCAAGCACTTGTAGGTATCCCACGCTGTCCATTTGATATTTCTAATGCTTACAATCGATCAAAGCCATATCAACATGCAAGTAACTGCGAAGCTCTTTGATTATTTCGAGTTGAATGGCTACCAGAACCCGGAAGACGCATATGACGCTCCCTTTCAACTCGCCTACAACACCAAGAGCCATTACTTTGAATGGCTGAGTCAAAATCAGACAAAACAAGATATTTTCAACTCAGTGATGACTCAGAGCCAACAGTATCGCGGTGCAGACTGGTTTGAGGCTTATCCTGTACAAGAAAAGCTGCGAGTTTCCGCAGACCAGGTTCTGCTTGTTGATATGGGAGGTGGCGTGGGTCACGACATCAAGGCGTTTAAGAAGCGTTTTCCAAACCTCCCGGGAAAACTCGTTCTGCAGGATCTCCCTCAGGTGATCAAGACCATCAAGGAACCTTTGCCCGAAGGGATTACCGCTATCAGCCACAATATATTTGAACGACAACCTGTCAGTGGTGCTAGAGCTTACTATATGAGAACTGTCTTGCATGATTTCCCGGATAAACAAGCTCTTGTTGCCCTTTCACATATCCGAGATGCCATGTCAGAGGACTCTATTTTGTTAGTCCATGAGCATACGATGTCTGACGATCTCGATGTCCCTCCGCTTGCCGCAACACTCGATTTACATATGATGGAGATATTTTCCTCCCTAGAACGGACTGAGAAGGAATGGGTAGTTCTTTTGGAAAGGGCTGGATTCAAGGTGGCAAAGGTCTGGAATGAGAAATCAGTAGGACAATCTACTGCTCTGTTTGAGGCTACTCTGCACTAAATTTCGGATCATTGTTGAAAGGCGAACAAGAAAGTGGGCATTCAGTTCATCAACATCTCCTTAGTTTATTCAAATCGACATGGACTAGAATGACATAAAGTCTCAGATACTGGCATCCATTTTCAAGGGTATTTTCGAAGCAGGTCAGTCCCGCGAATGAACGACCAATCCGTCACCTGCTTCGTCGAGGTGAATGTGTCAAACAGAAACCGGGACAGCTCCTCTTCCATGTCAGCATCTATGATCCAGCTGTCTAATTGGCCATGAGTCTGTAATTCTGCCTTCAAACTTTTTACAGCCATCGAGACGAGGACATTGGAATTAATGATCCCCTCACAGTGGGGCCAGGTCTGCAAGGTGTAGATTGCTTGCAAGCGAACTGAATAGTCTGGACACTGCGAGGCCACCACCCACAATCCTGGGACGACGCCGTAGTCCAAAGTAAATGTTGGGCGATCAAAAGACTTAGCTAGAAATGCCTGATGTGCCGAGAACAGGCTGATATATTCTGGGGTCAAGCTTTTAGGTACTGGCCCTTTGATGAGACAGGTCTTCAGACTGAGAATCTGTCCAAGACTCTGGAGTTGAAGCAGATCAACACCTTGCTGGTCACGACCACGAAGTGTATGATAAAATTCGCGGTAAAATATTCCAAAATGGTGTTGAAATTTATAATTCAAGGACAGAATTTGTTGCTGTTTTAGGAACAACTCGCTATATCCAGCTGCAATTTCAACGGCAGAGGAGGGCCAGCATCGGGCGAGAAAAGGAATACCCATATTTAAAAGAAGAGTCACGCTTCGGTGTACGTCTGACACAGTTTGCATTTTAGCAAAATTGTGCAGAATATGCACGTCATCATCGATTTCAGAATTAGTGAACAAAAATGGGGTACCAGGCCCGAAATGGGCGGATTCGACATCGAGCCGTTGGAAGATGTGGATTAGCGAATCATCAAGCCTAATTTTTGAATGACAGTCCTGTGTCTCTTTGAGGATGCGAAGCCCACTGTGCAGATGTTGGAAGGCATTTTCATACCGCCCCAGTAATAAGTCTGACATGACAAACAGCAGGCAGCATACCAGTACAACCTCCCGATACTGAGGGTCGTTTGAGGCCTGACGCTGGGAGAGATGGGTCAAAGCTCGCGAAGCCTGCTGAAGTGCGAAGCGATGACGAGCTCGCTGGAGATTCTCCCCAGACAAGCGCATTTTGTTCGCGCATGAGTCTTCGTGAAGGGCACCGAGCATATTGGCGGCATGATACACAGCAGGATCCACATGACCAACCCGCAAGATAATGTTCTGCCAGAGAGGAGAGTCGAAGAAAGCCCCAAGGCCAGGAATGGAGCAATATTGAAAGTATGAAAAGCAGCGTCGCTCGTCCATGGTTGTTACCCACCCTGGGTGAGGATAAATGATCCGGGTAAATAAGAGAGGCCCATTCCTGGCGGGTAAGCGATGCAAATCATAGCCATCGCATTTACGACCGGTAGATTCGCAGTTGTTGCATGTTCCAGGAGTTTCGTCGCATTTGACGTGTCGAATGCTGTGATCTCACCAGTCACTACTGTATTTGTTGGAGTTGACCCCGCAGAAGCGAATCGGTCATTGGATGATCAGGAGATAAGTACCCACCGGCATGTTCGGCATCCCTTCAGCGACCGGTTGCTACCTTTCCTGCGTCGCTTTATACGCAGCATCACAGACAAGCTACGAAAAGAATTGAGTGTTCAAGAAAGGAGGGGAAAAAAAGATGGCAGATTGGGGTTTCCAAAGTAGCAGCCTGAAATGGCCTCCAGACCTCAGCTTCAGCCTCCAGCAATAAAATGAGGCCAAATGCTTAGGGAGCGTTGGGGGCGAAAATGTGGAGCTTGAAGACCTAGATCCTTTCCACGAAGTATCCTACTTCTATTCCAGCTTGCTCATATTTCATTGCTATTCCCTGAATTGTGAGAACCTTCATAAAGTTAACCTTGTTATCAATACTGACACCGAGACATCTTGAGTAAGGGTGTTATATTGGATGCAGGAATATTGATATTCCGGTGAGATTTTAGCTTCATATTGATTCGCCTTGGCATCTCAGTTTTGGCAGGCAGAATGCCAAGGAAAGACTTCAAGCGCCTCGATCCTGAATCCTGGCAATAAGAAGGTTGGAGACTTCAGATTACCAATAATTTGTCAATTTCCACATCAAATGAACCTTTTTACTGCACTATTGGGGTACATAGTATGACCTCGGAATTTGACTGAAGTCAAATGTAGCGTTACTATTTCTCTCCAATGTCTAAGGACATAATATGAGCACGCGCTATGGTCCGGAACTCCAAATAGGATTATGGTTCTCGACTTCGCCTTTCAGCCGAGAATTCACTTTCAAAACCTCGAATACCCCAGCATCGTTGTTGTATTTTTCTGGCCGTGCATAATAGATCGGATAGGCTTCTTCAATTGGAGCCCAGTGAATAGCGATACTAAACTCACAAGCCGCACGATGATGAACTCTAAAACCATACCAGGTTTCGACTTTTGGCGGCAGGGGTCCCCAGTCCTCGAACGGGATATCACTTTGGCACCACGTACTCATAAGTAAAGTCCCATCTCGAGCGGTTCGCTCGTCTGCGATAGCAATATCCTCACGCGAGGAGTACGTGATTCCTTTCCAATTTTTTTGTGCCCATTCCTGGCACTGCGCCTTTGATGCGTTGATAACATCCGATTCGAAATGGTCGTAGTCTTTCAACTCGGTTTTGAACGCCTTTCCATCTTCAAGGCAGACGTCCGATTCAACAAGCAGGAACATAGGGGGCTGGTCTTTATCGATACTGTTTTCACGCATAATTGTCGGTATATGTTGAAGTTCTCTACACACTATTGTTGGGCACCCTTTCCTTACATGTTGCCCGACGAAATAACGTTGCTTTTCGCCGATAAGATGATGAGAATGGACGACCTGATTATTCTAAGAGTTAGGATGTATCTCACTCCACTCAGCATAGCTCAGGCTCGGGTCCAAAGCCAGGACAGGGTCCAGTACAAAGCCTTCTGGTACACCTTCAGTAATTCTGCCATCCCAGCAGTGCTCCTGAAAACAGTCCTCACAAATCTGGGGCCTCTGAATATCCATGCGCTGTAAACTCCGGTCGATGGCCGCACAACCGAGACAATCTACCCAAGATTTGTTGAGGGTTCCATTCGCCTGAGTAAGCAGGTTGAAACTATTCTCAAGGATACTGTCAAACTCCGTATGAGACATATTCCCAGTTGCCCAGGAGTAGTTACTGTACCAACTGTAAGGTGAATTGGCAAAATAAGCAACTATTGGAGAGGTAGCATCACGGGTTGTTGTCAGGTTGGTATCACAGCCGAATAAGATGGGTTTCAACGTGTAGTTATGTGCGAGCAGCTCTGAGACCGGCGGAATCACTGGGAAGGGAAGGCCACTTTCCTTAGCACGGTTATAGGTGTCCCAGATGTTAGTGCCGTTGTTCCAGGTGTACGGAAGAGAGTCAGCGTCATCGTCCCAGGCCATACTTATGAGGGTTAGTGCGAATCAATCGCTTGGGTGAGGTAGCTTACATGAAGTCGACCTTTCGCTCGGGTTGAATAAGAGGCCAAAATGGCACTGACTGCCCTGCTTCGGAGCCGTCTGCAAAAGTGATGTTCTCTTTGCTGTTGAAAGGATTGGGTATTGAGGGATTGCTGATTTGTGCTATCGTATAGCCATAGGTCTCATTGAAATAATCGTTCAGAAAGGACAACGACGAGATCCCGGTCAAAGAGCTATCAAATTCTCGTTTGTCAAGATCGTGACGTTTTGAGAACTGCCCAAGGGTCCCGTTCGTAGTGGCACCTAACCACCAGCTGTTCCATGCACTCGCTGCGGAGCCCATGACAAAACTTGAAACGTCAGATTTTCGGCAAGTGTTTTGTGATTTACATGACGAACCTAGCTTGATCGAGGTTTTTAACGCATTTATTGGCGGTATTATTCTCGTTGGGGATCGTGCCAATATATTCCATAGGCACAAAGCCAAAGTCCCAAGATCCAAACTCAAAAGGGTTCCATTCGAACTGTTTAAAATCAGCGATATGAGAGAGGAAAATTAACAATGCTGTCACTCACCTATGGCGAAGATTCTGAAGGAGAGTAAATACCATTCAAGACGTCTGAGCTCTTGTTGATGCTGCTGCAGATAAGCATTGGCATTGGACCAGAGAAGTTCTTAAACCGCGGTTGCTCAGAAATCGACGACCATGTGAGATTGACTCCAGGAACAAACTGATATGCAAAGCCTCGACCAAGAAAATCGGCAGTGGACACATTGAATCCGGCCTCCACTTTTTGGGCTATTGTATCAAGATAAGCGGTGACGGGAGCGGCATACTCGGTGAAGTTAGACGCGTCAAACCGATTGATGTCCACATGCCACTCCTTGACATGTTCGTGGATTGGAGCATAATCACTGAACGAAGTAGACGCAGTTGGCCAAGACCCACCAGAAAGTCCGGCCATATAAGTCAAGCTCTGAAACAGGCCGCCTACCTTGGCCTCTTTGGAGCCCGGAGTTCGCTCGTCGATGGCTTGAAGGCCACCAATGCCGGTATATGCCGAGCGCCAGCCACCGCCACTGGTGGCCCATGCAATAACAGGTACATTGTAGTTAGGGTCTCTCCGGATCCTTTGCGCATAGTCCGTAAGGTTAAAATCTGCGAGGTTCAAGCGAGCCAAATAGGCCACGAGGGAGTCGGTAACGATTGCTTTACGACCGTGAACCCATTCAGACTCCGCTTGAGAGATTTGACGAGGTTGACGAACAAGCTGTATGTCCGGTGGACAGTCAACGTAGTACGGTGCGTAGCTTTTTGCATCGTCTTGGCTGTCAAATGAGCCACTACTAGCTGTCGCTGCGACAACCGCAAGGAAAACTGATGCTATTATGGTTAAAGCATCAGTCTCACCTGAAAAGGCGATGCGACAGATCTTCATATCCGTTTCAATTGTTGGAACTGTGTTAGAAGCAGAGGCCAATACCAGATTTTTAGGTATTTATATACCACTAGCCTTGCACGGCTGCCTGGACAATGTCGATGAATAATACATTCCTCGTCTGGGGTCCATTCTCGTACTCTACGTCAATACTGTGGCAGTACATTAGATTCACTTGAGACTAAGCAGCTTTCTGCGCTCATAATTTGAGACAGATGACTCTATAGGTTAGCTTCGACGGTATGCATCGTTCCTCGGCTGATCTGAGTGGGAACTTCGAGCAGCTTGCCGTATTCGGAAACACATCCTTGATCCAGGCCAGCGAACTTCAAAGGTAATTTGACGCAGGTAGGTCCAGCCCAGTCCCGTGCTGTAGGGTACCATGTACTTCAAGATCGAATCAACCAAGGATCGGGTCGAAGATGTATTTGTTTCTCCGAAGAGTATGTCAAAAGAGGATACCAGTTCGCACGAGGGCGGTGTGGGTTGACAAATTGGCGGCCTGACCGATCTGGTTATCAAATAAGGCTTAGTACCAAGGAAATTGAGTTTGTTCCATCGCCAATGATTTTGAGATTCTATAAGCAACCATTTTGGTGATATCATCCTCAACAAAGGGGCGCAGCTCTGCCGAGAGACTCAAATGTAAGATGAAGGGCGTGTTTCTCTACACGTGTTCACGACAAGTTGACTTACACATCCTTCCGACAGCGTCTCCGCAACTTGTTTACCTTATCAATCCAATTTCGAAGATAATCGACAGGTCAATCTTGTCGGCGAGAGTGGTAGATCAATGCCGCTACTAGACATGACCCCCTAAGCTTCACATAAAACTCCTCACGTAGCTCCGACCTCTGCAGTCTTTACTGTGACGATACCTCCATCCCTCTTCTCATTCACACGCTCATTGACTTTCACACTGACTAGTCCTTTTCATTCAACGGGCGAATGTATCTAGTGACTACTAAATTTAGCAATGCTGAAAGGTAAGGTCCATGGCGTTAAAGCTTCACGGTTGCTGACCATGGGTGGGACGGAAGCACCCGTGTGGACCAACACGTGATGGTCAACCAAATTAGTTGATTATTTGGAACGCGGACCGCCACTAGCCGTAATTATGGGAGCCAATTGGAGCCGACCCGTATCAGGTTTTACGATAGAATGCATCTAAAAACCATTTCCCCTGTGGGCCCCCTAATAGTTTCTCACAATTCCATCTTAGCTACATTCATTTTCATTGACGCAGTAAAGCCTGCTTGTATAACCAGAAGCAATCTATAAGGTCATGTACAATACATGGGATAATATATGTGCAACAACCAGTTACGCGCTGTGGCTGGGATTAGGCCGCCCAGATAGATTCACAATTGGCTTAAAAAGTAGACGACAGTTCAACACCACACGAGCGAGATTCCTGTAGATCCATAAAGCTTCTACGTCATTGGCAAGATTTGGACGAATGATACAATCCCACGCACCGATTGCGACAATGCTACGAGTGGGGCGCTTATCTATCTACATGGTTGTATATGTGAGCACGTAGTAAAAAACCATACCCACAGTAAATTACAGCTGAATTGTGTCCCTTGTAGATCAAAAACCCTTCGGTCCTGCCATCCGAAAAGGGTCTCACCCCACGTGAGCGTTTTGCGTTAGGCGCTAAACACTTGATTCTTCATGGCAACCTAGCCAACTGCAGCACCAGGGTTCTCCTGAGTCGAAATCCGAGTCCCCTGGCTTTTCCCCCCAGCCATGTCAATATACAAGAACTGGAAATTGCCCCAGTATTTCCAGAAGGTTGTTGTGATTTTCACCTGTGTGCTCATTTTTCTCTGGATCGCTGTCACATTGCGTTTCCAACGCCTGAGGCCCTCAACAGAGCTTTTCTGGAAGACAACTGGGGCTCCACCAAAATATGCATTCGCTACAATATTGACGTCCGAAGGGGATGTGGAGTTTCCAGATGTCGAAGAACCCTATCTCCGAGCTGTCCGGCTTCTCACTTATCAACTTCTTCACAACCCTCGAACCCGAAATGCCAGTTACGAAATTCCTCTCTTGGTCCTCGTGACACCAGATGTGCCCGAAACTCATCAAGAGATCTTGAGAAATGACGGAGCAACCGTATTACCCGTTGAAACCCTCGAACGCGACTGGATTCATCCGAAATGGGGCCGCTGGAGCAACGTGCTCGCCAAGTTGCACCTGTGGACATTGGAAGAATACGACAAGATTGCATTCCTAGACGCTGACTCCGTTATATTCAACCCGATCCATGAGATTTTCGAAGACCCGGCCACCGACATTCGCCAAACAATAATCCCAACGTCAAATGAAACGGTCAACTCCGAAATTGCCGACAAGTTACCCTACGAGTATATGATCGCTGGAATCCACGATCCATGGATGGAACAATTCATGCCACCACCAGAGAATATGGTATTTTACGAGAAGGGTAGCTATATGAATGCTGGTTTTTTCGTCCTCTACCCTTCCAAGCCTGTCTTTGACTACTACGGCGCCCTTCTTGATTTGCCCGATCAGTTCGACTCTGCCTACCCTGAACAAAATTTACTCAACTGTGCCCATCGGACGGATGGGCCAATGCCATGGCAATATGTTGGTCCCGGGTGGAATCTGAAGGGGGCCAGGGAGTCCGACTTGAAGAATGGGTTGAAATCCCTCCATCATAAGTGGTGGCGGCCCATACAAGATGAATATGTGAGCGACCGCATTGCCGAGGCAGTGCAGGAGTTAGAAGCCCATTTGCAGCTGCAGAGCGAGACACCGTCGTGATTGTACATTTCTTTGCCTTTCAGTGTCCCGGTATTCGTTTGACTAGAAGCTTTAGCGTCATGATATTCCTTCGATGTGCAATGTTATACAAGATAAAACAAGGGCCGTCAAGGCAACAAAACATCCAAAATGAATGATTCGTGGGAAAGCGCATTTTCGCGATCCGAGGAAATGTCGAGAATTAAGGCTCCTCAAAGCGTTTCTATACACTCACGTCAGTCCGTCGGTCAAAAAAAAAAGTTTGGCACCGTGGGAAAATGGCGGCATTAGAGTTGGTCCCACCTTGTCTGATGAAGAAGGACCCCCACGTGAGATGAATGTCCTTTTTTTTGTTCCCTTTGTACGCCAAATGATAACCGCAAAGATTAGAATGCCCATCACGAGCCAAACCTCGCTTCGAGACCATAAAGGTCCAAGTGGGGCTTGCTGATAGCGCATTTGAGGGTGAAATGAGGAGCTTCCCTCCTGCGATGTAATGTATTCACCATAAGGGGCGCCAGATAATCGTCGATCGGGAACGCCATTTAATCGCCAACCTTCGTGGGAGTCGTCTTGGTCATCATGGGGACCATATTGTGGACGCGCAGGTAATTGTTGCTCGCCTTGACTCCTGAGCGAGCGCTCATAGTCTGTTTCTGGCCTTTCTTGGGTCTCCATTCTTTCTTGGAGATGCTTGGCAGGTGCGACTTGTGGCAGAAACATGGCGGCGGGATTTCCTCGGGTAAATGACTCAGTTCCTGAGCTTGGGCTTCTTAACGAGGTTGGAAAGAAGTGGATGACAAAGCTTCGACTTTTGACGAGGAGTGCCAATTATTTTAGTAGATCTCTGTAGAAAACTGGTCGCGTCTTAGACGTATTGAGGACTTTCACTTAGACCAACAAAGGAGGCAACTCTTTAACTGCTCAAGTTCCGTGGCTGGACGTGTTGACCCCCACATGCGGACCGGAAGGGTTGTGGGTCCAGCAGAGCCCCCTCTTGTAGATGACTAGTGTTTCTAACCGAGGTGGACCCAGGTCAATATGATTATAATTGGCCTGGATGACGGTGCCCAGGGCAAGCCCAGATGGTCCTTACTCTTCTTCGATCGATCGGCGTCGGGTCATGTCGGCGTCTGCATTTCTCCAATTGGCCCCTATTTGTTAGCGCCCAAGTTGCGCCTGGCGTCGGACTGGGCAATCTCAGGTCGTCCGAGCGATTTGGTGGATGCACTGAAACAAACCTCTGGAAACCATGATTTCAGCCCGTAGTTTCAGAGTTTGGTAAATGACCCGTACCATTTCAGCCCCATTGTTGTGGGGGCTAAAAATTTAGTGCCACGCCCGTAGGTACCCGTAAGTCGCAGCTGCAAGGCCAAGATATTTGGGTAACGCCGATAATGATCCCCACAGCCACAATATAATGTTTCAGGATAGAAAACGTGGGAGGTATACCTCTGGCTAAGCTTTGGTCATAATCTGGTTCAATCTCAGTCAATGCGGGAAGAAATGACTCCACGGGTATAGAGTTGATGGCAGCATTCCGCTTTCAACGCTTTTTCTCCGGCTATTCACAAATCAGTCGGTCGGCACAGCACCAGAAAGTCTAAAAAGGAATCAGAAATTTGCTCCTTGGATCTACTGTCTATCACCAGCTAGCTCTTAGCCGTCCCCTAAGCCGTCCCCTTAGCCAAAGGACCGGAGGGAAATTACATTGGCAAGATGGATCTTTGCGTGCCGCCCGGAGGAGACCCCTGTATTTTTCGCCGCACTAGTAAATGATACAGTCACCAAGTAACCCAAGAAGCTGCTACGGCGCGTGCTCCGAAAAAAAAAAAAAAAAACAACCCGGCATCTTCTGAAAAGAGGTTTTGGACCCCAGACATTATCTTCTTCGGTTCATCACCCCTTACTATCTCACCCATCCATATATCGCACTCCATCCAGCGGAACTCCACCTATGTCGCTGAGATTATAGTATACAGCTACACATCCTCGGCCAGCGACTGTCCAATCTGACCTAATTCTTACCTGATTCTTTTCTCACTGTCGTTAACTCTCCTGGCCCTCGGTCGCTATCGCTGCTCTCAGCCACGCATCCGTGTCGCCGGTTGCCATATCTACGATCCAAATGTCATCCTCTTCGGATAACATCGGCTATTCTATTCGCAACAACGGCTCGTGTGCGAGTACAGAAGTTGACTGTGGCCAAACATGGTCTCCATTTCACGCATGCTGCCCGAGTGGCACATATTGCCCATCAGGACAATCAAATGTGATCTGCTGTGACTCAGATGCGGACTGTCTGGATTATTTCAAAGATGATCCACATTGCGCAAATAGCACTGCGAATATGTATAAGGCAAACGGATACTTCTGTTGTGCCGCAGGACTTTCGGCTTTCGAGTTAGAAAATGGCTTCGTCGGCTGTACAGACGACATATCTGTTCTAGGGACCGGAACAAAATTACTTGCCATTACATCTTCTGGCTCCAGTGCGTGCTATGCTGCTCCAAATTCTGTTCATCATAATACATATATAATACATACTAATGACGGTGTATTTTTTTAGCCTCTTCGACAGCAACTCCAACAACATCTTCATCATCTACAACAACGCCTGCCTCGGCTGCCGCAAGCACAACTGAGGCGACAACATCAACTTCTGCATCAACCTCGCCTGCATCAACCTCGCCTGCATCAACGGCTAGTGATGCTGTAAGCAACAAAGCTTCTTCGAGCTCAACCAATACTGGCGCGATTGCAGGTGGTGTCGTGGGTGGTGTTGCTGCCGTTGCCATCATCGCGGGGCTTCTTTGGTTTTTCCTACGTCGCCGAAATCAAGAAAAGCAGCCCCCTGAGCTCGGTGATTCAACTGCATCTGGCCAATTCCAAACATCTACCACCGGTCCATATAACGCACCTGTTCAAGTCAGAGGGCCTCCTATGACGGAGCTAGATAGTAATAAGGGTGCTGGAGCGGTTGAATTACCTGGACATGTGCAGTACGGGTAGAACTGTGGAGTTTTTCAAGTACAATTGGGACCTGGCTCAAAAGATCAGTGATGGCATTTATACGCCTCTCTTGTTAACTTTTGTTGACTTGAAGTGTGGATTTCTTTTGCTTTGGGGGAAAACTGGAGGTAATGAAATGACTGCCAGGTTGGTGATTTATTATATCCTGTTTGAATATTGCGTTGAGCGACATTTTCGAGTCACAATTCTCACTTGATTCACATTAATAATACGCCCAAACTATTTTAAACTACAATCAGGGTTGTCATTGAAGCCACAAAATTATCGGTTTTTATGGACTGCAAACGAGGTTTCAAATTCTCGCATGTCCCTTTCAGAGTTCTATTCAAGGTAAAAGATTTATTAGGTAAAAGGGTGTGATCACGGGCGTAGACAGCCCATCAGGATGTTGGAAAATATGAATATCCTGCAGAAACACTATTGGTGCCTTCTGGCCTTGCGAAGCGTTGATGATGCAAAGCCACAGATCAAACTGAATGGGCCATGTGGGAGGGTACAATTAGCAAATTCGAGGTACATGTAGTGAAACCGAGTTAGTTGTAGTAAGACTAAGGTAAATATAAGAGAATTGGGGTAATTAGCGATTCTTCTAAGAAACGATCGCAAACATCAACAGCAGCCGAGATCCTGTCGGACATACAGCGAGCGAACGAAGAAACACCAGTACCAAAATTCCCCTCAATCGATCAACGCCTCAAGAGGATCGAATCTTCCCTTATTCCAGATCAATCGGGTCAATTTATTGTGATTCAATTGTTGTTGAGAGGTCAGGTGATGCTCTCTGGTTGCTTAGATCAATGCTTGTCTCTTGCTGCTTCTTGTTTTCCTTCTTCTCTTCTCTCCACAACCATCAATACAATTTCTTTCTATCCGCTTTGCTTCTTGCACACCAGTATTCGTGTGCTTGTTTCTCTTTTCTTCACTTTTTGTGAGTCCCCTCTGATGTTTCTCCAGCTTTCAGCGCTGATACATCTGTCAACTGACTTCTCAACAACATACACCCAGAGACTGTCATACAACTGACAAACTTCAAATATGTTTGTGACCACAATCTATTCTCTCACAACTTCACACCTCACTGATGTTGAGAGGTCATGTGAAGTGAAGGCATTGTCGCGACTCAAACCCCGAATGAAGTGAGAGCTAACTGAGGACGAACTGAGCGATAAAGTGAGAGCTGATCGAGAACAGCCCGAGGTTCAGATTGCGAGCTTCGTGAGAAAAATTTGAGAAACGAAGTGAGAAGAACTTCGTTCAGTTGTCGTTGAAAAAGAAGAGGAATGAGAGAAGAGAATTGCGTGATGCTCTTTGGTTGCCTAGAGCTGTGCTTGTCTTTTGCTTCTTGTTTTCCTTTCTTCTCTTCTCTCCATATCACAAAACAATTGCTTCCTGTTCGCTCCGTTCTTTCTGCTCGTCATCACTGGTGTGCCTCTTTTCTCTTTTCCCTCGCCTTAGGCGAGTCTCCTCTACTCTTTCCCGGCGCTCCGCGCTGATGACTGATGAACGCACAGTTGTCATCCGGTGCTGAGTTGGCCAAGCCCGTCTCCGAACCTCGCACAAGTCCCATCAGCCTGATAATACAACCCACCATGGGCAAATAACTGACGCTGAACACCAATCGGGATTCCACCGTCTACAAAGTTGCGACTATGGCCTTGAACACGCCCCCATCGTTCCTGAAAGCATGTCAGGCATACCTTGACTACCAGCAAAATTTGACAACGATGTCCTTACCTCCCTACGGTCTCAATACAGATGGACAGGTGACAATCCAGTGTGGAGAAATCTTCCACCTCGTGCCTAATTGCCAGCGCCGCATGGTCAGTCAGTCGGTGTTATTATGGGCAGCTCCCGTGCATAATCTAGAAAGTGGGTTTTGACTAACATGATCATAGGATGCCTTCACAGCAACCAATAATCTACGGCACCACCTCAAGAAGGAGCACGGGTTAATACTGGCCCAAAACTTCATCTGGCAGGTTATCACAAAAGAAAAAGGACATTGCAATTAACTGGTACATTGCTCTCTTTTCCCCTACTCCCTCGTCTCCTCCTCTCCCTACCCCTTCCCCGCCTTCTCCCACCCCTCCTGCTTCTCCTACTTCTCCTACTTCTCCTACTTCTCCTACTTCTCCTACTTCTCCTACTTCTCCTACTTCTCCTACTTCTCCTACTTCTCCTACTTCTCCTACTTCTCCTACTTCTCCTACTTCTCCTACTTCTCCTACTTCTCCTACTTCTCCTACTTCTCCTACTTCTCCTACTTCTCCCCTTCTTATATAGAAATCGTGTTTTTGTTTTTTTACGTCGGGGTATTGACTACAGTTTTTATGTGTTTTGTCTTTTTCTCCCTTTTCTCCCTTTTTCCTTGCGACAAATTGAGATATGGGTTCTTTTCTTTTTCGCGTTTATGGAATAAAACTACTTGTCGGGTTTTTAAAGAGCCTAATATTCCTAAGTGAGCCGAGGGGAGATAAATAGCGTGATACTATATTAGGTAATCGTATCTAGCGTAAACTTGTAATTACAATCTAGACGGCATATTACCTGGTTCTTCGGAACATCTCTGGGAATGTACTCGTAAGTGGACCGAGAGCACACCCAAGACGGTGTAAAACTTTGCTCGAGACTAATTCAGAATTCGGCCAAAAATGACGAGATGACACAGCCACAGGTTGAGCTTAAATGTACTCGGAAGCCAGAGTCAAGAAGTCTGTGAAGCTAGTGGACACGAAGCAGAAAGAAATTCTCAAGGGACTTCGCGCTCGTGCAAGCCAAGCGATGGAATCTACACAGATGTTGGCGGATACGATTCAGAAAAAGGGAAATTTCACCAGTGACGACTCAAGATGTGCCACCAAGGCTGGTGCTGATGCCGTCAGGACTGAGGCCAAGGAAATGATCAACCAAGAGGAATGGGTTACCGAGACTGAGAATATAGCCATTAACGATCTTTGGTGAAGTTATCGTTGACATAATCTGTTGGTATACATGTTAGACTTTTTTTGCCTGTTTGTGGTAGCCATTTTCATTCGACTATTTATGTTTAGTAAAAGATCCTGTCAAAACAGCACCACCTCCTTTCCTAGATGCGCAAAGTAAACATCCCAGGGTAAAGAAGTTTCGGAAGCCCAGAAGTTCCACAAGTATTCTCGAGCTCGTGTGTAATTGCCCATTCCAAAGCTCTGCATATTGTTCATCCGACTTTGGATATATTCGCGTTCACTGATGATCTCAGTTTCGCAACCGGCTGTGAATATGGGCCATAATATGAGAATATTTGCCGAAGAAAAGAATCCAATTCGTTTGATGGAGTCGATAATACTCGTAACATCGTTCCTCACCTTAATGTGATTCCTCGGAAGGTTCTGAACGCGGCGATGCAAATATAGTAATGCGGAATGCACAAAGGCAAGATGAGTATAATGTAGCTCGGTAGCAAGATAGCCAATGCTGTTAAATTTTGCCTCGGAGACAGTGGCGCCAATTAGATGAGAGATCTTAGCCTCAAGTATTTCTGCCTCTGCAGCCACTTCCTGTGCCACAAGTGGTTCAACGGTTATTGACAATCGTTCCTGGCGCTGTGCTAACTGTGGCAACTGTGCAAGGAGTGGGGCCAGCTCTAAGGAATAGCCGCAAATATCATCAATTCCCTCAGCAGACTGGCTAGATATCTGCGCCAATAATCCATTTTGAACGGTGCGACGTCCCGAAAACCCAGCCAGGACATCCATGGTGATGCACCACTTCACCAAGCATTGGGCGTAAGGATCAATTTGGGCTTTTTCCTTTTGATGCTCCATAAATGCATTCAGCAATCGAATGACCCCATCAAGGTGGACATTCCATATGTCCATATTTCCGTTGCAGACATCATTTGTGCAGAGTGCCATTGCCGTGGTAACAGTCTCCGGCTTCAGCATCTCGTCTTCGTCTGCAAGCGCAGAACGCAAATTGAAGATGGCCAAATTTGTATATTTTAGACCGGCCACTATCGACTTTTGGTGGTTTTCTTGTTGAACAAGTCGGCTGTGATGGCTGCAGGCCGCTGCCAGCAGCGCATAGAGAAGGTGGGGCTTTTCTAGAGCACCCGAAATCATTCTTTGAAGAAATAGTGGTGGAGCCGCTGGGAATAGTCTGGTAGCAGTCTCGGTGCGGAAAAGGTTCATAAAAAACCGAGATTCTGGTGTTGACAAAAATGGGGACAAATACATGAGCGGCTGATGTACCACATGCCCGAATTTCATTATGGCGTCCTGTAAAGGGACGATAGATCCATTGACAGATAGCACCGCGCTGCTTGGTGAAAAATTGGCAGTATCATGACAGTCGTGGCTGTTCATATTTGGGCTCTGATTGATAATGTCCAGCTTGTACATGCACCCTTTCGGGTAGCGTGTACAGCGTGAGCATATGGGCTTACCCAAGTCGCACTTCAAATTAAGTTAGTTATATTGCTTGACTACCAGGGACAGAGAATAATCTACCTTGACTTTCTTTCTGCGACATTCTGTACAGCCATCTCGTCTCCTCTGTAAGTGATCGCCGGACATTGATTGCCACCATTGAACGTGCTTTCAGATATGTATCACGTGACAAAGTGCTTGAATATTTATGGCGGTAGAGTGAATAGTCATCAATTGTTAATCGCCAATTGTGGCTATGAGGCGAAGGAGGTCGTCATTCAGGATATTATAGTGATAGTGGATTTATTCGAACCTCGATAAGATAAAATTTGAGCTTACATAATAGTTGCCACGGACTTGCGAAAAAGACAATAAACCCCTGTATGACTAAGCCAAATCATCGTCAATCATTATTACCTTTCATTGCTTTTTACCCCAAGCTCACTCGCCCGCGCTGTGACGAAGACTGAATCGGTTTTGAATCGATTCGCCCAAAGGCTCTTGGCAAGTGGGTTTCAGCGTGGAGTGTGTTGCTGCTCCGTCCTCTCTTGAACGAACCGCGCCTTTAATTCGTCGGATCGGCAATCTATCCTGAAAGGGTTTAGGGCCATTCAAATGGAGATGCTCTCCAATTTGTAAACGTGCCGGCGACCTAAATCATAAGAAATCCGGGTTCTTCCATCGTAGTTCTAGCCTTTAAATTCCATTCATCAGAAACGACCTCCACAGAACCCACAGCACTATGAAATCCGCTGCCATATCGACCACAGAGGCGAGATCAAATGAAATATCACTGGAGCTCCCGGGCGCGATATCTGCAGACTATGACACTTGTACTGGTCGTAACAGTGAGAGCATTGCGTATGAGTATCCTGAAGGAGGTCTAGCAGCATGGATTGTGGTGGCCGGGTCTTCTATGATGCTGATGTGTACCTTTGGCATGATGAGCACAATAGGAGTACTCCAGTCATACTGGGAGATACATCAGCTCCAGGGATACTCATCAAGTACGATTGGATGGATATCATCGATCTTTGTCTTTCTCAATCTATCGCTGGGTTTTCAAGTTGGTCCCCTTTTTGATCGGTATGGACCCCGGTGGATCATGCTTGTCGGCTCCGTGCTGTACGCACTGTCCATCTTCATATTAGGATCTTGTGAGAAGTACTATCAATTCCTATTGTGTCTGGGTATATTGGGAGGAGCAAGCAGCGCATTAGTCTCGACACCATGCATGGCTATTCTTTCGCATTGGTTTCATCGACGCCGAGGGACTGCGACTGGCATTGCAATGGCTGGCTCCAGCCTCGGTGGAGTAGTCTTCCCTATAGCTTTGAGACAAGCACTGGAGCGGCTTGGGTGGACATGGGCACTCCGAATGCTGGGATTTGTATTCGTGGTTCTCCTTGTTATTGGCAACTTCTGCATTCGGAGTAGATTGCCGATCAAGGCACGGAAAGGAAATATCAGTCTGCGATGCTTTACAGACTCCCGATTTATATGGGCAACACTCGGAGCGTTTTGTATGTTTGAATTTCCCGTTCCTATTTGCATCTAGCCAGTGAGATAAGCTTATGGTATAAAGTCAGTGAGATAGTTCTTTTTGCATCGCTCGGCCTGATACCCTCATATGCAATGGCCCAAGGTTTTGATTCGCAGACCGGGTTCTATTTATTGGCTGTTTTCAATGCGTAGGTGGCACCGCTTCCCTCAAACACATGCATTTCCTTCGGAAAGCTGACCAAAAACCCAGTGGGTCTGGATTCGGACGGTGGCTTTCAGGAACCGCGTCTGATCACCTTGGCCGCTTCAATATGATCTCAACTATGATGGCAACGACCACGATCCTCATTTTTGTTATATGGTATCCATTTGGTCATCATATTGGCGTGCTATATCCTTTCATCGGCTGTCTGGGATTTGGTACCGGAAGTATTCTCAGCCTGACGCCTGTGTGCGTCGGTCAGATCTGTAAAACAGAAGAATTCGGCGAATGGTTTGGAACATGTTATCTGTTCGCGAGCTTTGGATGAAATAATACCCCCAGAATGACATTATGAACTGATATGCTGACTTTTTGGGATCAGGACTTTGATTGGAATTCCAATCGGTGGGCAGCTTCTCCAGGTAGCCGGCCCAACACGCCTGGTCGCATTCATCGGTGGCATACTTGGAATTTCTTTCGCGAGCTTTGTTGTTACCCGTTGGGCATGTTTGGGCTATCACTGGAAGTGGCAAGTAAAGGTATGAGGGAGTCGTATTCCAATAAGGTCTTATTCTAGTTATCCCTAGCCATCAAGGCAACAAATGGAAAGAGACAAGATAGATCACAGTATGAAAATTATAGTGCGATATTATCACGGTGCCTCTCCTCCCAGTAGCTTCTTCAAAACACGACTCAGCCGAACAACCCCTTCCAACAGGCTCTCCTCTTCAACATAGGAAAAGCACAACCTAATCATGTCCTCAAAGTCATTGTTACTAATATTCCCCTTCGGAAGACTAAAAGAGGGCCCTGTTCCGAAAACAATATTTTCCTCTTCTTGCGCAATATGGGCCACCTTCTTCGCCGTTAGCGGTGGAGGAAGTTTGAGCCAAAAGAAGATTCCGCCTGCTCTAGGACTAGAGATTGGTGACGTGTTAAAAGATACCCCTAGAGGGAGAAGGTGGGTTTCTATTGCCGCGAGTATGTTGAGATAACGGCGCCTGTATGCTAGAATCGTTGAGGCCATATGATCTTTCAAGGAGTCGCTAGTCATGAGCTCGTTGATAAAAGTTGACATGAGGTGCGATGGGGCTCCACCAGAGCGAGTTGATCCACTGTCAATTTTTTAGCATTGAAAAGGGAAATTTCGTTGTTCCAATACAGTGGACGAAACAAATTATGATCCGGGAATTGACATCTCACCTCTGAGAAAGGCCATGGATGAGTTTCTCGGCACCCTCTGCCCATCCAACGCGACAACCGGGGCCAACGATTTTGCTAAAACTGCCGTTGCTGATAGCGTTTCCAAACTCATCTTGTGGTCCTCCGTCCAAGGTTTTGTCCAGGTCGACAATTCGCGGCAAGATAGCCGCGGATGATTTAGGTTTTTCTTGGATTTGCATATCCGAACTCCAATTCAAGAAGTCATACACATCATCACTGATAATCAAAGCATCGTACTTCCGAGCCAGAAGAAGCAGAGATTCTCGTCGAGAGTGGGACATGATGATACCGGATGGATTGGCAAAAGTCGGGACACAGTAAATGACATGGGAATAAAGCTTTCGATAGGCACATGCAGCTTTAATAGGCTGAGCAAATTACGATCAGCGCCAATTTATTATTTTCGAGAAGTGTCATTTGGCAGTCTTACAGGTCTTTGCACCGGTGTAGAAGCGTTGAATTCTTCGAGTTCCGCTGCTAGTGCTTTTTCTAGAAAGGCAATGTCGACACCCTCCGCATCCTCGGGAACACCGTGTAACTTGCCGTTGAGTCCAGCATCTTCGAAAATCTGAAATGCGAGAAAGTAGGCCGGTTCAATGACCCAGACTTTCCGCGTCTTGATGGGATCGGTGAAAACTTGCAAGATACTGGCCATGTTCTGACTAGCGCCGCCGGTGATGCAAATTCGTTCCGCACATATGGAATGCGAGGGGTTGTAGAATCCAGTCAACCACTTGGCAATGTTCTCCCGGAGAGGAAAATAACCTTCATCGGGACCATAGATCATTCCTGGCTGCCATACTGTAGGGCTTGAAAGTACTACAGCTGCTGCCTCTTTCAAACGGTCAGCTGGCAGAAGGGTTGTAGCGGGGACCCCGCTCGCGAAGTCAATCAAATGTTTCAAAGACATATTATGACTAGTGTATTCAAGGGATTAGGGAAAGTTGGACTTACTTAAATAGCGCTTGGGACGCCGAAAGTATGGAAATGGAGGGTTTAGCGGGGTCATCCCAATTTGGATATGGATGCGATTCAACCAATCAGAGCCCTTGACCGGGTTTTCTCGTCTAATCGACTACAGATTCATATTTAAGGATTCCGATTCCTAGAAATTATTTTCTCTCAATCAAAATATTTCAATTATTTCTTTGCTTGACACTTCTCTTTCAATTCATCTTCAACATGGTCAAAATCGACGAATTCGCCGTCGAGCGAGTAAGGCCCTCTGATAACATCGATTTCTGCCACAACAGTGCTAACAGATGTGGTAGTGGATGGATGACTATGAAAATGATGCCAAATTCAATTTGGCAGAGACTTGCTGCGCCTCAATCTCCCTGACCGATCTCCTTGCTTTCTCGGGGAGCTCGGATCAGGAAGACAAGCTCTTGGATTTCTCGAAGAAGCAGGTCTATGGATCAATCCGAGGATCAACAGCTTTACGCACCAATGTAGCACGGCTATACTGTAGCGACTCGTCTACTTCATTGCCCGCAGATCAAGTTCTTATCACGAACGGAGCGATCCAGGCAAACTTTTTGGCTCTTTATACGAACGTTGGCCCTGGAGACCATGTTATTTGCCATTATCCCACCTACCAGCAGCTATACTCCATTCCAAAGTCATTTGGAGCCGAGGTCAGCCTATGGAGGTCCAGGGAGAATGAAGGATGGCGTCTTGATCTTGATGAGCTGAGATCGTTGATTCGTCCAAACACCAAGTACATCATTATCAAGTAAGGAAAACCTCACTTATCAAGTGAGATCTCATTCCCACTGACTACTACTAGCAATCCTCAAAATCCTACTGGTGCCGTTTTGAGTCGCGCAAACCTGCAAGGAATTGTGGACATCGCACGGGAGCACGGAATCATTCTCCACAGTGATGAGGTGTATCGGCCTCTATTTCATTCGTTGGACGCAGATAGCCAGGATCCACCATCTGTACTCTCCTTCGGATACGAGAAGGCGATTGTTACAGGTTCCATGTCTAAGGCCTTCAGTTTGGCTGGTATCCGACTTGGTTGGATCGCATCGTTGAGTCCTGAAATCGTTGAAGCCTGTGCATCTACCAGGGATTATACTGTGATATCCGTGAGCCAGGTTGATGATCAAATTGCCACGTTTGCTCTGGATAGCCCAACTGTGCATAATCTTCTGTCACGCAACATCGATTTGGCTCGGCGAAACCTTGCCGCTGTGGACGACTTTGTGAAGGATTTCAAGTGGGCCTGTCGATGGACTCGCCCTCAAGCAGGCACGACCGCTTTTATTCGGTTTTCTGACAAGGGAGGAAGCCCCGTTGATGATGTGGAGTTTTGCAAGCGTCTGCAGCAGAAAACCGGAGTAAAGTTCGTGCCTGGAAGCCAGTGCTTTGGGGGCGGAGTTGATTTCAAGGGCTTTGTTCGGGTGGGCTACGTTAATGAGCACCAAGTCATCATTGATGGCCTGAAAGCCCTCCGAGTTTTCATGGGTACTGAATATGCCGAGGTACCATTGGCATAAAATCAATATTCTACTCCTCTTTCAAGTGTTTCCAACGGGGAGTTGCTGAAAATCTTTGAAAAACACCAAAAACATACAACAGTTGCCAACTAGGGGTCACCTAGACGACACAGATGGATCTAGGATAACTGCCCCTACTACTTAATTTTACCTTGAGACCCTAGATATGCTGTTCGTCCCTGTACAAGCCACGGATTTGTCACAATACTGTATGGCAGGACCACAAGCTGATCCTGTCACGTTATAGCAAAGAGCAGGTTCCCCCGACTTAATTATGTGACCTACAAATTTAGCTTTCCCCACTTTTACCGGTCACTTTGGTTCTCAAATTGAAGCATGTGCGGCCTTAGTTTCCATGGCAAGGCCTACTAACACCAGAATGTAAATAGATTAAGTGGTGGAAATGGACATTGTGGCAGTGCCTGGATGGGAAGTAGGGTCGGGTCTGCAGGAAGCGAATACATCAAAGCTGTTGGTGACCTAGAAAACCAAGACCATGTAGATAAAGGGGACCGAAGGCCCATCCAGCCGGAAAATCTTTTATTTCTGGCGCTTTTTCTCCTTCTATTTCTATAGAAAAAAAATTGTCTATTTTTCATCCGAACTAATCCTCGAATTAATTTGTGGGGCTGTGGGGCCGCTCGCTGCTCGATTATTGGCCTAGACTATGGTTTCACTTCTATGAAAACTGGGGTGGTGCGCGATAGGTGTTGAGAGCCGATCTTGATCCGGCCCTTCAGGGCCGCCTAGCGATCCAGGTTCAAATCCTGGCCTTGGTACTACTTTTTGCTTTCTTTTCTCCTTTTGGCTTTCACTTTGCTTGTATTTTTACTGCTCTTTTGAAGGTTTGCCCAAGGCTGCCTTGTAGTAAAAGTCCTAGGCCATTTTAAGTTAGCATGAGCGGCTACAGCTATCCCTAACTATATAATAGCCGATGGTGGTCTACAAGGAAATCTTCAACTTAGAAGCCAGAGCCGGATGTGAATTTGGCAACCGGATTCCGCATAGCTTATGCGAAAATGCGCATACAAACATCCGGAAGACACCTCATTGTCAGTCTATTATTCGATTCTGTCTCTCTTGAATTCCTTTTGATGTATCCGTTCATGAATTTTCTCTAGGAGGGTCTATTTCCTTGGCTCAGCACCATGTGGATTTTCACCAGGGCTATCCCTATCTCTAGGCGTATACTTAGGTCCAATTTACTTTACCATGTCACGGGGAGCTCTACGACGATCAACTCTTCAACACCTTTAAGTTTTGGGATCATCCTCTAGGATAGTCCAAATAGGCCTCATGTGAAGTGAATATGTGAGACCGTGTCTTTCACAATGAAAATCTCGAAGAGAGAACGTAGGCTTGTATGTCCAGCCACTGCAACCCGAATTACAAAGACACAATGGAGTCTTAAAATGGAATTAAATGGGTTAGTATGGTTCTACAAGCACCAGGAATTATGTGTCCCTTATTAGATAAGTTGAGCTCCGATAACCTCTCTTACTCTGTGCCCAAAAACACCAGAAATCCAAAGATCATAACCAGCCCAATCACCAAAGACCAGTTGTTACGGGAACAACAATTGGTATGGCTACTGAGCACCTTGGAGCCTCTGAAACCATACAGTATCTACACATAATGATCGCAAAATTCAAGCCAAATTGGCGGCCAATTTATACTGACTTCTTTGGATGCGCTGTTCGCTGACTCAGCATTCAACCCGGGTAACCAAGTACTGTTCTCCCCAATTGAATGCCATCGGGTGGTGGTAGAAGAGAGTACTAAAGAGATTGCATGCTTGTTTTCCTTTGTCAATTTTTACTTCTCTTTCTCGTAATTTTTTTTTTCGTGATGACTGGATCTCAATTTGATCTATTCTATCATCTCCAGGAGTGTGTCGTCATACCAAAGGTATGCGGCATGCCGAAGAACAAAGAAATATTTGATATATTAGCTGCCATTGCTTAAGAAGCTTAGTTTGAAATAGCTCTAGATAACATACTAGATTATCGAGCTGATTATATTGCCTATCGTGTGATCTACGTTATTGATAATGATAATTTAATGTACCTAATACGTGTTAGATATTATGACGTCTTACCTGGCTGAAAACGAGGCAGAGAATTATATAATCAAAGGGGGAGCTTTAAACTCATTTAACGCCACTATATGACATCAAGATGAGAAACACAATCTTCAGCTGCCCCTTAGGGTCAAATTTGGCTCCGATGCGAATATAGTGACGTACACATGGAGAGCTAAGAATGATGTCAGAAACTCGAAGACGCTTCGGTGTCATTGGGACAAATAAATATCCTTCCTTCTTCCATTTGAACACGAAAACTTTTAGTCGAAGACCAATAAATCAAAGCCAATAATATATTCTGAAAAACAAATCAAGCTTAATCTTCTGGTGGAAATGCACAATGTCTGCTTCGATTACCACAGACGTTAGCAACTATGAGGCTAAGGGATTTGGCGATTCAAGCCATACGATGAAAGCCTTGACCTGGCAGGGGAAGAATTCGGTCAAAGTTGGTCAGTCATTCTGCCTAGCACTATATTCACTCTATTCTCAGAATTTCAAAAAAAAAAAAAAAAAAAAAAAATTTGTTTTCCTTGCTGATAAATTTGTTATAGTGGAGACGGCTCGCCCGAAGATCATCGATGAAGGGGATGTCATACTAAAGGTGACGGGCAGCACCATCTGTGGGAGTGACTTACACCTGTACCACGGTAAGTCGTGACTTTACCAATTAATCAATTGTCGCTGCATTTACTTATGCGGTATCGTTTTCCACTTTCAGGGGCCATTCCAGATCTGGAGAAAGGTGATATTCTTGGCCACGAATTTTGTGGTATTATCGAAAGTATCGGGCCAGGAGTCAAGACGTGTAAAGTGGGCGACCGCGCTGTGGCGTCCTTCCAAATTGCTTGTGGGAAGTGTTATTACTGCCAGAAGAAGTTATCCTCGATGTGTGAGCGGACTAATCTGAGCGAGGATGCCAATAAATTGTATGGGCGTCGCACAGCCGGTGTGTTTCCTCTCTGAAAGACCATGCTCATGCTAGGAAAATCTTTATACTAAACTCCGTGTTAGGCATGTTTGGATACTCTCACTTCACTGGAGGCTTTGCCGGTGGGCAGGCGGAATATGTTCGCGTCCCTTACGGTGACGTGAACCTCCTTCATCTGCCTGATGACGTCCCCGATGAAAAAGGGCTCTATCTGTCCGATGTGTTGGGAACATCTTGGAATGCTGTTGTCGACACTGGAGTTGAGGACGGTGACACTGTGGCAATCTGGGGAGCCGGCCCGGTGGGTCAAATGGCAGCTGAATTCAGCTTCTTGAATGGTGCTAAAAGGGTTATTCTCATTGACGGTGGCCCTGGGACATGGCGACTGAACTTCGTTAAGAAGATTTTACCCAAGCTAGAGACAATTGAGTATACCAACCTCCCACAGGGCGAATCTGTGGCCTCGACGCTGAAGAAAATGTGCGACGGGCGCGGACCTGACGTGGCGATTGAATGCGCTGCTGGAGAGTATACCAAAGGATGGGTTCATTACTTTGAGAGGCTGCTAGGTATGGAAACGGATACGTCTGAGCTCGTCAACGAGATGATTACCTCTGTCCGTGGGTACGGGCGCTGTGGTATCACGGGCGTATATGCTGGTTTCGTATGTGGTACCTTCCCTATGGCAAAACAATTTCGCTGACGTGACAATGCAGTGTAATCACTTCAACATCGGTTCCTTGATGGAGACAGGAATCAGTCTTCATGGCAATGGGCAAGCCCCTGTCCAAAAATATTGGAAGGACCTCTTGAAGTATATTCAGGAAGATAAGATCAAACCTCTGCATATGGTCACCCACCGGTTCAAGCTCGAAGACATGGAGACCATCTATGATTTATTCAATAAGCGTGACCCAGGTATGCAGAAGATTTTCGTTCAAACAAAGTTCTCCTCGCCCCCAGCACCAGGAGCGCCCGCGTTAACAGAACTCTGAACAACCTGTGCTGCATAAAAGTTCTTTTCTCAACAAGCTCGAATGTTTCACGTTTTTTCATTTTATTTTAATATTATGAATGAATTCAGCGCTCAAATAAGATAACCTTAATAAATATACCTATTGAAGTCATATCGTAGTCAAAAATAGAGCTACATTTGAAATGAACGCCTGGGATCAAGGAGTGTGCTACATACATTCGCTATTATGTATCCCTGAAATAATGAAGTCCAGACAACCCTCTCTGATAAGCTTGCTAGCCGCAGCAATGATGTCTCAGATCTTTTAGTCTCGTGTCTTGTGTGCTGAGTAGAGAAGTTCAAAATAAAGCTACCTTGTCTATACTTTGCCTAACTGTCAAGTGAAAGAAATCACGTTGCTTGTCATGTTTACAGTAATGTGATACTTAGGGACAAATTCATATAGGCATAACTCCATGACTTTTTAATATCTGACAATGATAAATGGCAAAATCTAAGAGATCTAAAGATGGCTTGACCTTTGCGGATTCGAGCGATGCACCCATGCGCGTAATTTAAGCCTCTTTCAAAGACAGAGTCAAGTCCTGGCCGACAACCTTTCCACCTTCCAGCTGCACCTTTTCCATAGGCTGAAACACGAAGAAGACGCGTAAAACTCCAGAATTGTTTTCCTTTTCAGTCACATTCCGCCAAGCATGAGCCGTGCCACGTTGAACAAACACATCACCCTTTTTCAATACCTTTTTCTCACCGGAGTCAAGGACTAATTCTGTAGTGCCGTCAATTACGACACCATAGTCCACGGTCTCTGTTCGGTGCATGGGAACATTTGCACCCGAAGGTACCTCAATAATCGTGCAGGACGTGCCGTTTGGCGGATTCAAAGGAGATGGATCCGAGAGCTGGTTTTTGTATTGCTTAATGTCAAGATTGGCTTTGGACTCTGGGATTGCAGAAGTTGGAGGGGAAAGCCCTTGCACAGGAAATGTGGTTGTGATATAGGCCAGAGCATAGTCTGAAGTTGGGGGCTTGCCAGGGGGAACTGGGAACCCAGTAAACGATACCTGCTCCTCGACCTCTTTGCTGAAGATGGCTCGGCCGCTTTTGGAGTCATGGGCTGTTATTATCCGACGAAGCGGCTTGGGTGTTCTTGTGGCTGACATGTTGAGTATAATATCAGGAAAGAACAGGGCGGATGCTTAGACTATCATCTGGCACGTCCCACATTCAGAATCAAATAAGATAAATTTGAGCCCAGCAACTTTTTATATCATGGGTTCTACGAGGTATATGACTTAATTGTGAGATCATCGTAATGTCAACAGTCAAAGTTAATGTTCGCGTCATAGGATGATATCACGAAGACTTCAATTAACCATCGATCATTTTAGCAGGGTCTACGGATCCGAGGAATGCTCTTCCCGCATGGTGGGATGTTCTTACAGGAAAGACTGCTGTTTATTTTGTTACAGTTTAGGTCATCATCGCCTCATTCAAGTAATGTACTGATTGGACATATCATGAACGAAAGTGAGCAGTGAAAATATCGAAATTTCATGGTGATTTCAGATTGTCAGCAAAGTTGCGTGGACAGCCGTAGGAAGAACATTGTTCTTTGGAGATATTCAAGGAGCAGATCTCATGGGCATTCTGAAAGTAAGCTAGATATCGCAGACCACAGCCCTCGGAATAAGCTTCCGGATTCCACATTGATTGATATGGGGAAATTGACAATCCGTGAGACCGCGATCCTTTTACTTGTTTGAAAGGTTTGCTTTCATCGAAGCTTTGAGCGATTCCAACCAATACTTACGGTATCACAATCATGACTCATCTCTCATTGCCAGTAAATGCCATACAGTTCAGCACGGATTACTGGGAAAGTACTACATTTTGACTGCTCAATTTTGAAATAATGTTGGTTAATTAATGTGGAGAGCGTGGTGGTTCATATCTGATTTTGATTATGCGACGAGAAGACCGTAATTGTCAATATACTGCACATGATCTTCCATAAACTGGGTCCTGTAGAATGCGATGTAAACCGTGGTGAAGTTTATGGGTATGAGGTTCAGGAACACGCTGAGGATGCGGTACAGTATTCGAAATTCGGATAGTAATAGATTTATCTAGTACATACCCGGGTATCTACTACTTACTCACACGAGACTAGCCTGGAACAAGAAGACTGTCAAAAAATTGATACCATTTCCTCACCCAAGATCAAGATTCTACTGTATATCTGGCTCGAATGAAGGATTATCTTGCATTGTAGCTTGACTTGAGCGACGTCATATAGTTATTCTTTGATACCTAGAAAGTAAAGCACAGTAGCATTCTGTCCACATTGCATTCAATATGCTACGCTGAATGTGGTTAAGGAGGTATTTAACTAGCTTTCATGTTCGATATCACACTCCTTTCCTTCCTTGTGGTTTGGGGAAAGGGCGAATCCGGCATAGCCGGAGATACCACAAGGCCCCTCTATCAGGTGACATTTCGTTATCTAAGATAGTCCCTGTGTAGAATCCCAGATATCTTGCACACATTCATTTAGGTACACAAAAGATGACTATCAGTCAGTACTGTTTAGGCGTTTGGTTTTTTCGTGAAACTTGACCTGTGTTAGGCGTGATGACGCCATAATCTTCTGTAAGCAGCTTATCGAAAGTCATTGATTCAATGGACGTCGCTATAATAGCAATACAGTCATATTCAGTTCTATCTTAGCTTGAATCTGACAACGCGATCCCTGTCAGGTAGGGCTTAGGGCTCATGGTGCGTACAGTATAATCTTGTGCGGGGTCGGCCGGAAGTAAACAGAATGAAGCGCGTCAATTATACAGGAGGCTCGTGCGTTTATACTATATCACTCTATCGGCTCGCACTCGCCTACCAAAGTTCAGCTTATTATTTCTCCCCAGCACATTTTTCATCCCAATCCTATTCGACGACCCGCCTCCTTTCTTTGTCTGGTGCTTTTTTAAATGGAACTTTCGACAATTTTTTAAACTGTCTAACGACGGTGATCATGCCGCCCAAGCCTAGTCGATTTACTTTTATTCTCCGTTCATGGGGTCTGATATGGTTATCTATCTGCCGTAGGTTTGGTCATACCCGCCCCCAAATTGCACCTATTAATTATCCCTCCCTTACAGTGCACTGGGAAGCTCTAAAACGAGCAGTTCATCTAGAAGGTCTCGCAGCACTTGGCCACCCACGACAAATCCAAGATGCGGCTTCAGCAAAGCTGCTCAGTTTGACCTGTAATTATACACATCTGCCAGAGTTTCCCTGGCCTGGCTTGAGCAAATAGTAGACTGACCATTATGCACAGCTGCCAATTTCATCGCTTACGAGAACACAACTGTTGTTCCCTCGCTCGTTCAAGCCGCTGATGGCGTTGTTCTCGAACTAGGCCCTGGACCAGGAAATCAGATCCATCGTTTTGATACCGCTCTTGTTAAGCGAATCTATGGCATTGAACCTAATCCCCTCTTCGAAGATGCCATAAATGCCAAGCTAGAGAAGCATAACCTGCGCGATAAATATAAGCTTATAGCTTGTGGCGTTGAGGATAGTGATGTTCTGAGAGAAGAAGGCATCACGGAGGGAAGTTTGGATGCCGTTTTATGTATCCAGGTCCTGTGCGCTGTGAAAGATCCGAAGAGCGTTATGAAGGAGGTGTGGAAGTTGCTCAAACCTGGAGGCAAATTCATATTTTGGGAGCATGGATCGAGCAGAGACCATTTTACGAATGCATTGCAAGGTATGTCTGCCAACTTTTCTCTGTTCCGGTTAGGATTAGAGTCAAGATATCTGTTTTGGTGTGAACAAGCTAAATTTAAGAACCCTTAGCTTGCTGGAATCCTATCTGGAGCACATTTGTCGGATGTCATTTGACTAGAAGTGTCGTGGGGGACATTCTCAACAGTGGAGAGTGGGAAAATCCACACGATATCGAAGAATTGGAGGAACCCTATAGTTTCCTACCCAGGACTCAGGGTGTGCTTGTCAAGAAGAAGGACTAAAGAGACAATGGTCAGAGCGAATCCACTCGAAGCAAGCCACTCATGCCTGGGACACGGGGTGCTACATGAGCACTACTACACAAATGAACCAAAATGTCCCTGTGAGCAACTATCATCATCTCTCTCATCAATCTATTTTCATGAGAACCCAGTACATACGACCATAGGGTGTGGAGAACAGGGCTTCCCGTCCGCTCAGCCGTACTTAAGCCACACGCCGGTTAGTTAGTAGTATGGTGGGTGACCACATGCGAATCCTAACTGTTGTATGTATTATTTTCTTTTTTGCTTGTTCTTTTTATTGAGTGTTTTGGATAAGAATTTTGGAGACTAGTTGAGAAGTAAGAACGGAGCACCGGTCGAGGCATCACCTACTTTCTAGGTATATTTTACTCCCTAGCTGGACTACACTCAACTCGCCAGTACTCAATAATGTATTTGACACATGATTCCTTACTTGTCTCTTTATTCATGACACTTATGTCCTAGAATCTTTGTGTTTCGATATATCCAGTCCATTGTTGACACTTCACTCATAATTTTGTGATACGGGTCAATTAGTAGTGAGACTCGCGTAACGAATCCTTCATCGTCTATTTTGACGTTATAGATCTTGTTCAAGGTACCTTGGGTAAGAAAGATCACTTCAATCGCGCTTGATAGCCGTATTGTTTGCTTGACAGCCCCACTGTCAAGTTCAAGGGTCCGTCGAGGCTCAAGACCCATAAATCTTCACTCCGGGCAAGGCCTTGAAGCTGGGCCACTGACGGCTTAATTTTTGAAGGGTTGAGTGCGGATGATAGGGGAGTTGGCAAGGTTCTCAGATTGTCCGTAGTGCCATTCACTGCAGATTCGCTAGGTCGGGTCGAATGACTACTATGTAGATCATAAGCATCATGTGGCCACCGAATTGCAATGACGGTCGTATGTCTCTTTCTTCGTCAGTTTTGCATTCGAAAATATTTTCCTATCTACTTCCATGTTCAGAAAATTACGTTCTCTTTGTCCAGGAAGTCGGGTTGATTCAGCTTATCGCAGTATATTTCGATACTTGAGATCATCATATATGAAATCCAAAGGATAGTCCGTTTCTCATAATCAAATGCATTGCTTTCATGCCAATAAATCACTCTTTCCTTGTAGACGAGTAGCCCAATCATGAAGGATCTGACGATCTTGGAAAGTCATCGGTTTTGAGGTTTTCCCCTCGAGCAACTTGCCATCCATGATCAATCGCAATAGCTTTTGACCAAGACCCAACCGATTATCCAGATCGCAACCATCAAAAACAGCCAGGCAATATCGGGGGTAGGATTGCTTGAGTAAGCGTGCGGGGGTCTTGAGAATAATTCCACCGTGTGAAAACTTTTTTTTGCCTCCCCCAAGCAACGCTCGTATGATCTTATTTGAGCTTTCATTGGCAACTGACATTTTACGTAGCTTTCTGGACCGGTGTAGTGCTAGAAGCAAAGGATTTCCGGGTGAACAAGATTCCATGTTGTTCCAGAGGTTAGACACATCTTCATCCAGGTCATAATGCTGCCGCCATTCAGAGGATAAAGGCCCAGTATCTGGAATGCGTATTGGTGGAGATATACCCAGCGTGAGACGTGAATCCCTAACTGCTGCTCTGATGAAGTCTTGGCCTGGTCCGGTTGCCAATGATAGTACAGTCTCACGTACGTTCGAAATATCTGGGCGGCGTGAAGAAACAGAATATCCTTTTCCACTTAACCGTTTCAGAGTTCGAATAACACCATACGATGCGGTGACGCATGAAATCTCTCGCACGGTATGATAGTCACTTGGCGGAAAGTATGATCGGAATGAAATGTGCGCAAACACCAGCTCGTCACCATTAAGCAATGGAGATTTGTTGCTTGCACCTATCCAAGACATTTCCAATTGAGAGATAAAACTTTGGGGGAGTAGCATCGGACGATTAACATTGAATGAATCCAGCAGATTGGTGGCATTTCGACTGACGTCTTCATTCCCTGAGCTGGGTAATTTCAGGAGTTCAGTCAATTCACTGTTCGACTCTGGCAATGTCAGATGGCGAAACTTGAAACATATCTCGCCAGTGTCCCGAATGACTGTTTCAAGTTTTGAAGGTTGGGTAAGATCTTGGTCATTCTCTGGGGCTGAAACATTTTCTGATATAGTAGTTTCTTCGACCGAGAGCAGCCGAAGGATGTCTCTGTGGAGGGTATGCCAAGCCCAATCACATATTAAGTCAACTATCAAGCACAGCTGCAATGCACAGTCATCCCTCAGAATGCATCCGTGCCAGAGATCGATAATTCGCTGCTTGATTGTGAGTCATGGATCTTGAATGTTTTTCAAATTCTTACTGTTTCGTTTCCATCGGGCACACAAGCATAGACTATCCATTCCTCGCCACGGAATGCCAAAAACCAGACCAATGCTGTGTCTGGTAGGCCTTTGCACGTTTCTCGAAGACTCTTTTGGACATCAACAAGCCTTTTGATAGGGAGGGCGGTTTGTCTCTCAACAGAACTAAAGCAGGAATTGTTCTCGGCTTTAGCTTCCAGGACGAGGAATGGAAACAAGATATTTCTAGCATCTTTCACAGGACTAGGGCTTAGATCTGGATGCCTCTGGAGGGCAGCAGCCAGTGATGGAGTGTTATCAAAACCGATAACACGATCGGGATATTGAACCCTTATACCAGCAGCTGATCGGTCAACAAACCCTGGACCCCGTTTCTCTGCAAACAGGTGGTGGGAGGCAGCCTGTTGAAGAAATTTCATCAGGTGAGTCTTTACCCTTGAGCAAAACTGGTCCTGTGGTCTTACCCTATCTCCATGTAGACTATTTCCAATGCACTTGCAGAGCGCCAAGGTTGATTGTGTTTCTTCCTCCACTCGGCGTTCTGATAGCCATCGCCATCGTAGCAATTTGCACTTTTGGCTGTATTAATCAGAATTTATCCCTTGTTCAATGGTCATGTTATATCTCACCACTCCATGGTATTGGAAAATGTGCTCAAAAGATGGTTTTCTGTCTTGTCTCTCCATGTGTCTTCGTTTGTTTCTTCAGCTCGACATTGCTTCGCAGCAGAAACAAGATACTCGGCCTTGTCTATAGTTTCTGACTTCTGCGAACTAAGGGGACGAGTTGATTGAAATTGTTGCACGTATTGGTTGTACTTCACATCTTCGATCTTCCGGATGGCAGAGAATAGAGCGGAATGACACTGGGGCCATTTAGTGGAATTGATTGGGCCCTCAAAGCTGAGTTTGTTCTCGTGAATGAATTGCTTTTTTCTTTCCTTTTCACTCTCCGATGCTGGTGACAGCCTTCTCTTTTTAGACTGGGCCATGGCGATGTCGATTCAAAATGAGGAGATAATATTAAGTGAAAACTTAAGTTTCGTTCGGGTGTTTACGATAGACTGAAAATCTCCCTATTAAATAGAAGCACTGGGGATGCTATCTTTGGGGGCCTTGCACTAATTATTGCTCAGTACATAGCCGCCCACGATCATTTCAATGTAGTTCATGCAGCTCCTGCACTTGCAGGGAGTAAGCGGGTAAGCTATGGTCACGAACAGGTGCTAGTCAATACAATGCATATTTTAGCGTGATTGCTGTTACCAACTCGTTATATTTAGGTGAACAGGCTATAAATATTGTTTGAACAAAATGTACCTCGAGGCGCTTAGTTATAATAGGTTATCATTTCTCCATGGCAGAACACCCCCTGTTTCACATGTCAGGTGTTCGAGCTTTATCGAGGAAACTCATGTTATGATACATTGATTCGTTCGTAGCCATCGTCCCAGATCTGAAGTAGATCATTTCGTGGCCTCTTAGATAAAAATATAGCGGGGGAGGCTTGAGATCTGATTAAATAAGGGATTTGCCTACCACCACATCTTAAGACCCATCGGCATACTTGCCACTTATGGGTGGCCACCATTCCTGCAGTCATCATTGGTGTGCATCTCATGCAAGATCACTTACTGTATTTAGAGGTAAAGTAAACCAGCTGATGTCTCGGGACAATTATAGTAATCAACTAAAGTAGTGCAATAGTCTGGCTAGATTGGCATGACATGTTCATCGTACACTCAACTACTTCAAAGCGAACACCAATCCATCCAAATATCACCAAGAAGCCCCATATCTGAATCATTTAAAAGAACAAAAATAGATATAAACAAAACCGCTCTACAAATAAATGTACAAATAAATGTAGAAATAACTAGGTTAAAAGATCAACACTGACTCATCCAACTCATCCTACCCAGCCAAAAGTAGAAGGCGGTAACCCCGAAAAACCGATGATGTATTGCTCTCCACCCGCAAACAGCTCCAACTCAATCAACTACAAATCACCAACCCCTCACAAACAGTCATCATGCTCTCTCGCAGCGCACCCCGCCTACTCAGACTAACCAGTCGCATCGCCCACCAAACCCCTCTCAGAAACCCGCAATCCCTACCCGCTCTGGCCCTCGGCCGCAGCTCCCGTCCTTTCCACATCTCTGCTCCCAGAGCTAAGGGAATCCAACCCGACTCGGAGAACCCTCGTGCTCCGAACCCTCAGACTGGGTCTGTCGCTGGGGCTGGACTGCATGTTACTGAGCCTTCGCCTTTGACGCCGGAGGAGTACCACGATTACTCGGAACATTACTTTAATGTGTTGATTGCGGAGTTAGAGAAGTCGCAGGAGGAGGGGTCGGACGTTGAGGCAGAGTATAGTGTGAGTTTTTTCCGGGATTCTTTTGCCTTATAATTAGTTCTGTGGTCTTCAAGCTAGACTAGTCGCTCTGCTTGAGCTCTTCTTTTCTTTGCTTTGTTCATACTGGTGCTGGTACTGATATGATTTGCGTGCAGGCTGGTGTCCTCAACATCACTATTCCTGCGATAGGAACTTACGTTCTCAACAAACAACCTCCCAACCGACAAATTTGGCTCAGCTCACCTATCTCCGGACCGAAGCGGTATGATTGGATCCTTGAGGGTGACCGCATGCATGAGAAGCAGGATACTCGCGAGTTTGCGCATGGGCAGTGGGTCTATCTGCGTGATGGTAGTAATCTGACAGATTTGTTGAATGGTGAGATGTCGTTGTCTTTGCCGAAGGATATTTATGGTGTGCTGCTTGATGATTAGATCTGTGGCTACCTTACCTTACTTGTGGCCATATCATAGTATCGGGGTCTTGATACATATGTAGTTTTATGTGTTATAGTGTTAGAGGAATTCAGAATCTTCAGCCATGCATTGGATAGATTAGATAGTCTAGGATTCGAACTATATCATGCTCTAGTTCATGGTATTGACTATTTGACATCAATTTGGTGGACTGCATGACCTGATCAGCAGGCTGGAGTTGGAGATGCCTCAGTACAGAGTAACATGCCCACCCAGTGCTTGCAAGCGGGAATATTGATATTCTTTGACGATGAGGAGGAACGTCTTCGGAGGCTGCATGGCCACGGTCGACCAAAAGTCTGCGCTAGTGCGCGGCGGGGGTAGATGTTTGTCCCAGAGTCTCCGAAAATTCGCCAGACCCGCTGTATCATTTGCACAAGACGTAGAACGGCAGAGTAAGCCGAGCGCAGCGCAACGGGCTTGCTGCTAAAGGTCCCGGTATCACCAACATCTTCGACTAGAATATCGAGTGCTCCAGCTTTGCGTTTGCAAAGTATAAATTCACTTCTCGATCCGAAATCTTCAAGCCTGCACAGCAACACCATCAGTCTGCTGGTTATCCGGCTTAGGAAGATCGGCCTGGAAACAAATATGTTAGTGCATCCATCGGCCAAAGAAAACATGTTGTTCACGAAGCGCAAATGTGTCTGAATCTTGTACATACCAGATCGAAGATAACCCGGATCATCAAACTGCAACTTGGGCACACGCCGATATCCTCTCCGTCGCGCAGATCGTCGATGGCGATCTCGAAGCGGTCGCCGCACGGGCAAGGGTAATGGTAGATCTGCATCGCAGGATCGAAGGTCATATCTTCGATTTCGATCTCGTCGTAGATGGAAAGTGAGTCGTCGGCCATTTTGACGGATTTATGGTTTGTCTTTGGGATTGTCGTGAGTTGGAGAAATGATTATTGTTCCCGGTGGCGGACAAATTTTTGGCGGGGTGGTCATGTGATGAGGAGATATCAATCTATGGGGATTTTGATTGGTTGGTATCGGGTCTATACTGTGCCTGGATGAATGGAAACTTAAATTACCATCTTTGTTTATGTGGCATATACTGGGTTCGAGATATATTATCCGGTCTGTTCTTGAAGCTTAGACAGGTACTCTAATTTACTCTCCTGACCTAGCAATATCCATTTTCACTGCCTCAACCTCCTTAGCAAGCACCCCATATCTTCGCGCAATTTCCGCTAAGGTGCTACTCCGATCAATACTACTAGACTCGGAAGCCGCTCCCTCAACGTCCCCATAGCGCCTTAACTCTTCGATAGCTATCTCGCTCCGCTCATCAAGCTGTACCCTCGTCTCACGAAGATGCTGCTGGTAACGACCAAGCGCAGATAACGTCTCGGGTGTGTATAGGGTAGCGGCTACTTCAAGCTTAGTGACCCTGATTGAATTCTAAATTAGCGATCCCAATTTCTTGTCATTTCCCAAACACCATTTTGCACGTGATGAAGTGCGGTTTCGAAGAGTACAGGGAAATAATACTCACTCTAATTTGCTCTCAAGCCCCTGCGCCACAACAGCCAAATGCTCTGCTCGAGCCTTCGTCGCCCGCGCCAGAGCCCCATGCTTCACCCGCTCTAGAAGGATTACCGTCTGTTCCATCATCTGTGCCTGCACGGAGAGAACCTCTGCAGCTGTCGCGGCCATCTGGCGCCGCGCTGAAGGCAGATCTGATAGCTGGATGCTGCGAAGGGTACGAACCCGATCCCGAAGAATAGAGGACAGAGGCGGAACAGGCTTCATTGAGGTTCTGACACGGCGATCTCGGGCGCGGGCGCGAGAATAGTGGTTCGAAGAGGAGCGGGATAGGGCGGGAAGGGCCCGTGATGATTTAGGCTCTGGCTCGGGTTCAACGGCAGCGGAATCGTCAGTAGATAGTGCTGCTATCGCGCGAAGGTCGTGGATTGCGGTTGACAGAATTTGGGAGAATCGGAGGATAAAGGAGGGTATATGAGAATAGAAAGTCTCAAATTCATTGGAGAGAAGGGAAAGCGCGTCGTCTTTCCCCTGCCCCTGCTCCGCATCTTGGGATTCTTGGGATTCTTGGACAGGAGTGTCAAGCTCGATTGCGGCGCGGGGAGTTTCGAGGTATATGGATATTATGGCAAGGTTATCATGACACTGGAACCAACAAAGTATTGGGTTAGTGATATCTTCACGAGTAGGGTGCGTACATGACGCAATGCGCAAATGGCGGCGGTTACCAACCTCATCATGGAGATCGCTGTCGGACGCGAAAGCTAGCTGCCTGAGCATACGCTCTTTGATTCTCTTCTTGGCATTTTTCATTTGACATTGCTTCAGGCCCTGTCAAAGAGAATGATTAGATCTCGGCTCTTATGCATTGTTTACTGCATGTTTCCACGAGTCGCGGCTAACCTCCACAACAGCTTCCCGAGCGGGGTCTGCGCTGGCACGGGTTGAGCCATCAGGATTCAATAAATGGGTGGTGATATTCTCATAAAGTCGTTTGAATTGGGGGTTGTGTTCCAGAATGGAAGGGTCGCAAGGGGGTATCATGGTGGAATGGGGGAAAAGAAAGATTCACCGCCAAACGGAATATCAACAATGCAAAGATCTAGTCCGTACTACTATTAACCGCGATAGCGTCTACTTAATTGTGCATTAGGGGAATCTTTACTTTGATACTCTACGAAGGATAAAGCAATTGTAATAATAGTTTTGATTAACGATTTTTGACATTCCACGTTTCTTTCGTTATCGTACAATGAAGCTCCTCACTAGCTTCAGCTTGATCGGCTTTTTTCCATCCTCGTATCGAGAACCAAATAGCTTCCCTGGCGTGCTTAGGGACTTGGTAGAATGTACACTCAGGTATTGGTCAGAGGGAAAGGAAAGAACATCAAGCAAACCCAATTCCATAGATCCGGGGCAAAGAAGGTTTCAAGATTGAATGAAGCCCGGCGGAGTCGAGGCTGTGGGTGCCGGATCCAGGGATATTCGAAAAGATAAAAGAAAAAATAAGAGAGAAAAAAAATATGTACAATGGGGGTTTTCACTGGCATATGAAAACCAGAGGCACGAGGGAGCTGCATGGAAAAAAATTGTAGCAACTGCGAACCCTCGAAGATTGTTTCGAAGCCAGAAAAATTTTGGCAGGAATCTGAAGGGGAAAAGAAGAAAAGGAGAAAACAAATTAACGCTCGGAACGCAAGTCAAAGCAAGATGTCCCTTGCACCTAAGAGACAGCAACGATCGATGCACGGAGCATTTACTCCTCCTCGCTCTCCTCAGAATCCTCGTCCGACTCATCCTCGCTGGACTCGTTGTTCTCAACCGAGGGAACCGGAGCACCTCCATCGGCGAACCGGGAAAGATTGCTCTGGAGGGTGTTGATCCGGGCCTCTTGCTCGTTGCTGCTCATGGGCTTGTTTTTCTTGGGCTTGGGGGCCGCGTAACCGGCAGCTGGAGTGGTGTCCTCATCATCCATGATGTGGGGCACGTTCTTCTTCACAAAATCAAGAAGCAACAACAGGACGTTGTTTGGCAGCTCATCAATGTCGAGCTCGATCTCGGCTTCTTGGGTACCCTTAATGAACATGTGTTAGCAACTGGGTGTCGAGGTGACATGGGAGAAAAATTGTTCTGAGGCTTACCTTAAGAGCAGGAACGTTGCTCTGGATAATTCCGAGCGCCTCGTGCATCTTCTTGTCGGGAAGGCTACTGATGCCGTTGGAGATAATCTGCTTTTCGTGATAGGTCACAAAGCGGGCCTTATCCTTGTAGCCCTTGCTGCTGCTCTTCTTGTCCTTCTTGCCGATAGTACTGCTGCTCTTCTTGATCTCCTTCTTGCCCGACTTCGATTTGCTAAGCTTCTTGGCGGGGGGAGTCTTCTTCTTTTTCTGGGTGATCATCTCCACCTGGCGGGACATCTCTGCGATCTGCTTCTGCAGTAAGCTGAGTTTCTCATTGTCCTCGTTGTCGCTCTCTTCCACGTCTTCGTCACTTTCCTCTTCATCGGAATCGACTTCTTGCTCATGCTGGGGCTCGTGCTTCTCCAGGTACGTCGGCAATTCTTTCCACTTCTTATCGAAAACCTCCGACAGGCTCTCACCGGCCACGTAGGTCGGGTCGCCCTTGAGGTTGAAACGCCAACAGTTCTTGAACATCAGGCGGATATCTTGCTCAAACTCCTTAGCATTCTCATATTGGCCGGTCTTGAGCTTAGACTGGATGGTCATCAAATCCATCGGCTTCTTAATCACGTTATGGTAGGTTGGAATGTTGAGAGCAACGGGGTCCACAGGGTAGTAGAAAGCGATCGCAATGAGCTGATACTTTGGCTTGTGGAGCTCATCGAGAACCTCCTGGCAAAATCGCAACTCCCACTGGTACTTCTTCTTCTTGGGCTTGGTAGAATACGGCAGGTCTCGCTTAGGAGGGTGGATGGATCGCTTGGGCCGACCATCAGGGTTGAACGAATCGCGACGAATGGTGGGCAAACCTTCGGGGCCCAGCGCAAAAGTGGTGGTGGCACTCTGGGGTGAGGTTGCCTTGGGAGGCTGGCTGCCAAGCGACGTGCGAGGCTCCCGTCGCGCAGCCGAAGTCTTCTCCGAACTCTTCTTGGGCTTCTTTTCCTCCACCTCATCGGGTTTAGGAAGATTAACCATCTGCTTATCCAAAGTGATCTTAAGCTTCTGGCCCTCTTGAGTGACCAGGTGGTCCGGACCATTGAAGCGCAAAGAGTTATCAACCATCAAAGCAAAGTCATCTTCGAATGCTTTTGGGGAAGAGTACACGTTGGCCTTAAGCTTTCTCTCGATGGTACCCAAATCCATGGGCTTGGTGATGACATGAAGGTAGTTCGGAATGTTCAGCTTGATGGGATCCACGGGTTCACGATAGAAACGCGAATCATGCATACGCTTCAAGCTTGATATGCACTTTGTGAGAAACTTGTGTTGTAACTTAGTGACGCCAGACTGGGCGGCAGGCTTGGGACCTTCCGGGAGCTTGACAGCAGGGGTTCCGTTCTCGCTGGCCACCTTGGTACGCTTGGCCGCAGGTTCCTCTGCAGGGTCTTCGGAGCGTTCGCGAGAGGCTTTGGATGGAGAGAGCGGTGCACTGGAGGCATCCTTCATTTCATAATCGGTCTGGATGGGTGGCAGGGATGGTGTCGCACTCTCTGCAGTAGGATGATGGGGTAACTCGGTCTTCAAAGGCTGTGGTGCAGGCGCATTTGATGGGCCATCAATCTGCATTTCGATATCATTGGCTCCGTCGAATGAAGTAGCGACGGGTCCGCCAGCCGGGGTAGGGGCAGGTTCGTTGGAACCAGCCTTATCTTCGGAGTTCACGGCGGGAATCACCGACTCGGGGGCCTGCGATCGGGCCGGGGTCACTGCCTCGGATGAATTCTGGTCGGCCATGGTGGGCTCGGCAGGGTTCTGCTGAGCAGGCGCAGAAGCAGTGGGGGCATCGGAAGCAGGTGCGGGAGATTTGGGGGGAGATGCAGCACTACCCGTGCCGTTTGTTGTAGACGCAGCAGGCGCATGACCGTTACCATTTACTATGGAGTTGTTGTGTTCAGTCGGGGTGTCTGTACCGGCCATTTTGACATCTGCAGTCGCACTACACATAACGCGATCGAGTCAGCCCACATTGCCCAGTAGGCAGCCAAGGACATGCATAGGAAGTACTCACTTGGCAGGCGCAACATCAGGCGCAGTGACTCCGGTGGGAGATGGAGGAAGCTGGGGCTTCTCCTCCTTAAGCACAGGAGGAGCCTCGGGAGGCGGGGTCGCCATGAAGACTAGTATCCAGAGTGAGATACAAGCTCTATGGTGATGTCACAGACACAGGTTCTTGGGGATGGACGCGTTGCGAATTTCTCGAAAAGACTGAATACACACTTCCGCGCACAATCACAAGCAAGTTGTGAGAGATGGCGCGGAGACGGGGGCGTGAACACGCGACGGGAAAAGCGCAGAGTGATAAGGAGAGAGTCGGGGGATAAGAGAAGTGGAGAATGCGATCGGAGGTGAGGAATTTATACCGCCAAGAAAGTGGTGAGGTAATCACGTGGGCGGTGTAGGAACACCGAAGTAAGTGGAAACCCGATGAATAACAGCGATTGCGTGAGTAAAGAAATGAGAGAAAGAGGAAAGTGGATCACAGAAAAAAGAAAATCAAATAATAATCAAGCAGAAGATTAATTCCCGAAAAGAAAGGGGAAATAGGAAAAAAAAATTGGTGGGAATGGGGAGCCTTAATAAAAAGGGTCACGCGTCGACGCGAATATGTAGCGCGTCTTTTTAATGTTTATGAGAGACCAGGTAACCAAGGATACGGGCGGTCAGCAGCAGGAGTTAGTCCAGGACGGAAGCAGAACATCGAGCGGATGGGGATGCCAGAATCCTTAAGTACAGACGGCCGCCTTGCTCCCTCCTCCTGTGAGTTCCACCAGCCACGCTAGGCCGGATTCAACTGGGTCCACCCCTTTTTTATTGGCGCTGGCCTGATGCGGCCCCTGGATGCTTTATGCTGATTGGGTGATTGTGAGTATGGCACTGAAAATTTTTCATTTCATCATTGACTCCGTGAATGGGTACGACCTGAGAAAGATAAGAATAGAATGAAACTCATACTAGTGTGAACATCTAGTCGCCATTTTGAGGGGTGCTTTTGAGGATATTCGATTGTGATTCTTTTTCCATGCGAGGGATACTCCTGTTCATACCAGAGAGGGTTTCATGCCTGGTGTTGCCAACCCTAGGGTTATGCCTGAAAGCAGTTTAGCGTCGTGACGAGTCGACTTCTAGACGTCATTCACGTGATCTGCCTTGGCGTGGCTGGATACCAGATACCAAGAGTATACACCGTACACTGTGCAGGATATATACTCCGTGGCATCTTTCATGTGTTCGTTATATGTATATTTTTAACTCCCGAAGTGGAATCCCCCTAGCTGTCATGGACCCCCTTTGTCCACTCATTAGAGGTATTTTAAAATCAATCAAATAAAAAGTGGTCTGCGGCTGACTGTGCAGCCAATCGGCGAGGCGGCGCCTGGGCCCTTACAGATTAGGCAGAGTCACATGTGGCCCATACAGGTGACAAAGTATACAACTGAAGTAAACAATGGACATGTATGAACAGATCGGCAAGGTGGAATGGGGTAATCCCATGACTCACTTCAAGGACATGCGAGTACTGCTTCAACTCTGAGAACTCCAGGCACATATCTCCTGTCAACATCAGAGCGTATTCAACAAATATTGCCGTTTGAAAATACGATTCTCATAGAAATTCACATAGATCTGATAGGTGGGCTTTTCTAATTTAAATTTTCCCTATTTTGATCAACTCTAGAAAATCAGTGTTTTACCGCGTTTGTCAGGCCGCGCCTGTATACTGCTCCATCTTAAACACGGCCATGTAGGTTGCCAAGTTGGTTTCATAGATAGCTAGGAATGGAAGCTGTCTAGGGTGATTGATTACTTCTAATTTGACCTCCTGAGTATTTTCAACTGCTCCTTCGACCTCAGGTCCCAGTCTCCGAGTCATATCTTCAAAATTACTCCCAAGATGGATTGCCTCAATTTTGAATGTTGATATATATCCCTCGGGCCTACATGCGTAGACTAGATAACTAGAGCGAGTTATCGTATTTCCACTCCTACCTCCCTGCACACCTTAACATTAATTGATCAAGTCGCACTTTCAACTAACTTAACTTCTTAATTTATTGGCTACTTATTTACAGCCATTTAAAAACCAATTTAGACCTGTTTTTCCACATTAATTCCCTTCCAAGGATGGAATGACCATCATTTCCAAGGCGATCCTCCCGTGCTGATTAGATAAGGACCTCATCCACACTAATCCATATGTGGACTAGCGCCTGGACCGGGAGTCTACAGAACATTTTTTTCCTTTCCGCATCGACTACGAGATCACCAGAGTACCAGAGCCCCCAGCCCTCGTTCCCCAGGGTTTGTGAAAAAAGTCTTCTCGGGTATCTCCTTGTACTTCAGGGAAATTTATATTTTACACCCGATCAGCCCTCAGAAAATACAGAAACCAGAACCCTCGCCGAAAGAAGGTCAAGAAAAAAAAACTCCAACAAAATGGGCAAGAAGACATCTCGCCAGACCACCAAGGTTGGGTCGGCCGCATCGCCTGCCACCGGCCTCCCCCAATCCACCAAATCGTCGATTCTACGAGCTGCATTCTCACCGTCCGAGTATCAATTGGCCCTGTTCGCCTCGGTCATCCAAGGCCTTGATGCGCAGCATCTCCGCATCCACGACACCAACACCGGTCGACTACAATGTGAGCATGCGCTGGGACCGAAAGAGACAATCACTTCGCTGGATTGGGGATACTACGGAGGTCAGGGCAAGGGCCGCGACCAGTCGAAGAAGAAGCGCAAGCGCGGATCTGATGTGAACGGCGTTGATGGACTCGACCAGGGTGATGTTGTTGTTGCGTTTGGAACCAGCAACTCTGAGATTCGCATGTTTTCTCCCTCGGAGGATAAGGTCGTCGGCACCTTGACCGGCGCGCACGAGAAGGGTATCAAGGACTTCAAGTTTACCGCCGGGCGGCCAGCCGAGGAGGCTTGGAGTATTGGAGGTGATAACAAGCTTGTACAGTGGGATCTGCGCACTGGACAGAGCGTACGGTATGTTTATATCTGAATTTGGGCTGCTAGTCGTTGAGACATGCTCAAGCTAACTTTGGGCTTTTTTTTTCACTCTAGAACCATTCACCTGCCTGCATCATCTGTCTTCACTGCTCTCTCTCGCCCCGTTCCCTCCAACGTGCCTGTCATTTGTGCTTCTCAGACCCCCTTCTTAATAGATGTGGAGAACTCTGATGAGGAGCCTGTCAAGTTCCCTGCCATGCGCAACCCGATTCACACCGTTATTTCCTCCTCCTCCGAGTCAGCCGGCTCTGGCGCATTCCTTGCATCCGATGGTGATCGCTTCATTAATGTTTTCGATGCCTCAACCCAGAAATTGGTCCGAAACCTTGTCGCCGAGCAGGATGTGTCCTCGGTGTCTCTGCACGAAGGCACCCCCGAGAAGCAAATCCTTGCTGCTATCACCGAAGATGGCACTATTGAGCTGTTCACAAAACCGTTTGCGCAAGCCTCGCAATCTGGAAGCGCTAAGGCCAATCGCAAACAAATGACCCAGAAGGCGCATGCATCTCTCAAGCTTGTGCGGTCCGAGTCTTCATTTGCGTGTGTCCCCGTGGTTTCAACCTTGTTCCACGGCCACGAGATTGTGGTCGCTTACGCCGAGGGTGGTGTCATTCCTGTATTTGAGCGCGTCAAGGTCATCGATGAGACCACTAATGAGCTCGCATTCACCGGACTCAAGGCAGTGCCAAAGACAAAGACCAGCTCCACAATCGCATCCGTGTCAACAAATGGCGTTAAGAATGCCGGGGAGAGTCGGGTGGACGAGACCCACGCCACCGTACAGTCTGGCATGATTGTCGACGACGATATCGATATGAACGATGTCCAAGACGCCGCTTCCATTTCCGGCGACGAGGACTCTGACGTTGAAGACACTGTCAAGCCCACAGAGAAGAAGACCAAGTCCTCTAAGCAAGCTCCTGCCGATGAAGATGTTGAGATGGAGAATGCAGAGTCAGAAGACGAGGAGGAGAAGGAAGAAGAGGATGTTGAGCCATCTTTCGGTGAGCTCTTGCGCGCCAACGGAGGCCACGAAGTCGACGTCGAAGCCGAGCTTGACGATGATCTCAATCTGGGCACACTCGTCCCCGGCAAGCCTGCGGCTACCGTTCAACAGATCCCCACCGGCGTCTCACTAGCCACAGTGCTCACTCAATCTCTCAAGACAAATGACAATGCCATGCTTGAATCTTGCTTCCACACTTCCGACATCACCATTATTCGCACAACTATTCAGCGTCTCGAGTCTTCCCTCGCGGCTACTTTGCTCCAGAAGCTCGCCGAGCGCCTCTCCTCCCGCCCCGGCCGCTACGGTCACCTCCTCGCATGGGTCCAATGGGTCTGCGTCGCTCACGGTGGTGCCCTGGCCGGTCACCCCGACCTCCTGAAGCGCATTGCCACCCTGTACAAGGTCATGGACCAGCGCTCTTCCAGCCTTTCATCCCTTCTTCTGCTTAAGGGCAAGCTCGACATGCTCGAAGCACAGCTTGATCTACGCCGCGATATTCACAGCGGTGGCGACGGCATTGACAGCGAAGATGAGGATAATGTTATCTACGTTGAGGGACATGAGGACGATTCCGACAGCGACGCCGAAGGCCAAGCCAAGCCGCGGACAAAGTCTATTCGCGAGCAGGCCTTCGACGAGGAAGAATCTATGATGAACGGTATTCTGGATGAGGAAGATGACCAGGAGGATGATAGTGAGGAAGAGGACGAGGACGAGGCTGATGATATTTTGGATATTGAGGCCGAAGAGTCGGCTGGCTCTTCCGATGCCGAGGAGTCTTTGGAGGAGAACGAGGATGAGGACTCTGACGAGGCAAGCGAGGGCTCCATCGCGGACTTCATTGCTGATACTGAAGATGAAGGGTCGGATGATGCTATGGAGCAACCCGCGCCTAAGAAGAGCAAGTCCGGCAAGAAAGGCAAGCTTGGGAAGAAATAAATTAACATCTAGCATTATGGGCTGTTGATAGACGACGGATGTGATGTTGTTCTGTATGAATCTGGGTGGAAAGATAAGATGGCTTTCTGGTTTCTATTTGTTTATTATTGTTTCCGACTCAAAAAGAATTCTATATTGGATGCATTTATGTCTGCATTTTATTGTTATTTTCATCGATCCAAGCTTTTATATCTACACTGGTTTTATGTAAAGACAGGAATACCTAGGACTAAGATTAAGGTACTCGTCTATTCTGAATGAGCACGAGAGTCCTGAGTTAACCAATTCATGCGATTGTTGGGGCCATGAACACTCATAAGGGGATTTACTATTGATGCTTTACGCAAAGCAAAGCTACTCCAAAAGCTCAACCCCTTCACAAGCCCCGGAATGCAAAACAACATGCCCAGGAATCCCCTCCTCACCTAACGGAATCTCCAATGTAATTGTCGACTCATCGGATGGATACTTCGTGATATGGCCAAGACCGCTGACATCAGCTGTATCAAGCGCCAGGATGGCGTCGTTCTTCCCACCGTGGACCAAAGCATGAGTTTTGGAGTTGGGGAGGGTGATATTTGCTAGCCCAGACATGAAGACAACCCATCTTCAGAAGAATTGATTAGCTTGGACAACAGAACTGGGGTTAACATGTTCCATTACATGTGGGAGGTAGTTTCTTGGTTTGTTGGGTTGATATACACTTTCCCCCAACGCCTAAACACCTCAAACCACCACATGACTAAATAGAAACGACCCTTGATCGTTATGAGAGAGGAAGGAAATACTTACTGCTTCAATGGCGCATTATGTCTTCCACCGTCGAAGTTCCCCGGGATAATCGTGTACGTGGAATTACCCGCAGTCTTTCCACCAAGGGGGCCTAGGTTCAGACTCTTGGAGCCAGATGTACCGGCCTCAGACGAGGTCGTGAAGCCTGGTTCTAGGGCCCAGCATTCGAGTGTCGAAGCGTTGTTTTGTGCGCTCAGGACCGTGACATTTAATCTGCTCGCAGCCGCAAGGGCGGAGGTGAGGATGGGGAGGATGGTGGTGACACGCATGTTGGCGATATCTTTGTGCAGGTGGTGTACAACCAATGAATTATAGGGTTAGGATTGAGGTTTAAGAGGGACGGAAGACTTAATTAAATCTTTGTTGATCTCCGATCTGTTGACTACTAATGCGTGGGTAGCTGAAACGAGTGAGGAGTGATCGACAATAGATCGACATTCTATTCACGCTAATGGATAAGTCGGATGCACGAATAGCCACCAGTCTGTGGTGTGACGCAATCGCAGGACAAAAAACTCAAAACTAAGTCAAGCTTGACTGTGAGACAATTCAATGATCTGATAATAATACATTAATGAGAATAGAATTTATGCTGCCCTAGCGAATGACTTCACTGCCGGACTTTTCGATGCATTCCATACCCTCGAGGATATCACTTCCTCCCAATATTCCATAGGCGGAGCTGGTGCTCTTACGTCGGCCAGTCCATACCTCGTGAAATTTGACGGTCTGGTCGCTCGATGCCACGATGATGCATCCTTCTTCCATTGTTCGCACACACCACATTCCGCCTTCTTTCTCTTTCGGGCGGATCGCGTGGGGCCCTCGCCTGTGTTGTGCCTCGTTTGCCTGCCCGGGAGGCTGGAGGCCGTGGGAGAGAGGTGGAGGCGGAGCAGTCGCGTAGAGAAGATCCGAATCTTCCAGAGGGGCATGCAGAGGGCGAGGCGGTCTTCCCGGATAGCTAACAGCATACAATGCTCGTCCACAATCGTAGTTAACATCTTGATACTCGCCATCCCAGCTTGCCCCATGGGGTCCCCAGGGAATCACGGCGACTTGTGCACAGCTGGGCCAGGCAAAGACGGCAATCCGAAATGGATGCTCGGGTGAAGCATAGCCAAATGTCGCTGCGATTTCACGTCTACTTTGGCTCCATATCAGACTAGTCACTTGCGCAAACACATTTATTGTCGCTAGACAGACCCCCGTACTAGCGTGGAAGAAGTGGATAGCGCGATCATTGGTACCTCCCCCCGTTGCAAGAAGTGATGGCTGCCACGGTGCAAACGCTATTGCCTTGACTGCTGCGCCATGCACGAGGCAGTGTTTCTGATGGCCGGGTGGAACTAGCACAGTCTTCGTGCCACCGGAAATGAGACATCCCAGTGAGCACAGAAGTGGAGCTGTCGTGGTCGATCTCAATGAAGAATGACCCCATGAAGGTAGTAAACGGCTGACAACTTGTCGCCTGCTGGGCATATGCCTCAGGGTAGTTCCTGGAGTCAGATGCGGAAGCGCGTGGACGCTCAAATTTCCCGACGGGCCTGAATTGGCAGTGGAAAAGGCTGAAAGGTCGACTTGCGAAGGCGGCAGGATCTCATGTAAATCAAACAGCATACATACGTTGTCATTGCCTCCAGAAGCAAGAAATTGACCGTCAGGAGACCAAGCTAAGCCGCACACCTGCTGGCCGTGGGCGGAAATCTTGGCCAGAAGCGTCATACAGCCAGTCCAACTCCATTGACTGTGGATCTCGGGCCATTCGACTGAGTAATACCAGATATTGCCTATCTCGTCACCGACAACGAGATACTCCGCATCTATTTCCATGTTTTGCAACCCTTCGGATGGTCTTCGTGAAGTCTTTGGCTTGAAAGAAACGCACGAAATACCCTTCGGATGGCTGATTTCAAAGCGAACCTTATCCTCTGAGATGCTCCAAAGAGAAAGCTGACCTGATTGGCGACCAACTGCAAGGATACTTCGTCCTCCATTTTCCGATGAGAAAGACAGAGATGTCACATAGTTTGACGGGTGAAAATCACCAAATGGCGGTCGGTCCACGATGTAACCTTCAGACCAGAGATAAACAGCCTGTGCCAGACCAACAGCTAAGACGCCTGATGTGAAAGAATAGGCCAATGTAGAACAGTAGAAGTCGTCTCGCATATATGGAGCATCCAGTATCCGAAAAGGCTTGGGAGGAACAGCCTCTCGCTGAGGACGAGCTACTGGCCCTATTGAAGCCTAGTTAGTGAACTCCGCAGAGAGAATCGCAAGCATCGTCATGCAGCCCTACAACCGATTTTTAAGTGTCAATAGATCTGATTTTATTCAACATAAAAGCAAAACTCGCCCAGGAGCGGAGTGGTAGTCGGGTCAATCAACACAGTGAAATTTGGCTGTAAAGACACGCAAGCACTCACAATGCGCCCTATTGCCCTTTGTCCAGGCACTGTCCTTCCACACAAACGGCGCGAACCGTTCATAGTCCGGCGATGTGGGACCAGGAACTCTTTCCATGTGTCTCCCACAAGTACTAACAAGTCTCGTAGTCGGGTCAACGTCCAATGCAAGTGCGATTCTTGATTCATGCTTTTTCTGTTCGTCAGCTTTGGTGCTTTTGGGCAGGAATCTCGCTACAAAGTTCGGCGCAGTGGTGCGTCTACCCAAGAGACTTGTTGCACCATTTGTCGTTGTGACAGGGGCCCCAAGCATTGCTGATGTTCCACCCATCCCCCAAACTCCCCCAGAGCTGATCTGCCTCAAGAAGTCATTTGGACGATTGGAACCCAAGGATGTCAAATTATTGATCAACCAAGGCCGGTGGAGTTGTCTTTGCCGAAGCCAAGTTGGCCTTGGACTTTGGGCTGGGGACCGTGGAGTTTGAGGTGTCGGTAAGAACGGATCTTCTCCGGGAAGATGACGGCGCAAAAGTCGCTCTCGAGGTGACAATTGCTGGGGATGCTTGTTCAACCGATATGGCGTAGATAGAGAATCGCCGAAGTCGCGTTTGGGAATGAATCGATCAGGAGATATTGGACTAGGATAAGCAGTTCGTGCTGTGTCTCTGTTCAGTGGCCTTCTGACCCTACTACGGCCTCGCTCCGGAGATACCGCATCTGTTGATAATATTTCTTGAAAGCCCGGGGTGGCTTGAATGGGCCTTGCTTCTGGAATGGGTAGCGATTCCGGAGAGCAGGCAGGCGATTTAAGAAATGGAAAATCGATTCTTGTAAGTTGAAGTCGCCTGATGGAGCCGGTGTCCTGGGAAGACTCAGAATGAGCTCTGGATATGATTGGCATATTATAGCTGCCTGCGGAAGAGGCATCCTCGAAGGAGTGACATTGTGATTCTACCATTATCTGGAATCAACGTAGCAAGTGAACAGCTACTATGAAAATGAGTGTGTAGCATTAACCCTTGTCCAGGGAAACATGGTCGTCAACGTTGCATGTTGACGAAGAAAGTCAAGCCAGTTGCCAAACTAAACTACCAAGGCAGGAGGAGACCCACGTGATCCCTGCGGACACCAACCGCGGTGACACTCCTCCGCGCCTCCCCATTTTTCCAGTCGGGGAAATCGAAATATTATTCCATCAACATGGCTAGCGTAAGTTAGATAATGCTTTTTTCTAGGTCCGAGGCTGACGGTCTTGGCAGCATGGCGTTCGGCGATTCAAGCCCGTGGAGAAGACTCCCGAAGAACGGCAGCAGGAGCTAGAGAAGATAGAAGAGTACAAATCACTAGAACAAGAGGTCTCGGAAAAGGTGAGTCACCATTAAAGAGAAAAATATGAGGTTTGTTCGTTCTGATTCCGATTAGGTGGCCACACATGATTACACTGCCGACACCTTGAAGAAGATCTCCGAGCTCTTGAATCGGAATCCAGAGTACTACACTATCTGGAACCATCGCCGGCAGGCCATGAGGCACCAATTCTCGGAAGCTGGAGATAGCACTGATGGGAGTACGACTCAGTCAGCTCTGCAGCTTATCAAGAATGATTTAATGTTTCTCATCCCACTTCTGCGCAGCTTTCCCAAATGCTACTGGATCTGGAACTATCGACTTTGGTTACTGGATGAGGCTCGCCGGCTGCTCGCACTGCCCGAAGCTCGGCAGCTTTGGCAGGAGGAGTTCTTCTTGGTCGGAAAGATGCTGACCCTGGATAGTCGCAACTTCCATGGATGGGGATACCGTCGCTTGGTTGTGGAGACCTTGAAACAGCTGGGAAGCCCGGATGAAGCAATAGGTATGACCCAGAAGGAATTTGAGTATGCAAAGAAGATGATCGGCGCCAATCTCTCCAACTTTTCCGCTTGGCATTACCGCACCAAGTTGATCCAGCGGCTGTTGGACGAACAATCCGCGACTGATGACGAGCGAAAGGCCATGCTGGACGATGGTCAGTACCACAGAGCTACCCTTTACTTGATTTGATCATTTCTGACATTACTACAGAGCTATCTCTCATCCACCAAGCCTTGATTGATCCCTATGATCAATCCGTGTGGTTCTATCACCAGAACTTGCTGTCTGTATTTGACCCGGCCACCGCAGACCGGACTATGGCTCCGAACCTGACCACGTCTGAACGACTGGCTTATCTTCGCCAAGAGATTGAGAATATTCAAGAGATTATTGATGGGGCTGAAGACTGCAAATATATCTACCAGGCCTTGATTGAGTGTACAGTGCTGGTATCCAAGGTGACAGGCATCCTGGAGGAGGAGGACCGAGACCAAATATTGAGCTGGCTCTCAGAATTGAAGCAGTTGGATCCACTACGACAACGCCGATGGTTAGATTTTGAGCTATCACTGTAAATCGAACATTAAACAGATATCTTAATATTTACCACGTCTACTTCCATCATGCCCTCAAATATTCCATCGAGAAAGAGAGAAAAATGACCAGGCGTGTATTCAAGACCAGAGTGTTGATCCGAATGAAGTAACTTTGGAATTCGATAATTTGGCAATCGGGTACACAAGGCGAGGCGAAGAATGATACGTCGAATTCTGAATAGCTTCACCATGTACATCCCTGGCGCATCCGCTTTTCCCTCGCTCTACTCCACTCTTTGACACGTCGAACACACAGGATAAAGGCTGCCGAATATAGAACGAGAATATAAAGACGATTCTATATTACTAGCTTAGTTGGTTGCAATACGGTCTCTGTCACTAAAGCTTTGGACGTCCCAGCTTAAGACGTAACGGCCTTGAGAGTACAAGTGTCAAGTTCAAATCTGGGTGATTGGTGTTTGCGCGCGTGACACTGTCCACGTATGACAGATCTATACTCCACAACGTATCGAGCATAGCTGAGTGGAACAGCAGGATACCGATATATTAAGCGGAAAGTCGGCAAATAAATCAAGAATCCTGCATTCTGCATATCTGCGTACAATCTCTCCTTTCCAACGTTCCGATCGACAGGTCGCCCCCCATACTGTAATCTGGATCCGTTCCGGCCAATCACCGTCCGTACCTGGTCCCTCGATTTACCATCTCGAAACTGAGATCCCCAAATTCCTTCCACGCTGGCTCATTCTTCCTTCCCTTTCATTTTTCTCCTAATGACCCCTGAGGCTTCCCGCTTCCTGGGTCTTGCGGTTACATCCTGATTGCATGTTCTCGTGAGTCGAGCTCGAGATGTCGCCCCGGAACAGCCATGACTACGAAGGGGTAAGTTGTGTGATGTCCCCTCGTTTCAGATTCCATACGCGGTGTTCCTGTGCTAATTTTCTCTCAGGAGTCGTTCGACGATGCCCCCGAATCCATCGATAACCTCCATGTGACCATTCCGAAGTCCTCGTCAGCCCGGTCGTTGACCGATAGCCCGCCCGTGGGGGTGGGTGCGTCACCAGAAATCACGGAGAAGCCACTGTTTCCTTCTGAATCGCAGGTCGAGCAGAAGGATGAGGACTACGGAAGTGAGCAGACTACACCCAAAAAGAAGAATAAGAAGAAAAACAAGAAAAAGGGGAACCAGCCAGACGAAGGGGAGGCTGCCGCGGAGGAACAGGCGGAGGAGCTACAGGAGCAGAAGCTTGGAGACGACCTGAAGCTTGAGACAGTCAACGTGGAAGAAGACGACAAAATAGTTGAACAGGTCAAGGACGAAGATCTAGGAGAACATACTGGGTTGGATGGTACAGGCGAAGAGGAGGCGCCTGATCGGAATATCACCCCGAAGTCACCCCTACTCACGTCCCACCGTTTATCGTCGGCCTCGTCCCTTGACGAGGTGGTCCTCACAACCAGCAAGGATGAGGAGCCTTTCAATGTTGCAAACCCCGAGACCAAGCCGGAACTACCTCCCGTGCCCCCCAAAGACGATGCTACGCCCAGCTCCGGCCTGAAGGGTCTGTCTGGAAACTTACCGTCCGTGCCATGGGCACCACCTCCCGTCAACAAAAACCCTCTTCCACCCCCTCCCCCACCTCTACCTCGCAAATCCAGCGGCCCTTTCGCATGGTTCTCTCGGGGCTCAGTTGGAGCCAAAGAGGTCAAGTCCCCGCCCCCGGCTGGATCTAGGCGAAACACTTCCACTTCGGTATCAACCATCGCCAGCAACTTGGACCTGGTGGCGGATGGAGATGCGTCAAGTGTCAATTCGAAGAGGCCGCGGCGGAATAGCTTGAAGGACCAATTTAAGCTGCTGCGTATGCGGGAGGATACTACCTGGGCCGAGCACGAGGAAGCCGGTGCACGATCGGGGCCTCCTAGCGTAAGCCATCCTGGAATGAGCCCCCCAATCATCCCGGAAGAAAATGAGACCGGCATTTTGTACCCTCCTGCAACTGCCTCCGCCGCGACTTCTCCCGGAACTGAAAATCCATCGACAATTAATCCCAACCTTGCCCCTGGCACTGTGTCTGGATTTGCCAAGGCACCAGACGATGCATCGGCACCTGTGGACTGGGAGCTCTGGCAGTCACTCGTCAACAATGGGCCTCAGGCGCTAGTGAACTCGGAAGAGCTGAATTCCGCTATCAAAAGGGGCATTCCACAGACCATTCGAGGCGTTATTTGGCAGATTTTGGCGGATTGCCGCGCTGGCGAATTGGAGGACATTTACCGGGACTTGGTAGCGCGTGGGACGGACAAGGAGCGTCGGCCATCGAATGGCCAGTTTAATGGGATTATCGAGGAATCGAACACATCCTCACGCTCTTCAATTCGGTCTGATCACTCGGGATCTGCCACACAATCCACCAGTGTGAGCCCCTCCCAGGAGATGGATCCGGAGAAGTTGGCCAAGGAACAGCTGGCCAGCGAGACTGCTCGTGCCAAGAAGGCCAAGGATGAGGCAGTTGCGCTGCAGAAGCTGGAAAAGGTCATTCGCCGGGATCTGGGCTCACGCACAAGTTATTCGAAATACTTTGTCTCGCAAGGAAGTCAGGAGAGTCTCTATGGGTTGTGCAAGGCCTATGCCCTCTATGATGAGGGTGTGGGCTATGCTCAGGGTATGAACTTTATTGTCATGCCTCTACTTTTCAACATGGATGAAGTCGAGGCATTTGAGCTTCTTGTGAAACTCATGAACAAATATGGACTTCGCGAGATGTTCATTGCGGACATGCCTGGTCTACACCGCAGCCTCTACCAGTTTGAGCGACTCTTGGAAGACCTAGAGCCGGCCCTCTACTGTCACCTTCGACGTCGTGGCGTTCCCCCGCAATTATATGCCACCCAGTGGTTCTTGACATTGTTTGCCTATCGATTCCCGCTGCAGCTTGTCCTTCGTATTTACGACCTGATCTTCGAAGAGGGTCTTGAGCGCACTATCCTCAAGTTTTCTATTGCCATCATGAGACGGAATGCCGAAACACTCCTGGGCATGAAAGATATGAGCACGCTCACTACTTTCTTGAAGGAACGCCTGTTCGACGCATATATCGACAAGCAGCCTTCAGCGTCGTCTATCTTGGAGTCGGGGTTCTTCGGAAGCTCTGGAGCCGCCGACAAAGAAGTATACCGCGCCGATATTCTAGTTCAAGATGCCTGTGACGTCCCTCTTACCCAGGATATGATCAAGTCTTACACCGCTGAGTGGGAGGAGAAGACCCGAACGGAGAAAGAGCGCGAGATCGAGCTGGAGCACTTGCGGCACACTGTAGCTACGCAGGCTGCCCGAGTGCGCTTGCTTGAGGAGCGTGCCGAGGCGTCCGACAAGGAGCATGTACAGCTCGCATCGGAACTGGTTCACGCCAAGGTGGAGAATGAGGAATTACGTGACTTGACCGATGCTTTGAAGCTGCAAGTCAGCGAGCTGAAGATCGTGGTCGACAAGCAGCCCGGTGAAGTGGAAGAGAAACTTCGCATGGAGATGGAGCGCATCATGAAGCGTAACATTGAAGTGCAGAATGAGAACCGGGCAATGGAAGACTCCATGGCCGAAATGGAGAAGGAGCTAGTTTCCACGAAGATGAAGTGGGCCGAGGTACGTGAAGTCTTATTCCACAACACCCTTATTCAGAACTAACCATACCGGTTCACAGATGTCCGAGAACCACGAGACCCTCCGTCAGAAATGGAGCGACCTCCGCCGGGCCCTCGACTGATCTACCACACCTCCACCTTCCATTCACCCTGTATATTTCTCCAGCGTTGATGGCGAGTCAATCTGTGATTACTTCGCAACACGCTCATGTGCCGGATATTTGCTGTCCTCTTCATTAGCCGTTCACCACGATTCTCTCCATCTTTTACGACTTGTACTGTTCTAGCCGTTGTTCCAGCATGCCAGTAGAAGGCATAGGTGTTTTCGTTTCCTATTTCTTTTTGTTTGTGTTACTACTTTTTCTTCGGCTCTCTGGACTGCAACCTTTTGACTCAGGAAGCATACTAGATGTATGCAGTGTACATCCGGAATGAATCATGTTTTTTAGTCCTGTTCGGAAGAAAGACTCTATGTACAATCTCATCATCATTTCCCCACATCATGTAGCTTAACCTTTTAAAGAATATTCTCGTAGAAAGTAGTCATAACATCCTCCTTGATCGGCCCCACAAGAGCCTTGAGTGCCTTGTGAGCCTCGCACTCTGTGTCGTAGTACTTCATATCCTCCATCGAAGCGAAAGTAGTCTTAACGGAGATGTTAAAGCCGCGGTTGCGGGGATCAGGAATGGACTTTCCGACGGCGGCGGAGACAATATAAGGCTTTCCGTCCTATATTGAAAGTTCAATGTTAGTTTGTAATTCTTTTTAGTTTAACATATAAGATATTCCTCAATCTCAATGAGAAAGCAACAACTGTCCAAATAGACAATGAACATGTAGGCAAACCGAACCGGCAATGAATTGAACCGAAGGGGTCCATACACAGCCCGGTTTCCGGGTAAGAGAACAGGATAAAGTGAATAAAAAACACACCTTAGTAGCAGTCTTAGCCAAAATTTTATACTGCTCCAGCAGACGGTCCTGATCAGCCTCGTTGGGGATCTTGAAGAGGGTGATGCGCTCGATGGGTGCCATAGCTGCGGATGTGAATGTCCGGTAGAAGTGAGGTCTGGTAGAAATATTGCAAAGGGACGGTGTGGATGGTAGTAATGGTAAACGTAAAGCTGGGCGGGGCATTGAGGGGCTCTTTATATGCGCAATTGGAAATGTACATGCGTTCGGGTTCAGATCTTCGGTACCTGCGGGGTTTCTTGATGACGTTCCGACGGGTCGGGATCGGTCGGCGAGTGTTATACTAGATTGACTGTGGTTTTCCAGGTACTTTTCAATATGAGAATTCTCAGTATACTTGCTATTTACCATGGAATCCTCTCGAACTTTGTTGTTTTTCCAGTCCAATTGGTACTTGCAGTTGTGGTTATGTTTTGTTCGGCGTTGGGAGTGCGGAATTCTTCCAGTGCTGTTGGTGGACTAATTCCGCCCGGTTACTGCAGGACCAGCTCACGGGTCAACATGTATCATACGTATATTTCTCGACGAAATATGCTGGAAAGGTTTCAATTGAATTCTCCGAGTCAAATATGTTCCATAGCTCTAAACTTTTTGAAGGCAAAAGGGTGTAGCACACAAATGGCTTGCATTAGGTCGATATGGGCGATACAGCTCATACTATAACAAAATTCGTAGTACCAATTATGAATTCATTCCGTCATCTTATCATTAAGCCTTTCACGGCTTCTAGTGGACCTTGTAGGAAGACATTGCGTCCAATCTCTCTGAGGACCGTGTCTCTATGGCCCATTATTCACAAAAGAGACCTAAGGAAGAGACAGCTGTCCTTGTCGCCGCTGTATAAATCTAGCCCATTGCAGGCTTATAAAGAGTACGAACCGAGAAGCTCAGGTCGAAGTTCCACCATGATGGTCATGCCAGCGGTCACTCTGAACCCATCCAGAAAGCCGAAGCCACCCAGTTGGCAGACGTAGATGTGGACATCACTGGAGCAGAAACCGATTTGAGCGGCGTTCGTGAGCATAACCCCCTTTCAGAAATACCCAGAGTATATCAGCTCCAAGCCAGCAGAGCTGATCAGATATTATTCACAGGTTCCGGTCGATTCTTGAAGAACACCTTGTACCGAATAATTTCCACAACTTCTAAATCCTCAATCTCCGTAGACGAAGAAGCCCGCTTCTGCAATAAAGCAATTGGCTTGGGCAATTTCTTCACTTCCCCGGTCATGCGCTGGTACCGACCCACATAGAGATATGCGCGTTTCATCCACTTGGTGTCGTCGGGATTCAGGGTAGAGTAATCCGGGAACATGAGTTTGCCGATCGGAGTCTCGTAGGATACGCCATTCGGCGATTGGGGCGCCGGTGTAGTATCATATTCATCTTGTTCTGTGGAGGGGAGATTGATTGTGCCTTGGAGCTCGAGCAGCGCGAGGCCTGACGGGGTTTGGAGGAGCTGAGGAAGGGGATTGGTGACAGGATAAGGAGTCTTTTCTGCCGAGGACGAGGATTGAGGATGGAGGCGTATCGAAGGCATGGTGGTTTATGATGAGGGTTCTGGTGGTTGGTTCATGTAGAGATTTGGTGAGGCTGACGCGACGCGGGTCGCGTTTGACCCCACATGTGCAATCATACCGCAGACGGAAGTAGTTTCAGTCGTCAGAAGGCATGGAATCTAGAACATAATTATAATTTAGTGCATTTTTAGCAAGCTTTGTTCAAGATTATTGGATCGCATTTGCAACAAGTGTGCAGTCTCTAGTAATACATTGGAAGAAATGCTAGTAAACAGTGCCAAGTGAGGCATAATCAGCCGTTTATTCTCACATGAGTTTTATGCGTTTGTACGAGTGGGCCCGATAGGGTCGTTTGACGGTCAGTGAGACACTCTTCATTTGACCCGAGCAAGAGTAGATAGAGCCTCACGGTAGGTAGTTTGGACAAATATGCTGCTTCTATCAAGCATTTGTCAGTCTCGACAGAATAGCTGGAATCCAGTCCAGACCAACCGAATTTCTGGTGTCTTGAGCTCAGACGGACCTACCGCGGCTCTCTTGGCTCTTTTGGCTCTTGTGGCTCGTATTCAAAATTCCGTGTAAGATGTGGATTTCCAGGTCAGGCACAAAGGTCTAGTTCAGAGTTAGCTCTAGACTCCTGATTGAAACCCAGGCTGCCTACCTTGGTTGGGCAGGAGGTCTGAATGGCTTGAAAATTGTGGTATTAATCCCATGAATTTGGATACCATCAAGCTTCTGGCAAGCTCTTTTGATAACAAGTATCCTCCAGATTCTGCAGACCTTCAATACTTTGCTCTGCCACATCCCTCGCCGATGCAGGACCGGCAAATTTTCCATATCGAAGATCACTCATATCTCCCACAGCCGTGTTGAGTTCTGCTACTAGGCCAGTAGCTTCACGGTCAATATCAGCAATCTCTCGCTCAATATGGGTGCAAGCAATCTCCATTTCAGCCAGAAGACTCTCCACCGAATGATAATTCTGGGGATTAGGCACACTTTGCCCAAATAGATGAAGATCCATGTCAACCTCCCGTTGCTCATCGTCATTGGCTGCTTCCACGCCAGCTGTGAGACTAGCTTTGTGGAGCTCTGCTCTTTGACGATCGCCCTGATGGATCTCAGTGTCGATGTTTTCATTTACCTGATCCATGTCATGTTCCCGGGTTTGCTGTAACTCCCGGTACAAAGCCCTGATATGCGGGTGATTCCTTAGACGTTTAGGGAAAAGTTCTGTGAATTTCTGCAGGGACAATATTGTTGGCAGCGGGGCTGGGGTAAGCAGGAAGTTGCTCAGGATGGACTCTTCGGAAGGTGCCATGGTGAATTTAAGGATAATATCCCCAACGCGTTCAGATATATTTGAATGGCAATATAACACGTAATGACCACGGTATTCAAACTGGCAATTTGTTGTGTCGCCAAGGATCGCGTGTCAACGCGTCGTGCCAGGTGGAGAAAAGTTGCTGGCGCGTTGGATGCTCAAATTTCCTGAAGTCACAATTCGTGCTTCAATCCCAGCAGTCTTGATCTTCAGGGATTAACGTGGCAATCAGTTGGTTGTAGCCGCAGTGGTTGTGGACGGTGGATTGTTCCCGCGTGGACCCAGTGTCTTCTCTCCAAGGGGCGATTTCCGCCTTTTCACACCTCCGATTCTTACCCGCAACAATACAATCCATCCAGTAATCCCGGATTCCAGTGTTTGAACCGGAAATTTCAAGGTACTAGCGTAAGGAGAGCGATACCATCGACACATGACCAGTGTCTGAGCTTCATACTTCGTGTGAACGAGTTGTTGTCGTGCATTATCAAGAAATCGGGTGCTCCGTGGAACTGGAACGGCGTGGGCCTGAAGGCATTCTCTTTTGTGGTCGAGTCGAGGGACGCTGCACTTTCAGCCGTCTGTATATCCTTCCCAAATCGAGGAGGCTTAACGTGGTCCAAGTCGCTAAGTCAGCGTAGGTGGCGCGGCGACGGTGACCTCAACTCTTGGAGGCTCTCCTTCCCTTCCACTTTCTCTTCTCGTCACGGTCCCAAGATCCCCTGGTTCCCCCTGTTTTCTCTTCATTTCCCCCATTTGCCTATATTCTTGTCAGGATGGCCCCAACCAATTATGCCAAGGACGAGAAGGTCCTATGTTTCCACCATGACATCCTTTACGAGGCCAAGATCCTTGACGTGCGGCACAAGGATTCCTCGGATAAGAAGAGCCCGTTCGAGTACCTGGTGCATTATAAAGGGTGGAAGAACACGTAAGTTCCTCATGAGCATCTGTCTTTTTCATCAGCATGTCGCCCCGTCCATGTGTTGGGAGAGTTCGTGTCCCCTGCCCTACCTGCAAACTCTGCCTGGGGTCCAGTACTGAACCACACAAAGGAAGGATAGGCGGTATGCTTGAATGTCGTCCGCTCGGGAATCACGTTATTGACAAGTAGTTTGCAGCTGGGACGACTGGGTTCTTGAGGACCGGTTGCGCAAATGGAGCGACGAGAACCGTGAGCTAGCTGCCAATATACGCCGTGATGCTGAAGCTTCTCTTCGGGCAAAGAACGTGAAGCCTGGCAGCGCGACTAAAAAGCGGGCCATGTCAGAGCGCAGTTCTGTGCGGGACAGCGAGGAGCGTGGTAACTCTGTCTCTGGTCGGGGCAACAAGCGTGCTCGGGACAATGATATTGAAAGAGTGAGTCGCCATATTTCATTTCCGCTTAATTGTCGTGGCTGTTGTTTTTCTACGCTGCACCTCACTCTCCCCAATCCTCTTCCTCTTCCTCTCCCCAGTTCTCTTTCTTTTCCCCATCCATTTCCCTTCGCCACCCTTCCCTTCCAATTGTGCTACACGTCATCATGCCTCCCTATTTCATCGTCGTTCGGTCGAGAGCCCCCATGCCCGAGGGCTACAGATTGCTTTATGGCACCGTTTTGCACTCCCTTTGCTACGACGGTATCACACTACCAGCCACGGCATACAACACTGCGACGGATGCAAACCTGCTGCAGCTGATGAATGCGATCAGAGGTGCTTCTACAGAAGATATCCCGGGGCACACCCAACAATCCGCGGATGTTGCCCTAGCGCAGACTTCCGAAGACTTCTGGAAGCCTGTTCGCCACAATGGAGTGGTCAAACCCAAATGGATCGCCGATCTAACATCAGAGCAGGAAGAGAGTTTCCAAGCACGCCCTTCGATCCGAATCGTCATGCCGGACAATCTTAAATCACTGATTGTCGATGACTGGGAGCGCGTCACCAAAAACGCCTCCGTTGTTCAACTGCCTCATGACAAGTCTGTCTATCAAATCCTCCAGGATTGGCGCGCCGATGAGGTCCCCAAGCGCCACCCCTTCGACATTAGCGTCATGGATGAAATCATCGCCGGCCTGTCCGAGTACTTCGAAGTCGTAATCGATAAACTCCTCCTTTACCGTTATGAGCGCCATCAATACCGCGTCCTGAAGAAGAGATTCTTCGGCAACAAGGAGAAGACGCCTCTCCATGTCTATGGTGCTGAGCACCTCATCCGGCTCCTCAGTATGTTCCTCCCCCCCTGTCCAACAACCTTCCACTCTAACATTACCAAGGCATTCTTCCTGAGCTCTTAGCCCAGACAAATATGGAGTACAAGAGCACAGGCCGCTCTCACGAAGAACTTTCCAAATTTGCCATCTGGCTCAGCCGTAACTCGGAGAAGTACTTCCCTGGAAAGTATGTGCTTGCCACCGAGGTCGAGGATGAAGAATAATCTGGTAATTCTCAACCTGATATGTGTTATCATTTATTATTTCCACTTGTTTGAGTGTTTGTATTATGGGCCTGGAGCGTCTTATTATTGTTAAATTTTTAATTCTTACAATAACCTCTTTCTCCTGCTTCCACACACGTAACCCTGTATATGCATCCATAAGCAGTCTAGGCCGGTTAAAGATGCTAAAAAAGTAGCAGATGGTGCATAATTTAACAGTACTGCTCGTCTTCAATAGCGCATACTCAAATGTAACAAGAGAGAATGAAGGTATCTCAATGTTTCATTCGCCCTATCTACCCAGGGAGGCTACATCTGCCGTTGTTACAAGGTGCCCTTACACGTCTATAGTGCCGAGTAGGTTCCTGATGTAGCGATAGAGTATGTTGCTCTCCTCCTTTTCAAGAACCAGCCACTCTCACAAACAGGGTCTTCTCCCTGGACGCTTAGCCCAAACAGACATGGAAGACGAGTGCAGGTCGCTCCCACAACGAGCTTTCAAAATTAGCCATATGGCTCAGGTGGAACTAAAAAAATACTTCTTCGGGCAGTATGTCTTGCGACTGAGGCTGAGTAGAAGTGGTTCGGCAGCTCTCGGTCCAATGTACAGTTTTTTCTTTGTTAATGTTTTGATCTATCAATGTCGTGTGCTCTGGTAGTTATGTGAATGACCCGGGGCGTCTCAACTTTTTTAAAATTTTCATTCTCGCAGTAACCTCCTTCTCCTGCTTCTGTGTACCTACTAGATCTCCAGTCATGAACACCATTGACCTACCTTAGGCATCAAGCCAGTGTATCTCCATTACAGCGACACGCCGCCTCGAGCACGGACTGTAGGCATCTCCTCCCGTTCTAATAATATTGGATCTATCGTGGCTATATGTACACTTCCATTAATGCCAATGTTTCAATGAATTTCTACTGGATATCTCAGAGAATAGGGAAGAAGTCCAAAGCCTGTGAATCAGGCTGGAAAAGGCAGGTTATACACAGTGCTCCATCCATACCGCCCAATCGACTCTTTCACATCCACATATGCAATTGCATCAATATTCCTCAACCAAGCCAGCTTGTACCTGGAAAAAACAGAATGAAAAGGGGAATCCAAGTATAGTTTACGCAACCAGTTGCCTCGCATCATCAACAGCAACCCTTGCCGCTTTCTTCAACTCAGTCTTCCAGTCTGTCTCTCTCCATCTAGACCACGCACTCAACCCCTCCGGCGGCTGAATACTTAGCGTCTCATAACCCTGCTTGATGATTCGATGAACCTCCCGTGGGCTGAGATTCTTCTTCTTGATTGAAGGCAAGGCCACGGGTGTAGGCTCGCCTTCTGGGTTGGGACTGGCAGCTGCAGCCGAATGTGCCGTGGGATCCGATCCATCAGACTGGAAGAGAAGCGTGTAGAAGTGCGTCGAGACACTGAGAAGAGTATCCATGGCTGCTGCGTGGAGATCGTTCTTCTGGGTCGTTGCTGCGTCTGGCAGTGGGGTGGCTGAGGACGAGCCCGGCGTTCCTGTTGAGTGATTGAGCGCGTAGACGTTTCTGAAATTGGAGATGACGGGGCCGGTCTCGACGAGCTTGTAAAATAGGTCGTCGTAGGAGGCTGGGTCAGGGAGGAAGGTGTCGCCACCAGAGACGCAGAAGGCGAGGAGGTCGGCGAGGGAGCTGGTTAGTGTGTGGATTTGGGGGTTGGTGTTTAGATCGGTAGCGTATGTTGTTAAGAAGCGCATGAGGGACAGAAGAGTGCGCCAGAGCTCGGACCAGTGGTAGTTTAGTCGGATTTTGTTCATTGAAAGGTATGTTAGGAGGCGCAATGTGACGGCAATGGTGTGGCTAAGAATTGTTAGTCTGTGTCTAATTATGAGATATCGGGTACATACCTATAGATGTTGACGTCTAACCGCCGCCGAAGGTTATGCGTGATTGTGTCGATCATTACATCGAAGATGACAGTGGCGAGCACCCGGTCTCCACCAACAACTGGGAGGTATGGCTGTTTCTGACGGCAGATCCGCACTTTGCGTTTCCCATCTTCACTGCAGATGTGTTTGCAGAGAGTTGGGTCCTCAACGAGTATACGTAAGGTGAACATGCTCAGCTCGGCATAGTGAGCTACCCGCGAGGATCGATAGGCGTGCTGTAAAAGGTATGATGACAGGGAAAGAAAACTAGAAAAGGGAGATTCCTCGTTCTTTTCGGGGATATGGTGGACCATGTGGTAACCAAATAGTTTGTTCGAGTTCGCAAAGTCATATGTGGCCATCAGGATGGCCGCTTCTTGGGCGGGTCTGGTGTAATATCAGTATCTGCACTAATTGGTGACGTCGACAGGGACCTTACAAAGCAGCAAACATGACCTTGGCCTCCTCCGCACTAGGTGGATTTGCCTTATCCCGCGCACCAGGCGCGAGAGCCCGAAGCCCGAAGAAGATCAAAGTGTTTGTCAAGGACCAGCCTTCGGGTATGTCGTCCTGCACGGCAATGTAGCCGTTGCGCAGACCACCACAGGCGAGGCCAACACCTTTGACAATTTGTTGAATGCTTGACTCATTGACAAAATCATCGAGTCGAAGCTGATAGAGATTTTGGAATTCGAATTTGTTGTAGTTCGCCAAGAGCCCCAGAAGAAGAAATGGATCGAACACTTGCATAGGGGTATCAGAGTCGTGAACATACTACTCTCGTTAGAAAAATGACGTTAAGAGTGATAAATCGTCCATACCTTCATCAGAGATGGGAACAGATCCCGATGTGTGAAATAGGAGACGATGCTGGTCTTGTATGCCCCGCTTGTCATAGCAATGGCGACTCGGATCGCCCTGCGCCGCAACTCCACTATAAATGAAGATTAGTATTTTTGATATACAAGGTGTGCTACGGATACCCACAGCTGGATCCATTACGAATGATACCGTCTAAAACGGAGACAAACTCTGAGATGACACGGTCAACTTCGTCAAGGCCGGCGAGAACACTGATCACATCCGAGCTGGGGTTGGTGTATTTTTTGCTCAGAATACTGGTCAAAAACGTGGCCAAAGTCTGGATGTCATCAGCCATTGATATTATTGAATCACAATAGCGGGGCACTCACATCTAGTGCATAGGAGTCCATTGGCGCGACCCCAGCTGCAGCTTCACGGATCGCCCGGGCAAAGAGATGTTGAGTTTGCGTCTAATTTAATCAGTTCCCTGAACATGTGGAGTGGCTCGGGGGCTTAAAAAGCTAACCTGCAAACCCAATGTCTCGTCGGGGCTCAACTTGTCTAGTAGGACATGCAGCTGGCGTCCATCTGGTGGCAGCAAAAAGAACTCTCGCCAGAACCCTTCAGAGTGTTCCGCATCTTCAGTGGCCTGGGGGTGGTCAGTATATGCGGCTCTATCAGATTGGAGAAACCAGGGCCTGGCGACGTGGGGGCATACTTTGAACAGTGCCTCGTAGAGCTGGACGATTTTTGGTTGGAAAATTTCCGGTCTCGTCTGCTGCGTAAGGGGCGAAGCTTCCATAATGTCTCAGATGATCTGCAGACCGATCCCCGAAGCATTAAATATTATTTGTATGGAGGGAAGTGTGTCTTCGAGTGTGCATCTCAAGTGGCCAAGGCACCAGCCACTTTGTCAGCGGATCCAGCCACATGTCCTTTCAATTTGATTTTGGATGTTACAGGTACAAGGGGTTGGATATTTTTAGATAGATTCAATAAATTTAATGAAGGCTCATGTATAGAGCATATGGAAAGGTGCTACAGATGAGCTTATTGACTATCTACTAACTATTCTTGCTTCGATATGGGCTGGACGCGCTCATATGGAGGCGGCGCTGCTCCGGAAATCGGGCAAGAACTCACCTTTGCCGCGGAAGGAGAGATGACTCAGCTGCCGATAAACGCTTGATTATCTAATCCATTCAAGGTTGTGATGAAATCAAAAGTGAATTGATTTGAAATGAAGTCCAATAGGAGTGATAGGATCTCCCTGGGTCCTCACTACCAAGGTATCCATACCGTTTACATTAGTTTCCTTCTCCAGTCCGTGCATTTCAAATCAAGAGTGGCGCCACCGTGTGTAGAAACACCTCGACGGTGATTGGCTGAAGCCGGATCATGCAACCAGACTTACTTAAGCGCCCGAGAAGTCACCGGGGAACTTGATCAAACAACTCTTCTCCCCTTCTCGTTTTTGAATTCACCAACACATCTACCACTGAATTCGACATTCTTATGTTTTCATAGCCAATTTTCGTCGAGGCTCCCTTCAACCTTACACCTATTTCTCGACCATCACTTTCACCTCCACCACCACCATGCAACGCCCTGTGACATCATCCGCCACAGTTCTCCGATGGGTAAAGCCCTCGGCTACACTATGCTCCCCCGCCTTGCGGTGCTTCTCATCATACGGAAATGCCTACCAATCTTCCAAGCGTGACATGCAAACTGCGACCGCCTACCGTCCACACTCTCTGCCTACATCTTTTCCGCTTCCCCGAAGCACCAGTGGCTCAGACTCCCTGCTTTCCGCCGATTTCCCTCTTCCTGCAGAGAACTTACAGACCTCCCCATCACAAACAAAATCAACAGCCTCTAGCACTGCTCGGGAAAGCGATGCTCAAACTCCCAAACCCGCCTCATCCACAACCGCCACCAAGACCGGCAAGCCTCGTCGGCCATTGCGGGCACGAAAGGCAGCCATGAAGCTGTCTACCCAGGCCACTGAGCAACTACGCAAGCTTATGGACCAGCCCGAGCCCAAGTTTATCCGCGTTGGAGTGAAAAACCGAGGCTGCTCGGGTCTAGCCTACCATCTTGAGTACGTGGAGAAGCCGGCCAAGTTCGATGAAGTGGTGGAGCAGGACGGTGTGAAGGTTTTGATCGACAGCAAGGCCCTGTTTAGCATTATTGGCAGTGAGATGGACTGGCAAGAAGATAAGCTGAGCAGAAAATTTGTTTTCCGCAACCCCAACATTAGTGAGTCATTCCCTGAAAAGCCTTTCTCCAGTGAGGCATTGCTTCGCCAAGATGTACTAACCGGTAACAGAGGAACAATGCGGATGCGGTGAATCTTTCATGGTTTAAGCACTATTTCGACATGTCTCCTTTAGATTTTCGGCGTCTTCCTTCGGTGCATCGGACGGTGTTTTTATTTTTATCATGTTACGATTTTTGGGACTCATGGCCGCTTTGCTCGGTCAAGTACATACGCTTGATATCCAGTCGATGCAATTTTCTCTATGTTCAATCGTTTTTGCCCGCATTACTCACTCTGTGTTCAAGAGGAGGCCGAGGGCGGATATCGTGGGCTCATTGTAACTTGTCACGAAGCTATAAGGCTCGCTGGATTTCTACATTCCATTGCTATGCAAAATATCTGTGGAATTCCAAATGTTATATTATCTGTATAGACTAGTCTAATGGACATTGATCTAGCCACACCGCCACCAGTAGATTTCAAGACTGATCCGTGTGGTTTCATTACTGATGTAGTTAAAATCCGTCTATCAATATGTGCAAAGATCTAACTTTCTCATGGTGATAACTTTAAATAAAATGATAAAAGTTAACTCGTTAACGCCGATGATTATGTCACATGATGGCATATTGGGGCGGAACAATGTAACAGACGACAACTACCCCAAGGTCTTGAACTATACACCATTCCTCCATATTTATACATAGCCCCTAACCTCATTATAGAGTGACCAAGAATGGGGTCAACAGCATTTCTTTCCCCCTACACAAATGACTCCGTCTCCGACCTCCTCATAACCGTCCGCTTCTCTGCTTCGATCCCTGATCTCCCACTCGACGTCCCAGAACCGGAGACCACAACAGGCGCAGGACTCAAACAACTAATTCGCGCAGAGCTTCCATCCTCCCTCTCATCCCATCGCCTACGCCTGATCTACGCCGGCCGCGGTATAGAAGATACAACCGCCCTAACAACCTCCCTCAAGCTCCCGCCTTCCCCATCTAGAACTCCGCGATCCGCAGCAGAAGATGAAGAACAGGACGGAAGCCTGGAAAATGGCGCGGAAAATTCCTCCGAATCTAAGTCCAGAGATAAAGGCAAACAACCTGTTCGCGACCAACGCCCAAGAATATACATACACTGCTCAATAGGCGATATCGCGCTTTCGGATGCCGATCTAGCTGCAGAAGCTGATGTAGCTTCGACGTTGCTACAAAGCCAGAAAGAAGACGAAAATGTCTCCAGGTTACTCTCTACATCTACAATCCCTCATCGTAGCGGCTCCTCCGTCTTTCCGTCTCGCTCGGCCGCGCCTGAAATTACTACCACCCCTGCACCTCGTGGTTTTGATCGTCTCCTAACGGCAGGCTTTACCGCTGCAGAAGTAACGGCTCTCCGGTCACAATTTCTGGCTGTGCAGTCTGTCTCCCGTACGCCGGACACTATGCCTAGTGGTGAAGAGCTCCGCGATCTTGAAGATCGGTGGATGGATGAGGGTTCGACTGCTGCGGGGATGATGGGTGGGGGTGAAGGTGCGGGTGGTGGCGATGATGATGGGGGTTTAGGGTCGGGGTCGAGAAGTGCGATGGACGATATGCTTTGGGGTGCGGTTATGGGCTTCTTTTGGCCTATTGGATGTGCGATGTGGTTGCGGAGGGAGGAGGGTGTTTGGTCTTGGAGGAAGGGGGTCGCAGTCTTTGTGGGGGTTCTTGTCAATGCAGCTTTTGGGGCCTTGAGGATTATGAATTAGGCAATTTTATGCCTAGCCTTGGAACTGTATAGGGGTTTGGTGCTTTGAGGCGTTCTGCGAGTGCTTTGTGATACCCTAATACTGTTTTGTTTATACCGATCAGATCGGATTGTAGGTGATGAATCTTTGAATAGTTAATCCGAGCATTGAATGGTCAGCTTAGATCCCGGGTGTAATAGGATGCAACATGGGTTCATGAGGTCAGTGCTCGATTACAACCGCAGGTTTCTATAGACCAGAGCTCTAGAGCTGGTACAGCCCGGCAATGCTAGCATACATGTCCAAAAAGTACAAGGAAAAGAAAGAGCAAAACGCCCGGAATCCGCAACGCTAATGGAACTTCCCGTAAATAACAGCGATAATCAAAAGGACAAGCAGTGTAATGATAGCAATCGTGATCATCCGATTCGTAGCCATCCTATCAAATCATCAATATCAATCCAGAACCAAGTAAAAAGTAATGCACAGAGGGAAAAGGAGGACAGTACCTACGAGCCATACCCCTCAAAGTCTTAATACTGGTATCAACATATCCCTCACTTTGATGCAGGTTGTCTCTGGTATGCTGAATTGTTTGTCTCTGCTCATACAGATTGGCCAGCACATCACGCCCCACATCCTCTGTCTCTAGCGCTGTCCGCTGGCTCTGCTGCAGCCGTGCCGAGCTGCGCTCCAGTCGCTCCGTACCAGAGAGAAGTTGCTGTCGCTGCTCCAGGTGTTCGTCTTGAGGCTCGTCGGTGTACCGGTCACCAAAGAGGGCTTTGCGATCATCTGAAAGAGACTTGAGCTTGCGCTTGACCTCGTCGATGTCTGTTGAGTAATTGCGGAAGCGGATATTGATCTTTGAGCGAGCTTCGGAGGGAATGTTTTGCTTTTCCATGCGCATTTGATCCAACTAATATCACCCGAAGGTCAGTTCACATCTGTATCGTAGATCTCTATGCTCCGAGACCAGCTTGTCTGGGGCACTGAAGAGCAAAAAAAAGAGACCAATTTGGCGGCTCTGGGGCGAGTCTTACCAGTTCTGTTGCTTCATCCAGCACTTGCTCTGCGGAGCGGATTGCGGATTTGCGTTGCTCACCGCTGACTTCGGAGATCTGGTCCAGCTTCTGGTTCAGATCAGCTTGTATCAGCTTGAGCTCGTTCTCGTAGCTGGCGAACATCTCCGAGCCTGCGTCCGTGTCCAGGGGATTCGACATGTTGAGCTGTGTGTCTGTGATGTTGGCGATTCTAAAGTGAGAAGAGATGGGGATCGCTGTTGCGACAGGCTGCAGGGTGGTTGTTTCGTATGATCAGACCGTAGGCTCCACCTTTATCAATGATGACTATACTAGTCGTGGCTTGGTCAAGTCTTATCGGAATTTGTGTGTCGGTATAGCCTTGCAATACTGATTCTCGCTGGAAAATGTTCGGCAAACCAATATCTCACGACGGTTTAGTCTGGGACAGGCAGTAAGTACGGGGTACATGGACAGGTGGAGGCTGGAGATGGCGATAAGCTGCACGTGATTGTCACTGCGGCCGGGGTTGCGCCTACGGATCCCCACTAGAGATATACAGTTACCAGTAGGCGTAATTTAATAGCTCCCTGTTAAATTACAAATGACACAGGTAGTCTCTCAGAACTATCTGGTACTCACTGATGGTATCAGCCTTCAAGATAGAAGATAAATCAGTGCATCCTGCAAGTGCACGTTCTCGGCGATCAACACTTAAAACGTCGGTACCTGACAGCCTAAAGGCGTCTACGCATAAAACCACAATAAGCAAATAGTGTAGCATCAATAGCATTAACATAAAGAAGATCGGGCCTTAATAGCTCATTTCGCCTTTTCAATAAACAAAGAAATACCCCATGGTATACAGACATAGAAACTCCACCACTTTCCCTCTATTGCAAGAACATGCTGCTGTCCTGGGCAACAATCTGTGCACTGCGCTTCGCGTCCAAGAAAAGGTCTTCGCACTCGACAACGTCCGCCACCTCGATGCCACTAGGGTGTCCGTTGACTCGGGCCAGAATGCTTGCTGGAGTCAGCAGCTGCAAGGCGTACCGCAAGCTGACCTTGCTGCCGTGCTCAGCGACCTTGTCCAAGGCGGGTTCGGTGATACTAAGGCCCTCGGTCTTGGCGCGGAGTCGGATAATGGTCTTGATCTCGTCAGGGTTGTAAGGGGTAGTGGGGATGATAAGGAGACGGGCCAGCAGGTCTGGTGGGATGCCGTGGGCGGCGCTGATGTCGTCAGTGCCCCGGATGACGGTGTGGCCGCGATTGGAGGCAAGGATGACAATGGGAGAGATGGAGGACTCGAGAGCACGGTTCAGGTATGTGAAGCACTCAATGTCAAGCATGTGAACCTCGTCAATGAAGAGAACACCAGGAACAAGCTCAGCCACTCCCTGGTCGATATACCGGTTCACAACCTTGTTGATCTCCTGGCGCAACTTATCGGTAATCTCGGTTTTCTTGGGCTTCATCAACTGCCCCATCATGCTCATCACATCCTGTCCACCTTGTGGCCGGGCGTTGGCCATATCCAAATCATGCAAAGTAACGTCCTGCACAATCTCCTTCTTCTTGTGAACCTCACCCTTGGGGACGGGCACGTACTCCTCCGCCTCGAGATCGAACTCAGTTGCGTAGGCATCGGACCGTCCAACACGCTTGCACGCTCCAGTGTTGGCCTCGATGTAGATGACATCTCCAACAGTGACGCGCTCCTTTTGGATAGCTTCGTAGATGCTAGGATCCAGACGGAGCTTCTTGCTGCCCTTAGCAGACTTAAGTCCGATGATCAAATGGCTGATAGTTCGTCCATAGCCACCCAGCGGGTTCTCAGTCTCCTCCGGAGTCAGTTCGGTCACTTCACCCTCGTACACCTCCTTAGTTTCCCGGACTCGCAGACCTATTGTTCTGTTAGTCTCGCGCTAGAAATCGCCCGTTGCAAGTATTTCATTTCGCGTACCAATTGCTCGTCGGAAGTTTTCCATCAAAGCTTCTGTCTTCTTGACCTCTGCAGAGTAGATTTCGCTGCCAACGATAGGACAAAATGGAACCTTGGTTCCCAGCTCCTGGGATACAGCAAGAGCGAGCGCTGTTTTTCCGGTACCGGGGCCACCGGCGAGCAACACAGCTCGGCCAGCCATCTTCTTGGCCTTAATGAGGTCGACGATCACGCCGCAAGCCTATTGGAAAGCAAAGTAATGTCAGTCACGGTCTGCACGGTGCATCGCATCCATCTCAGCGACTCAATGGAGCTACAACTAACCTCTCGGGCAGCAGCCTGTCCCACAAATCCATCACCGGATGTTTCTGAGGTGCCATCGGAGCGCAAGCCTAGACCCTTGATGTGCGTGTGCGTGGCGGTCCTGTTCTCGCGCGAGTTGCCCTTGACTTCACTGATTTGGACCATGTTGGGCAAATGCGGCTTTATGAGCCTTTGGTGGAGAAATTGGGGGTTGGAGCAGGGGAGATGTAACAGAGAGGCGACGGAGCGATATATAAATCAAACAAAGAAGCTAAGCAGTGATGCGATGGGCCGTCCTTTTCCCAGGTCCAATGCTCTTCCCGAAATTCGCGAGCAAGGGATCTGCGCCAGTCACGGAGCCGCGCTGAAGGCGGTCAGCGTCCCCCAAATTCTTCATAACTCCAGCTTTCCCTACCACGGGACATTGAAGTCCACAAATTAACAAGTGCATCTCTCAGAACCTGTCTAAACCTTCCCAATGGCAGGCGTCCAGACCAGAGCCACCATGGTCGGCCACTTCTCCCTCGCATCGGCCTTCCGTAACCTCTCTTTATCGGCCTCCAAGCGCTCGTTCTCCACGACATTCGCACCGCAAACCACCAAGGAACTCCCCGAGCACATCCCGCCCTATCCCTTCGGGCCCCGAAAATGGTACAAGCAAGCCGATACCGGTCTTTACGGCGGTGCTATGATCCGCTTCGGTAACAAAATTTCCAAGGGTCGTAACGAGGGCAAGACACGACGAAGCTGGAAGCCCAACGTTCGCCGCAAGAAGATTCCTAGTGAGGCGCTTGGCGAGGATCTCTTCATTAAGGTCACTCGCCGTGCTCTACGAACAATTGTTAAGGAGGGTGGTCTTGACAACTACCTCCTCAGCGACAAACCCGCCCGTATCCAGGAGCTCGGCATGTTCGGGTGGGAACTGCGATGGAAGGTTATGCAGACCCCGGTCATCCAGGAGCGATTCCGGGAGGAGCGCAAGAGACTGGGTATCCCGGAGCCCAAGTCATTTGAGGAGTGGATGAAGAGCAAGGAGGAGGAGATCAATGCCACGATCGAGGAACGACTCAACATCAAGCAGATCACAAAGCCCCATCAGAAGGGCAAGGCCGATCCTCAGAGGCTTGCCCAGCTTGCCCAGAAGGCCGAAACTGCGGAATAACTCAGCTGATCCAGCTGGGTCACTGGATGTGTTTTTGATGTTTGAATTGATGCCTCTTGTTGGGGGCTGGCGCTTCCTCCATTGTACCATTATCGCGACGAACTGGACCCTACTTCAGCACCACTACCTTTGTCTTTTTACCAACCACCTGTGTCTTCGATATTACCTGGAGAATTTAGGTGGTCTCTTCGCATGAGTGCGATTCGGCGTGCATATTAAAACTTGAACTTCTGTGTATTTATACTCCAATATCATCTGTTTTCATCGCTCTCTCATTTTCTTTGGATTGTTTCGGGTATTATATGCCCAAGTAACAACCTTGAGTCCGACTTTTTGGATTGTGAGTGCCTTAGATAGGTACATTACTGTCATTGTGGAAACAAAATCAAGGTTGGAATGGCCGTCCAAGGCGGGGTTGGAGATGGTCAAAGGTTTTGACGGTTCATGCTCGATATATATATCCTGGTGCTATGTTATGTAGCATTCATACCGATGTGCATCTGGAAGATTACACAGGTGGGCAGTTCCAAAAATTGGAACCAAATCTTGGCTAAAGTAGTCCCTAGAACTGCTCTTAAGTCCGACATTCATCCCTTTATGGATTCTTTCTTCCCGCAACAGAGGCATGAAATACTAAGGAAATAGATAAGGCCATGGTGTGCAAGGGATCTGCAGAATGTATGGTAGTAATATCCGAGTCCCGACATCCGAGATGAACCAATAAGAAATGCAATTAACCTGAAACCCAAATCTCGTTTATCTCTGCAATCGATGAACTAACTAAAAACGGCCAATGATGATTGGTGAAGCTGCAAGGCCGTTGGCATGCGCACCAAGACCCGCCGCATTCGGTCTCGTCATTGGAACCAGGGAACACCAATATTTGCGCTTCTCCCTTGCAACTCATCTCCCTCGTTTCAGTGAGTCAAGTTCTCTCTTCTCTGAAAGCTCCATGCGATGATTTGATCTCCCGCAACCACTCCTCCGAATCGCTGCGTCCTCATTCAGCTCCCCAGCGCGGGGGATAATACGCCCGCCATGCAATTCGCATTGCCTCCGCGAAAGAACCAACACACTCTCCCCGGTGCCCGTTCCTCTCGGTTACCGCTATATCGCAGGAAGCAGCTCAAGACCGTCGCTGTTTTCGCGGTCGCCGTGTTCTCGATCTTCTATCTTCTTACACACCTCTACTCGAGCTCGTCTTCTGCGGCGCCGGCTGGTACGGCAGGTGTGGTCATTGTGACATTGTTGGATCGCGAAAGTTTCAGTGAGAGCTATATCAACAAGATCATCACCAATCGTGAGGATTATGCGAAGCGACATGGTATGTTATGCTATGGGCTGGGTTGCTATACCAAGTATAGCTAGCTAGCTGGCGCTTTGAACTTCCAGCACAAGGAGCCCCCCGCTAACTTCGCATTGCGATTTCAATCAGGCTATACCAATTTCTTTGCATCTGTATCTGAATATGACGAAGCCGTCGGCGACCAACCCAGAAGCTGGGCTTTGGTACCAGCTGTCCGCCACGCGATGGCTACTCACCCTAATGCTGCATACTTCTTCCATCTAAACCAAAATGCCCTTATCATGAATCCGACGAAATCCCTCAAATCTCACCTTTTGGAACGAAGCAAGCTCGAATCGATAATCATGAAGGATGTTCCCATCGTCCCGCCCGATAGTATTATCAGGACATTCTCGCATCTGAAAGAGAAGGATATCGACTTCATCACCACGCAAGATGGCGAAGACCTAAGTCCCAGTAGCTTCGTGCTAAAGAATGGGGACTTTGCGCGCTTTTTCTTGGATCTGTGGTTTGATCCGCTGTTTCGAAATTATAACTTTGCAAAGGCGGAGGTTCATGGATTGGTAAGATTCGCTTAATCTGGGAATTGTCATTTGGAGCTCACGGCTGACTTGCTCTACGTTGTAGGATCATATCATGCAGTGGCACCCGACTGTGCTAGCTCGGACGGCCATTGTTCCCCAGCGTGTCCTGAATGCGTACAGCAAGGATTCATATGGTGCTGGTCCGGATGGTACCTATACCGACGGTGACTTTATTATTCGATTCCCGGGATGTGATAAGGCTCAGGCCAAGGGGTGTGTCGAAATGGAATCATATTACATGCTGTGGCAGAGAAAGATAAAGAGTGTCTAACTTCGCATTCCAATCTTCTCTCCCGGTGCTTAATGGGCGTTCTCTTTTCGGAGTGAAGACCCATTGCTTTTGGATTTGCTTTACGATCATACATTTTATTGTCTGACTCGATCGGTGTTTTTCTTTCTTGGCGTAATAGATGAGTGTTGCACATATAGCGGGATGATATTGCTTCAATCGTCATGGCATGCATGGAGTCATAGGAAAGGAAACATGATCATTATTTTCTTTATGTTCACTAATAGAATACATGCCTCATAAGTAAGAGCCCAGAGAATAGGACGTAATAAGGAACTAAGGCTCTCTCACAACATTGGCCTGGGAGTGTGGCTGTCGAGAGCAGTCAGTATTGAGCTTTCGACGTGAACAATTATCCGTAGTGTAGTATTGAATGCAATTGAAAGCCACACAAATCAGAAACGCGATTGCTCGCAAATGGGTTGTAGTCAAGCAGCGGGGTCTTAAGCCGCCTCCTAAACACGGACCAATTTTTCTCATCATGACAAAGCGGGGTGGTTCAAACCAAAAAAAAAGTCAAAGCAGATAAGGTGGTTGAGGGAGAAATGCAAACGTGGAAATCACTTACCCAACTTGTAGCTGTAAGAGGCCGGGTATTTGTCGAGTTGAGATAGCCCGAACTGACTCAGGGAGCGGAAGCACTAGGGTGCGTCCTAAGATATGATAGAATATTATTCCAATGAACCCAAAGGTCCGACTGCCGCTTCCTCTAGCAGATGAAAGCAAGGAGAACAGTCTTCTTCTTCTTGTACTTGTCTCCGAAATCCTTGCGGTAACGCTTCTCCTTCTTCCACGCCCAGCTCCACATCTGCACACCACCAACAATAGTGAAGATGAGCACACTCAAGTTCAGCTGGCTGACGAGGAAAACACCCAGCCAGGCAATGATCTCAAACATGTAGTTGGGGCAAGTAACAAGGTTGAACCCAAATCCGGAGGGAATACCACGCTCAGTTGTACCGGGCCGACGCAGATTCCGGAGTACATAGTGGGCATTCAGGTTTGCCAGTTCAGCGAACACGAAAATGGCAAGACCAGCATACACAAGAGTTGAGTTGTAGTCTGCGCTGGCGGCGGCCGCATCGGGGCGGAAGACCCAGTAGGCAATGTTGAAGCCGGCGAGGGCCCAGTAGTGGGCACTGTTCTTGAAGATGTTGCGGGCGGGCATGGTGGCATTGCTGAAGCGGTGCACGAAGATAGTCTCGTACTCGCGCTTCAGGAAGTGAATGGTGAGAAGAGCGCAGACGAGGAGCTGCACGTCTGAAGGAGCCGGGATAGTGTCATAGTTGAAGTACAGGAGGGGACGGAGAGGGAAGAGGAAGAGAGCTGGGATGAGGAGGGGACCGAGGTATTCAATGATGAAGACGGTACGCCATGCAATTTGGGGGCCTGTTCATTGCCAAGTCTTAGCTTTAGTTTATTATTAAGTGGTTGGGAACGGTTGCATACCCAGATCCTTGATGTGGATCACGCTCGCGTTGCGCAGGCCGGTGTCGTCAATGGTGACGTCCTTCGCATTAGGAACGGCAGAACGGTCACTGCCCTTAGTGATCCGCAGACGGTGTGCAGATACACCGCAGACCTGACCAATCATGTCGTGGAGGTCATAACCAGAGGCATCGAGGGCAATGGTGAGCTCCTTAGGGAGCATGCGGATGGGTTTACCTGAACAACCTTGTTAATTGATTGGAGCCAGTGTGGGACGAGTGAAAATTTTGCATCGAACGAAAAACATACCCCGCGGCTCAATAGTGAGCGTGATCTTAGGAGCCATTGTGATTGATGGCAAGCTCAATCAGTTCAGAAGTTGCAGGGGAAATTGTTGAGCGTTCACGTCGATCAATAGTGGATGGGGCACACGTGACGTCGACACCTTAAGGCATGACCGAGGTATAAACCACGAGGATATGAACTCAGATCGTCAAAGATCGTCACACGTTGGGCAGTGTCCCATCCCATGGATTTTCAGGCTCAGCTCAACCCTTGAAAGAATTTCCCGTGGTGTCAAGGCTAATAATTGCCACCCAAAATTCGTGGTTTTGGAAGTCAACAGCCATCTTCATGGACTTCCATTCTGTGATCGGTTTCCCGACTCGTTGAGAAAGAAGTCCATTGTGGACGGAGAAAAAGTCAAGAGAGTACTACTTCTGCCTTCGGCGTGTCGATGGAATTTTCAATGTTCTCCACCTGAGATTGAAATAAAACAATCAGATCCAAGCCATGATGCTCTGCATTCCACGTGGGCCAAGTCCACAACGGAGATGACAGCCTCCAGCAAAGTTTAACTCTACTGATGATACCCCACAAAATCTAGACGATACCATGTTAGAAGCGAATTTGCTGTCTGATCCAGGCGTTCTTAATTCTATTGCACAATGCTAATCCTAGACCACTGATTTGAGTGTCTTACTTGGGGGCGCAGTCTTGCTACAACGGTTAACCCGGCCGAACCCGTCACCAATCAACACTCTCATGACTATTGGGCCACCCCTGACTAGGCCACCCATACAACGCTAAATAATGAACTAGCGGAGTCATTTGTAGGCTGTGTCAATTGTTTGTGTTGCATGAAGGATTATGCTACGATAAGAAAATGTTATGTTCTTCGCACAAGCCGAGCCTTGCAATGTATTTTTGGCCCCACCAAGTGCAGATCGCCACTGGTGTAAGCTGAACAGTCCACGCGCCAATGACAACTGGGCCAAAACACCATACACCCAGGTGCACCAGGGCCCCCTGCATGAACGGCCTCTCCTTGCTGGCACTTCCAGACGAGTGATTTTTCGGACCAGCATAACACAACATGTCAGATAGAATTGATTCAGTATTTACCATGATATGGAAACTCCAGGACAATCCTTCACATGGGATTCTGATGCACGAATGAAAAGTTCTCCAGTCTCTTCCACCGGGGTGGGGCGTCTTCGGCTGTCATTGCCCATGCATTGTACCCACACCCAGCTGGCGCCTTAGGGTTGTGGCGCCCAGGCTGACGGACCAACACGAACGCTGGAAAGGCTGCGTGGATTATGGAGCTAGAACGGGCTGGAGGCTACTAAGCTGTACTCAGGTCGTTTAAGAGACGGAATACTCCGCGGCTGGAAACTGTTATAATCGTCCCATTGCCCTCCGATACGATCCCATGACACTTGCTTTGCTTTTTCTCTTTTCACGCCTTATACTTGGTACCTGCTGAGTACACGGCATTTGAGACTCGAGACTGCCCAGTAGCTGGCCAACACAGCCCTATACCTCTTCAGGCTTTCTATGATAACCGGATTGGTACGTTCTTCTTCGTGAATCAAGTCTTTTGATCACTCCAGGTGATCAATTTCAGACGCAAATGGGCGTTTTCTTTTCGATGGCCGAACGGGACTCTCGGACCCGTAGTGGCTTCCATGGTAAACTACCATGCCAGACGGAGGGACATGCTAACATTTGGATTCAGTAGCAGGATATAGCCTGTGATTTTCTCTCCCAATTCACGAGGTTTCGTGTATACGTACATTCAAACCCACCATGGCTGATCGACCCAACAATGCTGTCAACGGCATCGAAAAAAAAATCGCCAATGTCGAACAAGTCATTGCTTCGTCTTTGAGGCCTTTGCCCACTGAAACGGGTGATGGAACCTATGTCAAAACGGCTACCACAACCGGGTTTGCCAAGGATTTGGGCCATTTCAATTTGAAAGATGTGAAGACTGTCATTGAAGTTGCAAAAGATGCGGTCACTGGGGAACCTTGGAATGACCGGGAGTATATCATGGAGAGAGTGATTCAGGTTTGGAAACCTTCATATTTCAAGAATGCAGATTCTGACTCTTCAATAGCTTGCCGCCGGTTTGCCTTCGACTTCTAAGAACGGCAAAGAATTGACCAACACATTTTTGGGTACCCTGTGGAAGGACTTGCAACACCCGCCAATTTCGTGAGTGCCTTTAGATGCGGCATGCTTTTGAACAAAACTTATGATAATAACAACAGGTACCTTGGTCGTGACTCTTCCTATCGGAAGGCGGATGGATCGGGAAACGTATGGTCCCTATCAAGGATAACGAGTACAGCCACTGACATCGAATTAGAACCCGTTCTGGCCGAATATTGGTGCTGCAGGCACTCCCTATGCGCGATCAGTTCGACCGACGATTGTGCAGCCAGTTGACCGACCAGATCCAGAAACCCTTTTTGATACCCTCTTGGCCCGGAAAGAATTCAAGGAGCACCCGAATAAGATCTCGAGTGTGCTGTTCTATCTTGCATCTATCATCATTCATGGTGCGCATGTCTTGAAACCATTATTGGTGGTTCGATTCGACGATGGACAGGGCTAACAATTACCAGACCTCTTCCAAACAGACCCAACAACTGGCACATCGTCATTGACATCGTCCTACCTTGATCTGGGCCCTCTATATGGTAATAACCAAGATGAACAGGATGCTGTGAGAACTTTCAAAGATGGGAAGCTTAAACCGGATACCTTTTCCTCCAAGCGCATCCTTGGGTTCCCTCCTGGTGTGGGTGTTTTGCTCATCATGTTCAATCGATTCCACAATCATGTGGCAGAAAACTTGGCAATCATCAATGAGGGTGGTCGGTTCAAAAAACCAGATGAGACTAACAAACAAGCCTACGCAACATGGGACAATGATCTCTTCCAGACTGCACGTTTAGTCACCTGTGGTCTTTATATCAACATTGTTCTGAAGGACTATGTCCGAACAATCCTCAACCTGAACCGGACTGACAGTACCTGGAGCTTGGATCCCCGAGCTGAAATTAAGGACGGTCTGCTCGGCGAGGCTCCAGCTCAGGCTACTGGAAACCAGGTTTCAGCGGAGTTCAACCTTGTCTACAGATGGCACTCTTGCATTTCTGCCCGTGATGAGAAATGGTCAGAGGACATATACAAGGAAATCTTCCAGGGCCAGGATGCGAAAGCTTTGAGCATCCCGCAGTTCATTCAAGGTCTTTATCGCT